GGAGCACAGGATGATGGGGACTGCTGTCACCGGCCCTGGCAAAGCTTCGGCCGACTTTTGACAACCTCGATGGCTGGATGGGCATGGGAAGCAGGTCGCAGTGCTAGACCGATTCGATGCTGACAGCCCGGGACGCCATGCCCCGGAGGGACTGCGATCATCCGGTCCTGTCCTCTGCCCAATCAATCACACCCCGCGGACCTTGCCCCATGTCACTGCCATCGCCAAACTCTGGGTCTGCGGCCTCCAAAAGACGTGCCAGCTCCGCTCAGTAAGGAGTCTGAGGACTCAATCGCACCATTATACAGATCTGGCCAACATCGCCTCCCCTTCCTGGTTTCCCCCCGGTCTCCCCCGCCCTTGGTCTCGTGCTCAGCTTCAGCCGCAGTCGCAGTCCACTGACGCGTACGAACAAGCGAGACCATGCACTGCATGAGTTCCAAGTGGATAGATAGGCCTCCAGGAAGGCTAGCTGCTGGACGCGAAGTGGCTGGTCTCTGAACCCCACGCCGTGATCTTGGTCTTGTCGATGAGCACGGCATCATTCTGTCTGGACTACAATCTGAGAGATGCCAATGTCAGGGCTGTCAAGCAGCCAGCTCTGGTGGAAGCAAGGAGGATTATCCCATGGCGAAACGCGAGGCTCGCCCAAGGAAGTCTCGTTGGGCATTTTCGTCGCAGCCATTGGAGCCACAAGGTGCCAGTGGCTCATTCATTCCGTCCGATGTCATTCCCCGGGATCGTCATCTGGCTATCGACGACGTCCGCATGGATGCTTGACGCAACGGACGCCGCGATTAGAGGCCTTGATGGGGCTACCAGAGTGCCTACCTCTGCCCACGCCATCACGATCACCTTGGAGTCCCACTACGCCCTCGCACAACCTTGTGAAGGAGGCAATTTACTTAGCTCACATATTCACGTACATGTGGGCACTGATGGGTGAGTTGCCAATTGACTCCTCATTGGGTCTGTCTATGCCCCCTTCACCCTGGCCAGATTCCTCGGATATATTGTCGCTGCTGCTCAGCTCGCCATGGATCAAGTATGGGTCAAGCTCGGTACGGCGACCAGTGTGGACGAGGGAGGAGTGTTTCATTCATCATGCTTTGGACAGATGACAGGAAGACCGCTGCCGAGGAGTCTCGAGTGGTCACTCTCTGGTTGCGTGGGAGGCTGCGGGGCTTCCTGGGATATCCAAGTGGATGATGGAGGTGCCAGGGTGGAGCGAAGGCCTACGACAAAGCAGTCGACGAGCATCCGGCCACGGACGGATCTGTGACAAGCTCGACCTGGGAGAGTGAGAGCGATGCCCCGCGCACAGAAGTCATCCCTCTGACTTCGTGGATGGAGGGCACCGATGCCATGACGAGTATCCTTCCTATTCGAAGGGCTTTCGGCATTCGAAACCTGGTCTAGCCGCTCGCTCGCTACCTCACACGTCTCCATCGATATGTCAGAGAGGACCGGCTTGCTTATCAGATCCTGTGTGAAGTCAGCGTTGCTCTCGAGGTTGGATGGTGGTATTCGCTACTACGGGGCTTGCAGACAATTGGTAAGTTATTGTCAGTGAGTGCTTTAGCTTTCGAGATGCCCATGGGTGTAACACCGTTATACCGCCTCTTCGTGATTTCGTTGACTCTTGGTCTCATCGAGGGCTAGACTTGATCTGGTCGAAGGGTTGAATGCTCATGTCTCAAGGTGAAAAAAACAGCCGTTGTGCGCACAGGGTCTCTGTTTTCTCTGAGCACTCGTCCTCTCGCGAGCAGTACGGAACGGGCCGAGGGGGTGGAGATACTGGACTCGTAGCTGGAGGGCATCACGTGGAGGACCTGTTCTCTTTGTTCCGAACCGTTGTCCGAGTCACAATGTTGGTCTGATTCAAGTTGACTTCATCATGCAGCGTCGAGGGCCCAGAGACAGCATGTCCCAGAATGCCCCGAGACATGCTCTTTCGTATTCGATTCATGCGTCATGTGTCGAAGGTGTCGAGGAGGCACCATAGTGGAATAAGATGCGTCTTGACTGCTGGTCTCGACGGTGCAGAGAAGAGCCTGTCTGGTGTTCACCGCTTCTGTCACCGTCGTAGCCGTCGGAGCTTCAGGAACGACACCGTAACCGTGCAGTCAAGTAGCTTTCGATAGTGCCGTTCGTCAATCGCGTGCCGCCCCCGAGATACATTAGGCTACCACGTACACTGCTTAGGGTTCACGACCCTGGGAAGACCACACTCGATCGATTAGACCGTCGATGATTTATCCTCCATTGATCATCATCTACAAGCGCCACCGACGAGACTTCATTTGCTCCACTGTAGTGATTAAATTGGCTTTCCTTTTTTGTACCGAGTACTTGCGTCATTATTGAATCCGTGAAACGCACGCGTTTTTCGAGCTGGTTTTCGCGCCGAGCTCCGTCACACACTCTGTCTCCCTCAAGGCCAGAGACTCATCCAAAATCCGCATCCGGGCCCGCAGCCCACTTCTTACGCTGCCGCGCCCATGCAGCCAGCCTTGCTGCCGGTCGGCGCGGCTCTACGCGTCGAACAGCTCATCAGCTTATGAACGTGCGTGCGGGCCGTCCGTCTTGGACCATCGCTCTCGGCCAGGGCTCTCAGGCTGGAGGTGCACCTTCATCAGCTGGTCAGAGAGACAAAAGGTTGGACCGGCGTTGCCGAAGACATGTCTCCCTGAAAGGCGTGGCTGGCTGTGAGAGTCTCGCCCACCAGCACGATTACTTTTCTTCAGCCCTCAAACATGGACAAGCTGCTTCTTCTCGCCAGCAAACATGCGCACCGGAATGGAAAGGATCACCCGAAATGTCTCACGTATTCCCACGTGCATGCTTCTTACTTGCGTGGACCCCCATCCCGGCGGCCCCTGAGCAGAGCTGAAGAGAGCCTTTCACCGCGTTATGCAGAGTCCCGATTGCGTCTGTCACACTCGAGCCTGCAGGTGCCCCAGAAGGCGCCAGAATTTCCCGGGGCCAACAGCATGCGTGCCTCGTGAGGTGAGCAGCCCGTGTGTGTGCGTCTGGTGCGAATCATTGGACGCCGTTGTGCGCGCATTCAAGGCTTCCGACAACCCACACCACCACCCCCGTTTCCAGGCCGGCTGTCTACGGCCCAGACAAACTGGTTGCTGCTGGCGGCAGCTCAGTGCCACTGGCTCCTGTGGCAAGCCTCGCTTTGCACAGCAGCTGGAGTAGTGCATACCCTCCACATGCAGTTTCAGCGCCGTGCTACTGCTGTTGCTGCCGCCGCTGCTGCTGTTGCTACACACCAGATCGGACCATGCCACGCTGCTGCTGCCGCCAGTCAGTCCTGGGCACGCACTTGGCAGCACCTCCCAGGGTGGTCAGCCAATTGCCGCCGGGGATTCTGCACTTGGCTATCTTCACCTTGTGCGACTTGGACCAACTTTGCCTCTCCCTCACCTGAGTCAAAATCAAGCAGACACGACTTCAAGAGAACGGCTTGCTTGATCAGTACAGCAGTCTCCCGACAGATCCGGCAACACAGGGTCTCTTGCGGTTCACAAGCAAGCAGGAGGAGGTGGTACCTTCGCAGAGACCAACGTCGCTACCCGCCTTCCGCGAATGTCAACCTTTCCAATTCGGGTCTCGTCTCGTCGCTCCTCTGCGACGTCCTCACACGGCATTGCCCATCTGCTACCCCATCCGGCGTTTAGCTCTGGGGGCACCATGGGTCTCTGACTCGGGGGCCTTGCCCCTCCTTTCACGATGATGCTGACCACAGAAAGCAGCTCGCACTCGACTACTGGCCACTGCTATCAGTCTGCTTGGGAGCAAGCGGACGGCTAAAATGGCATTTTGGGCGCATGTCGCGTTGGCCTTTAAACACGGTTCGTGGGATTCGCACCTTCTCGGTGTGCTTCTTCTGGACAGGAATCTCCCCTTGAAGCAGGGCGAGAGGTGGCTTGTGAGAAGTGACAACCTGCATGGCGCTTCGTCCCTGGGAGGGCGGGACGAGCATATGGTTCGCCGCTGCAGCTCGGCGTCGGTGGCCCTGCCCGCGGACGGATTGCACTACCCTCCTGCATATCGCAGTGGCGAGGCTCACTCCAATTGATCAATGGCAGTTGCCTGTCTCGAGTGCCTAGCTCTCCCCACCCAGATTGTATTGGCGTCTAGGCACGCACATCCAACATCCGCGTCGTTGGAGACACCCAGTTCCAACGAGACCCTGTGCGGCTCCGGCCTGCAGTCCGGAGAGATCTAACGACACCAATATCGTCACCCACTTTCGACGTCAGTACACAAGATGACGCTCTATCGGCTAAAAACTTCTCGTACCTTTTCCTGGCCCGAGTCTGTAGCCTGTACGCCCCCGTGCCACGCCATACCTGCACATCAGATGCACCAACCAGGCAGACAGGCTTGCTCGGCTACCGTGTCAGTCGCCTACATGTGCTGTCAGCAAGGCCTCTGACTGTTTGCCTACCCTGTCCGTATCTAAGAGCTGGCTGCATTCCTGATCTGCAAGCGCAGAAGAAGGAAAGTGTCGTCCAGAGACCGCCATGTTCTTACTGTGCACCCGCGAGTGGGTGTGGGAGAGGATCGACAGAGATATATTTCTGTTGCCCCCCGTCCTGAAGGTTTCCGCCCGAGGACGCCCTTCCCTTCCGTCCCACGTCGCCCCGTCTCGTCTTGTCTCGTCCCTCCTGTATGCCTTTCTTTGCCTCTGCGAGCTGGGTGACCTCGGTGCTTGGCCTCGACATTTCTGCGGCCAAGCTTCCATCAAGTAGCATTGATCCCCGCAACGCAAGGGCCTGTTTCTGACGCCCCCCCTGTGTCATCACCGTCGCTTACCTTTGAACGGTGTTGGGCGTCGATCCTCTACCCGACCATCTAGTCGCCTAGCCTTGTGAACCTCACCCTCTGGCTGACTTGTGCCCCTTTTGGGACCTCGTTGGAGAGAGCATCTCAGCATTTTCGTCTCGCAAAGCTTGTACTAGCACATCATCGATACCGCACACAAAATGTCGGTCTACTCCCGCCGGTCATCATCCTCTTCCTCGGGGCGTTCAACCGCCTCCACCATCACGGTGAAATCGACAAACCTCAACGTCCCTCGGAGCAAGTCTCTCTCAGTCGTCACCTATCTTGCCGGCGGCGACCCCCGCAAGCACAAGAACCTCCGCCGGCAGAAGACCACCACAGAGTACGAAAATGGCACCTACGAGAGTACCTCGCAGTACTTCTGGGTGCGAGACCCCTACGAATCCACCTACTACTGGGACGGTGACTACGACGACTACGACGATCGGTCGAGCGTCTACAGCGGCAGCTCGCGCGGGAGCTCGCGCCGCAGCAAGCACGGCGGCAAGGGCCGGGGGATGCCAGCTGCGGTGCCGGTGCAGCCAATGCCGCCCCCGCAGCACCCAATGGGCATGCCGGGGATGGGGATGGGAATGCCACCACCGGGGGCCATGCCACCTCACATGGGCGGGCACCCGGGGCCGATGATGGGAGGCGGCCCGCCTCCGGTCCAGGTCATGGATGAGGTCCTGGACGACGACGACGCCAGCTCCATGTACAGCGGGAGCAGCTACCTGAGCGAAAGCTCCTACGGCTCCCACGGGATGCCTCCGCCGCCTCCCCACATGGGGATGCCGCACATGCCGCCGCCGATGCACATGGGCATGGGCCCGCCGCCAATGATGAGCGGTGCGCGTCCCCCGCCGCCACCACACTCGCACCACGGTGTTGACAACGGTGGCGGTGATGACATGCCCGAGTTTTTCAAGCTGTCTTGAACGGGTGACAGGCGCATATGATGATGAGCGTACGATTTATTCATGTGGACAAACTGACGATACATTGTTTTAACATTTCGCGGGTTGGCGTTGGCCGGGAGGGACAGGCCCATTTGGAAGTATTGCTATTATTGAAAAAACAGAACTGCCATGTCAGTCAAATTGGTTGTTGGTTTCTGGCGTTCTTGTCCCTATTTGCCCTTTTGGCATCATCAGGAGGTTTGGACGGTACTCCTGGGAGGGTGGGCTGGTTAATTTGATTCAAGAGCGATGTACATCATGACTCCTTATTATGAGCTCGACCGAAAATACTAAGCACAGTCAAATTACTGATCGCTTGAGTCGAACTTGATTGCCTTGAACAATCCAACGCGCTGTTACAATATGAATATTCCTCTGCCGACTTCAGCATTTTGGCCCATATCGCAATTACCAAGCCCCCTCCCCCTTCTCACAGCATGTTTGGAAACAAAGCACGAGCACACCCCCGCTCCTTACTCGGCCAACTCTCACCGAGCACATCGTCCAACACCAAAACTTCGAGTCCGAGTCGCCGGTGAAGCGTTCCCCAGAGCCCCCTCGCACCCACCGAGTCATTCACGCATAGCCTCTGGCCCTATCGGCCGGTAGAGGCCAAATGTGTTACGTCCCCTGTTCCGTGGTGGTCTGTTGGGCATCGACGTCGTGCCATGTTCCCTCGCCTCGGTGGTCCAGCGTGAAGGCGGGCATGCGGAACCCCGTTGTGGCGTGAGGAGGAAGGAAGAGGTACGGAACGAGCTCGCGTGGGCGGCCAGCACAGATTTACACACGTGTTCGAGGTTTGGTGCTGCGTGTCATCGGGGCTGGGGGGAGCTTCGGCAGATTGCGTCGAGGACTTGTGTCTCTGTGTGTGCCCCTGATGGTTCCGTGTACGCGATATGCTTGGGATGACGGGGGGAGGGGTGAGTATATGTCTGTATGCGCACAGATGGGGATGGCTGTTGATGTGCGCAGCTAGAAGTTGCGAAAGAGCTCGAGTTTGCAGTAATGGCTCTTTGGCCATTGAATGTACACATCTATTTGTCCGCATATTATCTACCGTGATCTAGACTCAAGACCGGCGGCCGCTCACAACTTGGGCTTGAGCCCGCCCATCGTGCCGTCCCTCCTCCTGTTCGCCTCGGGCCCGACGCTCTTGACCAGCGCCACGAAGTCGTCGTCCATCATGGCCTTGGTCCGCTCGTCCGTGCCCTCCGCCCACCGCCTGTACTCGTCCTCCTCCCGCCTCCAGCGCTCCCACTCCCCGCGGATGAACCCTGCCGCGCCCGCGGCGACCTCGCCGGGCTTCTCCATGGCGACGAGGTGGCCCGTCCCACCGACGACGAGCTCCTTCACCCTGCCGGCCCTCGCGCCGCCGCTGCCGCCGACGCCGTACCCCGTCGTCTCCATCTTCTCCCGCCGCACCTCGGGCGTGCACACGACGCTGTCCTCGCCCGCGACCCACAGCACCCCGGGCCGCAGCTCGGGCAGCCTGCGGGCGGTGATGGGCGTGGGCGGCTGGTAGAAGGGGAAGCTGGGGTAGTTTTCGACGTCGTCGGTCGCGTCGGGGATGAGGCTCCTATCAAACGTCTTCGCCCCCGTCGCCGGGTCCCTGGGCCCCTGGTGAGTGGGGCGGTAGTACGTCAGGCACTCCATGTGCTTTGTGCTCGTCAGCGTGACCTCGCCGCCCTTGGCGCCCGGGTGCAGCGCGGTCGGGCAGTCGCGGAAGCCGAAGCGGACGAGGCGGTCGACGGCGCGCGGGTCCCAGGTCGAGTAGAACTTGTTCTTGCGCACCCCGCGCTCGGCCTCGGCGCGGCTGGGCCAGACGTCCCTGCGGCCGGCGGAGGCGCGCAGGGTGCCGAAGCCGTAGAGGGGCCCCAGGCCGTGCTCGCGGGTCAGGACGGGGTCGACCATGACGAGGGCGGAGAAGAGGCGCGGGTGCATGAGGCTCACGTTGGTGATGATGTTGCCGCCGAAGGAGTGGCCCACGCCGACGAGGGGCCGGGGCATCTGCGCGCGGAAGACGTTGGTCAGGTGCAGCAGGTCGCGCGCGTGGTCCAGCCACGACGGGTCGTTGCCCAGCCGGCCCTCGTTCAGCACCCCGCTCGCGCCCTGCCAGGCTATGTCGGCCATCCAGACGGCGCGGATGTTGAGGCCATTCTGGCGGACGGCGCGGAGGAGGTCCTCCCACAGTGGCTCGTATAGTTCCTGTGTTGATGATTGCGGTGTTAGTCGGTCTTGTAGGTCTGAGGTGTGTATATTGTGTGCACGTGAGCGAGTGTGGTGAGTGAGTATGTAGTGGTTGAGCAAGGGAGTGAGTTTACCTTGACAAAGCCGTTGGCGTGAGATGCGATAATGGTTATGTCTCCTGGCTTTGGGTTTGGGTTGTCCTTTGGGATGTACTGTTTTACAGCGAGCTGGAGCACTTCCTCCTGTGAGTGCGCAGTTGCTCGAGGATATTCCCGGACGTGTTGGGCGTCGACAACATGCTCCTTGATGTCGAATAGAGTTGACATTGTGTCGTCCCTTGGCGAGTTGGTTATGGATGATGCGAGAGAGCGGCGCCGTCTCTGCGTCCTCTTTCCCTTTGTCTGACCTCTTGCTCTCTCTATATGATGAGTCTAAGTGGTTGATTCTCTGTATATTCGGATTTAATTCATGAACTTGGAAGGGATTCTTGGAACATATCTAGGAACACCAATACAGGCCTGGTCAACAAGAAGCAGTGTCAAGTTCTCGGTACTTTGTCCAACACCCCGGCAAGTGAGTCGCAAAGAGCCGTTTACCTCGGCGCAATCAACCCCACGGGGACGGGGACGGGCAGCCCGGCCATTCCATTCCCCCCCCCCCTCTTTCATCCCCCTCCACTCCTCTCCTGAGGGTTTTGGAACCCTCTCCAGGTACGTACCGTACCCGAGGAGCCTCGAGATTTCCAGGGGTGATGCTGTCTCAGACAAAAGCCATGACATCACCCCCTGAGCTCCCAATTCCCCCGAGAATTGGAACCATCGCCCAAAAAAGCCCAAGGGCAGGCGAACGAGATTGGACGCAATGAAACCACATCCAGCTAAGAGCGTACGGACGGCTCACTTCTTACTGATGCACCAGCCCACTCCCGCAATGGGGAACTGTACTCAAACATTAGACCTCCTTAAATAATACGAAGTACCACGGGCCTGTTCCACGCTCCCAGCCCTCTGCTGCTGCTCCTCGGCCCCTTTGTGTGATTGACTAACGGACAGTAACACGCACCACATAATCGACACAACAGTCTATACCGTAACTATTCCAGGGAGCTCAGCTCGACCAGCCCTCGCCGGGCTGTTGACCAGGTCGCCGCCATGAATAAGATGAACACGGCCACTGTTGGGCTGGCCGTAACACCCACTGTGCTCTCGACATTTGTATCACATGTACGTTTGCTGCACCGCGCGCGCGACAGGGAAGAGGAGAAGGACATTGGACCAGAGCACCACCGCCCGAGAGACAGGCATCGATCGAGCTTCTTGGCTAACAAGACCAACCCGGGTAGTTTCTCAACCGCAAGCCCTTACACCAACGCCCGACGGCTCATCTCTCCTACGACGAGGGCCTGCACCTCATCCGCTCGTTCCTGCAGTATGTCTCCCACCACACCGTCGAGGAGCTGCAGGCCTTCACGGCCCAATGGGTCCCGCACCCGCAATGGATCAAGGTCGACGACGTAACCGTCCCTACCGACCAGCTCGAACACGCCGCCCGCCTACTCGAAGCCCAACTCGGTCCGGAGGGCATTCGCAAGATCGGCGGGCGCAAGTGGTGGCAATGGCGAAAGCCCGACCCAGGCACGCTGAAGGCCGAGTGGATCGAGATGCGTTCGGACTACAACGACCGAAAGAAGAACAAGGACGCCGGCAGGCGGATCATGCTCTATGTCCACGGCGGCGCCTACTTCTTCGGCAGTGTCGACATGCACCGCTACCAGATGCAGCGCCACGCGCGGAAGCTCAAGGCGAGGATATTCGCACCCGACTACAGACTGTCGCCTCAATTCCCCTTCCCTTGCGGCCTACAAGACTGCCTGGCCGCATATCTGTACCTTCTCACCGTGCAAGAACCGGACACAATCGTGCTGGCGGGCGATTCTGCCGGGGGCGGCATGGTGCTGTCCATGCTGGTCACTCTGAGGGACCAGGGGTTGCCGCTCCCTGCTGGTGCGGTGCTGATGAGCCCTTGGGTTGATCTTACACACTCTTTCCCATCGGTAGCAGGCGAAGCTCCTTTCGACTATATCCCGCAGTCTGGCTTCCACCACAAGCCATCACCAGCATGGCCACCTCCCGATGATGAAGAACTGAAGGAGCTGAAGAGGCTGGCTTCGCTGGAGAAACAGAAGAAACAACGTACGTGTGAACGTTGAGCTGATGTGGCATGACCGGGACTGACTTCGAAACAAGCTCCAACGCAGGGCAAAGACCCGGAATCAGAGCAGACTACGCCGACGAGTGCCGATATCGCTGAAGCCTCCGGGACACACCTGTCCCTTGTCATGGATGGCAAGACGGTGGAGATAAAGGAACAAATCCAGGCAAGCTGACCCTCACTACTGCGGTGTTGATCACGTCTAACTGGCTGCAGATGTACGCAACCAATGAGCTCCTGTCACATCCTCTCGTCAGTCCAATTATGCAGGCAAGTCTTGGAGGTCTGCCTCCGCTCCTAGTTATGGTCGGTGGCGGAGAGATCCTCCGAGACGAGCAGATATATCTCGCCCACAAGTGCGCCAACCCGTCCAAATATCCGCCGCCCGAGTCGGCTCTGGACGACAGAGGTCGGGAGCAGATCAAACAGTACAAGCCGACGGATGTGCAGCTTCAGGTCTGGGACGACCTATGTCACGTCGCCCCGACGCTCAGCTTCACCAAGCCGGCAAAGTACATGTACCGTTCCGTGTCCCAGTTCAGTGCTTGGGCACTGGCGAGAGCACAAAAGCGGGATATCGACATTCTGGATGACGACGACATTTCTGTCATATCAACCTCAAGCTCCGACTCGGATAAGGAAGAGGTCACAAAGGTAGGGTATCCACTTTTGCTTGGCCATGGACATCATCTAGCTGACATGCTTCCCACCAGCGCGACGAGGAGGCCGCCATGCAAGAATCTAAAGGCCAGGTTGGCAAGGCCGGGGACGTTCTGCCACCATTCAAAAGCCACATGATCCGGCAGCGAGTGACACGGCACGGCGTCATCTTCCCCATGGCTCCAGCCTCTGAGCTCCCAGGTTGCACAATGCCAAGAGAGCTCGTCGGTGTGGTAAAGGAAGGCACCGTAAAGAAGTGGCTCAGGCAGAAGAACGAATGGGACCGTCGTTACGCATCAACCAAGAAGAAAGTCCACAAGAAGTTCGTGCAGGACTTGACCGTTGGGTACGAGGGCTTCGGCGAGGGGGAGTTGCCGCCTCCCAGTGCGCTCGCAGGCAGGAGGAAGAAGGGCGACAAGGAGGTCACAGGGGTGGCCAAACGTGCCAAGAGTGTGGGACTAGCAATGTGGTCTGGCTGGGGGTCGAAGCACGACAAGATGACCATGGATCGAGAGGAAAAGGCAGAGAAAGACGGTCCCGACGGAGTCGAGTTTACAGCCGCGACTGCGGCGGAAGGCGAGGGCGCGCGGTCGTACGCTGAGATTGAAAGACAGAGTACCGCGGCACCGAACTCACCACCACCTGGGAGCCCCAGGAGCCCTAGGAGCCGCTCGAGGAGGGTGACGGTCAGGGACGAAAGACAAACAGAAGAGGCGGACGATGTCGATGAGAACACCAGTGTTGCGCAGCTACTGGCCAATAGGGAAGACAAGGAGGCGAAGAAGCCGGTGCCGCTGCTACTTACCCCGGACTACACGCCAGAAGTAGCGATAGGGACAACAGGGAAGCGCCCTTATGTGGATGGCATAGCAGTGCCGTTCAGTATTAAGAAAGAAGCGGACACGGCGAGCATGATGACGCTGACGAGCTACATGACGCACGGAGGCGGGCCTGCGTCGCCCAGGCTCTCGTCGTCCCGGCCCATGACGCCCAACACGCTGGCGGACAGGACAAGCAAGGACTTGAGCGAGCTGGAAAAGCGCAACTCGAGCGTTAACGGCGACCACGACGAGCACGTCGTGCCTGCACACGTCGACGGTGCCACGCCTGCGACCCAGACGCCCGCGATGGAGAGGCCTGCTCTGGAGACGTTCAGTACTGCCGCGGAGGAGCTGCCGAAGGCGAAGGGGCCGTACAGCCCGAGTGATGTGGACTGAGAAGGCGGTCCGGGTGCAAAATTGTCGAAAATGGCGGTTTGGAATAGTACATATACGACTCAATAGTATTCGGTACCATATCATAACATAGCGGGACCGCCGCAAGAAAGTGTGCGACCTTTAATTAAATATTTGAAATGAGACAAGGCCCGACAGCTCGCATGATCGAGCCTGCCTGTGGTATTATGCAAGATGCAGATTACAGCTACGGTTATAGTCCATAAAAGATAGCATATTTAGCATTTTACTGCATGCATACTAAGGAATATATAGAATGTCTCCCTATCGTGTACGTCGTTCAGGCCCTTCTGCCGATATTGCCACAAGTAGCATTCAGCAGTTGCAACAGCTGTTCTCAGGATCCAGGCGGACGTCCGCGGCAACCCACGGCATTTCTTCGCCGCCGCCAGCTGTAAGGATCATGCTGCCGCCGCGGTCGGGGCATGCGAGATAGACCTGTGAAGCGCGCAAGATACGTTAGTTGCTGCTGCCACTCACGTACACCAGCACCAGAATCCCAAGACAAGCAATTCAAGAGAGGGTTGGGTGGAAGGGGTATTGAAAGGGGTTTTCCTTTCTCTCTCTCTCTTTTTTTTTTTGTTTGTTTTTGGTTCTTCCTTGTTTCTCTTTTTTTTTGGGGGGGGGGGGGGAGACATCAGCCAACGGCCACCTCTATCCACACACACACATAGCAAGACAGAAAGACACTCACCTTTTTCAGGAGGTCGAAGCAGGTCCCAGACGACAGAAACCACGGGTCCAAGCCGTACAAGCTGTCGATGTGCTGGATCGTGACGAGGAAGCTGTGGCCCGCGACGTTCTCGCAGGTCCTGACGGCCTCCTTCCTTGGGTACTCGCCCGCAAGCTTCGTCTTGTCACAGACCCGCCTGAAGGCCTCGTCCAGCACCGACTCGGTCCCGACGTCCTTCCACTGCTGGCCTTTGTCATAACAGCTTGCCCCCAGGGCGGTGCCCGCGAGGAGGGGCAGGATGATCAGGGGTAGAGTGCGCTTGAGTTGCATTTTTCGGGTGAGATGGGGATGCAAAGTTGTGTATGTGTTGTAGTATTAAATCGATCAGGTACTCGTCAGATAGGTAGCCTGTGGCTCTTTTCTTCTCCGGTCCGCATTCCACTTCCTCAAAGAATGCGTAGATAAGTAGGAGAATGAACAAAGAAGCACATATCATGAAGATTCAGAGCGGACCACGGCACCTGGATTGTTGATTGAAAGCCAGGGAAAAGGGGACGGAATGGCTCCGTGCCGCCCAGCGGAGGGCGCTTCCACACTTCCTTTGTCTGCAACGTAGACAGGCCAAGCACCGCTTATCAAGGTGATCTTCATCATGGAAAACAGTTTGAGAAGGTCTCACCCGGATATTAAATGCATACAAGCCAGCACTAGTGTTGCAACGCCGTTGAGGACTGTCAGACCAGTGAGGCCTGCCAGGCCATACCCGAGAACCAGGCCACCAAGGCGAACGTCCACTGCCATTCCAACAATAAATGAGGCCAGTATGACGGCCCAAATGATTGGAACGATGGCAGCGAGCCCAATTGTGACAAGTTGCTTCCCAAATGGGTCCCAGCCCGAAATTCTCGACATGATAGTCATCGACCCCTTGACCAACAACAGAAGCAAAGCGACTAGCGTCAGAAGGAGGACGGTCACTCCGCAAAAGTCGTACAAGATGTATTTTAGGTCTTTCAGACGCGTCTCCATACTGAGGATGCCGCAGGCCAGGCTCAAAGGAAGAAATATGCTGGCCAAGATCGTTAGCATCGAAAGACGGTTGGACTCTCCAATGCTCCGCCGCATTTCGAGGAAATGAAGGTGGTGCGCCAAAGTCTTGGGAATGTCCCCTGCCTTGCGCCGAAGGTCGGAAGAGAGCCCTCGCAGGTCGGCCGCAACGGTGTTGAACTCCGGAGCACCGTCCGCGTGTCCTTCGAAGCCGACCCCGACAACACCGAGCAGGGCCTCGAGCGTAGATGCCAGATCTTCAGCCATGGCCTCGAGCTCCTTGAAAAAGTTTGTGTCGGTGATGACCTCGTCCAATAGGTGAGGCAGCAGTTTGAATTTCCCAGAATCCACCCTCCACTCCCTAACCTCTTGGTACATCCACCGGACCTCTTCAAAGCTTCGTGTTGTGTGTGAGAGATGTACGTGGTGAAACCAGAGAAGAAGGACTTGTTTCCTTCTCTGGGAAGTGTTCGCTTTTCTCAAAAGCGGCTGATAGTTATCCTGGAGTTGTTCAAAATCAAGGGCGAATCTTTTCAGAGACTCGAGTACTCTGGCGCTGGCTTGCTGACTGTTGTCTGTGATGGGATGCATGCCAGAAAAACCTGAAGACTCCCACGTCTCCGAAGAAATGAGTACTAAGACCGCTGTCAGTGAATCAAACTTCCTCATCAACAGGACAGCAACTAAGACTTGCTTACAGATGAGTTTATCGCCACTGTGCTCCACGGTGGACACCTTTTTCACGCTGATAACCAGTCCCGGCGGATCTTGTCCACTCAAGATAAAGTATGGTGCTTCGAACCACGCGTTTGGCTCCGGAGTTCTCCATTGGAACGACAGACCATTGTATCCTCGTGTTGCTGGATGAGCATACGTGCGGCGGGTTGCATCGGTGACATCTGCGCTGAAGTAGTTTTTGAACACCTGTGGGCCGAGACCCTGTTCGATATATATCCTGACGCTCCTCTCCCCTGAATCTGAAAGCTTCGCTAGGAAGTTATCAATTTTGACTTGAGGTTGGAGCTCGCGCGGCCCACGCAGCCCCTGCAGCCTGTGAGGCTCAGGAGACTCAGGCCTGATGGCTGCGATAGCTGCGGCGTCTTCCGGCATTCGTAGCAACGCAACATCCCTCATGCGCCCGTTCTCATCAAGTAGCAAATCAGATATACGAAGGTAGATGTCCCGTCCATGGAAGACGAGGCGCCTCTGGTTGTCTGGGTCGTAAAATAATGGAAAAGCGCGCAGATTGTCGAGTTCCTTGAAGCCGAGGTCTATGGCGGAGGATACAGCACTAAGTGCCCAATTAATAAGATCCATGGCGGTGGGAGGTTCTATATTATTCCGTTGGGTATGAGAAAAAGTTTTAATTCTGGGATGCCAGAGGTAAGACAAAATAACGGATGAATATTCTTCAACTGAGAATCGACTTCAGAGCTGGGGAGGGGAAATATGCATGTCAGCACATGCAGGTTAGCCGGGTCTGAAGAGCCCGATGCTGTGGGTTAGTGTTGTGCAACGTGACGAGGATAACCTCGGCCAATTGTAAGAGTCGAATCAAGACAGCTCCATCTCAGAGCCCAGTCGTCCTTTCGTTGGGTCCCGAGATGTTATGTTGAGAAGACCAAGAAAAGATCATCCTCCGGGCGGATGGCTCTGCGGATCCTCAAGACCAGTCAAGGGGCGACGGGGCTGCTGCCACCTAGCGTAGCGCTGCAAAAAAAAAAAAAAAAAAAAAAAAAAAAAAAGGGTGTGTGGAATGGCTACAGCCTCAATGTTCGAGGTCGTCGCGGTGTCAGCCAGATCGCACTGGTCGCAATCAACCAGGCCCTGACGCTGGCGATTAGCATGCACATTTCCAATAAGACTGAAGCAGATTCAAGCGATGACAGACTGTCAGTTGGCCTTGGAATGGAGGATCGGGAGAAAGAGGAGATGACGTGTGCCTCTCTTTCGGGAAATTGTGTCACTTGCAGAGGTGGCTGAGAGCCGTGGCGGCGGAATAGAACTCCCCTGGGGTCCTGGGCATGATCAGATCCCTGGCAACGTCAGGGCAGACAAGCTAGCACGGGAGGCACGAACATATCCAGAAGGGCTTAGCAAAAGTGGTCAGGAAGCAGGATCAAAAACCAAGGGCAGTTTTACCTCACGCGGGTAAGAGGAAGGGCTTCTTCGGGAAAAGAAGAACAGATGGAGCTGGGTACCACGGCAAGTTGCTTAGTATCATCAGATCGGTTGCATTGGCTAAAAAAGCCCCAAATTACTAGATGACATCAATGGCCAAGAGCAGCCAGGGTGTGCATCCTTGATCATTGAAGAGGGATATATCTAAGGTAGAGCTTTGCATCTAGAAGCGTTGGAAATTGCCAATCCCCATACAACATGACTGAATATTGCCTCAGTCATGTCGGGCATGCCGGACTCATTTGAGGCCAACTTCTATAGTACCACCGCGAGATATACCATTGCATTTAATACACTATGTACATGATCCACTGCTATCGCTTTACGAATCTACACTGGGAAGCTCGCTCGGGGGTGCTTTATACCTGTTCTCCACTCCCAAACCATAGCCACCGTGGCTCTCTAGTTCAGAATGGGGCCCAAAACTCCTCCTCAGCCGAGTATCTACATGCGTAGAGAGCCTCGGGGCTACCTGCGCCCGTCGTTGAATCTTCTTCGACCGGCGCATCATGAATATCCCTGTAGCCAAGGTGGCAAGGCCGACAACCCCCAACCCGACGCCGACGCCGATGCCAACTGTGTCCCCAGTGCTGAGCGATCCGCTGTCTGTGGGACACGAAGGTGTGCCATTTGCCGGGGCTGAGTCAGAACTGCCCGTCTCCGCGGCGAAGATCCAGCCGTTGATGTGAGCGGCTAATACCGAGGTGGTCGTGTTCGTGGTCAGTGTGGTGGGACTCCATTCCTTGCGCTCGTTGCTAGTCTGAACAGTGAAGGTGAAGCCTGGGTCGACCCCGCTGTAGCATTGCCCCGGAGTTCCGTATGTTTGCCAGGTGTTAAAAGTAAAGCCTCTGGGACAAACGTCAGCAGTGCGGCATTCCCTACCACGAGGTGATGGTGGCTTACGATGGACAACAAGCCACCCTGGTGCGAGTCTCGTCCTCGACGTGCGTAGCAACCTGTCTGAAGGCTTCGGGACAGGTGAGGGGTCCGATGCTCACGACAGTCTCGGTGTTGGTTCCCAGCCAGTCTTGCGCCCACCACGTAGTAACCGCCTGCGGCACGCAGCGCAAGTTGCGGTTGACGCTGATGCCGTACCCGGGGTCCCAAGCGACAAGTTCCGAGTCAGAAGCCCAACGCCAGAACGCAGAAGTGCAGTCCTCCACATGCATACTGTAGGGAGTGTTGAAAGGGATCCAAGAAGTCACGGTCCCTGTGCTGGAGTCAGGCGACCTGTAGACCCTGGTGGGTACCGCTGGAGACGACATTTTCTAAAAAGAGTTGAACGACAGAATGACGGCTCCTTTCGGAGGAGGAAGCATAAGCCAGAACCCGACCGCAAAAAGACGCACTCGCGTGAAAACCTCTCTTAATAAGAAAGTAATTCTCACCGTTCCACAAGGGATAAGCCTCACCGTCAACTGGTGGGCGGGAGGGTGAGAAGCTGAGCTTACAGAAGACCACAGTCTCGGTGCCGACGAACCAAAATTGCTACAGAGCCTCCAAGCTGTCCCCGAAAGATCCGGACATCTGCAGTAAGCGTCGAAAACACAGGGAATTGACTCGAATTTCCGGTTACACAAGCGCCGCCGCCAATGCAGTGTTCAAATACAATCCCCGTGAGCGCCCAACTGCACTTCGGTCGGCCCCCACGACCAGTGTTTCCACCTACACAAGCACCTGAGCCGGCAAAGGAGCAGGCAACAATATGGATGATCGCGAGAAAAAAAGTAAATAGTAACCATGGAGGCAGCGCCAGAGAGCACACATGAGAAACAACTAAAAGTTTGTTACTTGGCAGTGAGCAGCACAATATTATATCAGCAACAAAACGGCAAGTAGGTGCTTATGCTAGCACCAATGTCTGCTGCCAAATTGATGGTGAAACATTCGTCGCAAATAAAGATGGGCAGTATATATATATCGTTGGCCTCGCAAGTCCTTCTCTGTCCTAACAACACATCTCCGTTCATTCCCATTGCCTCTATCAGGAGAAAAATCACCGCTGGAAAGAAACCACAAGCACGGCAGAATAGGCCGCGCACGCTCCGAAGATCTCCAACCGGCTGGCCGTGGTCATCACCGCCAGCGACCCCGCCAAAATCACCGCGAACACCACAATCAAAACCAGCGTCAGAGACGCCTGCTCCTGTGACGTGTTGTAGAGCGCGAAGATTGGCACGAACAGCAGAATGGCGGCCGCTAGAGTAGTGATGAAAGAGGCCGTGAATCTGACCCGTTCGTGTGAGTAGTACTTCATCTGGGACGGTGAAAGGTGAGATATGGTAGGTAGGGGGCGTCCTGCGAGGTACGAAGGAAGCAAAGGCGGTGGCTTTGCCCTGAAGAGCCGCGACAGCCTGGTTCGTAGCAGATTGGTGAGCAGGTCGAGCTCCGCTGGTTTTGACAGAGATATGTAGTCCGAGGTCCGGATTTGTGACTGGCTCATGTTGGGCGGATAAAGTGAGGAGCTGGCTCCACAGAGAACCGAGCAAGCTGCTGTCTTGGTCACAGTATCAGAGGAAGTTGGCTCCAAGACTCCATGAAAATATCGGGACATGGCTGCCATTGTCTGCGTGGACGGGGCTGACATGGAAAGCAGAATCGATCCTTGTATCAATGCCTCTCGGTAATCTTTCAACGTCGAGCGTATCTTCATGGCGAGGTCCATCCTCTCCTTACACAGGTCATCAATATGGTGGTGCGTGCCATTTGCGGACCCCTGAGCCCGTGTTGTGGACTGAAACCTGGGAACGGCGCGCTCAAAGGTGTCCCAGTCCTGAGCGCAATCTCGGATCCTATTGCGCTGCTCTTCTCTGTCATTATCAGTGCTGTCGACACGTAACCTGTCGTGGATGTCCAATTCGTCTTGCTCAGCTTGAAGCTGCAACAGCTGGCTCTGGTAATAAGCCAAGTCTCTTGTTGCGAGTCTGTCAAAACGCCGGTAAACCAAAGGGCTATGCAAGTGCTCCGTGTCGGTGGCCATGAAACTGGCCAATGATCCGAAGCCAGAAATGTAGTTGTATTGTAGCCTTTCCTTCTCCGCACCTGGATCCATGATTTGTGTTTGTTGTTGATACCTGGCTAAAAGTTGCCAAGATATCAGTTCTTTCTAAAGGTATTATAGTTGTATTTAGTCTTTTGATGGACTTCTGATGATTCATGCTCTCCTAATCCTTGTGAGACGAAGCTTCATCACGATGACTAAATGGTTTGTGAACAATGACACTTCTTCGTTAAGCCTGTGAGACAAAACTTCGTCACAATGACTTAACTACATGTGTACAAATACAATTTTTGGATCAAGCCTGTGAGGAAATTGCCCCAGGATGTCTTGGCATAAATTACGGGACCGTGTACAGCATGAGCAGTACTGGCCCACAACCACACTTACGCCCAGTCACAGGGCACATCGATACGATAACTGTGTGACCGGAGGCCTCGTGTAAATTCCTCGGCGAGAATCTGAACCTTGTACTCATCCGCTCTACTGGATTCAGATAAAGTCTGGTTTAAAGGACAAAGCCCAACTGTGAAAATTGGCACTGACCACGGGAAGCCATTTTCGCCAGTGATGCTGTCATCAACCATGCAAAAGCCGACAAGAACACCACATCAAGTGGTTATAACAGGTCGAATGCCAAATAAAATACGATGTGAGGAAATATTTCCCTATGCCAGAAAATACTCTGTGTGTTCATCCAAGACCTGTTGACAAGCGAGAATCAGGAACGTTTGGGAGCCACCTGGGAACACATCTCGCTGAGCGTTTTCATTTTGACCATCAGGTTTACTACAATGAAAGTTGTCGAAACGTGTGGATGAGATACTTTGTGTATTGGTTGAGGCTTCCACCACGTCCATCGTCCATTGAGGAAAATTGATACACAGGAGGTTGTATTCTGATTAACGGACCTTACTTGGGAGGTCCGAGTGAGACTGTGTAGCAAGATATCAATATCTCCCCCTCTCCCCGTCAAGTTATTCATGTCACAAAACAACGCACTACACTTGTAACCCTCAATGGCGTTTGATCTGAATCTTATCTAGCATTTTAACCAAATCTTGTGTGTAGTGAAATTTTCGAAATATACAGGCTTTCCATTATACAAAGACCTCAATTTACCACACCTATACCAAACCTGAGACAAAATCAATTTCGTCACATCGTACAGACTCGAAAAAATGACGAATTGATTTAAGATTTGCTCAGCTAGTAGAAAAGACCCTCCAATCAGCTGTGCTGCGACTCAAAAGCAGCTAGCTCACTCTGAATGTATGCATACAACTGCTCCTGAAGATCGTGGTTCTGGCTTGCTTTAGAACCACACTCTGCCTTTCCAACCGGACCATAGTACTGCCCACTCTTCGCATCTGGACTGACAGCCGCCCAGATCTGTGACAAGGCGCCTTTATCAACCGGTGTGGCGAACAGCTTGACGGCAGTATATAGGAAAGGCCGGAGGAAAACCCCCTCGGAGGCATGGTGGAGGTCAGTAGCCACCGTGCCAGGATGGACGGGGACAATCTTGACGTGCGGCTCCCGCTCGGCCAGGGCCTTGGCGTAGTGGAGGTCGGCCAGCTTCGATATGGCGTACCTCTCGGTCGTGGCGCGGTTGGACATTTTTGTTTTGAACTCGCCGAACTTGTAGATGTCGCTCGGCGCCCGGACATGCGCGGCAGACGAGAGCATCACAACCCGTGTCTGGGGATTGACATTGGCGGTTTCGCGCATGATGGGAAGCAGAAGTTGAGTGAACAGCGCGGGGCCTACGACGTTTGTGCCGAATTGGGTTTCGTAGCCGTCCTTGGTAAGTCCTTCCGCAGTCATCATGATGCCGGCGTTGTTGACGAGGATATCGAGACAGGTCTCGCGGCGGAGGAAGTCGGATGCGGCATCTTTGACGCTCTCGAGGGATGCGAGGTCGAGCTTTAGAAAGACGATGTTTGTGGCTTTCTGCTTAGCAGCCTGGAGCTCTCTGATGGCCTGCTCGGCCTTCTCTTGCGACCTGGCTGCGAGATAGATACGAGCAGCATTGTGGAAGCTGAGCTGCTTCACTGTCTCGAGTCCTAGGCCCGCGTTTCCGCCCGTGACAATGATGGCTTGATCTTTGAGATCGGGAATATCTTTGCTAGTAAAAGAGGGCATGATGACAGAATAAATCCAGGGACATGAAGGGATTACGAGGAAGACGAGACGGGGCTGGGGGGACAGACGCATCGTAACGAAAACAGCGGCCAGTTGATTTAATAAGATAACCATCAGGACTGAAAGCCTTTACTCTCTGGAGAATACCGAGGTACACGCACCGCCGAACTTGGTTGGTCACACAGTGATCGTGACAGACGTCTGGCACGAGGTCCAACTGTGGGTCTGCCACAACCTAAATGGGAGACAGGGGCGTAAGCATTTTGCATATTGGCACGGGCATCCTGACCGCACCCTTCAAATCCCTGTGTGACATGGGTTGCGTTGTCGTGCCCAATTGGTCGTGACATTGCACTCATTCATATAGTTCTCGCAGTAGCCACGGACGGAGCATTCCAGGAGGGCATCTGTTCAGACCACGCTCAGCACTACGAGAGAAGGTACCGACAATTTAAGGCATGTGGTTCTGTTGGTGTGATACTTCAACAGGTGTCCTGACCGGTGTTATTACTAGAAGCAGACTCGCTACGTGGCGAAGGCCCAAACTCCCGTTGTGGCAAAGTTTTCCTTCAAAGCATGCACGTCGTGAGAAATTGCAGAAGAGATCATCAAGCTCGGTGAGAATGACCCGCTGAATATCCTTTGACGTCTCTTTGACCTACAGCAGTGACCTATCTATTCAAGCGTCAACCCATTTGGTCAGCGACCATAACGACGCAGAGCACATGTGCCGTGACAAATAACACATTTAGCTTGTTCACTGTGTTTTCATTCTTGGGCAGCTAATCACAATCCCTTCTCATCCAACATGGCGAGCGCGAATGCATCAATCAGCCTTCAGAACCCTTTTGCCCTGGGATTAGATCGAGAGGTACTCTAGAATTCAAACCTCTGGTTCACAAGTTCTTCACTCAGCGCCCAGAGCCTCTCCGCCAGGGCCCTGTTCCTCGCAAATGTGGCACATGAATCGTTGTCCAGCTTGCAGTCGGACAAGTACACGCCAGTGACATCAACAACGCCGGTGTCGACCGGTGGTAGGCCCGGGTCGACGGCAGCAAGAACCGTGGAATTGGCACCCTGGTCGGGCGTCTTGGACGAAGAATCGAAGCCAAGTTCTTTGACTCTTGCCAAGGCGGTTTCGATCTCCCGTGGGTCGGCGTGTCGGTTGATATTGGTGTCGACCGCACCAGGATGGACGGCATAGGAAGCGATGCCGTATTTCTCTCCAAGCTTCTGGTTCAAGGAAACTGAGAAGAGGATGTTGGCAGTCTTGGATTGCCCGTAAGAGGAGAAGCTGGCGTACGCCTCGTTGGACCAATCGTTGCCCGTCAGGTACTTGGCCTTGTCAATATCGGGACGTTCCTGTTCGGGGAGCTCAGACGCCAGCTTGCTGAAGTTGATATCCGAGAACCGGACGGGAGAAAATTGATGCCCATAAGAAGAGACATTGATGACCCTGGTGGGTGTTTTGGAGATTTCAGAAGCCTTGATAACCTTTGGCATGATAAGATTCGTGAAAAGGAAATGGCCGATGTGGTTTGTTGCAAAGGTCGTCTCGACATTATCCTCGGAAAATGTCAAGGTAGGAATCGCCATGACGCCAGCTGTTACGGCACAAGAAAGCCTATTGTATTAAACACCCAAAAGAGGGACGTTGTAATGCCGAGAGCATTACCGTGGCTATCACCTATATAGCGCATACTGTAACACCAGCGTTGTTGATCAAGATGTCGATTGCAGGGATGTTGACGTCCTCGTTGATCCGCGTCGCGGCAGCACGGACAGAAGTTTGGGATGACAGGTCCATGAGTAAAACATCATACTTGGCCAGCGGATAAGCCGATCTCAAGGAGTCGACTGCACTCTGAACCTTCTCAGCAGATCGCCCGGATAAAATGAGGCGGCTGGGTTGTTGAGATGCCAATGCGACAGCAGTGGCGAGCCCCAAGCTATTGGGTGAGACGCCGGTAATGAGAATGGTTTTATCACGGATAGACTCCGGGAAAACTGCAGCGACCTTGGTGGCCGAGATCAAGGAGTCGAATGAAGGCATGGTGTCAGCAGCAGAAGAATAATACAGAAATGCGAGACTTTTATTTCCCTCCACACTACACTGGCCTTCTTCTTATAGAAGACCGCCGAGAGCACTGCTCGTTTACTCTTGTCCCAGTGTGTCCAAATTCGTCGAAAAAGGTTCACATCGGTCTTAAGCCTAGTTCCGGGCCGCCCTGCGTGGCAAGAGACACATTATACCAATAACATGGGGTCTTCCGTAAAGCAACCTCAGCCCATACTTCTTCAAACCAGTGACGATATTGAACACCAGTTTGGGTTCACAGGGATTGGAGTGCCCGAGCTTGTGCAGGACTTGGGTCCTCGGCAACAGAGGCATGTTCAGTGAAGGAAAAAAAAAAAATAGTCCAGGTCTGAATACGGAATTGCTTACGCCCCGCCCCTGTCAGTAGCGGATCATGGACCACAAATTCCTCTTCGGCCAATGGCTTGCAAGACAGCGGAGGTTGAAGATGGGGCCCTTGCCAAGGCGGTCCCGGCGTGGTGGCCGCATGCACCTACGGTAGTGCAAAGGTATGGTGCATGGATGTCCCCACTGACAGGCATATGGATGGTTGCAGGGGCGCAAGCAGGTCGCATGAGATCCGGTGCATGCGAACCGACCGAATTAGCGTGCATGCGCCCTAGCTCCTTGACCCACTTGATGGTGATGGTCCGAGGCGAAGATGAAGCCGCCTCCCAGATTCTGACTTGGCGTGCCCAGTCAGATCTATCTTTTTTTCTTCTGACACTGACGCATTGCTCACAGTCTTTACACCTTAGCAAGTAGCAATGGCCCCCCAAGCGTCGGAAATCTGGGACCAGGGTGACGACTGGAGTGGAATTGCCAGCTCCATAGAACGACGGCGATGGCAGAACTGTGGAAGGCTATAAGTATCGTGAGGGGTTTAAAAGCATAATTGTAAAAGCGTTTGTCTCCTAAGAGTAGTTTAGAAGGAGGAAATAAAAGAAATTTGGCTATTTAAGCATTTTAAAAAGTAGTTGCAAATTAGGGTTAGGGATGTACATACAATATACCCCTTAATTAAAAGTAATTCCTACCTTATTAATTACCTTATTTTTTAAGCAACTAATTTATATTTAAAAACATTAGCTATAGCCCGCTAAGCGATTAATTATTTAACCTTTCTTATAATATATATACTTTATTACTTAAACTTTAACTACTTATAATTTTATAATATAGCTTATAATTAATAATTAAACCTTTTTTTTAAACTTTTTAATTAAATTTATATTTAAAAATATTTACTTTTATTAATTTTAAGCATCTTTTTAATTATATTAAAGATAATTAAAAGTAATAAAAAATAGGCTTTTAAGCCTTAAGTTATTTCACTTCCTTATACTCCTAAGATTTAAAAAAAGAAATATAAATATACTTAAATTAATAAAAAGCTTATTAATAAAAATAATAAAAGCTTTAATATTCTTATTAAAATATTGCTAAATAATATGCTTAAAAGTAAGTTTCTTAATTAATTTAAAAACTAATTTTAAAGCGTATATTAATTTTTAATATAGCTTTAAAGAACCTTTAAGTATATATAAATAACTTAAAGCTTAAAATAAAATATCTTTTTAAGGAAAAAATTAAAATAAAATATAAAAAGAAAAAAAAAGGATATAAAGAAATTTAAAAAAATTAATAAGCATTATATTCCTTATTTTCCCTATATTAAGAGTTTTATATATAATTATAATAATAATTCTTATATAAATTATAATAATAAAGATAATTATTATTATTATTATACTTAAGGTAATTTTTATAAATTACTTTTAATATTTTTTTTATTATTTATGCTTTATCTTTATTATACTTAATTTAATAATTTCTTAGCATTTAAGAAATCTTAATATACTTAAAAGAAGGCTTTAAATATATATAAATATAAAAAGTTTAGTTTTATTTATATTAATTATATTTTTATAATTTTTTTAATATTTAAAAAATCTTTACTTTATAATAATAGCTTTTAAAGGTTATAAAAAGTAAGTATAAAGATATAATAAAGCATTTTAAAGTTTAAATTATAATTACTTTAAAGTAATATAATAAAATTAATATAAAGGCTTAAAAGCTTTAAAATTAAGTTATTAATAATATAAAAATTATAAAAAAGTATAAGGATTACATTATTATTATAATTAAACATTTTAATTTTAAAGGTAATATTAAGAAGTAAATATTATTAAATTTTAGTTTAAAATTATAATTAAGAATTTAATTAAAGGTTAAGAAAGTTTTTTAAAAAAGTTAAAAGATTATTATAATAATTAAAAGAAAGTTTTAAATTAATTAATATATTATTATAAAGATTAAAAAGTAAATTTTAATTATAGAATAATTTTTATATAAAGATTATATTATAATTTTTAAAAAGTATAATTTTTAAGATTTTTAATAAAAACTTAATAATAAGAATAATTAATAAATAAATTAATTCCCTTTTATTATTTCCCTTATATTTTAAAGATTTAAGAAAGCTTTAAAATATTTAAATTAAATATATAATAAAACTTTAATAAATTTATTTATAAGTATTTTTTTAATTTTTAAATATATAATATTAAAAGTACTTTTTTTTAAATTCCTATTTTAATTATATTTATTAAATATTTATATGCTTAAGCCTTATTTTTAATTATTTATACTTATTAATAATTAAGTATATAATTATTTAATTATTACAATAAATAATTCAAGGCTTGCTTAAATTTAAGGTTATATCTTTAAATAAATATTTTAAAACTATTATTTCTTTAATTATAAGCTTTAAAGTTAATAATTTAGCCTTAATAATTAAAATAAAAATAATTACTTATTTATATACTTTTTAATATATAGGGCTCTTAAAAAGGGTTATTATATACTCTTAAGAAGATCTTTAATTTTCTTTATTATTAATAAATAAAGCATCTTTAATTATTAAAAGCGCTTAAGCTTTTTAATTCCCTTTAAATTATAATTTAAGAAATTAAGTAATATATAAATATTAAATTATATAATTTACTATCTTAAGGTAACTTAAACTTAAATTTATAAGGAATCTTAATAATATAAAGCAAAGAAATGCTATATTTAAGTATATTATAATTATTATATAAAGAATAAAGTTAATTTTTTCTTAAAACTTTTAAATTTTTTATTTTAAGGCTTATTTAAAAAAAGGCTTAAGCTTTTCTTTAAATATTAAAGTAAATAATAAAAAGTTTTTACTTTTTAATAAGTTATATTTATTTACTATTTTTTTAATATATGAGTTATAAAAAAGCGTTATAATATACTTTTCTTAGTTTTTAAGAATTTATATATTTAGGAATTATTAAGCCTTTTCTTAATTCTTTATTTTATATATAAATTTAATTCTATTTTTAATTCTTATAAAGAATTTATATTTATTCTTAAAATATATAATTAAAATATTATTTATATAAAAAAGAATTGCTATTTTATAAGCTAAGCTAATAAAAAAATATAGCTTTTTTAATAAGGGTTTTAAGCTTAAATTTTATAATATATAGTTAAAATCCTTATATTAAAGAAATAAGGAGTTTTTAAGTTTATAAAATGCTTTTAAAAGCACTTTATATTTCTTTAACTCCTTAAATTTATTAAATAATTTATAATAAATTTAATTTAATTCTTTTTAGCTAGCATTTAAAAATATAATTATAATATTAAATTATTAAATCTTTAAATTAAAGTATATAATAATTATTATTATTATATAAAATGATTTTATAATTAAGATTATAATATATATATTTTTTATAATAAAATAAAGTTATAAATTTCCTTAAATATAAATTTATATCTTAAAAATTTAATTATTTTATCTTTATTAAGCTTATATTTATATATTTATTTTAAGGATAGCAGCATTAATTTTGCTTTTTAATACTTAATAATTCTTTAAATATTAAGCTTAATAAAGCTTTATATTTCTTAATGCATTACTTTAAGCTATTTATTTTAAAAAAGGCTTTTTTAAGCCTTTCTTTATATAATTAGTTTTAAAGGGAGATTTTTATAATATTATTATATTAAATAAGGCTTAAACTTAATCTTAAAGGCTTAAATAATAGCTATTATTATATTATTTAAAATTAAAAAATATAAATTTTTAAGTATTCTTTATTTTTATTTTTTAAGCTAATTAAGTAAGAAAGTAATTATAAAGTTACTTTAAAAGGTTATATTAAGGTAAAATATAATTATATTTATTAAATATAATAATTAATTAAAGGATTTTTAAGAGTATTTATCTTAATTATATACTTAAAAAGATCTTTTTATAAGTTTAAACTCTTAAATTTATTCTTATATTTTCTTTATTTATATTAATTAAAAGGATTCTTAATTTTTTATAGCTTTAAATATATATAATTTTTAAAAAAAAAGGTTTAAGTTTATTAACTCTTACTTTATTAATAAAAGTATATTTTTCTTTGCAAAAGCCTTATTTTAATATATTTAGGGTTCTTTTAAGACTTAAAAGTTTTTATTTTTAATTTCTTAAGCTTTTTAAAAAGGTAATATATAATAAACTTTACCTTTTAAATTTAAGAATCCTTATCCTTAAGTTTTAATTAAAAGTATTAATTTTATCCTTTTTTAATATAAAATAAGTATTAAATTTATTATTTAAATTAATTAAGTTATTTTTTATATAAAGTATTAAAAGTATAATATAAATGCAATTTTAAATTTCCTTAATATTAATAATTTTAATGTTTAATAATTTTGCTTTAAGAGTTAAAAAGTTATTTTTTACTTTATTTATTATTAATTTATAAAATATATCTTTATTAAATTATATATTTTTTATAAAGACTATTTACTTAAGCAAAGGAATTTAAATTTAAAAAACATTAAATGCTATATAATTAATTAAATATTTAATATAGGCTTTTAATTCCTTCTTTATAAGGCGTTTTTTTATATTATTTTTACATTTCTTTTTAAACATATATGCTTTATACTTATAAGCATAAATACTACTTTAATAAGGCAATAAATAAGTTATAAAATAGTAAATTTATATTAATTTAAATTATTAAAAATAATAAGAAAACTATATATATAAAAAAGTATTTAAAATGCATTTCTTTTTCCTTAAAGCAAGCAATATATTATATAATTAAATTGCAGCTTATATTGCTTTTAGCTAAAGGTTAAAAAATAAATTAACCTTTAATAGCATAATTAAAGTATATTTAATTATTGCTTTATTAGTTTTTTTCATAGCATTATTTGCTTTTAAGGTTTAAAGAAAAGTAAGTTTTAAATTAATACCCTTTTATTTTACTTATTTAATATATTTAATATTTATAAATTAGCTAATTATTATAGCCTTAATAGTTTATTTAATTTTATAAATATTTAAATTATATTACTATTTTATTTAGCTTTTATAAGCTTAAAAAGTATTAAATACTTATTCTTAAGTCTTTAATATAAAAAGGAAGATATAAATAAATCTTAAAAACTTATTTATTATTATAAGCTTATAATTTAACTTATTTAATGCTTATAAATAATAAAAGAGGTTTTATAAGATTTTAAAAAAAAGTCTTAAGCTTTTGCCTTTTAATAATTTATATTAAACTACCTTTTTAGCAAAGGCTTTAAAGCAATTTTTATAATTAATTTATTTAATTCCCTTAAATTTTATATTTTAAGTATATTAAATTAATAATTTAAAAACATTAACCCTTAAGTATTTAAATTAAAAATATTAAAAAATTATTAAGTTCTTTTAATCCTTATTTAAGTACTAAAAGGGCTTAAAAGATTTTATTAAATTTATTAAAAAAATTATAAGCTTATATATATTTATAATATTTATAAATATTTATAATAAAAAATAAAAATAAGGAAATTATAATAATATATATTTAAGAAAGATTAAATTATATTATTAAATAAATTTAAGAAAAATAATACTTTATTTAAGTAATTTAAAGCATAATATTAAATTAATTTTATAATATTAAATACTTAATTTTTATAAAAATGCTTTTAATATTATATTAATATAAAATTTATTTATAATTATTATATTTTTTAAAATTAAATCTTTAATCCTTTTTTATTTACTTTATATAATATATTTTTAAAGCACCTTATTTTATAACCTAAAACCTTTAAAAATAAGGTTTTTGCTTTAATAATATTTATCTTAATAGCTTTTTTAAAGGTACTTAAAATTAAATAATTAATAAAATTAATAAAATAAATAGCATTATAATTATTTAAAATTATACTTAAAGATAAAAAATATAATATAAAATTTAAGGTTATATATATTTTTAAGGAATTAATTATAATTAATAATTATAATAAATTAATTAAAGTATAAATAAATTAATAAAAAGTTAATAAAAATATAATAAAAATATTATTAATTAATTAATTTTTTAAAATTAAGGTTTAAAAAAGCATAAGTTTACTTTATAAAGAAAAATAAAATAAAAGGAGGAAATTAAAATATTATCCTTTAATAACTTTTAAAAATGCACTTAAAAGGGTTTTTAATATTTTTAATAAGCTTTATATTTAATTTTTAAGTAAAAGGTTTTTTTAAGTAAGCTTTTAAATTAAGTTTTTACAGCAATTTTTTTATAATTATATTTTAATTTTATTATATTTAAATTTTCTTAAAATTATTTTTAGCTTTAAAATTTATTTTCTTAAAAATATAAAATAAAAGTAATAATAATTAGCAAAAGGTTAAGTATATTTCTTTTATTAATTAATTCTTTAATAAGGGCATTTATATATTTTATTTTATTAATATAATTAAGATAATGCATTTTTATTTCTTAATTACTTTCTTAATTAATTACTTTTTATTTTAAAAGGTACTTTTAATTTTAATATAATAAATATTATAATATTCTTAAAAATTAATATAAATTTATTATAATATAAAAGTATTATTAATTCTTTAAATAAAGTTTTTAAGGAATAAATAAGATTTCTTAATATATTTTATTTAATAAGTTCTTAGCGCTTAGAAATTACTTAATTAAAAGTAATATATATTATAATTACTTATAAAAAGTTATTTAAACTAATAAATTCTTTAATTTTAAATAATTTATAAATATAAGCTTATAAATATAAGTTTATAAGTTTTAATATTATTATTATAGTTTAATACTTAGTTTCTTTACTTTTTTTAAGTATTGCTAATATTAAGTTTAAAGGGTATTTATTATACTTAATTTAAAAAGTATAAAATTATTTTTAATATTTTAAACTATTTATTAAATAAAAAATAATTTTATATTTATTCTTAAATTTTTTATTTTTTATTAAATTTAATTACCTTATTAAAAGCTAAGGCAACTTATTATTAAAAATATTAATTATATCCCTTTTTTAATTTATTAAAGAATAAGGAAGAAAATAAAGTAAGTATTATTTTATCTTTTAAAAGCTTATTATTACTTAAATGCTCTTAATACTTATTATATAAAGCCTTTTAAATATTTCTTTTTTTCTTTTTATGCTATATAAATTAAGAATTTAGTTTTAAGATTATATTTAGTTACTTAATAAGGGCTATATTTAATGCATTAAGGTTTATAAATTCTTAGCACCCCTTAATTTAATAATAAAACTATAATATAATAAACTAAGTAGGAAAGGAATAAATATTTAAATAAATTACTTAATTAATAAGGTTTAAAAAAGCGTTTATAGCTATTATATAAATATATATTTAAAAATAAAAGGAAATAAATAATAATATAAAATAAATATAATTAAGATATGCTTTGCATAACTTATTTATAGCTTATAAAAAGGAAAGATTGTTTTATATAAATTAAGCTTATAATTATGGAAGGCTATAAGTATTATAAGGGGTTTAAAAGCATAATTATAAAAGCGTTTATCTCCTAAGAGTAGTTTAAAAGGAGGAAATAAAAGAAATCTGGCTATTTAAGCATTTCAGAAAGTGGTTGCAAACCAGGGTTAGGGATGTGCGTGCAACAAGAACCGGCTCCACCAGAGAGCGTATCGTAAGTACTGGCGCCCTGCGGCGGCGAGAAGATTCGACGACAGCGCGCTTACCAGCAGCATCAAACCCAGGGGCTAAGAAGCGCCTGGAGAAATTCCCTAGTCCTCAGCCTGGGATGGAACGGGATTCGTTGGCTGTTGCTAGTCCGAGTGCTCGCACCGTCACTGATGAGGACTCGACATTGTCACTTCAACATCAGTCTCGGCCTGCCACGGCCACACCTGATCAGCTCCCAATTTTACTCTTGGTCAGATGTACCGATCTACACGATAAGATCAGAGAAATCCTACAAAGGGTCTCCACAAATTGGGGCCTCAACCTTCTCGCGCCTCATGATTTGCCACTCGTCACCCGGCTGAACACCTTTGACGCCCTGGCCCGGAACGCTCTTATGCTACGCATCCCTCTTGAGTACCTAGAGAGTGACGATTACTCCTCCGTATTCAATTATCAAGGCCCTCCCCCACCTTCAACCGAGCAGCCGAGCCTGCCCACAAACCTGTGCCCGACGGCAGGCCTGCAGAAAACAGTCACGCACCATTCCTGGCTGGGCCTGTTCCCTACCTACCAGGGGGAGGGTTTTTTTGTCAACATTGCATCAGTATGGCAATGAAATAGTGACATAATAGTGACATGCAATCAAGGTTTTAACATGCTTGTTTTATGTATGTCTTGCATTAGATATACGTTACTAACATGTAATCATTCCAGACATGATATGACATGATGTTAACCCTTAATATAAGGGGTAAAAAAACCCTTTTTTTTTCTTATCCCTAACTTAACTATTTATTTATTCTTTATTAGCTTAATTATTTATTATAAAAGCATTTATAAAATTATAAAGATATTTAAAAATAAAACTAAGTTTAAAGTTAATAAGGTTTAAATTAAAGCTTTTAATATAAATTTATAATAAATATTAATTAATATAAAGTTAGTTTTAATTTATAATTAATATTAACATAACTTAAAGCCTTAACATAATTTATTTTTTATAATATTTCAATAGCTTTTATTAATATTTTACTATAGTTATGAAATTTTAATTCAATGTTAAAATATGATTGTATTGCGTAATCTAGTTAAAAAAAACCCTTCCCCCTGGTAGGCATTCCCAGGATGCGGGATAACATACTACGAGGCATCAACGTCGGTGAGTATGACGAAGATATTCTGTGTGATACCCTCTGTTGCGATCTGTTGAAGTTTGACGACGACACCAACGCAGCTCTCGTCGTCCGGGGAGAGTCACGGGATGCCACGGGGTGGGAGTTCAGTGCCGAGTTCTTTACAAGATGGGGTGTGTTGCTTCAAGGGTGTACTGAAGTGCTGGAAACCACCAACTACTGGCAACAGAGGAGGGAGCAAGAAGACTTGAATTTAAACTGAATTAGTCTGAGCCTCGAGGTCACACATATACCATTCACGGCGACCGAGACTTTCCACGGACAGTGCGCCATGTTAAGGGGCCTGTGTAACTTTCGAGATGCCTACTCATCCGTAATTGTTACATCGCATCTAGAACACTGAGTCCTACAAGGCCAGGGGCCCCGGTGAGAAATGAGACACATTATTCGTGAAGAATAAAAGGACGGAAGAAAGCAGAAAGTACAGACGCAGACCAATCAGTAGAAGCCATACTTAAGTATGGGGCCCTTGAAGGTGGAGATACAAATGCAGGCGACAGGCCTAAATCTCCATAGTAAGTACATGTAGCAGTGGGCAGGGACTACCTGCCTAATAATGCGAGACAGGGGCATAAGCAAGCCACATTAGGATGTATATCCCTTTTGGGGAAGTACTCGAGAGACCCATTCGTAAGGGATGGCGGGTGAAGACAATATGAATGAGAGAATGTGTGCGGAAGAGGTTCTAGGTAGGCCCGGCAGGTCAGCTCTGCGTTACAATCACATGTGGCTGACATTATCGGTACAATATTAGTCAACTGTAGCATTATGATGCCAACCCGGCTTGAAGATCCGCCTGAGGCAGCCAGCAGACCTCATCCTTGATCCCAAGCGGACGAGGTATGTCGCAAGGAGGTACCCACAGTCTTGTAGCAATGTATAGAGAACTCTAGAAGATCTGATATCTTCAAGAGCCCTACCTATACTATATAAGGTTAAAAGAGTTTACTGAATGTAACAAGGAAGGTCTATTTAAACCAAGCTTCTACTATTAAACAGTGGTATATATTAATTTACAATCTCAGGGAACAGAACAACTATGTATGGCGATAATTCTCTGTTATATATAACGAGGCCTGTCAGGGATTAACGTCACGTGAGGCCCTTCGGGCCCTTTGGGCCTTAAATGCTAAGAGAATAGATATTATTTAAAGGCTTCCGCGCAACATATGCGCCCTTTTAAAAACTTAAATCCTTAGGTTTAATTATATTCTTATAAGCTAAAAAGCCCTTAGGCCTTATTACTTTACCTATGCACATTATTCTTAATAATTTAAATTTTTGCCTCTTTTAAAAGATAAATTAATAAGGCTTTAAAGCTAAAAAAACGCTATTAAAATATTATAAAAAAGTATTATTTATAAGAATATATTAATTATTATAAGAATTATATAATAAAATTCTTATTGCTTTTAAGTAAGTTAATTATATATAAAGTTATAAAAATATTATAAAAGCGTTATATATAAATATTATTTATAAAGATATTATTTATAAAAGTATTATAAAAGAGTTTTTTATAAGTTATATATTTATTTTAAGCTTATAACTTAAAGTTATTATATTATGAATCTTTATATAAAAAATAAATTATATAAGCTTAATTAAAATAATATAAAATAAAATTATATAATTAATAAGCTTTAATATAAATATAAATAAAAAGCAAACCTCTTTCTTTATATTTTAAATATAAACCTTTATTTAAGTACCTTTTAATAAATAACCTTAAGCTAACTTATAATATATATTTAAAATCCTTTTATATTATAAATTTATAATATAATTATATAAAACTTAATATAATAAAACTTAAAACAAATAATAATAGCTTGCTAAGCCCTTTTTTATTTTAAAGAACTTTTATTTTAAAAATATATAATAACTTAATTAATAAAAATAAGGATTAAGTTTATAATAAATAAGGAAGTAATTAATATTAAAGGGGCTTAATTTTTTTATATATTTAATTAATTAAGAATTTTTTATAATTAATTTGTATTTTATATTAATTTTATATAAATATTTAAAAAATAACTAAAAACTTTTTAAAGAAGGTTTACCTTATATTTAAAAACCTTTTTAAGTAAAAATATATTAAGCTTAGCTTAATTATATTATAATAATGCTATAAAAAAGGAATAATAAAATTTCTTATTTAATTTAATTAATTAATTTATATAATAAAAGCTTAAAGTTAATTAAATAAATATAAAATATTATTAATAATTAATAACTTAATCTTTATAATAAAAGTTTAACTTAATTATAAAAAATAGCTAAATATATTTAAAGCTTTTTACTTTACTTTATAATAATATAAGGGTGTTTTTAACGTTATAATAAAGAAAAATAATACTTAATCTTAAAATAATAAAATAATAAATATTAATATTATAATAATTTTAATAAGTAAAATTAAGTATTTTATATATAATTAGCTTAGTTATTATAAGTATAATTATTTTAATTATTATAAGAAAATAAAAATATAGCTTTTATTAATTAAGGTTAGTAAGGGAAAGGAATTTATTTAAGGAGATATAAAATTTTTTTATAAAGTAAAGCTTAAAGTATTATTAACTTAATATTAACTTAAACTTAAAGCAAGCTAGCCATATATTAGCTAATTTAATATTATAAAACGCTTAAAATTTAAAAATTCCTTATTAATAAAGTAAATTATTTATAATTAAATAATAATTAATTATAAATTATATAATAAATCTATAATCCTAAGGTTTTAAGTAAGGGAGCTTATGCAAAAGGCTTGGATTAAAAGATTATAAAAATGCTTTTAATTTAATTATTAGCTTATGCTTAAATAACTTTTTTTTTAACTTACTTTAATTAATATATTAAATTATAAGGGCTAAAAATGCATTAATTATAAGAAATAAGCTAGGCTTTTAATATATTTAAAAAACATTAAGGTATAATTAAATAGCTAAGAAAAAAGCGATATTTAATTTATAATTAAATTATAATATTCTTTATTTTTTATTATATAACTATATTTTAAAGCTTATTATAAAAACTTAAAAAAGGAAGATAGATTATAATTTAAGCTTTGCTTATTATAATTAATTAATAAGCTTTAGCCTTATAAGAATAAGCTTTAATATAAATATAAACGGGAAGCAAACTTCTTTATTTACACTTTAAATATAAACCTTTATTTAAGCACTTTTTAATAAATAACCTTAAGCTAGCCCATAATAAAGCTATATATATAATAAAAATATTACGTTATAATAATAAATATAAATCTTTTTAAGCTTTATATATTTAATTATTATGCCTTAATAAAAAAAGCTAATTATTTTATATTAAATAATATTATTATTTTAAAAAATATTAAAAAAATATTACATAAAATTAATAATTAAATAATATAAATAATGTAATATTATACTTAAAAAACTTTATATTTAATTTAAAATTATTAAAATTAAAATATTATTAAAGATATTATTAAATATTATTATATATTATTAAATATTATTAAATATTATTAAATATTATTAAATATTATTAAATATTATTAAAAAATTATAAAAAAGTTATTTATTTAAAATAAATATAATATAAAGTTAATATAAAAAAGGTTATTTATTTAAAGCAAGGTTATTTAAAATTATATATTTAAAGGTATTTATTTAAAGTAAAAGTAATATAAAAAAGTAATAATTTTAAAATAAAGTAATAAAAAAAAGTATATAAATAAGTTAAAAAGTATAAAAAGTAATAAAGTAATATATATAACTTATTTAAAATTAATATCTTAAAAACTACCCTTAAATATATTATAAAAATAATATAAATATATTTTAAAGGTAATATAAAAGTATTTTAAAAAAAGTATTTATTTATAATTAAGTAATTTAAGATATTTACTTAAAGATATTATAAAGAAATAATTTAATAAAAGTAAAGATAATATAAAGATATTATAAAAAAGCATTATAATAAAGTTATTTATTTAAAGTAAAATTATTTAAAGTATTTATTTAAAATATTTATTTAAAGATATTATAAAAAAGCGGCTTAATTAAAATAAAAATAATATAAAAATATTATAAAAAAGTTAATTATTTAAAGTAAGGTTATTTAAAGGTAATATAAAAAGGTAAAGATAATATAAAGAAGCTATTTATTTAAAGTAAGGGCAATATAAAGATAAAGGGCTTAAGATAAGCTTTGGAAAAAAAGGGTAGTTTATTAAGGATTAATATTATATAAGCCCTTTAGGCCCTTTAAGCCTTAAATGCTTAGAGAATAGCTATTATTTAAAGGCTTTTACGTAGCATATATACCCTCTTAGAAACTTAAACCCTTAGGTTTAATTATATTCTCATGGGCCAGAGGGCCCTTGGGCCCTATCACTCTACCTGTGCACATTATTCCTGACAAGGCCCCAGAAGCTAACGGCTGGATCTGGTCCCTTGCGGGCTGGCCCATGCTAGCCACTCATCTAGGCTGTCTTGCACTCCAAGAAAAACTCTGGGTAATGCTTTGCGGGAGCAAATGTTCAACGTGGAATCATTCCCAAAGTCGGTATGAATTGTTTGGTGGTGGAAGTGCTGGCGTTGAACATAAGCGTTGACCTCCAAACACACTTTAGAGTTGAGATCTGAGACGAGAATGCCCGCGGCATCTTTGGCTGATTCATTGAACGCGGAAAGCATTGGTTAAGTTAGGCTGTAGCCTTGAATTTCCTATTCGAGATGTGCCGTGTGCCAGTCGGTCTCTGAAGAAGCAGAGAGCTTTAGTAGTGAACGGAGGAAACAATGCGTTACAAAGAGGTCATAATATTTACAAGCTCACAGTCTTCTCACATAGAACAATTTTCAAAGCTTGAAAATTGCATTTGAGTTTGAATCAAGTGTCCCATGGCATGCCTCCGGACAACCTTGGTGGCTAACTAGTTATTTATTCAATATGGCCCAAGTACCTTGATGACCAGCCCGACAGCATATTTCTGTAGAGGGTACCATCAACTTTCTCCTCGGCAATTTTAGGTGCTACAGTTTGAGTCATTCGACATTTGTAAGTCGATGTCCTTAATTTCAGTGGAGTTTAACCCATGGCGCATTCCATAACCACTGACGCTTGACGTATCCCGACCACTGCTGCCTAACCACTGGCTTGATCTTGAATCACTGCCATGAAGCCCACCCGCCCAGTCCTGTCAAAAGCCACCCAAGACGTACTGGATTCTGTGACACAAGCGGAATACAAAGCCTGAGCTCTGAGCTCTTGTGTACAAATTCCGTGTAGCCGAGGGTATGGCTTCAATGATAATCCCGATGCAGAGCAGGGAAAGGCTAACAATCTGTAGGGGAGGGATTACTGCACGACCTCGTACGCTTGTATTCCCCTCTCACCTATGTTGAACATCCACACAATGGTATGTGCGAAAATGTATTGAGAGAAGAGTGTGATGTGTTTAGTGGCTGATCATCTCTTGGACAGTGATCCTCGTCAGCCTGCGATACCATTTCGGACTTGGTGTCTTTTGTAGTGATGCTGACCAGTCTGAGAACCAAGGAAATTGCCCACTCAGGCCATGATACGCTACACGTGACGCTGCCGAGCTGGAAATGCCGTATCAGGACGAGGTCGCTCGTGATAAATGTGCTCTAAGTGAGGCCTTGGAGGAACTGCGAGGAAAACTGTAATCTCGTTTGAGGATTACAATGCTAGGGCCTGAACAATGCTGCGCAACATCTGCTAGATTTGGCTGTTGAGGCTGGCAAGGTAGAGGAGAGTAGGCCGATAGAACGGGAGTCCACTGGGGATGTCCATGAGCTGAGTTGACATCTCAGCCATGGCTGGGCCCACCCTCTGAAATGTTCATTGTGCCCGAGATTTCGATGCTTGTGTTTGGTGATGGTCAAACAATACTGTCTTGTTGCAGAAGAGTGAAGCCAAGCCTGGCAAGATGACAGCTCGGGTATCCTGTGCTGCCTTTGATGGGGGCAGCAGAGTTGCCAAAACAGAGACAAGTGCAAGTTTCTGTGAAATATTTCTGTCTGTGATCACCAGCAGGGAGAAGGTCTTTGTTCTGGAGACTTTCTAGCAAGCAAACCAACTTGACAAAAATGCACGGCACATCATGCCATCCACAGCTACATTGTTCAATCACACGGTTTACTCTCTTTGCCCAAGAAGCAACCATGAACTGGAACCACTTGGTGAATGCTCAGTCAGCAGCACAATGAGCATACTGAGAAACAGACTGCCCACTCGATCACCCATCACTGCTGTCAGGACTAATTGTGAATGGCTTAACAACCAAATTCGTACTGTTTGGCGAGAATGAGACTCCTCAGGTCCCATAGATGTATCCTCGGGCTCCTCGAGTGTGGTCTAGATGTGGGAAAGGCCGGAGCATCCCGGGACTTTAATTTCCACCCTAACCGGGTCTTGCACGGCCCATCCCTGGCGCCGGTGGCCTCTGTTTCTGTCTCTTTCCTCCCGCTTCTCCTCCTCATTCTTAATGATCACAAACAGCCACTTGATGAGATGGAATCGTTTCCATCACAAAAATCAATAGGATCTGGGTTGCCTGGACGTGTGGATTTGTGGTTATGGGGCGTCTATTTGATGTGGAACAAAGCATGTCAGTCAGTCAATGCTGGGCGACGATCAGGGGCGGGCCTTTTGGCGGGTCAAAAGTTCCTGGCCCCCATTTGACAGCGGCTGCACAGGGCGACAAAGCACATTGTAGCGTGGCAATGTGTAAGTGGGATCTGCTGAACCTTGGAATTCCGGCAGGGCCTAGAGCCCCCCAAGGCGTTGCCTGTCGAGTTCAACCTTCGGACGCAAGCCAGCAGAGCACCTGGTTTTTTTGTAACCTTACTTTTCTCATTTCACTTGTCGGCATTTCAACGCTGGTGCAAAACAGCAGTGCACCATCACTTTCTCTTTCAGACTTCCATCCCTTCGCAGCTCAGACTGCGTTACAAGAACACGTCCAACAAGTAGATGACGAAACCACCTTCAGCAATAGCTGAGTGCACCAGAAGAGCACTTTCAACACGCACCACTCGTTTGGTGCACCGCCCCCATCCCCCAAAGTGAAGTTGTGTTTCCGGTGAGGCACGATACTCTGATCCGGGCCTGGGCCGCTGCCTTGTTCTCTCAACGTCGACGACAAGACTTCAGCCCCATCAAAGGGACATCATCCCAACACACTTCCTCCTTCGAATCCTCCGTCATTTCTGATTCTCTCGTCTTCGATTCTCCCTTCCTCTCTTCCCTCCGTCAGTCTTCTCCACCCGCACCTTCAATTTTGTGGCCACCGCCGTTGCGTTTAGGCAAACTTTGAAGTCAAGATGGGCAACCTCAAGCCCAAGACGGGGGTTTCTCAGACCTCGCGTCCCCGTTCAGTCAAATCAAACAAGCAACCCGTCGCGACCGTGTCTGAAGTGGACGGCATTGACGAAAAGTACGCCATCGATGACCTTCAGGAGGACATTGAGCACGGCGTTGCCCACCCCGTCAGCGCCATGGCCGAGCTCGAGGAACGCGTAAACGACCTCGACAACGCCTGGGAGTCTGAGTCCCTGCTTGCCGACATGCTCGAGGGCCTCTCTGACGAGAACATCACCAACGGTAAGCACCCACTCTCGTGACTGATTCCAAACCATGACGTTTCCACCCGCTTGTAGGGCAACCCTTTTCACCTTGCCGGGATTGAATTAGATGAGACCGTTGGCTAACTGTACTTTGTCTTTTCCTGCTCTCAAGACCCCGAGTATTGCACCCCAGAGGAGGCCGTTAGTTACCGCCAACTCCTCCGCACCTTGGGACCAGAAGAGCTCATCAACCGCACAATCACGTCTGGCCTCATCACCGCCAAGAAACTTCTCAGTGCCTTTGATGTGCGCCCGCCTGGTCTCGACGGCCAGCCTGACTCGGTCTATTTCGACCTGTTGATACTTGCCTTCAGCCGCGAGCTCTCCAAGAGAGCCAAGCTGCAGCAGTACAACACCGTCGATGATGCCGTCGCCCTCCTCAAGAAGTCAAAGAACATCATCGTCCTGACCGGCGCTGGCATTTCTACCTCGCTGGGAATTCCAGACTTCCGCTCCAAGGGCACTGGTCTCTATTCCAAGCTGGAACACCTCGGCCTGAACGATCCCCAGGAAGTCTTTGACATCTCCCTCTTTAAGCAAGACCCGAGCATCTTCTTCTCTGTCGCCCGGGATATCATGGTTGAGACCGAGCGCTACTCGCCAACGCATGCCTTCATTGCGCTGCTTCAGAAGTTCGGGAAGCTTCTCACCAACTACTCTCAGAATATCGACAATCTGGAGTCCAAGGCGGGCATCGACCCCAGTAAACTCATCCAATGGTGAGTCACTCTCTCGGCTGATCCATTGCCACCTGTCAACAGCATTCTTGTTCCCTTGCTCTCTGCGTGCATGAATGACCCATACACATCTCCATGACGCAATCTTCATCTCGTCTAGTAAGCTGCTGACCGAGCACACAGCCACGGCTCCTTCGCAACCGCAACATGCTTCACCTGCTACCACCAAGTGCCAGGCGACGACATCCTCCCCGACATCAAAGCCGGCAAGATCCCCCGCTGCCCCAAGTGCGGCATCCCCCGCCGTGGCACCAAGAACAGCCGGAAGCGCAAGCTGGCCAAGGATGGCACAAGTAGCCGGCCTCGACGGCGGCCCGGCGATTACGACAGCGCCAGCGACTCCGAGTATGACATGCCGTCCAAGGGCGGCATCATGAAGCCCGACATCACCTTCTTCGGCGAGGCGCTGCCGGACGAGTTTTCGAGCCGTCTGGTCGACCACGACCGCGACAAGACGGACCTAGTCGTCGTCATCGGCACCAGCCTCAAGGTCGCCCCCGTCAGCGAGCTGGTGCCCTTCCTGTACCCGCACATCCCTCAGATCTACATCAGCCGGACCCCTGTCAACCACCACAACTTCGACATTGATCTCCTCGGCGACTGCGACGTCGTCGTCGCAGAGCTGTGCCGCCGCGCCGGCTGGGACCTGCGCCACGAGATGGTCCCCGAGGACCAGGTCGTCGACGTCGTCACCGAGTCAGGCTGGAGCAGCAGGCACATCTTCACTGAGAGGCGGCGCGCCGGTAATGGCGACAACCATAACGGCAATGCATCAGCGGCGGCGAGTTCAAGCGAGAACACTACCGAAGCTGCCGCGACCCCTCGCAGTGACGATATAGACAACGCGGAGAAGTCGTCCCGGCCGCGGAGGGCGGCTAGGACCGCGCTGCCGACCAAGGCGCCCGGGAATCATGCCCCTTCGGCCGAGGGACCTAGTCTCGCCAGCCGGACCCGAAAGAGCCGCAACTCAGACGGGGAGGACGCTGATTACACGGGCAACTGAGGCCAGCAACTCTTCAATCATGGGTATCGAACAGAGTGATCCACTTCCAGGACAACAGCCACACCTCGGGACAGACGGAGCGGGCCTTGTGTGTCTGGACCGCGTCGACTCGGGAGGGCTGGTTGGCTGGGCTGAAGCCCGAACTTGGCGGGCTTGGCCGATCACCCAGAGGCTGCATTGCAGCATTGCGGTCGATCATCGCCTCTGAAGTACGTCGACAGGGGGATAAAACCCGGCCATTCACTTGCCATCTTGTCGTGCCTGCGAACTCGGCTGCCTGCAACCGCGGCATCCTTCAAAAAGACTAGGTTTGATTCTCAGTACTCCGCGGGGAGAACATGCAACACGACGGGAACAATTCCCAATCTCATCGGAGCTCATCCGCCCCCAGCGGAATTGGAAAGCAGTCTCTCCAGCAGGGCACGAGACGTGGCTGAGACTTCAACTTACTGGTTTTCTCCTTCGGCCAAGAGAAGGAAAAAAAAAAAAAAAGGTCTTAGGTGTTTGCCCCCTTTGCCTTTCAATATCACCAGGCGTTCAAAGAAGAAGGCCTCTCCTGTTTTTAATTTCAGTACACACTGACAGACGGTACACTTTTCTACTCGCGTAATCACACGCAAACGCAGCCCACCGGGCTCGCTTTGCCTGCTTGTCTTGGTACAAATGACAATACTAAAAAGAGGAGCACAGGCGTTCCAGGAAGCGGAAAGGGCGGCTCGAAGGAGAGGGTTTGCGAAGGGCGTTACAGGGTGATTGAATTAACGGATAGGCACTTGTCGTGACTATACAGACGGACAGGTATACAGGCAAATAGGCACAGACAGAGTGAGAGGCAGATTAATAGAGGTCCTGATAATACACGTTCGCGAGATGGCGAGTCACTCACTGTTCGTTTCTTTTCTTGCCCGGTATAGGTGATCACTGGAGATGCGCCCCATGCGTATGCGGACAGCAGTGCTACTTTCCCACCGTCAACATCCTACCTCCTATGCAAACTTGAACAGGTCCGCCCATACGATCGGACGACATGGACAAGATGCAGTGATTGGGGTCCCAGGCCTGGACAGGTGGTGTAGCAGGTTAGTCTGCGTGGTTTGGAGCCACAAGGACGCCTCGTCTACAATATCTGCCAGCTGCTCTGGGAGATGGGTGTTCGGACCATCTCTGCTTCAAGACCAACCTCTTTCTTTCCTGTTTTAGGATGAGGGGCACGGGTTGCTTGTTTTGGCTACTCTCATCCTCTCGTCTCTCAATCCCGTCTTCAAGTGCTGACTGTATGTTTTTTATTCATTCGCTTGATCTCTGGGCACGCTCATGATGTGTCTAATCCTCACACTTCACTTTTGTCGAATCGTCGCTCCCGCAATCATAAACTATATATTGGTATCCCGCGTGCCCCAGCCCCCGAATGCGTCTATAAGTGCCCACCTGCCTGCCCAATCCCTCGAGCGTAAATAACTACAACAAGCTCTGGTACTTATCCAACGTACCCGTAGTCTGATTTTGTTGCTGCTGCTGTTGTTGTTGTGGCTGCTGCTGCTGCGCCATGCCGAAACTCCCTGAAGATCCCATCATGCTGTTCATGCTCAACCCTGACCCGCCCATCATCGGCTTGTGCGCCATGCTGCTCAGGTTGTTCATGCCGTTCATGCCGCCCATCGTAGACCCCATAGACCCCGCTGGCCGGCCAAACGAGGATTGTTGTTGCCGTGATGGTGGCGCGGGCAGGCTGAAGCCTGACGCGGCTGGCGTCGAGTTCCCACTACCTGGCGGTGGAGGCAGGGAGAAGGACGATGTAGAGCGGTTCACGGACCCGACTCCAGGCCGCTGTTGGTTCATCGACAAGGAGGCCATCGAGTTGTTCAGACCACTCCCATACGCGGGGGTCTGTGCTGCCGGGGGCGACATGGTGTTGCTTCTTGCTGGCTGCATCGTTGAGGAAGAGGTGGACGCCCATGGGTTTGCCGAAGCCGTCGACCAATTTGTGGAGGTCGATGAGGCAGGTTGCGCCGGTGGCGGCGGGAAGGCGGACTGCGGGGCGCTGGGCTGTAAGGGCTGGGAGAATTGGGTGGTGGATGGGGCCATTGCCGGTAGGCTCGCCAGGTCCGGTGTCACCGTCCTGAACGAGCCTTGCTGGGCCTTGAAACCACCCAGTGAGCTCGTCGGAGGAGCTGCCTTTGTAGGACTTGGTGTAGACCAAGAGAAAGTAGCATTCTGCGAGGCCTTGGGGTGTTGCAGGCCCGGAGAGCTCATTGCTGAGGCTGTGTCGCCCCAGCCGGCATCCATAGGATTGATGTTGGTCGAACTTGACTTTCCCTTGACGAGCTGCTCAAAATCGTCTTCTGTCGCGCCCGTTGCTGCATCGAACTGTGTCCCTGTGATGCCACCGAAGGACATGAAGTCGTCAGCAGGCCCGGCGGCTGCGGAGCCATTAGTGTCCCCAGCTAGCTCCTGCAATTTCTTTGACTGCTCATCCTCAACCTTCCGAGATAGTGTTTTGATGAGGTCCATAAAGGATTGGAATTGCTTGAGGTTGAGCAACGGCCCGAGACTCATACTCCAAAGGATGGGCAGGATATCCATGGCAATGAACTCGCAGTCCGCGTAATCGCCAACAACTCTCAACACGTTCAAGGCTTCTATCATGACCGCCGGCTCTTTCGTCTTGATGACCTTGATGAGGGGCACAATCTTCTCTTGCATCGTGTACTTGTCAAGAGCCGTGGAGGAAGATGTCTTCTTGTGCTCGGGAAGTCCATCCAACCCGCTGCTGTCTGCAGTGGCCGGCGAGCCTCCACAGAGAACAACGAATGCTTGCAACCCCCGCACTTTGATGGCCAGACTGGTTGTTTTGCTGAATACATGAGCTATAATAGGGAATAGCTCGTTCTTGATAGTGCTGAAGTCCAAGACCGGCAACACCACAGGTAAGCTTCGGAGACCGGCATCCACCACCGAGTGGGTCGGTGCCGCTATGGCCGCAGCAACAACGGGCAACATGTCTGATGTGTGTCAGCTCCTGCTTTAGAAGGGAGAAGGGGATGTTTGTGGGCCGCACATACCATCTTTGAACTCCTTCCCAGGGGTGTTGTTGGCGATGGTAGAGATGTTATCAAGGACAACCATGAGTCCAGCATCTCTCGCAGCGTCCTTCTCCTCAGTGTTCTTGTTGTTGGTGACGAATATTTCCTTTAGTACCGGTCGAACCTTATCGGTAAAGGCCCGCCGACCAGAAGGCAGGAGGTCGATAATTTTGAAAACATTCCCAAGAATAAGAGATAGGAGCGCTTTATCTTTGGTCTCTTCTAGGAGAGCCGGAAGAAGCTTCTTCTCCATCACGGACTTGGGAAACGACGGCAGGACCTTGTTAAGGCCCCTCAGGAATGACTGTTTCTCGTTGGGTGTTTTTGCCGGGAAAGACTCTATGAAGCGGATCGTCGACACGAGGATGTTGTCGAAGAACTCTGTCTCTTGGAACTCCTTAGCAGTCAGACGCTGAGCTGGCCGCCTGGTAATGAGCCGGGGCAGCACATGGGCGACCAAGTCCTTGGGCAACGGCCTAGAGGACATGAAGTTGTTGTTCACGGTGGGTATGGTCGAGCTGGACTGGAACAACCTCTTGTATGTCGAAATACTGGAATTACACTCCAGCGGAGACTTGTGTGGTGAATTATAAAGGGCGACACAGAGAAGACCAAGGGAGAACATGTCGGACGATACATTGAGGTTGTTATCCAGAACAAAGTCTGGGGAGGTATAGTCCAGGTCGAGCTGGACGGACCGCGGCAGCCGCGGATCTGGGTTGAGGGTCTCGTAGAGGCTCAGAGGCTGGAAGGAGGTTGGCTTCGTCGAATTCTCGGGAGGGGTGCAGAAGGATAGACCGCTAATCTTCCAATCGGACTGGTGAAGGTCAGTGTATGAAACATTGAATAGAGTTGACAGGTGCCGTCCCGGCGAGGCCGGCGTACCTTTGCATTGATGAGGATGGCATCGGGGGTGATGTTGCCGTGCACCAGGCCAGCATTCTCGTGGAGGAACTCGAGGGCCTTGCTGATCTGGAGCAAGCCCTTCTGAATCTCCAGCTCGTCAATCTCGAGCTCGCGCCGCCTCCTCGTGCCGTCCGCATCCTCGGTGACATAGCGGCTGGACCGGCCCCCAACACCACCGGCGCGTTCTTGATCGTCCTTGTCCTGTAGCAGGCTGGCGAGTGAGGCGGTGACGGGTTCGGTAACGAACTGCAAGCCGCCACCTCTCGTCTCCTCGACGGGCTCGACGAGCTCCAGCACGCTGGGATGGCGCAACTTGGCTAGTGAGGACGCCTCCTTCTTCAACCTCTCGATGACCTCTTCGGAGACCTTCTTGAAGGCGGCGGCGCTGGACCGGCCCAAGGAGTTCCCATGCGAGTCTAGCGACTTCTTGTCGAATATGAAGACCGAGTATATCTTGCCGGTGGACTTCCTCTTCGCATCGTGGATCCTCCAGGGTCCGGCTTGCGACGTCGCGTTGGGAGTTATGGAGTAGTTGGCATTGATGTTTGTCTGCTGGATGGACTTCAGCGCGGAGGAGAACATGGACGACATTTTGGCGGCTGGAGGGGGTGGGAGAGGGCGCTGGTCATGTCGTCAGGACTGGGAGGCTGATCGGCCGAGGGGTGGATCGTTGTCACATGCGTAAGACAGAGTCGAGGTCGGGAGTCGATGTCGCAAAAAGCAGTCCCACCGTGCAATGCCCAACTTCCAGATATAGACACCAGCACCACAACCTGGCCGACTGCGATCAGAACAAATTAATAAGGGCAAATACAGAACCCCAGGAGAGACAGACGGAGAGGGCTGAGCTGGTTGAAAGCAAGGGAGTGAGGAGGCCCAGAATAGCCTCTCAACAATAAGCGCAGTCTCACCACCCGGTCAGCGTCCAGTTGGTTGATTGTTGTCTCTCGCCTGGCATAAAGTATGACCCTCCCACCTACAATGCGCCCGCCCGCTAAGGGGGAGCTCCCTCGGGGCTTACCTAAGACCTGCGACCTCGACCACCAGACAATGAGACGAACCCCCTGAAAGCAGCTAATCCCGAATGTGTTTAGCTGCCGTCCCTGACCTTGTCCAATCGGCCTCCAGTGGTTTCCTCCCCTAGCTCAATTGAAGCTCCACGCTCCGATGACGGCTCCGGTGAAACTTTGTGGGCAGTTGGGATCGGTTGTCAGCTCAATGACTGCTGAACCGAGTGGACAGTCACAGTCTGGACTTCCTGCTGGCCCGCACTTTTCGCATCCTCGAGTAGATTACTAGATAAAAGCCACGGATACGGTGACTCTACTCTCGCACTCGATTCGAGAAAAAGTAGACAGCCTGCCCTTCCTTTTGGAGTTCAATTGGTCTTCTCTTTGTCGTTTCTCGTGTCGTGCCCTCTTTTCTCTTGCAAAGGTGGAACGGACCTACAGCCTCGCCCAAAGCCGTCTGTCGATCACGATCAAGGATCGCGACCACCAAGATGCGTGCCTTCGTGCCTCGATGCGGTGCCCTGAGGCCCAGTGCCTCCCAGATCTCGCGCTCCATGTTCCAGAGGTCATGGCAGCCCGCAAGTGCAAGGTGTTACAGCATAAAGCCCGAGGCGGCCTCTGTGTCCAAGCCCCAGGACATTGACCCATCCAAGCTCACCGTCGAGAAGGCAAAGACTCCCGGTCCGCTGAGGAAGCCGGAGGAGCTCATCTTCGGCGCCACTTTCACTGGTGAGGAGCCCACCATGCTCACGCGCTGGACACTCGCTCTGCTGCTCTATCTAACGCACCGCTCCTAACTCCAGACCACATGCTCACCGTTGAGTGGAACAAAACATCCGGCTGGCTCGCTCCCAGCATCAAACCGTACCAGAACCTTTCCCTCGACCCCGCGACCAGCGTCTTCCACTATGCCTTCGAGTGCTTCGAGGGCATGAAGGCCTACAGAGACTCCAAGGGCCAGATCCGCCTCTTCCGCCCGGACAAGAACATGGAGCGCTTCAACGGCTCGGCCGCGCGCATCGCCCTGCCCACCTTCGCCCCGACCGCCATGATCGACCTGATCTCCACCTTCGCAAAGCTCGACGAGCGCTTCATCCCCTCCCAGCGCGGCTACTCGCTCTACCTGCGCCCGACCATGATCGGCACGCAAAAGACCCTCGGCGTCGGCCCGCCTGGCAGCGCCCTGCTGTACGTCATCGCCAGCCCCGTCGGGCCCTACTACCCCACGGGTTTCAAGGCCGTCTCGCTCGAGGCCACCGACTACGCTGTGCGCGCCTGGCCCGGCGGCGTCGGCGACAAGAAGCTAGGCGCCAACTACGCGCCCTGCATCGTGCCCCAGCGCGACGCCATGAGCCGTGGCTTCGCCCAGAACCTGTGGCTGTTCGGCGAGGAGGAGTACGTGACTGAGGTCGGCACCATGAACATGTTCGTCGCCCTGCGCAACAAGGAGACGGGCCAGAAGGAGCTCGTCACCGCGCCCCTCGACGGCACCATCCTCGAGGGCGTCACCCGCGACTCGGTCCTCGCCCTCGCCCGCGAGAGGCTCGCACCGGAGGGCTGGCTCATCTCCGAGCGCAAGTACACCATGCGTGACCTGGCCGAGGCGTCCGCCGACGGCAGGCTGATTGAGGCCTTCGGCACCGGCACCGCCGCCATCGTCAGCCCCGTCAGGAGTATCAGCTGGAAGGGCCAGCTGGTCAACTGTGGCCTGTCCGAGCACGAGGAGTCAGGCGAGGTCGCCACCAAGATGAAGAACTGGATGGAGGGGATCCAATATGGTGACGAGGAGCACGAGTGGAGCCACATCTGCTAAGGGCAGCAGCCGCCACGGTAGAGGAAGTGATGTGAGGTCGAAATCGGTGAGCCAGTTTAGATGCGGTCCCTCGCGGTGTTGGGAGTTTCCTAGAATATCCTGGGACAAGAAAAGAGGAAAGGGGGATCTGGCACAATTTCATAGACCATGTTTGAGCGACAAAAGAAATCTTGCATGTTCATCCATCTACCGCTCTCTCGGATTCGGAAGTAGTGACTGCTCTATCGGCCAGCTCTCTTGCCTACCCTCGTTCTATGCCTCGATTATTTGTCTGTCATGTTCAACTGGTCCATAGTATACAGCCCTTGTGACTCCTTCCCCTGCGGCGGCGACTCCTGTCTAGAATAAGCAGCATGTCAGCGTGGTGCATGTGCTCTGCGTCCCAGCGCGATCTTGTCGGCCCGCTTTCTCATTCCACCTCCGCTGTCGTCTTAGTTCTTCTTAGCGGGATCCTCCAGGATGCCCTCGGCCTCTAACCGTCTGCGAGCCTCCTCGAGAGCCCAGGTTTGTATCCTGGGGGAAGCATCAAATGTCAGCCAGGTGTCCTGCTCCGTATCGAAAGTGATCGAGGCAGATGCCGAGAATCCCTCTCTTCCATCCGTATTCGATAGGCTAAGGGATGTCCCCAGACAGCCGAATATCAATCCCGCGTCAATTGACTCATACCTTCCCCCTCGGTCCAGCACCAACCTCCACTGCCCTCTCTAAAGGCACCGAACCCCTCTCACCACAACCAGGAAGAAGAGAAGGGGAACAACAACAGCAGCAACAAGTAATAGCAGAAACCAGGACTCACGAGGTATCAGGCTTGAAGGCGTAGGCGATCCCGAACGCGACCAGGCTGCCGCAGAAGCCATAGTACGCAAGGCCCTCCCAGCCCTCCTTCTCCGCCTTCTCGCCGGGCCGCACGCCGAACAGCCACCCCGTCGGCGGGTCGTACTCCGGGCCGTGCCCGTGCCCGCCGCTCCGCCGTGCCGGCGTGGTCGCGAAGGTGCGAGATCTGCCGGCTGCGGCGGAGGCGGTCTGCCGGCTGGCGCGGGTCGCCAGGACCGCTTGTCGGACGGCGGCTCCGCGCATGGCTTTTTTTTTTTCTTTCTGTTTGGCTTTCGAGGGGGTTTCGTTGGAGGTGAGGAGCGTGTCCTGTTTGCTCGCTGGGTTTTGCTTCGTCGTCGATGGGATCGATGGTTGGCGTTATTTTTTTTCCCGCTGGGCCAATCGGGTTTTGGACGTCGTCGGTGGTCAAGTGGTAGATTGAGTGATTGATTGACCGGCTGGTCGATTGATAGATAGTCTAGAAGTGACCTTACGGTGTCGTGGTCGCCGCCAGAGGTGGTGTTGAGGTCGTGAGTGGAGACTGGTGGTCTGTGTTGCGTTGGCAGACAAAGGCAAACGGGGCGGGTGAAGCTCGGGCTTGCTGTGCTAGGTCGCTTGCTGCGGTCTTTGATGAGGTCCGTCGGTCAGGGGAGCCGCTTCAGGGGGGGGGGGGGGGAGAGGAGCTCTCCACGCAGACAGGAGCAGCTGAGCTGGGGACCGCCAGGCTGAGTCACCAGGACTCCGGATCGGAGAAACGTTGGGGGTGGCAGAGAACCTCAAGCGTAGTCCAGCGCGTGTCAGTCGCCGAGAGCCGCGCCAATCGTCTTACACGGCCGAAACTTGGAACAGCCAAGCTCGAGAAATGTCGGAATGGGCATCTGATCACGGATCCAACACCTCGGTAATCATGTTCGTGTAGAGCAGACGTTTAGGGCTCTGATTTCGCAGATGCAGTCCTATGTGGCGCTGTAAGTCTCCCATTACCAGGAAAACTCCTCCCTGTCTAAGGAGCAAAGAGCAACAGCAATAGAACCCCCAGATGGTGGAGGGCTGGACAAATGCTGTAATCCTAGACATACAATAGACCAAAGCACCATCTCCCTCCCATATCCATGTTTGTCCCAGCTCAACCTGCCCGCTCCCCTCGAGCCTTTGAGCCCCGTAATTCATATATTCAAATGCCTAGTAAGTATTCCCAGTCATCTCGCTCAGCATATTGGCCAGATTTGGCTTCCCCTTGAGCAACACCCTCTCATCAATCTTGGCCCTCCTCGGCCCTGCGCCCTGTGGCGGCTGGTTCTCTTTCCCGCCCTGGCTGCCCCCCGTGATCTTCTTCTTGGGCTGCTTGAATGGCGGCAGCAAAGCTTGTTTCCTCCCAGCATCGCTCCAGAGGACGCCCGTGGTATTCAGTTCCTTCTTAGCCTTCTGGGGCGGACTCCCGCCCAGCCCCGTCGCTGCAGTCGCCGTGAGCTGTGTGCCCGCGTCCTCGAAGTAATGCGCGTCAAGCGCCTCCGGCTTCAGGTCGTAGATCCAGCACCGCTGCTCCATCAACCCGATGAACCGCGCCAGCATCTCCTCGCACCCGCTCCCCTTGAGAGTGCTCCGGCTCCCCACGACGAGCAGCTTGGTTTTGGCACGGGTGAAGGCGACGTTGATCCTTCGCCAGTCCTTCAGCAGATCTCCAATGCTGCACGCCTCGTTCGATCTGACGAGGGACAGGATGACCACCTCTTTGTCCCGGCCTTGGAAGCGGTCCGCCGTGTGCATCTCGATGCCCCCGCTGTTGGCGCCGTGGCCGCGAAGGCCATGCTTGAGCATTGACAGCTGGGAGCGGTAGTGCGTCATCACGCCAATCTCGGAGGCCGGAACACCGACGCTGAGCAGGGCGTCCACGAGCTGCACGACAATGCGAGCCTCACACGGATTGACAATGCGGTTTCCCTTGGCTTCTTCCCGCGAGGAAGGCAGGGCGTCGGTGTTGACGAAGCTGACGCGTGTCTCGGGTTCCACCAAGTCGCGCAGCCAGCACGCTCCCATGCCCGTGCAGAACGAGTTTGTCTGGGAGGAGACAAGAGTTGTGGCATCGTGGTGGTGTCTGCGCAGGCCGTCCATGTTGGGCACATCGAGTTTACGCAGTCGCAGCTCCTCGGTGCCGCACTTCAGTCGGCCCTCGTAGATCAGCGTGTTGCTGAGCGTCATGATATCCTCGGACATGCGGTATTGGTGCTCCAGGTTGACGACCGAATCGGGATGGGTGTCCGAGAGCAGTTTGAATAGACTGATATCTAGGCCACCGATTCTGGCCTCCTCATTCTGGACCAGAGGCGGCAGCTGGTTGTGGTCACCGACAAGAACGAACGTGCGCGCCATACGGATAGGGCCCAAGCAAATTGGCAGCGTGATCTGTGACGCCTCATCCACGATGCAATAATCAAACGTACGCTCGTTGAAGATGGCGTGGCTCGTTCCAAGGCAAGTCGTTGCGACGATGGGTGTGTCGTGCCAGGCGCTGCGGATCTCCTCGAAGGTATCCTTGGGCTGTCCTGCCAGTATAGCAAAGTCTTGGACTTCGGGGTGGACTTTGGCAGGAGCACCGAGTCTGAGCACGGGAATATCGTCGAGCTTCAGCTTCAGGAGGATGTTGTCAACGGCCGTGTGGGTATATGAGGTGAGCAGGACACTCTTCTTCTGGGCGACCAATGCCCGTATAATGTGGGCTATAGTTGTCGTCTTGCCAGTACCGGGCATACCGAGAACAAGAGCGTAGTCCTTGGCACTCATGACCTTCTCGATGGCCTTCTTTTGGTCGACATTCAGGCTGTCCTTATCAGCTATGGTGTATTGCGTCGCAGCTGCCTTAAAGGCAGGCGGTTCCAAGTCTACAACAAGCCGGCGGATCTTCTCAGACCCGAATTGTACGTTTGTCATGATCGACACAATGTTGTTCCGGACCAATGCCATGCCGTTGCTGAACTCGTCTTTGTCCAGTCTATACCGAATCGGAGCCTCCTTGATTTTGCCTTGCGATTGGTCGGAGGGCACCCCTTCCGGCACAACCTCCATGATGCTGGCGTAGACCTGATTGTCTCTTCTGTCGAATCCAGGCTGCCGTATACGGGCGTTATGAAGTCTTCGATCGACGGCCACACTGATCCGCTGCTTTCTGACTGCTGTAACGAAACCGAGTGCCAAGGCGAAATGCCCTTGCTCGTCCGACACCACAATAGGCTCTCCCACGGCGATTTGGGAATCCACGAAGGAGAAACCAGGTGCCGCATCTTCTTTGACGAACGCATAGTGAAAGCGGTTGATCTTCTGACTGTGGACATCCTCCGAGGCTGAACCTTCCTCGATAATCACGTCGGCGAAGCACCTGCCAACCTTCTCACGCTCCACGCTCAGCATCGTCCAAAGCTCTCGTCGGAGCTTCTGGCTCTCCTTCTCCTCCTTTGTCAGCAGGTCCTCCCACTTCAGGAAGAACTCCTTGTGAACTGGCGTCATATGTTTGACAACCTGGTCAAACTTCTCTTGCAGACCGCTTGAGTCCCCATCTCCATCGTCGGCGAGTTTGTGATATGTGAAGCACGAGTTCTGGGCATAACATTTGCCACACGCGTGCTTGCTGTTCTTCATCGGCGGAAGCTGTACACTGCGTTCGCGGATATAGACGGCGAGCTGGTTGCGTTGTTTGATCATGTGGCGCAGCTCGTTGCGTACGGCAGGGATGATCTTTGTCAGTGATGTTTCCATGTAGTATAGAATTCCATAGACGATCTCAATGTCATAACGGTCCGACAGCAGCAAGTTGTACAACATTGTCTGAGCCTGGTGGCTCTCGCTGACATTTTTGCCAGTCTTGACTTCGAACGGAACAGTAAGAGTTCGTCTCTCTTGGCTGTTCTTGACTGTGACTTGAACTGTGGCGTCAATGTTGCCTTTAAGCCCATACAATGGTGACCAGACGTGTTCTTCGATGTCAAGTAGCTTGCTGACACATACACTAGTCTTCTCGTTGTTCCGGCCATGGGCGACAGCATCGGGCTTGGGGAACGAAGAAACAAACTTCTCGGCCCAGCCTCGTAGCTCGGGCATCTTCGAGGACAGGTGCTCTCGAGCATCGGTGAAGTTGACCTTGATGGTATACAGGTCCTCGATATGTTTCTTCATCGTCTTCTCGATCACACCATTCAGAAAAGTCTGGTCCCAGGTATTTGCCACAAGCGCCTCTTGGAAGATTTCGTGCAGAATTGTGCCGTATACAAGGGGGGCAGAGGCCTCACTGGTAGCTTTTACTCGATCCTGCAAGACAGCTCGACGCATGCAGCTGAACGAGTCGGCAACAACGGTAGCCGAGATCAACTGATCCGGGTGGAGGATCAGGATGTTTTGGTTATTGTCGATGACGCATTGGCCATTGGGCCCAAAGCTGCCGATGATATGTACGTGAGACTTGGGATGAACTGGAGTGTCGACCCAATCCCCCCGAAGATGAACAGTCTTGGTAGTCTTGGATCTCTCGGCTTGGACAATCAGGATCGCCTCAGGCGCTTCTCGCCCGCGCTCATCCGGGTATGTGTTTTCAAGCACATTGGTCACCAGGTATCGCTGGATTGCAGTTGGCTTGTGACTCACCTACTCGTGTATCTTAGCAGGTTTGTTTATTGGCTATTGGTGAGCTATCAGACGGTACGTACGGGCATTAAAGATGAATCTGCTTGGCCAGCTGTCTGGGTGGCAGCCAGCTCCGCGGCTTCGAAATCAAAGTCTCCGCCAAAGTCATCACCAAATTGATCGTCCTCTTCAGTACCACCTTCAGGGTGGACTGGTTTGGGTGGGGGAGGCCGAGCGGGTTGCTGTGTGAGGACTGGATCGACGGTCCCGATCATGTCTTCCACCGCGGCCAATAAATCGTTATCCATATCATCAAACTCATCATCTGAAGACGTCACTTGCTTTGAACAGTGCCCCTCGGCCCCCTGCATATCCGCGTCTGTGAGAGTCTCCGCCGCTCCTGAGAAGGTTCTAGCCACCGTCTGCCCACTAAGCATGGAGACATCGAGCTCCAAAAGCGTATCGTCGTCGAAATCATCATCTCCATAATCCGAGGTTGGTGTTCTCGCGCCATGCTTCACCCCATGGCGAGAGGCACTCCGTACTGGTGATACTGCGCTCTTCGACTTGGTTGGCTGCGGTGATTTTGGCGGGTGAGGGAATGGCCTCTGTTTTTTTGGGGATCGTCTCTTCTTAATCGACGGTGACTCCATGCCAGGGGGTTCCTCCTCCGTGCGCTCGGTCTTACTAATTTCCCCATTGACTGTCTCGAGAAGAGCTGACACCATCAGGGACTTGGCATTTTCCCCTGCGTCTTTGACCGGCCGGTATTCCGACGCACTTTCGACCCGTCGGCGTTTTGGCCAGTGAGAACCGCAACTTATTGCTCTTCTCAAACTGCTTTCTGCGTGATTTGGACCTCCATCCTTTGGCGGCCGAGGGGAGGAGGAGACCATAAGGTGGGCAAGGGCTGGGTTTGTAGCGCCCAGTGGGCTCGTACTGTCGGCAGCCCCGCCGACAGCGAAGCGATCCCACAGGTCAAGTGCCGGGTCTGCATGCTCCGACTTCAAGGCTTTCTTGAGCTTTTTGACGTTGACAACCGGAGTTCGTGTTTTGTCACCGGCTGGGGAGGAGATGGGTGATGAGCTTCGGGCGCGCTTTTTGCCCCGACGCGGCACGAGGGGCGAGATCATGTCGGCGGCATCATCACGTTCATTGTGCCAAAGGAGGCGCTCGGTGGGCGAGGTATCATCTTCCTGCTTGTCTGCATCGGTCACACCCATGAGGTCCTGCCAGGTCAGTCTGCTCATGGGCGTCACTGTGGCACGGTGCTGTTGGCCATGTAGCGATGCCGTGTCTGCAGGATCCGACCCCTCGTTTTGTAGGTTTTCCTTGTTGGAATCGGCATTTTCCAATTTTCTAGTGGACTCCCTGGCTGATGGTTTGTCTTGATTCTCTGAGATAGGAGCAAGATCCGAGAAAGTATCGGACTGTTCATTGACGGGTTTCTGGAACTGGAACTTTGACAGCTTGTTTTTGGTGGTGGCGGAGACGGGGGCAGGTGGCCGAGTCGACGGCTTGGAGGGGATGGCGCCAGAGTGAGACTTTGCCCTCTGCCATTGGGCTTGCCGTTGCTGTTGAATACCATCTAGTCAGTGCCCACGCCGGCTTGTCAAGTGGATGGAACTGGATTTACATGTGCTGTGCTTGGGCAGACGCGAATTGTTTACTTGCCTTTGGAAATCTGGACTGCTCAGAGAAGGATTTGGAAAGAGGCATGGCGACTTATTGGACTCATGATACTGCCACTACGTTCTCCCAATCGCAATGATGGGGAATGGCTTGTCGTCTTCAATGGTTGATGGTGATGATGGTGGACCAGGGCAGATGTTGGTGGACCCAAGAACGTGCAAGTCAATTGCCCTGGGAACGAGCACCCTTGACGCGTTGGTCGCGTTTGCTCAGGTGCAGCCGCGTTGATGGTCCTTGCAGGGGTCTGGCGGCTGCAGGTACTATTAGATTGGCCTGTGGCAGGGCTGGCACGAACGGAAGCTGTGGCGCTCACAGCTGTGGCGCCAGCTACCCCGGACCCCTTGGGCCCCAACTTCAATGACGTCCCATGCATGGCTCGAAGCTCACCTCGGCTCACCTCACCTCACCTCGCCTGGCCTGACCCAAACTATCCGCACCTTATCTACCACCCTGACTGAGCTTCTCGCCATCAGCCATGGCAGGAATTGAGGGTACTCCCAACATCCCCTTGGAGACTGCCCGCAGGAATGCAGACAGCCTCGGCATCAACTACGATGCCCTCCCTCAAATGCCCTTCTGGACCCCATTGTTCGGGAGGACATCCGAGTATCTCAAGACAAGAGTCGCAGCCAAGATCATGACTTCCTCGGCCTCTGTTGGGAGAGAGCTAACACAGCCTGAGAAGGATGCCATGTCATACCACTTGTATGTACTCACCCTGTCTCGATGCGGCACCGCTTGCTCACAGGGAACTATCCAATAGTGCAAAGTTGGTAATCACCACCACATATGCGTCGCCGCTTGCAATAGCAGCAACCTATGGGCTTGAGCGAGCCACGCGCCCCAAATTTGGCTTCCCTTTCTACAACCCAAAGCCGCCAAAGTTCAACAGTCAAAAATTTCCTGGCCTGCCTGAGGGAAAGTACTCGTTCTGGGCTTGGCAAGGAACGCGGGTACTCACGTGGTACATGGCCAGTAAGCTTGCCGTCAGCATTGTTGCAACTTCCTACGCAATCTCGGTGTACTCGGCCAACGCAGGCACGGACAACAGGCTCGAGGCCTACCGCAGGGAGATAGCCCGTCGTGCGGGCGCCTCGGTGAGAAATGGTCAGCAGAGAACCATTCCACAGGGATCCTCAGGGCAACCGCATCAGCAATATCCCCAACAGAAATGGGAAGAACCAGTGTCAGTAACAGAAACAGCCGGCTGGGCCAGCTCTGAACAAGCCGAAAAGGCAACGCCGACGCCTTCGCCTTCGCCATGGACTGCAACGCAGAGCCCACAAACGGGGCGTCAGGACTCGTACAACCAGGACTCATATGTGTTTGATGATGCCTCGCCTGTGGCGCCATCAGAACAGAGCAACTCGTCACCTCAAAACTCAAGCCAGCAAGGTGGATCCGCGTGGGACAGGATTAGGGGCCAAGCACAGGCAGCACGTAACCAGCCAGGCTCGTGGGCAAAGAAGCGCCAAGATGAGATAACCTCCCGAGGTGCCCAAGACGAAACTTCCTACAACTATTCAACGGCGGACCAAGAGAAGGCGTATGCCAAGGATCAGGCGCAGAAGGAGTTCGACGAGATGCTCGAGAGGGAGCGTCGAGGACAGGGACGCTAAAGCTGGCTGTGCCTGCGTAGCGAGGAGGCATCTGGGCCGATATGTTCTTGTCACCATTGGAAGCCCCCGGATGAGGTGTGTTGGTGCCTCTCCATGCGACTTCATGTTAGTGGTTGCGTTTAATTCGGCAAATCCTGTGGTCTCAAACAAGTCCGAAGTAACTGTTTAATACTTGGTCTTCAGGCTCGATGGTCCTCTGAATTGATTCACTCAAGATCTGACTCATGTTTTACAGTCCCCAGGATCCATGGTCCTCTGTCGATATGAACAGATCATTGAAGACGTCGGCATTCATAAGACATCTAGTCACCTGGTAGATGCGTTTGTGAAAAGGGGCGGGCTCGCTGCCGTTGCACACATTCTGAGGCCCAAGATTGGACCATGCGGGTGAAGTGAGTTTGGACGGTCACAAACAATACTCAATGGAAGACTGTGTGAATATTTCAAGGGGAACTCGCCCTATATGGCGATTTGACGGTATCCCTAGGCGCTGGATGTATTCGTGCTACCCGCAACTAGGAGCGCAGCCCTCCAAGCACAAGGTGAAGGACACCATTCCTCGGTCCAAGTGAATTACAGCAGTGAATGTGCGCTGCTCGGCCTGCCACCATCTTGCCTTGACAAATGCTCGTCGTCGACGTCTTTAAATAGCCTCCCCATCTGCCAAAATCCCCCTTCTGCCTTCCACTCCCTTCCAACTCCAGACCCTGCGACAGCGACAACAACTTCGCTCCTGTTCTAGCACAACACTGCGTCCTGCCAGTTGCTGTCTGACACTTGATCCATTCCACTCTTCATTCTCAATCAGCCCTAGTCTTCTAAACGACTGCAACATCCTTTGGCACGAACTTTTACCCACGCTGCCAACGTTGGCTGTCAGTATTCCCTCCCTCCTCCACCAAAACAACACGCTTGCTTCTGTCCGGTCACACCCCATTCTACCCGTCTTTATCTGCCCTCCGATCATTCCGTTCCTCGTCATCCAATCGACCTCGAGTATCCCAACTGCCACGTTGTTCAGGCAAACTGGCGACAACAAACAACACTATCCCAATCCGCCATCACCCACTCGCAGTAAGTATACTCTACCTACCCTCCGATCTCCCTTCCTTCTATCTACTCTGATAATCAGCTTCTGTTGCTAACTAACTACAAAGACAATGGCTTGGGTGGTACCCTTCGCACTCGCGGGCATGGCATTGTGCGCCGTGCTGGCGATCACAACCCCTATTGTCGATACGACCTATCTTACCTCTGGGTTTACTTCGACTTTCACTCTTGCGGTTGGTCTGTCTCGCGAATTCTGCCGCCGAACCATCATGAGCATCAACATGGACCACGTCCTCAAGGATCGCGCTCGCGCTTTTGCCGCCGAGCAGCTCCACATCTTTCACCGCGAAGCAAAGACACTCCTCATTCCATACATCGGTGTCTGCCGTCACGTCGTCACAGATGTGATTGAGAAATACCCTCTCCTCCGCCTGGCAGAGGAGTATCTTACATCGTCCACCGGACTTCCCGCCGACTTCAGCCCACACACAGGCACTCTCTTCCTCCTATTGGCGACCAACGTCTGCACGGCTATCATCTGCTTGTCCATCGGTGCCACTATCCTCGCTCCTTTGCGAATCGTATGGCGAAGCACCAAGCCACGGGCAAACCCTTGGGCTAAGCCGAAGACTACTTGGGAGACAGTTCTCGAAGCTCTCGCACCTGCTCTGGTCAAGCTCGCAGCGGCCGGGATCAATGGGCTGGTCTTCTGTGCAACAGGCTTGATCTTTTGCGTTGGAAACATCGTCATGTACATCGCCAATCTCGACTTTGGATTGCTTATGGAGCGCTCCGCTCCTCAGGCCGAGCCGCGTCGGGTGTTTTACAAGACACTCCCTGATCCACGCATCCCAGAGTTGGAGGAGAACGCTCGCAAACTCGAGAATGAATTGCAAGAGAAAGACAAGAGCTTCGAAGACTACCATAAACAAGCTGCTGCCGAAATTCACGACCTCTATGGGAAGAACGAAGTCTTGGAGAAGGCCAATATGGCTCAGAAGATTAAACTCCGCGGGCACATGAAGACGCATGGTTCGATCAACCTAACACGGCCCATGTACGAGCAGCTCATGGAGAAGGATCAGCGCTACAATGACCTCCAGGGAGACTTGAAACGCGCAGTCGAGGAGAAGACCCAGATGCAGGATGACTTCTGGAAGCAACTCAGCGATAAATGCGAAGATATCAAGTCACTGAAGTTCTCCGCGAGGGCTCAAAAGGAGGAGCATGAGGTACTGCTGAGGTCACAGGAGTACCACCAAGAGCGAGCCAAGAGGGGCGATGAAATTTCCAAAGTTCAGACGGAGTTCCATAAGGGTCGGATCCAGGAGCTCGAGAAACTCATGGCCTCACAGAAGGAGACCTTGGAAGCCCGCATCAAGGAGCTATATGAACTCATCGCTTCACACGAGGCGACCATCAAGTCCCTTGAAGCGCAGCTCAAGGAGCGCGATGAGGCCAACAACACACAGAAGGAAGCCAAGCAAGCTCTCGAAGCTCGGGTCGAGGAGCAAGACGCACGCCACTCTTCAGAGCAAAAGTCCCAGAAGGCCCACCTCATGAAGGGCTTCGAGAGGGAGAGGAAGAAGTTGGTTGACTTATCCCGACTCAGCTCTGAGGCACGTAAGGCCGCCGAAGAGAAGCACAAGGCCGCCGACGAAGCACGCAAGGTCGCCGACGAGGCTCGCGAGACTGCCGAACAGGCACGCAAGACCGAGGAGGAGGCGCGCAAGAGGGCAGAGCAGGACTCAGCGGCCAACTTGGAAGCACGCAAGACCGCCGAAGATGCATACAAGGCTGCCGAAGAGAAACTCGAGGCCGCCGAAAAGGCTCTCAAGGCTGCGGAGGACGCACGAAAGGCTGCCGAAGAGGAGTCGGCGGCGAACTTGAAGGCACTTCAGGCTGCTGAGGAGTCGCTCAAGGTTTCTGAAGAGGCACGCAAGGCCGCTGAAGAGGAGTCGGCATCGCTGAGGGAGCAGCTGACCAACCGCCCTCCTTCTCATGACAAGGGAACCCAAGCTTCGAGCCCTCCTCCTTCTCCCCAGAAGACGCCTCCTGGATCACCCAGCCCGACGCCTCCTGGTTCGCCTGCCAAGGCGCCTGCTCGTCCACTCGGCAAGTCGTCTTGTCCTCCAAAGGGCCAGCGACCATTTCTCCCGGCCATTTCGGTCCGCAACAGGGTTGGTGCGAAGAAGCAATTCAACTTCTCGGCGCCCATCACTCCCAACATCCCCGGAACCAACCCTTCCGCCCCTTCTCTAGGGCCCTTGAACCCGCCTGCTATGCCCACCGCTCCGGCGCCGTCAACTCCGGAGCCCAACCCTTCTCCCGCGGCTGCCTCCGCTCCGGAGCCCGAGACTCCTCAGGTTGGCACTTCTAACCCGGAGTCCGCGACCGCTCCGGCCGGCTCCTCTACTCCGGAACCTACGAATCCGGCTACTGAACCCTCCACTCCGAAGCCCGCGACTCCTCCGGCTGCTCCTTCCACCCCGGAGCCTACGAATCTTCCTGCCGCTCCGGAGCCCACGACTCCTGAAGCTGCCACTTCCAACCCGGAGCCCAAGACCCCTCCGGCTGGCTCCTCCACTCCGGAGCCCACGAGTCCTTCAGCTGCTCCTTCCGCTCCGGCACCATCTAGTCCGGAGCCCGAGACTCCTGAGCCTGCCCCTTCCCCGGAGCCTACGAATCTTTCTGCCGCTCCCTCTACTCCGGAGCCCAAGACTCCTGAGGCTGCCCCTTCCCCGGAGCCCACGACTCCTCCTGCTGCTCCCTCGACTGCCGAGCCTGCACCGGCTGAGGGCAGCCCGGGAAAGTCTTCCGGCGGCTCCGCTGAGAGCAAGCAGCCCGAGTCTGTCAACTCTACCCCGGCTGAGGCTAGCCCTGTCAAGCCAGCCTCTCCGTCTGGTGAGGCGCCTGAGGTTCCAGAGCCTGCCTCTGCTTAGCCTGGTCGCCTTCCGGCTCCATGGCTCTGTTGGTGTCGACGACTAGGGCCTGTTCATGTTCTCGAGCGCGTGGTTGTGTTGGCTCGTCACGCAGGACCATAAGCGAAAAAGAGACTACTGTACAATACGCTGCTTGCTCAACACATTCTTATCATCAGACACCCCAACTTTACATCAGCCTCGCACCGGACCGCCAGCTCGATTCCTCGAGAGCTCCCTCCCTCGCACCCGCAGGCTGCCGCCAACTCCCACCGGCAGCCGATGAAATGTCGCTTGGTCGTATACCATCAACACACGACTTGACAATGCCTCATCCCTTTCAAGCAACTCAAGCTTGTAAAGATGATGCTCCTTTCGCCCATCAGGGCAGGCAGCAATTGGTTCGGCCATCATGCTGAACTTGATAGAGACCGATCTCCTCCACAATCCATTCCACTGTGAGGATAAGCGACACATCTTCATCACCTTACTACACTAACGGCGCTTGGTCGTGTACCACCACCACACGACTTGACCCAGTTCACTCTCTTATTCCAGCAGCTCTGCTGGAAAAGATGAGACCCTTATCCTTTGTCAAGATAAGGAGGGCTCGGCTCGCATCATACTGAGCTTGAGAGACGGATCCTCTCCTTGGCTCTGTCCAAGTTGAGAGTAAGCGACCATTTTCATTACCCTAATACACATTCGATGGCTTGGTGCGAGATAGACTTGGACTTAAAATACCAATGAACAAAACTTCTAAATTCATGAAATGCACGAAGCCTCTTGACATATATGCGTAGACCCTCAGTAGCAGTAAAGCTTCATGAAGTTGCCAGTTACATGTGTACTGCTACACTGACTTAACCAGCAGGCTATCCCAGGCTTTCGACGTACATGAATTCGACGCAGACTTGAAACACTTTCATAACTTCATCACAGCGGCGTCAGACATGTAATGAGACCCTCCGCCACAGCGATACCCTCCTTCCTGCTTGATCCAAGGAAATCCGACTGGGCAGACTCCCATCGTCTCCAGCTTCTTCCGCGCCTCCTCTTCCTTCCGCCTGCGCTCCTCTTCTTCGAGCAATCTCTTGACGATCGCTTCCCTCGCCGCGTCCGAGGCAGTCCGTTGCGCCCTGAGCAGGTCATGGTACTCCTGCTCCCGTTGCTCCCCGGCCTGCTTGTCCTTCTGGAGCTGCTCCCACACTTCATCACTAACTCCGGCATCTCGCGTGGCCTCTCGCTTGGATAGCTCTGCCGCTTGGTTGATAGGAGTTGCTTTCTTCCTCGGGTCCTCTTCCTTTTCTGGTGGAGCCGAGTCACGGTCTGTCACAGACTGTTTCATGGTGGTCTGGGTCTTGATCTGGGGCCTGGCGGAAGACGGGGGCACCTGGAAGGGAGCTTGGTCAAAATCTTCCAGTGAAGGAAATGACCTGCCGTGATCCACGCTCCGGCTTGCACGCTCGTGGAGCATCTTCATCAGCTCGGCCTCGACGACATCTCCGCCGACGGTCAAATGACCATTTGCAATGCCTTGCTTGTCTTGTACGACGACGTTGAAGATGGTTCTGCCAAGGGTTGTCACGTCCCGAGCACTCGCCCAATTTTCCTGCTTCGATAGCTCAGAGAACAAGTGATTCAACTTGGACGCAAGAGGCTCCTCCGGCGGCTGAAGCACGGAAACGTCAAGGTTGACTTTCCTTTTTGACTTGGGGCTTGAGAGGCGCCTCTTGTGTGACATCAGCGCCTGCAGGAGCAACTTCACACACTCATCGGCCCGCAAAGTTCGAAAGTCAATAACCTCAGGGAAGCGAGAAGTAAGCCCGGGATTGGTCGTCATTAGGCGGTTAATGTCATTCTCATAGCCAGCAAGAATGATGATCAACTTCTTGGCGTACTTGTCCTTCGTTGTGGCATCTACTAGCTCGTCCATGGCTTCTTTGGCAAAATGGCCTTCGGCAAGGCGGTACGCCTCGTCGATGAAGAGAACCTTTCCTAGAGCGGTGTCGAGTTTCGCCTGTACTTTGGGTCCCGTCTGACCAATGTATTGGCCGATAAGATCGGTGGCGGAGCATTCCTCAACATCAGCTGTGGCGAGGACCCCATGTCGTAGAAGACTTTGCCCATCTTCTTTGCTGTTGTAGTCTTTCCGGTGCCAGGAGGCCCCCGGAAGAGGAAGTTGAATGGTATGTCCTCCTTGGGATCCAGCTCCAAGGACTTCATCGTTCTGACTGTCTCTTGGTAGCCCTGCAATTTTGCAATGACGTCCTCCTGACCAACGGTTCCTTCGAATAGCATGGAAACATTAGTCTCGGCGCGTTCAGCACGGTCGAAATTCTCATCAAAGTCCAGTGCCTCGAGAGTAGAAGCCGAGTCAGTCTCCTTGTGCGAGAGCCTCAACTGATGCCTTGCCTTTGCGGCGTCAAGCATGATGTCGATTTCTCCAGCGTTGCCAAAATTTGGGCGGTTCCTCGCTCGACCAAGAATGTCCATGGCCACCCGCTTAGCTTGATCTGTGGCATGGTATCCCTGCTGCTTCAGCTTCAGATTCAGTATCTGGCGCAGGGCCTCGTCGTCGAAATCCTCAAAATTAAAGGCCGAAGACATTGGGAAGCGCCGGCTGAGACCCGGGTTGACATTCTGGAACATTGTATCCATCTGATCTTTGTATCCGAGGAGCAAGACACATCGATCATCTCCAGGGACGCTTTGTACCTCAGCGACAATGGTGTCGATGACGGCTGACTTGTAGATATCGGCTGTGGAGCCCTGGCCGCCATAAAGCCCATATGCCTCATCGATGACTAGGACCTTGCCCAAAGATGCGGCCAATATGCCTTTCGTCTGTTTCTCGGATTCACCGAGGTGGGAACCGACGAAATCTGAAGGGTTCTTGATGATCACTTGACATTCTGTTAGCCTCTAAATTCGACTTCGAAGGTGATGGGCACAGAGATACTCACCCTCGCCTTTCGAGAGCAATCCCAGATCCACAAGAATCGCCCCGTACAGCTTGGCCACAGTGGTCTTCCCTGTCCCGGGATTGCCCAGAAACACACGGTTCAAAGAGTATTCGATGGGCGGTTGCTCATCAAGCTCCCTGGTATAATTCTGCTTGACGCTGTCGACAAGGGACTTGACTGCTTCCTTGACTGCCTCGAGGCCAAAAAGTTTCTGCAGCTTCTTCCAGGCCTCGCTCCCCGTCAGGGCCTCCGTTGGCTCGGGGCCGATGAGGTCTTCCTTGATGAACAAGAAATCATCGGGATGTTTGCCTTGACGCCGTTCTTTCCTCAGCCTAGTCGCCTGTCGTGAGCTGACGACGGCCAGTGTGTTCTCAATCGTCCTGGCATTACCGAAACCCTCCCGGCCCCGGCCGCGACCCACCCTCCTGGTCACGATCCGAGAGTAGAGACCTCTCGAACCGTCTTCGCATTTCATTCGACCGTCATATTTCTTACGCATCTTCAGCTCGAATATGCGCATCAGCTCCTCATCTGTGTAGTCGTCAAACTTCATCTCGATGGGAAATCTCGATGGCAGACCGGGCTGCGAAATCGGTCAATTATCATTTTCTTGGCTTCCTCACCAGATTTCATCAGATAGGATGATGAATACACTTACATTGTGTGCGTAGAAGCTCTCCATTTGCTTTCTGTAGCCAGCGAGGATGAAAACCACCTTGCCATTGAGGTTCTCGACCTCTGGCAAGAGGTAATCCAGGACAGCTCCGCCCCCGAAGCTGTTTCCGGACGTGAGCTGATAGGCTTCATCGATGAAGAGTACACCACCACCGTCGTTCATTATCTCATCTATGATACTCTTGCAGCCAGATACCCCGGCATTGGCCAGACTAGCTCCAGTCTCTTCTTTGAAGCAGCTGCCAGGAATGACGCCGAGCGAAGTAAGGAATTGAGCATAAATGCGAGCAACGGTGGTTTTCCCTGGTGGAAGAGGGTCAGTCACACATCCATAGCAATCATGACGGCGAATGTGCATATAGCAAGCTATGCCCGCGGAGGGAATCCATACGGACCACCACTGCATGGCACCAAGACCGTATGATACAACTTACCTGTTCCAGGATTGCCCAACATGGAACAACCAAATCGTTCCTTGCCCAGCGAGACATCTTGCCGAATCGCCGTGTCAACCCTCGACTTGACAGACAAAAACTCCGACTTCACTTCCTCGAGCCCGATCATGCCCATCAGCTCGTCCAGAGACTCGCTCTTGGCCCCCTCGAGCTGCTTGAGGTATTGCCACTCTTGCGCTGCGCCGTCGGGAAGATCTTGCAGACTGTCGGACGACTCTGCATCAGTCGGGGGAGTCGGAGGGTCAACCCCAGGAAACGACCCAGGCATATTCTGCTTAGCCTGTGCCTTTTCCGCCTTCAGAACCCGTTCTGCGGTCTGCTTCAAAGCGGCAAGGTCCGCTCGCTGCTGCGCGAGCGTCTTTTGTTGCTCTTCCTCGTCCTTGCGGTACCTGATCGTGCGCCGCTCGTGATCAATCTCGTCCTGAATCTCCTGGAGCTCCCTCTTGTATGCCGCCTCGCGGGCCTGCCTTTCGGCCTCGAGCTTCAGGTCCCTCTTGATTCTCCGCTCTGTTTCCAGGTCCTCGTGTGCGCACGTACGGCACTTGTCGTTCCGCATGTGGCACGGCATCTTGAGTTTGTGGCCCCTGTCGCAGGCCCTCTCCACCTTGTGCGGACATGGCATCTTGGAGTGATCATCTACACGGTGGCAGCGCATGTTGCAATTGTGCAGGCCGCAATTGAGAGGAGCATCGCTACAGTAGTTTATCAGCACTCTATATATCACGGCGACCTGGAAGATTATCTCACTCACCATTTCTCGGTACATCCGCCATCCGGACAGCATTTGTCGAAGTCGTCTGGCTCCTGGAGAAGGAACTTCCTGTCAGGATGCTTCTCGCACTTGACCGGGAGTCCGTCATGGATGTGGTTCTTGGACTTCATAAGCTTGAAGAAGGGATTCCATGTCTCTGTTCCTTTCTTGCTTTGCATGTAGGTCTCCATGTTGCCAAACATGATGAGGCAATTCCGCGCTCTAGAGAGAAGAACGTTGAGCCGCTCGCGCGCCGCGAGGAAGCCAATGTCTCCATTTCCGTTGCTCCGGGTCAGGGAGACAAGGACTATGTCGGCCTCCTCACCCTGGTAGTTATCTTTGAAAGTCAGTTGTGACCAATCATTTGCGTGTCTTTCATGACTCACCGATGGTCGATATGCGAAGTGGTGACTTGTCGACTTTTGCGGCCGCCTTGGTCATCAAGCCTGCTTGAATGAGCTCGTGAGAGTCGAGGTCACTCAGCAGTGGGTCGACATCGTCTATGAGCATGTCTCTCACAAGGCGCAGTTGGCCGAGATATGGCGTGAGAACAACCATGTTCTTCGTGCCATAGCCCTGTTGCGCCAAGAACCTTACGGTTTTCAAGACCATTCTTGCTTCGAAGTCGTTTTCTTTGCTGGACTTGGAGTCCTGGTCACGACGGTCGCCGATTCTATCGTTCTGCAGCTCAGGGTGGTTGTGGTTGACGAAAATGACGCGGTCGTCGAGCCCGCGGATTGGCTCACGAGCCGATGTTTTCGGACCATCTTCCAAGTCTGGATATGTGAGTTCCTTGACAAGGAGTGAAATATCCGGATGCATGCGGTGTTGTTTCCGCAAGGTTGTGTGCGGATGTCCCTGCAGTATCAGCCGCTCGAATAGGGAGCGATTTAGGTCGTACCCGTCTCCCTTCTCAACTGTGAGTTGATAGTTGTTGATTTTTGGACGAAGTTGTTTGTGGTCTCCGATCTGAATGAGCTGTTTGACAGACGGTGTCAAGGCCGTGAGAATGTGGCTTTCCTGAATTTCACCGGCCTCTTCCACTATCACAATATCCGGCTGCGCAGAAGCGATGAGTTTCGTGTACTTGGCAGCGGCGGTGGTTGTACACCCGATTATGCGCTTGTCGCGCAGGATTGAGACTTTGCTCTCATTGAATTGGGTGTCCATTCGCTCCTGGGCAAGATCGTACTGCCTGGCGATTTCTTGAACACGTCCAGCGTTTTCCTGGAGAATGCTCGAGAACCACTTTTCAATGTATTTGTTCCGTAGCAGAGGTGCAATGTTCCACACATTTTGATGGTTCTTGAGAGAGTGTGGTCCAAAAATGCCGGGCCCTTGCCCACATCTCCAACGTTCGTACAGATAGTCCTCAGCGATTGCTTTCCCCTTCTTTCCGACCTTCTTATAACCATCGTTTTCGGTTGGAACAAGAAAAGCCTCGTAGAAATGCGAATCTTCCTCAGAGAATTCGAGGTGGTCCTGTATGTCATGGAATGTTGGGTAGGTCTGGAGGTAACTCGAGAAAGCTTTGCGTAAATCCACGCTTTGTTCGGCAGCTTCTCCCTTCAACCTGTCAATAGCAGCCCACGCGTCTTTGGTTCGTCGATATCCGGATTGTTGCTTGGACAGAAGCAAAGAAGCAGTCCTCGGCGTGGACTTGGAGCCCAGTCGAACTATGGACTCTTCTTCAATGCCAAGATCTAGCAGGTCCTCAAGAAATTGATCCTCAGCGTGGTTGGTGTACGTGATGACGAGGATCTTGTAGTTTGTTTTCTGAATGATGAAATGTGTTGCAAGTGCACCGATGAAAGATTTACCGGTACCTGATAAAGTCAGTTCTGAAGTGTCTTGAGAATGGCTCCCGCCGAACTGGGGGCTTCCATAGGGCATCACAGTCAAGGGCGAGAAGTTTGAAAGCATGGGATTGGGAGGTTATGATGATTATGGGAAGAAGTCTGGGCGATGTCAAGAGAGTCTTGTAACGAACCTGGGGGGCCTTGAATAACGCTGACCTTCCTGGAGAGTGCGTTGATCAAAGACTGACGCTGAGAGTAATCCAGCTGGAATGTCTTGTTGACATGACCATTCTTAATCTCGATCGATACACCCGTGCGGTTTGAAGCAAGACGTTCAGTGATCAGCTGAATGGCCTTGTGTGGGGTGAAGTCATCTGTAGCTTGCGAAGCGTCCAGCAGCTGCTCCTGTAGAGGGAGTTCCATCATGTCCTTGAGGCGCTCCAGCACTGGCTCGTACGCAAAGACAGGTGTATCCACCAGGGTGAATCTGACGTCCTGCCTGGTCCTCAGCGCCAAGAGCGCCTTTTTAAACGCCTGGTGGTCTGTGAACTGTAGAATGACCACCGGGGGAGACTCGAGAAGACCATCAATCTCACGGTCAACAAAAGCAAAGCCGAAGATCTCATGCCCTTGGTAAAGAGCGCCGAATGCTTGGTGGCGAAGGTAACTCTTGTTGTCCTGGAGCCACTTCTTCTGAGCGTCACGGTGCTTCTTCCCGAGTTCCTCCAGACCTGCACCGCATCGAAGCGCAAGGGAACACTTCTTCCGTGCTTTTTCGTCCCCTAGTTCCAAAAACGCCGGCCAGAGCTTGCGAAGTGTGAGAGCCGACCTTCTCCCGCTCTTTCGGCCTTGTGCAATTTGCCAGTCACTCCTCAATTCCCCCAAGAGGTCCTCTCGAGTCAGCCGGTAAGTGTTATCCAAGTGAACTGCAGCTCGTTCTGACATGTCCGTCTCGAAGACCTCCTTGACCCGCCGGTAGAACGGCCGATCATTGGAGAGGAACTCGTCGGTGGTCGGGTAGACCGCGACCTTTCTGAAATCCGCAAAGTCGTTGTCATGTCTCCCACCCGGAGCAAAGCCATCAATGGACTTGCTGTTGGGAGATGTTCGAAGTTGCAACAGGCGCTGGATCTTGTAGCCTATCTTCCGGGTCTCCGGCGACGATGCTTCGATGAAACGCTTGCTCTGGTCCATAGGCACGACGTCTGTGAGAATGTCGACTTCTGCAGTCTCAGGCAGGGATAGAAGAGCGAAGCAGAGCCAGGAAAACACCTGGAACGCCTCCTCGTCGAGAGCACCGCTCCGAGCGGCAGTGACGAGCTCGTTCCAGAAGGTGGGCGGCTTGACAAGGGCCACGAGGGTGTGTTGGAGAAACTGCCCACCGGCGAGGATGCTCAACTGGGCGTCATCCAGGTATGCAAGGAATCGTAGTGTTTGTGTCTGCAGGAAAGAGACTGACAGGTCCACACGCACGGCCAGTTGCAAGGCCTCGATGCCATGTTTGCTGGCAACGATAGCCTCAACGCATGAGCTCGGTGCTGCTTGAGCTCGAGCAGCCTCAAAGAACAGTTTTGCATCGTTGGCAGACCGGATTTTCCGGTTCCCGTTGAGGACGTTGCGAAATAGGCCAGCGAGCCGGCCAGCTCTGGCAGAGTCTGCCGTGTCTTGACTGATGAGGGTCATGTTTGATATGAAGAGTCTGATCTCGGCCGGGAAGGCGGAAAACGACCTAGCGAGAACAATTGGGAAGTAGGAGAAGTACAACGAGCCAGGGACATTATATAAGTGTTAATGATGTTGAAGTTCCCGGTCACGGAGGCTGAGCCATTCGTGAGAGTTTGGCCCGCAGGTCGTGAGACAGTAACTTCGAAAGAAACAAAGACATCAAGCCTTGCTGAAAGCCTGACAACACTCCTGTACTACCGAAATGCGTCAGGACCGAAGTGGGATAAATTATGGCGGCACGCCATTCGTTGAACATCTCATCAGTTGGGTGGAAGGTAGGCCTCATGCATTGCCAAATCAGTGGGGCTCAGCATGAGGCCTACCAAATGCATGAGGCCTACCGCCCAGCCGCCGGACAGCAGGCAGGAGGGAGCCCGTCGTTGGTTCGTCGTAACGGCCTCCGACATTTGAAATGCAGATACGGACGAATGCCAATTCTCAAAATAACCATGCTGTGTATTCGACAAGGATTCTACCTCGCTGCCTGCTGGTGGAGCAAATAAACAGCGAGGGTGGTATGCGCAAGTAGACGCCGATCAAGGCCAAACACTGATCTGACCGACACGGAGAACTGACGCAACGAGACAGGATACGGAAAGCCCGGCCAACTGAATGGAATAAGTCAAAGGACCCAAGGAACACTCCCTCTGGACAGACTGAGTCGGGCTCCATTGATAATGTGTATAAATACGCCTCAGAACCGGGCGGATGACACACCACACGGCTGCTCTTCAACTGTCCATTTTGTTCCGGACTTGCTCAATGACATCCCAAATATATCTCGTCCATATAGACTCAACACAACAGTCTTAAAGCATGCCAGTGATGTCGAGCTCTAGAGAGACTTCTGACAACAAGTCATGGCAAGAAGGGGGAACTGGACGTGGACATGGAGAGTTCAGAGGCACAAGAGGAGTTTTCCAGGGCTTTGGTAGACCTGCCCGCCGAAACTTCTGGAAGGGCGCATCAGAACAACCTTCCAACCCTGAGCCTGCTCTGGGGTCTCTTCTTACCACGCTCAGCCAGGCTGATTTCACAAAGGCCGCGGTGAAATATGAGCCGGACTCGCGCATCACGGACTGTATGACCGTGACCTCATACAATTGGTTGGACAGGGCCAAGCCGACGATTGTTGTCCCAGGTAAGCCTCACTTTTCTTTCGACTCATTCGTGACTGACGTATGCAGGCAAACCTGCGAAGTGGACACCGCTGGTTGAGCCACGACAGCTCAAGCCTGATGATGGGCAGTATTTTCGCGATCCCAATGCCGCGCATCATCCGAAGCATCCCATGGAGCCCACGGTTCTCGCTGTCTTGGCTCAGAATACAAGAGATATTGATGTCGTCGCCTGCGGTAGTACTCTCGGAAACCTCCTGCGGTTTATCCGGGGCGAGGACAAGCTGTTCAGGTTTCTGGTGGAACTTGTCGAGGGAGCCGTATTCTTCGTTCGCAGGGAGAACACACCGCATGAGCTCATACCAGATGTCAAAGGATACGGCCACTCGTTCCCAGAGGCTTACACGACATGGGAGCTTGACGTTAAGGGATCTGTGTCGCACCAGCGAGTTCTCTCGTACCGATTTGGTGGCCTTAGCTTCCTAGTGAGATTTGAAGGCGACGGATACATTTTGGCCGAAAGCAAAGATGAGAAGGACGGTCACGCTATGTCATTCCAAGCCACTGAAGGAAAGCCGAAGGGCGCAGTCGAAAGGTCAGCAGTGGCACTCGACCAGAGTCGTGTAACTGCTTCTGCGCCATCTGCTGCCTCAGAATTGACGATGTCCCCTGCTGGAAAACTGGTCGACCAGGAGCACATCTTCGATCTCAAGACTCGGTCCATTCGGAGGAAAGAGGCGGCAACGTTCGAGGACACCTTTGCCGACCAGCTACCTCGATTGTGGGTGTCGCAGGTACCCAATTTCATTCTGGCGTATCACGACCGGGGGAAATTCGAGGATATCACCGTGAAGGATGCGCAGAAGGACGTCAAGGCCTGGGAGAGGGGCCAAGCTCGCGTCCTATCGCGCCTTGCTGCCCTCATCCATCACATCGTCGGCCTCGTCAAGTCAAGGCCCGATGGGAAGCTCGAGCTCCGTCACGCAAGAGCGGGATCACTGGAGGTTCGTGAGCAGCTGGAAGATGCTGGTGACGCGTTGTCCGACGCCGTGAAGGTCTTGTGGGCCAAAAGAAGGTGCATTACTGATGGTGTGGCGAGTGGGGGAGAGCACCTTGGGCACGTCGAGGACCTTGACTATGGCCGAGACGACGATGATGAGGGAGGCTTATTTGGCTGGGATGAACGGTCGGAGCCGGATTTCACCGCATGCTCTGCGGATGATTGTGGATACTGTGGACGATGCTCGTACTGAGGCGGGACTCAGCTCGAAATTGCAAATGTGTCTGAGTCCGTTGGGACGGACGAGCAATCTTTCATTATGTCTAAAGCTGAGTCGACGATTGAGAAGTTGTCAGGTATGGGGCGTTCCTTCCTCAGGTGTCTTTGCTGCCGACAGCTGGCCCCCAGCTGCCAGAAGAGGGTAGACATTGGCGCCGTTGCAAGCAGTTGCTAGATTGAGAAGCATCTTCCCTTCTTCTTGTCAGCTGGCAATGGCCCTTTACACGATTACTCGGATGTGAGCGCGACACTGGAGACGCAATGGCCCTACCGACATACTCAAGATGAAGTGCAGGTGCAGCCGACTCGGCAGACTCGCAAGCCTCGGGCGACCGACCACCCAGCCCACCACGGGACTCCAGTGGCATCGCTGCCACTGCCATGTACTTAACCGCGATATATTCCAGCAATCTGCTGCACACCGCGTTCACAAAAGCAGCAGCAGCAGCAGCAGCAGCACTACAGAGACTGGAAGCCATGCCAGTGGTGTCACAGTCATGAGCTTGTCCCCCAAGCGCAAACGTTTGTGGCACACCACCGAGATACCAGCCAGCCAGCCAGCCAGTGAGTCTCGTCAAATCCAGGCAAGACCTGCCAGTGTCACACGAAGACGTCGAGGCACAGGCCGAAGGACCGACTGGGCAATATGGCTACTCTCAGTGAAACTTGCGACAAGCACGGAGTACAACTGTCTCTGGCCAAGGCCAGCCAACCAGAAATGCTCTGTGCCATCAGGAGCCAGAATCCCACCTTGCGACAGACTGCCCCTGATAAGCGGTAGCGTTACCATTCGTCTGCGCCTATCCGCCTTGACAGAGCCATAGAGCATGGACTTTAGCTAATCAAGAAGGTGCTGGGGGAAAAGCACGACCTTGCCAGCTCCCTGAGGCGGTGAAGACGTGCGCCAGGCTTGGCTTCCACGAATTGCTGCATTTGGTGCAAGCCATGGACGCAGGAGGCCTAGCAGACTCATGCCATTCAGCCAGGTCATGTTGATGCTGAACCGTCATGCGATTATGACAATCAGCAACAGCCTGCAGAGATCGATATTGCAACCATCACGGGAGCGAGGTCTTGGGAACACCGCTTCGCATGTGCGCGCCTGCAGCCACTCAACTGTTTCCCGGGCCGCGCCGTAATCCAGAAATGGCCACCACTGGGAGTTACGTGTCTGCTGTGGTTGACCCCAGACCCCGCGTCTCAACCCCACGCGCGCCGCCCCTTTGCCCCAGGTACCTGAACTGGAGGGCAAGCATGACAGAAGCTGCCAGTCAGGATGGCCACAGACTCTGCGATAGCCATCTTCCTGAGACCACGCCCCGCAACTTTGTTGGGGCCCCTGTCTGCATCTCCAGACGTGAAGTGCAGTGGACGCTGTTACGTCAAAGCCAATCCAGCGGATCGCCTGGCAGGTCGGAGCCATTTCAGCCAAAATTACACTACAGATACGTACAGGTACCGTGCGTCCGGCGTGGGGGGACGGCTCTATTCACCTGTCGTGGATGCATTGGCCAATGCAACGAGCACGCGACATCCGAGCCGTGGCTGGGTAAATACTGTCTCGGCTGGGGTGCCATCAGAAACCTTGTTATTGGAGATGCACAGGATGCCCAGCGACGCTTGTTGATCATCAACATCAAGACGATTGAATTGTATTACAGTAGATGGGCACCTCGCAAACCAAGACAAGACCACAGGCAATCGAGCCGCTCCAAGCGTCAGCTGCGTCACCGGCGACTCCACAGACTGAATGGTGTCAATCGGCCGCCCTCCGATTCGGTGGATCGACCACTTGCGGAGCATTTCGACGCGATGAGATGCGATGTCCTGCATCTGCATTTGTCCGTCTTATCGATAAGTAGGGAACCGTTGCACTGGATATTTTATTCAGGGACCTCAGGGACCTCAGGGACGTCTTGTTGGTCGTCGGCCTATCGGACTACGTAGTCTGTCTGCCGTCCCGGGCTGGCTGCGTTGAGATGGATCGCAGCAACTTGTCGGGTGCACACAGCCAAGTCCGTGGATCCCCCGGGACCGCCCATCACAGGCGCATTCATCCGCCTTCTCCATCAGCCTTGGGCGCCAATCTTGGCTGATTCTGACTCCCATATCTGACGTTGAATTTGGGTTGCAGAAATACAAGGCAAGGCATTGGTCGCCTCCACTGACTCGGCTCCGATCCATTACGTGACGAGAACTCAACTTCCTATGCGGATGCCGGCACCATCCTTTCCCTGTTACCTAATGACCACTCCCCTTCCGGCATTTCCTCGCACCCCGTCGCCATCGGTGTCGCTGGTATCCTCGACATGCCATGTGCCGCCTGCAGTATCGCGCCTGCCAGCTTCAGCCGCATAGGGCCCTGCCAACCGCGCTGCCAACATACGCAAAACCGCTGGCCCCGGCCTTCTCGCCTGCTGTTAGCGACCCCGGCCCGGCCTGAGTCCTGTCGACTTTTACATCCGAGGCGGCCCCAGCCGGCTTCCGAACATTTGCAATTGTCATTATGAATTTCATCCTTGATAAAGGTCACGCTTTTGACTGCCCGTTATCTTTCCCGCATCTCATCGCAACGTTGTCGGTCTTGGTAAACGCTGACCGACATGAAACACCACTATCGCCCCGAGTCTGTTGAAGATGAGGTCGATCATCGGGCCCAATGCCACAGGCCACAGACCCCAATGACCACACCTCAGCTAACAACCGCCTATGCTTTCACGCAGAGACGGGGCTAACATGGCGGGGCCCCGGCACCGCGCGACATGGATGAAGTCTGTGTCTTTTCTGCCGCGGGCTCGTGCGACTGACTCTCTGGGCAGCCCGTTTGTCTCATTGCACTGCCAACAGCATAGCTTCCCAGCAAGGAAACGGCCGACTTTCTAGCTCATCAGGACAAGTACTGTATCACAAGCATTTTTCTGCCTTGGACCGTTGGATCTCCCCCAGATCCGTACGTAGCCCACCAAGGTCTTGCCCTGCTTCTCCTGGTACACCTGTGAACCCGAATTTCCCGGGGGTTCGTGGGACGGAAAGAATATCTCACCTCTTTTTTGACTACCATACCGTCATTCTCACATGCTTTCTTCCTTACTCTTCCCAGAACCACCCTCCTCGCTTCCTGTCATCGCCAGCTGCGCGCCACCCTTCTTCATTCACTTTTGCATCCTCTCGCGCACCTTATCGCCGGCAGAGGAGAACGAGACGCGGGCACAAGGCCATAGGCTATCATTCGCCCAGAGGAGCTATGCTTGACGGAAATAATTCTCAATACAAATGACACAGATAAGCCAAGCTTATCTCATCCTGGTTTCGATCATCACCTGGGAACCCCTAGCCCTCGAGGTCTGGCCCAGCATCTCGCACACTCCAGGTCGTCCTCTCTCTGCTGTGCACAATTTCCACGAGGACTCGCTCTCATTTTCATCGAAGCTGGTGCCCGCGGAGCTGTTCCCAGTGATAAGGTCAAACGAGTGGCTTGTTCCTGCAGGCTTGCAACTCCCATACCGCGGCACTTGTGCATTCCCCGACAGCCACAAGATATCGCGGTCAACGGGCACGGCGGTATTGGCCGGGCACAGTATAGCCACCTGCATCTTGTGCGCCCGTGGTACGGGACGTGCATATCGTCAGCACGATAAGCTCCTGGGTACCTGGCTTTGCCTGGAGTTATATCCATCCCCGCGGCCCCTGTACTCAGTATCCATCCCGTTCCCCCGGACGTCCTTATCTACAGGCCCCTTATCAGACATCGTCACCATAACTTTTGCCACCGCGGTACCCCATCGTGCTGTCCTTTCTAGCTGGGGGACAAGCCGCGGCTCCTCTTTGGCTGTCATATTTCGCTGACAGCACCGTGCCAGCCTGAGTTGCCTAAGCTGGCCTGGCCTGGCGAATTACATCACACCACCTGCAAAACAATCATCCCCCCAAAGGGCCTATCTAAGAGATATCGGCTTAGCAGCCCTGTCACCGTGCGACAGGGACCCCCAATATTTTTGTCTTGGTGTCTGCGGCCAGCAAGCCCGTAAGACGGGACGCACATACTCTGGCCGTGATAAGCGGACCGTTTCGAGCCCCGTGTCGCCTGGACACACCCTGGGCAAGGCGATCGCTCACACCTGCTGCCGGGACTAAGTCGAAACTTGATATTTGTGGCTGCCGGCCTTGTTTCTTTCCCTCGACCTTCAGTATGTCGATACCAAGCGCCATTTCCAGGACGGCTCCCATAGCCATTGCACCTAAGCCCAGCCGGTTCTCGACGACTGGCCGTCCTGGCAATATCCACACAGACACATATTCCGGAAGCTTCAACAACAGCGGCTTCGACACACCGGATTCCTTTGGATCTCCGTCGACAGGGATTCCCGCCTGGCCTTGCGAGGCTTGCCAATTACGCCGAATCAAGTGCGTGATGAGCGACGACGACGATGCTTGTATCTCCTGCCGAACCCGGGCCACAGAATGTTCGTTGGTTGGTAGTCCGCCTCCTCGGAAACGCAAATTGCATGGCGATCATAGTGAGAGCAGGAGCAAAAGAGGGTCAGTGACTTCACCCATACTCAAATGACATTCCACATGCCCATCTCCTACCAATCTTCACGGGCCGCAGCGTATTGCAAGCCTTATCTACATTTGCGAGCGCCTTTGCTGGGATCAGGCCCCTTACCCCGTATGTGACCACACATCGACTGACATTTGATTGGCCCCGATCTAGCTCACCTGGAAGGTATGATAACAGGAGCGGGCGTCAGCAACACTCCAGCTTGTCCAGCACTGCCGCCAGTAATTCTTTCATCGAAGAGATGGCCAACTTCGGAGGGCCAACTCTTCTCAAACGCAGTCTTGGGCTGCAAGAGGACCGGTACAGCCAGTACGTCGGGCCCACAACGGACTTTGAGCCGTCCCTGATCAACCTCTCTACCTTTGACCCTCACGATGAAAGCCTCTTATCACGAGGAACGCTCCGGAAGGTCAGCGACGATGACACCTTCTTGCTCCTCCCGGACAAGAACACGCCAGGGTATGAGCACATCTACGATGACATCGACGAGATTGAGAGCATCGTCGCGCCGCACGGGAAAAGGCTCGTGGACCTTTACTTCCGCATCGTCCACCCGGCCTACCCCATCATCCAGAAGAATGTCTTCTACGAAAAGTACGAGCGCTCACCCAGGGAGTTCTCGCCACCCCTGCTCGCCGCCATGTATATCCTGGCCATCAACTGGTGGGACCAGGACGATGATCTCTCATCCCTCCCCCGACCCAATGTCAGGCGGTTAGAGAGGCTGGTCCGCACGACACTTGCAGATGCAATGTACCGTCCAAAGCTGTCCACCGTTCAAGCTGGGCTGCTGCTTTCGCAAAGACCCGAAGGTGACCAGTGGGCACCGACGGCACAACTGATCGCCATCGCACAGGAGCTCGGATTGCACCTCGACTGCTCGCACTGGAAAATACCTCTGTGGGAACGGGGTTTGAGGAAACGACTCGCTTGGGGCCTATATATGCAAGACAAATGGGGCGCACTGATACACGGGCGGCCTTCGCACATCCTGGCCTCTCAGTGGGCAGTCCAGCTGTTGGGGCCGAATGACTTCCCCGACGTGGAGTGGGAGGAAGACGACGCAGACGGGAGGGACGACATCGACAAGGGCCGCACACTCTTCTCGCAAATGGTCCAGTTAACACAGATTATGAGCGAAATTCTCGAGACCTTCTACACCCTGCAGGCCATGCAGAATGTCAACAACGCCGGATCGCAGGGGACCCATCTCGTGCTCTCGCTCGCAAAACCGATCCAGCTGAAGCTGAAGGAGTGGTACGCGGCGCTCCCGGCGGCGATTCGGATGGACTCGACGTACCAGACCCCCGTTGCCAACGCAAACTCGAACCGCCTGTCGAGTATCGGATACCTGCACCTGGCCTACTTTGCTACTGAGATAACCCTCCACCGTCGCATCGTCAGGTCCCTGGCGCAGACGCATCCGGCCCCGTCGTCGAGCGACTCGGGCGCGCCGCCCGCCACGTCGTCCTCGGCAGCGTCGGCCAGCGACAGCTACATCCTGCACATCTGCCGCAACGCGGCCAAGGCGCGCCTGATCTCGGCCATGGATTTTGTCAACCGGCTGACGCCGTCGCACCTGCGCGCGTTCTGGTACTTCGCGTCCAAGACCAACTTCGCGCTCATCGGCACCTTCGGCTCGTTGCTGTGGGCGACCAGCCCCGGCCGCGAGGAGGCCGAGTGGTACCGCCGCCGCCTCGGCGAATACCGCTGGACGCTGTCGGTGTCGTCCAAGCCCGGTGAGGGCCGCGGCCTGACCGAGTTCGCCATGGGCATGCTTGACATCTCCACCGGCCTGCTCAAGAAGCTGCCCGAGAAGCCCACCACCATGAGCCGCTCGGGCAGCCTGACGGGGTTAGCAGGCGCGTCCGGGGCCAGGCGCACAAGCCTGCTGGCGCTGGGCGGCGGGGGTGGCGCCGGCATGAGCATGGGTAGCTTCGGGTCCGGCAGCTACGTCGTCTCCGGGGTTGGGGGCGGCACGGGGAGCGCGGACGGCGGCCTGATGGACCTCGACACGAGCGGGGGCAGCGGCGCGCCCAGCGGGATGCACTCCCCGCGCAGCCAAGGCGACGACGCGGACCGCAGCGACGACAGCGGGAGCTCCGACGAGGCGATGGGCTACGGCGGCGGCTTTGCGCCCACGGCGGGTATGGCGAGCATGACGGACTGAGCGGGTCGGGCTCGATTCGGTTCTGGCCAGCTTTGCTCGGGTCTCGGGCCTTGGGATGGCGGCTGTCCGGAACTGTTCGCGACGGGAACGATGCACTCTACAATTGGGACTCATAAGAATCGAGGGCTCAGATTGCTACGAGAATGGTGGCAAGAAGCCTATTTAACAACGCGGTACGGTTTGCTGATCACTACCCCCTTGTAGGGAGGGGTAGGGCGGCCGATGAGCCGCACTCAAGCCACGCTCACGACATGTGGCGTGCTCAAGGTGTGTGTTTGGAACCAACGACTCACCACTCGCCGTATATGGATTGGGTGCGCGGCCGATTATGTGCGGCCTTCAAAAGTACGATAAGCTGTTACACATAAGGGACTGGGCAAGCGCGAAGGAATTTTACCTTTGAGTAACGGGAATGATGCGATGCAACAGGTTACTGGCATCGTCTCTCAACCCCCCTCGCCCCCGTCCGCCCTCACGCTCACCCATCCTGCTCATGTAGATATCATTGTGGTGGTGCGGAGGCTTGGACTGGACATGTGTGTATGTTTTCGGATTACGTTTATGTTGTAGATGATTGATGGATTGGACGAAAAACAAGCGAGGCATCTTTGGGGGGATGAGTTGGGTATTTCTCTTTCCTTGGTTTCTTTTCTCTCTTATCTTGTCCATCTGTCTGTCTCCATCCTGCATTGGTAGCAGCTCTGTCGCAAATACCCTCCTGTTATATAGAGATGTCTGCAATTTCATCATCATCATCATCATCATCATCATCATCATCACCCTGTATCAAGACCGTGGTTGATGCCCATCGCGATGGTTGAGAGGCCTGATTCGACATGCTTCGAAACTGCCCAGTGGTTATGCATATCTCCATCCCTCGGGTAAGAAGGCTGCAGCATGTTGATGGTATGCCCTGCTTGCTTCTTTGCTTCCAGCGTTGGCAACTAACCATCACATTGACCTCAGCTAAGGTGCCCTGTTGGAACAGGACAGCGGATTGCAACGAAACAATGCCCGTCACTCGCGAAGACCAGTCGAAACTGCCCCCTCCCCCAACAACAACAAACGACGAGCATATTGCCTCTCGAGTCTACAGCGAGACCCTCTGGAGATAATTGACAAACTTCGTTCACAAGCCAGTGTCACTCAAGGCCCTCTTCTTGGCCCGGCCCAACCCTTGTTTCGTTTAACATGCTGAGGATCGTCGTCTTACCCACTCAACCAGGGGCCGCCGCGGCCCGCTCGGTTGGTCTCTGCCGCTCGGATTCCGGGGTGGATCCCACGAGCTGCCCAAGCCTTATGTACGTAGCAGCCCCCCCCCTCAGAGGATGTTTGATTGTAAACATTCGAGATGCTGTGCACGAAGGCTCAACTGTGTCACTAAATGTGCATATAGGCAAGCAGTACAGCATACTACCTTCTCTGTGTATAATTATGCCCGTCACCGACCATCACATGCCCTACCTACCCCTAGCTGCGACCATGTCATCCAGTGGGGCTCGGCAGCACACCGAGCCTGTATACGGCACACGCGAGTTCTGACTCGATCACGTCGGGCTTTGAGTGCTGGGAAATATGACATCGGAGTATGGCCGGGGCCGGGCAGAGGTCGCTGGTTCTCCTGGCTGCCGGGGATGTACCCTCCCTCTCCTTTCTCATACATAAGTACATACATGAGCAAATGGTCAAGGCTTGTTCACGTTGACACATATCAGATCAGTGGTCACCAAGCTTGCCGGCAGATTCTCGGGTTTCCAAAATACGTGTAGTGTGCTGCCAGCGCGATGGTGCGCACAATCCATGCAATGCATATTGCACGAGTTATACCAGCATTGTGGTTCGTTCGTCCAGCACGTGGGCTGCATTGCAACCGTGGCACTGCTGTGGTCTGCCCTCCTCGGTCCCCGTGGACAGTTCAGCCGCTCGACCGCGACCCGCAAGTGATCCCACAGTAAACGGGGATCACGGTTAGTGCTGGGACTACATGGGGCCAGTATCCCCTCGATCTGGCTGGTTTCGTAAGAAAGAGGGCTGAAGACGGATCGAAAGGGCTTCGGCTACTGCACGTCTAAGAATAACCTTAAACACCCTCTCCCACTTAGCACCCGCGGAAGAGATCAAACTTGAGAAACGTGTGCTTGCTTTGGTGATGAACTCTTGGGACATGATTGTCTTCCGTGGCACCTGCCTCTAACCCACGCGGTACCAAATACGACAGCAGCCCACACGCCCTACCCCGGCACTCCACCATCGCCTCACTTGGACATGGCCTCTCTCCCTGGTGCATGATATCGAGTCAGGGCCATGCTGCCCTCTCCTGAAGGGTCACATCGGAATATGGTAGTATAGCACGCTTGTCGGGCGGTTGCCGTGAAGGGCAACCAAGAAAGGCGAGCGGGCGGCTGATCGTTCTCGCGGCAGGGAGACATTGGTCCTCAGGCGCCTCCACAGAAGCAGGTGAAGGGGGTTTGACAACCATCTTGACCGAGCTCGCCAGGCCCTCTGGAGCAGGTATAAGAAGTCGGCCGTCGTTCCTGCTCGAGTCGACTGGGAAATCCTCCATCAGCAGGCCCAAGATCCTTCACAGCCACTCTCCAGCCCTACCACTCTTTCTCACACCAAAACCCCATCCAAAAATCCAACATGGTCGCCATTGTCCGCCTCGGCCTCGTCCTCCTCGCCAGTGCCATCACGGCACAGGCCTGCACATACTGCCAGTGCAAGTTCCAAGACAGCAGCCACTGCTGCGTCTACTCGGTGAGCAGCCACAGCCAGCGCCCCCCCCCCCCTGATCTGGGAAGAGAAAAAGAGGAAGAAGGAGAAGAAGAAGCCCTTGAGGACTGACAAAAGCGCATGCGCGCACCACCACAGGATCCCGAGGTCGGCAACCAAGACTGCACCGCCATCTGCGCCAACGCCCACCGCGCCGACGGTGTGAGCAACGACGACGGCACGGCGGGCACGGCTTGCAACGCCGGCGGGAAGTATGAGTGCATCTCCCCCATCACCGCCCAGGGCCGCACGCCTTGCTACAAGCAGTAATGGAGAGGCCTTGCTAGAGCAGGACAGGGGGTCGGGGTTGTAGCTGAGGATTATGACATGTGATATGGGCCGGACGGAAGACAGGAGTGGTGCCGGCGGGACCTGAGCTGATTCGAGCATGCTTGAGATGTACATAATGAGTGACGAATCAAGTGTACATATTGCTGTGTTTGCTTTGCCTGGACACAGCCAGACCCATTGGGTCGTGAGGCTGAAAGCGTGCTGCCTTGGACCACAAGGCCCAACGTGGTGGATGACGGAGCCAGCGAACCCGTGGGCCATCTCGCCGAGGAGCAGCCGCATATTGCTGTGGCATCAGCAAATGCGCGTGGCACAAGAACACAAGCTTTTCCGGGACACGCCACGGGCATGCAAGCTTTCTTGGGACCCGCAAAGTGCAGGTACGGCAAGCCCCCGTCGTACATATAACTGGACAGCCCCGGCTGATCGACCCGTAAACGACCAACGGGCCCTTCTGGACTGACTCGATGTTTCGTGAGGGCTGCCCAAAGAGGTACTTCGGTTGCCCCATGGTCCGCGGAACTTGCCGACCAGAATATCGCATCGAACGTTGCCAACGGTCTAATTGTCCATATATCGGACAGGCGCCCAAAGCAGTGGCTGCTTCGTACTCTGTTGTCCAGAAACGATCCCTTGGTCGTGCTCTATCTTCCATCGAAGTTGTCTCTTTTACCGAGTGTTTTAAGACGCACGCCTAGTGTGACACCAATTTTCAGGCGCTTTCGTACAGCGCGGTATGGCCTTGCGACTGTGGGCTGCCACCGAATTCGATAGCCACGGTGCACATGGTGGTGGGGGCGCGGGTCTTATGGGGTTGGATGGAAAGAACTGGATGACATTGACTCCTGATCCGGCACGCTCACAGTCCCACTCGCCACGATCATGTGTCCTTACTCCAACCACCGGGTATACCAAGCACCAAACGCCATCTATGCACCCTGATCACAGCACGAATTCCAACCACAGAGCTGGCGCCCCACCCGAACTCCCGTCACCCTCGACCGCCCCTACTGGTCCCGGATGGCATCATAAACAGCACCGAGATGCCCCAGGCCGAGCTCCTTCCGGGGGTACGCCAGGACCTCCGTGTACTTGAGCCCGAGGTGCGCCGTCAGCACCTGCAGCAGCCTCGTGCCGGCGGCGGGCCCCACGGCCCAGCAGGAGCGCGCGCGGTGCAGGAGGACGGCGTAGTACGCCAGCACGGCGACGAGCTCCGGCAGGCCCGTGGAGAGGGCCTCGACGAAGGCGTCGGGGACGGAGAGGGCCCACCAGATGGGCAGGTGCTCCGGGCTGGCGGTTGCCGCGGTGGCGCTGCCGCCCTCGGCGGAGGAGGCGGACGATGGCGCGTCGTTGCCCATGTCGATGGCGACCTGGAGCCCGTCCACGGCCGTCAGGCACGCGGCGAGGACCTCGGGCGACAGGCCCTGGAGGGCGGCGACCCTCGCGAGCAGGGCGTCGGTCTCGTGGCCGGCCGGCTGCCTCTCCGCCATCGCGCGGCCGTGCTGCAGGAGCGGCTGCGGGTCTGATGAGGGGTGGGCGAGGTCCGACGCGGCCAGCGCGTGGCTGCTCACGCTGCGGTGGAGCCGGATGTAGTCGAGCCACCTGCCGAGGAAGTCTTGTAGCGAGTTGCGCTGCTGGCACTCGTCCGCCTCGGGCTGCGATGCTGACGGCTGCTCGTCGAGGGCGGTCAGGGTGTCGCACAGCCCGTGGGTGCCCAGCATCGCCGAGAAGGCCAGGACTGGCGTGCTCTGCCTTGGGTTCGTGAGCGACGGGAGCACGGGACTTGAGGCGTTGAATATCGTGATGGCGTGCGTCTGGAGCTGCAGCGCCAGTCGGAGGTAGGCCGCCCTCCTGTCCTCGTCGGCTGCGTGTCTGCTCTTGTCACGAGCTGATATCGCTAGGAGCTGGTGCATAAGGTAAGGCACGTGGACCGAGAGCTCCAATGCGCTGGCCTTCATCGCGGCCGCCATCTCTGGAGTCGCGAGACAGAAGAAGTAATTGCTGGAGGGCGGCTGCGAGAAGTGTTGGTACAGCTCGAGATGCACCATGTTGACGTTCGGATCGTCCCCACCCGATCCTTTTGCTGCAAATACTGTCGGTCTTGGTCCTGTGAGACCTGCTCCAAGCCCTCGACTAGCCACCGCCACAGGCGGCGGCGGCGAGTAGTCCGAGGTTGCCGTCGGACATGGTGCTGAGGTGCTCACGGGGGATCTCCGGCTCGGGGGCGAAGCAGCACCGCTTGCTGGGTACGAGCATGAGCGTTCTGCTATACCGCAGTTGAGACAGCTGGGTCGGGTCTCATCGCACTGTTGTAGGGGGAAGGCCAGTCGTAAGTTAGCTGTTTCTGTTCTTGTTTGTTGTAAGTGGTGTATGCTAGCCGCCCCGCAAGACAGCATCGACCCAAGTCGCCGTCCTGAGTCGAGCTACGGGGCTGCTCCTCTCCACGAGACCCACCATACAATGCTCCATGATAGATGGGGGCATCACAAACCTTGATGTGTCGCCTCTTGCACTCAAGACAACCTCGTCTTGACTTCTTGTGGCTTCTGCGCAACATCTTTGCAGCGGCTCCTTCGATTGGCGCCATGTTATGCAGGTTGGTGTCATCCGGGACGGGTTCAGGACTGGAGGGACGAATACACGTATTCACAAAGAAGGCAGCGGATCCGTAGCGGCACGAAGACTCGTAAGTCTTGACGCAAACTGCGGGCCATCCTCGCGGTGGGACGACCAATATGGAGCGCACAGGGCGACTGGGGTACTTGTAAGGTATCAAGGAGCAAGGACTCAATTCACCCAGCTTTGCGTTGCCGTCTTTCCCGCGAACTCTAACAATTAGACGGGGGGTTAATGAAATTGGCATTGCGGACCACAGCTCTAATAAGTCCAGTCCAGCTGAGGACTATTTGGTTCTTCTTGGTCTGAATGTCAACTCGGCCTGAGGTATAATCATTGCTGGCGTTGCACAGTCCTCAGCCTGCACTTTGTCACGACCATTCTTGAGGATCATCTCGGTGAGATCGATCGACAGGAAAGCTGAAAGTGTCAATCCGGTACAAGATCGCTGGTGATGCTCAGCAGGGCCTGAGTAGTCCGCCCCGGGTCCCCCACCGGGATAAACTGCCTCATTTGAGCGAGCTGCACTGGAGCTGTCCTCTTGGCGGAAGAGGTCAGGCCCACGGTCCCACAAACCGAGTCGAAGCTTCTCTTTTGAGTTAAATCTGAGCGACGTCTGCCACGCTAGACCCCTCGAGTTGTCCGAGCTCGGGTCGGCATAGGAGCGTGTACGCGTATACCGTCGTAGTATGACGTTTAGCCTTGATGATAATGCATGATTAACGGCTTCGGATCGGGGCCAGCCGCCTGGACGCGACGTCTATATTCATGGATATGCCAGGCGCAGTCCAGCCGAGCCCACCGGAATGCATCACTGTGGAACTATGTCGATTCCGCAGCGTTACCTGTCGCGCACGCTTGGTCCGCAGAAAGAACGGTGCGGGGGCCATGCAATGTGAATGCTGTAAATTCGAAATGCGCAGTCGAGTGCTGCGCCGTTAGTGGCTTTGCGTGAGTCATCCAATCGCAAGTGCGCAGCAAGCCAGCCTGTCTGTCCTGTGTGGCGTCGGCCCATGTGTTCGACATGCCAGGTGGATCTATCAGGACGTTTCTGGGCGACCACCTAATTCGCATTACCGAACGAATCAGTCTCAGATTTCAAGATGGCGTCTGTGGAACACAAGACTTGGACCTATGGCGACGGTGCAGCCAGGACTTATCTGTGTTCTACCGACCCCGGCCTCCTGCAACTGGACGCCCTAAACGCCGCGCTCGGTTCGGACATGCTCTGGTGGGCCAAGGCCCTGCCTGAGGACCGGCTGCAGACGCTGGTCAATAACTGCATGATCATCGGTCTCTACTCGCTCGAGCCTGAAAATTCGGGACAGCCCATCAAAGGTAATCTGGTCTGGTCCATCTCTCGCGATGATGATCGTGACTGACGTGGTCGGCCGGTAGACCAGAAACGCACAATGATCGGGGCCGCAAGGCTTATCACAGACCGCGTCACCTTTGGCTACCTGACGGATGTGTACGTCCTCGACGAGCACCAGCAGAGGGGCCTCGGTAAATTCCTGATGAAGTGCCTGAACGAGATCGTGGAGAGCTGGCCCGAGCTGAGAGCTCTGTGGATCCTCGCAAGCAGCCCTGAGAACCAGAAGATGTACGCCAAAATCTTTGATGCCCAGGACTTCTTCGCAACCAACAAAAACCCCAACCTGAAGCTGCTGGAGAAGAAGGGCCCCGAATCTAGTCACTGAAACTCATCGCTGTACATTATGTATTGCGCAAATTCGTGGTAGTGAGGGGAGAAACCTGCCATGCCCGCCGAATGCTACTGGGCGCGGTACTTCATAGAATAGACGCATTGGTGTCCAGGACCAGAAAGGGTTATCAATTCGGATTCAGCTCTTCACTGTCTTGCCGTATGCTCCTCCAGCCGCCCTCCTCATCTCGATAGCTCGTTTGTAGGGCGGAGCCGTAGGAGGCTGGACTGGATCCAGTGTGATGTGGTCTTCCGGCAATTGATATGACGCGTCTGAGTCAAAGGCAGAAAGGTCACCGCATGCAATGAAGGGCGCGATCCACCGTACGTCCTTCGCATCACCATCTGTCATGTCGTCTATCTCGACCTCGACCACACCATCTGACCGAACATGGGAGCTGGCCTCTGGCGCGACGTCCCAAGCGCCGGTGGCCGAGTTCTGCATCGTCGTCTTCGCAATGATGGGCAGGCTATCGGTCCTTTCTTTTATCATCTGCGGTAGTTTGTGGCCGACACCAAGCGGCTCGTCCAGACTTGCTATGAAGCCTGGCGGGGGCTGGAAGTTGAGACAGACGATGAAGGCTTCGATACTGCTGGCTCTCGAGGAGCGGGGCTTGGCCACGACGACGCGCTCGAAAAAGAGTTTCAGCTGCGCGTACAGCACATCGACGTTCCTGCCGCGGAAGATCTTGGCGACGAATTTGCCGCCCGGTTTCAGCACGCAGAGGGCCAGGTTGAGGGCTGCGAAGAGCAGCTGCGACTGGACGTAGATGTCCAGGTCGTGGAGGCCAGTTACGTCGGGCGCGCCGTCGCTCAGCACCAGATCCACGGGGTGAGAAGCCTGCTGGCTCCTCTTGCTAGCGTCGTACTCGGGGTCCAGTGCTTTCAGGAGCAGAGGGACGGTCGCCGGGTGGGTGATATCGGCGCGGAGAGTGACGATGCCTGGCAGCGGGCTTATCGGCTGCAGGTCTATGGAGACGATCTTGACGTCCTTGCGCGGCTTGAGCTCGTCGCCGGTTTGCTTGACGTCAATGCTTGCTGCTGCCTCCGGGGCAAAGACGCGCAGCATTTGCTGCCGCAGCTGGGCCTCCTTGTCCTGCCATGCTGCACGGCCGAACTTCTCACCCTTGATGAGCACCCGGGACAGGACTTGTGACCAACTTCCGGGTGCTGCGCAGAGATCCACCACCCGGGTCACGTCCTCGAACAGATTGAATTCTGTGGAACATGTCAGTGCATGCATGGGTCATGGACGAGACAGCCGCGAAAGGGTGGGGGGAGAAGGGCTGCAGTGTGTTGAACGGACCTTCATCGAGCTGAAGTAGCTTGAAGGCACTTCGAGCGCGCCAGCCTTGCTCTTTTGCAAGCCTATAGTAAGCATCGCGCTTGTCCTTTGAAGATTTCCCCATTGCGAAATTGGGAATTGGATCAGATCTAAGACGGTCTCGAGGAGCGTCGCTTGAACAGGTTGCTTCGAAGGTTACTCGCCAAAAATTTCCCTCGGCCAGGGTCTGCAGCTCACAGGGGTCCAAAGTCAAATGGTGTTAGCGAGTACCCCCAGATACACTGATACACTGCGTAAGCGCTGGCCCGTTCCACGATAAGGATGTGCTCAGAGACGCAAGAGTATGACTGCTTTTGGATGGTTTCCAATCTGGATTTACATTACATAGTAGGATTACAGAAGAATATCTCAGGTGAATACACACAAAGTAGATTTATCAGCCAGCGAATCCCCTACTGGGAGGAGGTACGGAGGGCCGAGTCGGTCAAGTCTCTCGCTAACGAGCGTTGAGATGCTAGTAGCTTGCGGTCGTAGGGCTGAATTAAGCTCGTGGTACGTGCGGATTGACCCCCACCTAGCTCTGCCGCCCGGGTGCATTTTTTTCTCTCTTCGTACATGGAGGTCTGTTGAAAGGGAAGACCACCGACTTCGCACACCCCCTCTTCACCCTCACTTTTGTAGTCGCCAATCAACCACCTTACCAGCACCTTCCGAGGCAAACAAAATGGTCGAGAAGAGAAAGAGACAGGCCGTTGCCAATGCGCCCGTAAAGAAGAGGAAGAATGCTCCCGCCAAATCCTCCAAGTCCTCCAAGGCCAAGCGCGTCGTCGACGCCAACTCGCTAGCATGGAAGCCCGTTGAACTGCCCGAGATGTTCAATGACGCCGAGGGCTTCTTTGGCCTCGAGGAGATCACAGGCGTCGACGTCGTGCGCAATGGGAACGTAGTCAAGTTTGTAAGCTATCTTCTTTGCTCCCTCTGCCACTCAATCACCCCGGCCACTAACGTCGGACCAGGTTACAACCGACGACACCCCTGCCCCCACCGAAGACGATGGCGATGAGTTCGAAGGCTTCGGAGATGATCCCGCGGAAACTCCCATAGACAAAACACACGATGAAAACGAGGAATCATCTCCCTCGGGACCCGATGCGACAGCGCCCACCAAGAGCAAGACCAAGCACGACGCCACAAAGGAGACACAACAGACACAGAAGAAGGACAAGAAGCAGCAGCAGAAGAAAAAGGATAAAGGCACAACGCAGACCGAAGGGGACCAAGAACTGGAAAGCAATGTGTTTGCGTCGGCCGGGGACGCTGCGGTAGACGATGCCGGGGAGGATGTGGACATGTCAAAATGGGCGCACCTGGACCTATCTCCGCAGATGATCGCCTGCCTTGCGCGGCTCAAGTTCACAAAACCGACAGATATACAGTCTGCAGCTATACGAAAGATAATAGCTGGACGCGACGTTATCGGCAAGGCTTCGACTGGATCCGGAAAAACGCTGGCGTTCGCGATACCCATTGTTGAGGCGTGGCTTTCGAGGCAGGGAGAGGGTCAATCCGTGGAAAAGAAGTTACCAATAGGCCTGATCATGTCCCCGACCAGAGAGCTTGCCCACCAGATCACAAATCACATCAAGGCGCTGTGTGAAGGGCTCACCACACCACCATATATCTGTTCAGTAACGGGCGGTCTGTCGGTGCACAAGCAACAACGGCAGCTTGAAAAGGCAGACATCGTGATCGGAACCCCAGGCCGTCTTTGGGAAGTTCTGAGTTCGAGCAGCACTTTACTGGATTCCTTCAAGACGGTGAATTTCCTAGTTGTGGATGAAGCTGATCGCCTGCTCACGGACGGTCATTTCAAGGAGGCAGAGGGAGATTCTGAAGGCTATCGACAGAGTCCAGGTTGACGAGGATGACGAGGAGCCAGGGCTCTTCCCAAGACAGACGTTAGTCTTTTCTGCCACGTTCAACAAGAACCTCCAGCAAAAGCTGGCAGGGAAGGGCAAATCGAACCTGATGGATACGCAAGAATCTATGGAGTACCTTCTCAAGAAACTGAACTTCCGAGAAGAAAAGCCCAAGTTTGTCGATGTCAACCCAGTGGCCCAGATGGCGCAAGGACTCAAGGAGGGTCTGGTGGAATGTGGCGCGATGGAGAAGGTATGTTCAAACCGTGGCATTTCTGGTAGTCAAGGCCCAATTACTAACGTTACAACAGGATCTATACCTCTATTCTCTGATCTTACTCCAGCCAACACAACGCATCCTTGTATTCAGCAACTCCATCGGCTCAGTGCGCCGCCTGTTGCCCATGCTACAGAACCTCAACCTCCCAGTCCACGCCCTTCACTCGCAAATGGCCCAGAAGGCCAGACTGCGCTCCGTCGAGCGCTTCACCAGCGCCAAGCCGGGCACACACGCCATCCTCCTTGCCACGGACGTCGCCGCCCGTGGTCTTGACATCCCGGGTATCGACGTCGTGATCCACTACCACGTGCCTCGCGCAGCAGACGCCTACGTGCACCGGTCGGGCCGGACGGCGCGTGCGGCGCAGTCGGGCCTGAGCGTGCTGCTGTGCGCACCGGAGGAGGTAGTTTCAACGAGACGGCTGATCGCCAAGGTGCACGCAACGGCGCGGCCGGGATCCGGACTGAGCCGCAAGAGTGACTTCTTCATCCGCACCATCGACGTGGACCGGCGGCTGGTAGGGCGGCTCAAGGAGCGGGTGACGCTGGCCAAGAAGATCGCCGACGCGCAGCTCGCCAAGGAGAAGGGCAGCAAGGAGGACGACTGGATGCGCAACGCCGCCGAGGAGCTCGGCGTCGAGTACGACTCGGAGGACCTCGAGCAGATGGGCAAGTGGGGCGGGCGCGGCAGCGGTCGCAAGATCAAGCAGGATGAGGCGAGGGCAATGTCCAAGGCCGAGGTCGGCGCGCTGAGGGCCCAGCTGCGCGAGCTGCTATCCAGGCGGGTCAACGCCGGCGTCAGCGAGAGATATATCGCGGGCGGCGGGGTGGACATGGATGAGCTGCTGCGAGACGGTGTGAAGGGAAACTTCCTGGGGAGTGTCGGGGGGCTGGAGCTGGACGACTGAGGGGTTGCCGGCGGGTGTGCTTTGAGATACCCTGGATCTAATGCCTGACTGTGTTGATCCAACCACGAAAAGGTGTGAAGGTGACTACTTACCCACACTCGAATACTATCCAAGAGCGGCTTTCTTCATCCTCTTATGTCCAGCTACATCTTGCCCTACACTCGCCTCCACAAAGTCCACCGCATCTCTGAATCAGCTGCCTCTCCATACCACACTATCTCCAAAGTGATTTGAAGACAGGTTGTGCCTGAAAACAGACGGTCTCTTCGCCAGCGGTTGTCTCTTGACATGCTTGTGATAGGCGTTGTGTGTGTGCGTATGGACGCCAAGTGAGACCTGCTGTCGATATGTCCGCCTTCGATATGTCCGCCTTGTAAACGTGATCACAGATCTCGTACTCTCGGTCCAACATAGTACATGTGTAAAGAAGGTCTCACAGTAGCAGCTCATTATGAAGCAGCATCGAGCTCGAATCATTTGGTCTCATTTAAATCTGCCACTTGAAGATTAGAACAATGTGTCTGCCCTCATTTTGGGCGTCACACAAACCGGCGACCAATACTATCAACCAGCCAGGTGAAGAAAAGAAAAACACTCCATGTTCTGCTCGGAGGCAGGCGGGCAGTCAGGCGAAGGTATAATCCTCATACAACAAGCCACATGAGTGCAGTAGAACCGCTCGTCAGCAACTCATTCCTCAACAGAGAGACGCAGGAGTTTCATCATTCCGTCCACGCAACGCAAGCCCTTCAAGAGGGCATTGTCTTCATTCGACTTCCCACACAGCGCATCCCTCTCCGTTAAAACCCCATCACCGAAAGCGCCGAATAAGCCGAGCCCACCCACTCAAGACACCTGACCACCAGGGCACGTCGGTATACCTATCCACAAGTGCAGAGACGCCCGGTCCCACCAAACCATGCATGGGGCCAGGTATTACTGTAGACTACGTCTCTGAGCACTCAGTATCCGAGCATGGCACATGCCCTGGCGTATGGTCACGGCCCGTATACGTACAGCAACCAGCTGGGAATACCGGGGGTTCGCTTGGTAATATCTCCGTATGGGTGGCCATACAGCCACGAGCTGCTCACATCCCATCCCGTTTCCAGACAGAGAGCAGCCTTGGCTTTGCCTGTTTGGTTGGGTTGGTAGATACGTGGACCAATGGATGACTTGGTAAATAGATGAGTACCAGTCGATAATCCACGCCATCAGCACCATGACAAACTAGAGGACCAGAAAGAGATGAAAGGTATGGAAACGTTGTGCCTTAATCCCGCAACATCGCAACCGCCGGCCCCCGAGCGGCTCTCCCTCCCCTGCTGTCCGTCAGCCTGACGTGAAAACGAATCTACTGTAGTACCTCACCCACCATGGATGATGTGCTCTCTCTGCCTGGCCTGGTCCGGCCCGGTCATCTTCCCTCACGAAGGCCAGGCAGGCAGCCCATCTTCCAGGCCATCCAGGAACGAGCGGCAGGCCCCGCCTCACCTCATCTCAAACACGCCTCCCAATCCTATCCTATCCCTCCCATCCATGCCTATTTCCTTCGGTTGAATTCCCGGCGCATGACGAAGGATCGAAGAAAATAAAGTCAAAAGAGTGAGAGAAAAAAGAAAATCAGCCCATACCCCTCCAACTCCCCAGTCGGTACCTTGCAGTAGCGTCCACTGCACGCAGGCGGACCCGCCTCCACCTCACCACTTGGGCCACTGCAGCAGCGAGATTTCTCGAGGCCCTGCAAGCAACCTAACCCGGATGAGGCAGGCGCCAACATCATGGACCCCCGCCCCCAAATGAGAAAGGGTCTTGGGGGCTCCTTGGGCTTCTTGGGAAACCCCTCATCGCGCCAGGGCGCCCAGGGCGCCTGGGAGAGTCGAAATGAGGAAACAATATTGGCTCAATTCCTTCCGCCGGCTCGGCACATGTGCATGTCAGATTGGGGGGTGACACCAACACAGAATAACCAGCCCCCTAAATGATGCATGTAGAAAGGAACAGAATGCGGTCTTACGCGGCAAAGTACCACAGCAGACAGTGTACAGTCAGCTTGCATACGGGCTGACGAGAGACGTGGTTCGTGACACGCAAAGGGACATCACAAACACGAAAAAGGGATGGAGAGACTGTTTTTGTTATCGGGCACCATCAGAGGGTGCGTCTAATTCTTCTGCCATTGGATTCTCTTTTTCCATCTTTTTCTACTGTTGTGACTAGTCTTTCTATCTATGCCATCCCTCCGCGCACCAGGCGACGTCCCAGGAACCTATGCAGGTTGGGCAGCGCCTTCTCCAACCATCCGTACTTGATGGTCCTTCCAAAAGGTTTGTCTCAAATAACAATGCTTCCTCAAAATGAATAAAACAATCAAAAATTTGGTATCATGCAGCAGCTGGGCCCGTCTGTCCGTATGCCATCGTTCGCTCGTCCGTTACAACGTCAGAACCACCCGTGTTCCTTCGCACCAACCCTTGGAGATAACAAGTGGTTTGATATCTGCCTGTGCACAGAGCCGACCGGTTACAAAGTCTTATAGCAAGTGAAAAAGTCCGAAGGGCCAGAGCAGTCGATGCTCAGGTCTTCGCCTCGTTTATAAAAAAAAAAGGAGAGTGATGTGAAGTGAAGAAATATTAATCAGCTCGTGCCAGTTCGGAATCAGCCTTCTTGTCCTACAGGGAGAGCAGAGCAAACATGGCGGCACCCAGGAAAGCGAAGTTGATTCCGGACTTGGTGCTGGCGCCAGCGGTGACGACGCTTGAGCTGGGGGTGCTTCCGGAGGAGGAAGACGAGCCGGAGCCGGAGCCGGAGCCAGTGGGGGTGGAGCCGTTGGCGGTGCCGGATGCCGACGTGCTGTTGTCGCTGCTGGGCTCGCCGGTGGCCAGTGTAATACCCTGGGTCACGGAGGCGGTGAAGTCAGAGGAGCTGGTGACGGTCTGGAGGGTCGAGGCAGCGCTCTTGGAGCTGTCGGTGGCGGATGGCTTGACGGAGGAGCTCTGAGCACCGTCGGTCTTGCCATCGCCCTGCTCGATCTTGATGGACTGGTAGGTGCCGGTCTGGTCACCGTAGACGTACGAACCAGCGCTCTTGGCGCCGTTCATGTAGTCCTGAACAGTGACACTCTTGTAGTAACCGTTGAAGGGAGCCTGAGCGAAGTCGGTGTAGCCACCGGCCCACTGCACAGTACCCTCGGGGGCGTCCTTGCGGCCGGCGACCCAGGTCCCGAGCTTGATCTGCATAGGTGTCTGAGGGTAGCCGGCACCTCCCTTGGCGTCGGCGTACTTCAGGGTCCTGACGACGGTGCCATCGATGATCCAGTCCAGCTTCTCGGCAGTCCAGTCGATGGTGTAGGTGTGGAACTCGGCCTGGGGGTTGCCGACTCCAGAGAAGCCGCCACGGTCGTAGGTGGTCGTGTCACCCTTGCTGAAGTAGTTGGTCTGGACCTGGGTCGTGTCACCTCCGAGCCACTCCCAGTCGATCTCATCGAGATCGTCTGACTGCAGGACGAAGGAGGTGACGATGCCAGTGCCGACAGAGGCCCGCGCGACGACATCAACACGGCCGAAGAAGATGTAGCCGGTGGAGGTGAAGGTAGGCGCCTCGGTCTCCTTGTTGATCGAGAAGACAGCACCGAGAGATGGGTCGTAGTTCACAGCAGTGCCAGTGGCAGCGGTGAAGAAGTCATTCTCACCCTTGGTGAAGTCAATGGTCTGCTTCGAGCCGATAGCAGGGTCGGCGGGACAGCCTGAAGTTTTGTCAGTCAGATGTACACTATCGATATGGAATGTGGGATATGTGAAATATGTGAAGACTCACCGGACTTCTTAGTAGGGTTACAAGCACTGAAAGTCTGAGCGCTGGTGAGGGTGGATGCGGCGAGCACCACAGCCGCGGTGGAAGCCAGCCTGGAGAACATGTTGCCGGTGGGTCTTGGCTTGTTGTTGTGGTGAGAAGCTAGGTGAGTGTGCGTGCTTGAGCGAGAGAGAAGCGAGCGGTGCGAGAGCACGTGTATTAACTCTGTTGTTGTTTATGGCGATGGTCTGGTCTGGGAGAGACAGAGACAGATGCAAGGCCGGAGAAGTGGCAGCAAGCCGAATTTGTATGGGAGCAATAGCGAGTGTGTGAACTGATGGGGAAAACCAAGCAAGGAAATAAAAAATGTTTCAGCACAGAGAAGTACTTGCTATAGGAAGTGATGAGCGATGTGGAGGGAAAGAGAGGGCCGTGATGGACAGGTCTAAGGAAAGGGCGGGCCTGTTTATTAAGGGGAACCGAACATCACCAACACCAAGGCTGGACCAAGCCAGGCTCAGTCAGTCATACAGTAAGTACATACGGTTATTAGACTATTCCAGGGTCCATAAGGTACGCAGGTACGCCGGTACATGGCTGCTGCATGGGTGAGGTGCCGAGCAGGCTGGCAGGTGGGCTGGGTGGGCTGGTGGGCATGCAGGCATGAGGGACAGACATGGATCAGCCATGAGGGCTGCAGCTGCCAGTGGAGCGAGCAAGCGAGTGAGCTGACTGGGCGAAGGAAAGACTGGTACACTGGGCGAGTGTGTGAGTGTGTGAGTGTGGGAGTACGAGGGATTGCCGGGCGACTGGCGAACTGGAGTAGGGGCGCTGCCTGGGCTGTGTGGCCACTCAGGCGAGGACGTGCTGGCTTGGGTTGCCACAGCTGGGCCGGGTCGGGTTTGGTCTGGTTGGTTTCGGTGGGGAGATATTCAGGGTTGAGTGGTGGAATGGAAAAGCTATTGTCGCTGGGCTGCCTGGGCTTGTCTGGGCTGCGTGGTTGTCTGGTTGCTGTGGCACTGCTGACTGACGCTGGGGGGGCCTCGAGGGCGATCCGTGGTGGACCCGGGGTTGGGTGGCCCATGTTTTGCGCCGAGTAGCCGGTAGGGGCCAACAGCCTCCTGCAGGTGTGATCCTGTCCTGTCCTGGTCCTGGTCCTGGTCTTGGCCTTTCATTCTGCAACAGCGGCCTGCTGGACGGGCCAGGGTCCTGACTTGCGGCACAAGCAACATGCTCGCTCATTCCTGCCCTGCCCTGCACGCACAGAAAAGAGACTTCAGGACATACGGACTGAGTGACCGAGTGGCAGCAGACAGACTGACTGACTGACTGACTGACCAGACAGACCGGACTGAGCAAAGAAACTGTCCGGGCTGCTGGTAGGGTTCTCCCCCGACTGCTTCTGGTGACGATCCGGCCAGATTCCGTCGTCATTTCCCCTGGATCCCCAGCTACCCTAGCTTACTTGGGCAGCTAAGGGCCCTGCCGACCCCGAGTTTTGCCCTTTTGGACTCTGGCGTAGTTTTATTTTTGCGTCCTCTGAGGCCAAAAGAGGGTGCTCAAATACGAAGCGTCGTCGTGGGAGCCGCTACCGACGGACACGCGCCGGTGGCCTCGACTGCCCAGCCGTCAGATTCGGCAAAGGCGCGAGTCGTATTAGGAGGCGCCCAGGCAGTCAGCACACCGGCGGCTGCGAGGTAAAGGACGACGCGAGATGAGCCAGATGCGAGATGCGACGCCGAGTAACCGCAGCCGTGCAACACTCCCACACTCCCAGGGCCCAAGCCTCGCAAGCCTCGTAGTAACGGTCGGCGTAACGTGTTCGTGGCCCTTGGGGGCTAACGAGCACGGGGCACGGGGTGCGGAGGATTTGCTCGTGTCTAGTCTGGGGCAGCATCGGGGAGGAATTGTCATCGCCGTCGGTCAGGACGAATACGATGCGATTGACGCTGCTGATCAAGTGACCCCAGAATTGATCACCAGCCAGCGGTAGGTCTCGGTAAGCTCTGGCGCAGATCAGTCAGTCAATCAGTCCGTCAGCGGCAGACCGTGTTTTCCCGGGTGTCTGGCTTGTGCCTTTTGGCTTTCGGGCTCTCGAGGTCTATTCCAAGCACCCGTGAGCTTCGTGTCCGCCGGCAGAGAGGCGGGCAAAAGCCAAAAAAAGGGTCCATCGTGGCCAGAGGGCCAAAATTAGCTGAACAGTGCGTCGGTGATCCCAGCTCGTGGACTGGGAGGGCTGCCTGTGCACCTGTCACGGCTAGATTGGAAGGTTGGAGAGATCGGGGCCACGGGGTTCACGACGCAGGGACGCTGACAGTGCGACGAGACGGTGCGACCCCGACCATGCTCAGGCAAGCGGGCAAATCACCACTCACTGTCCTCTTGCATCGTACAGTGTCTCAACAGGAGGAAGGCGCGAGATTAGCTCTTCCCAGCGACAGACTCTCGGGTGACCTTGAACCCTGGCCTCGACCTTGGGCCTCTGATCTGCGTCCCCGTCACACACTGTCAAACCCAACCTAGGAGGAGGGGGCCCCCCTACCAGAGCTCCGCGAGCTTAACCAAATCTCTAACGGTAACCTTGAATCTACCGCAGCATTGATGGACCACCGTCATTATCATCATTGCTGTCATGTCCGACCCCCCCGACCGGACTTTAATTGAACGTCGGGTCATTCTGTTGTTTAGCACACCATATAGTCTGTATACCATGCCATTGTTTGGAGTACGTACTGTGTTGCTTGTCTCACTCTGCGGCTCAAGATTTCGCATTCCAGCATCTGCATGTGTACGACAAACACTCATGCAAGCCGCATCCCGCGCCTGCTGCCTGCCTGCAGCCTATGGCGCCTGTCGTCGGACTTCGAGAAGCTTGATGCTGCAGCTCTTGAAACAGGGGAGGCATGTGCGTCCTCCTAGCCCCTGCCTGGGACGTCACGTTTGGCTTCTGAATGTCCAGCTCACTCACCCGCTCATTCAAAACACCAACCAGAGTCTAACACGGCAAGCCGGGTGCATGATGGAGCAGGCTGTGCCTACATCGCTGCATGGTGGGGATACCACGGCCTGCACGGCAAGGCAGTCATAGCAGGCAAGTAAGCAATCACTCGGCCTGTCGCAACGGCAACGTTCCATGAGCCGAAGCATGAGACGGTGAAGTCATGCCCAAGCGCAGGTCAGCACAGCTCAGCACAGCTCCCTCCCAAAGAGCCGGCCTCTCCATGCCTCCGACAGCCAATGACGCTCAGCCCTGCGTTTCGCATTGTGGCCCGACTCTCAGGGGCTGTGCCTCCTAAAAAGTTTCCAGCCTTTCATGACACACACCCATCATGCCAGCGCCAGGCTAAAACTGGCCAGCCAATTGTTGTGTTACTCAGCCTCATTTGGCTGCACCAACGACCCACACCACATCTACAAGCTCGGCGTCCCTCTCTGCATGCATTGGGTCGACGATGAGGTCGACGACGGCGACAAACTTTGCTTCGTAGGTTCCCAATCATCAGGAATGTCTTTGCCCGCGCATATGCGCCTGGGCATCCACATTGCCGTGTGATTTTCGGCCCCTCGCCGAGTACCAGACGCTGCCTCGGCGGGTGGGGCCCGTCGCAGTCCAGCTGAGGAATTTGATGGAATTGCCTCCTCTGCCACCATCACCCCCTCCGCCGCCGGGCCGGAGACCACCGCAGCCATCCCGGTTCATCTCATCTCTCATTCCTCGCTACAGGCCCCGAGACTCTCCCACGGCAGCCCGCTGTCGATTTCGAGACGGCTCCGCCTTCCCTGCAATTTGAAACGTGCCCGTCCAGCCCGCCAGGCCTCCTCGGTCGCAGCAGCAGCAGAAACAACGGGCCAGCCCGAGTGGGATATTTCTCCTTCCTCCAACACGTGATGCCCACCCGTTGAGTTGCTTGTCTGCCTGCCGTCCTTGATCCGATGTCTCGAGGCTGGAGGGGATTCAGACGAGTCGCTTGAATCATGCCCGCAGCGCTGCGCCTGTTCATCCTGTCTCTGCCGTGGTCGTCCTCTCCGCGTGATCGAGGCCTCCTCCACTACGTCTAGACGCCTGACATACCTAATTCTGTATCGACGACATCTAGACTGTACAGACAGACCCATAAGAGACTCAGTTGCATCACCAAAAAGGTGCACACACACTGTAGGCCTAGGGCTTTCCCTGAGCGCAGAGAACACCCCAGTATTCTATTCTGGGCGCACGCGCAAATCGTGACTACCCCACATATCCACGTTCTGGACGTCGCTTCGGCGTCAAGCCGAGCCCGAGCTCCGAACAGCCAGATTCGGCAGATTTCCAGCTGAAATGGTGGGCAAAAAGGAATCAAAAGTAGGACTGATAACACGAAGGCGCAGGGGCGTCCTGACGGCCAACGCCCGCCTGCGTATACATAGTACTTAGATAACAACAAAGGACACCCACAGCGTCGCTTAGCCATTTGGGGACAGCAGCTTAATGTGTATTAGTCTATTTTCTTTCCGCCCCTTTAACCCCAGGCCATGAAGAAAGAATCCACCTGCGATGGTCACCTCTTGATTCAAGACCACACTACTGGTCGGCGTAAGGGAGACAGATGCCGCCCTCGTATTAAATATTGATGGTGCCCATTTTGCTACCTTTCCGGCAAGCTGACGGGACTCAATGAAGGGTTCGCGGCGGGGACCAAGGGGGAAGACCGGGTTCAAATGGGATGTGCGGAAAGAGGACTAGTCGGCTGGATCGTGATGAGCTGAGCTGGGCCGGGTTCAACGTCCTGCGCTCTTGCGTGCTTGAGAAGGGGGGAAGGGGAGATAGGGTGCTTGTTATGTCCCCGGTGGGACCGACCGACCGTTTGCCAGATCTGCGCTGGTGGAGGTTCTCGATTGGGACGGGATGTTCTGTCCCCCTGCGCCGCTCGTTCGAAATAGGGTTCTGTAGCAGCTGCTATTCCGTCCGCGGTGGGATTTGCAGATGATCTGTGGAGGTGGGATGGCGACCTCGTGTTTGGCTACGAGGTCAGCGCCGTACTCGAAGGCTTGTCCCGATTCTGTCTTCTTGATCTCTCGCCTCTGCTGAGACGTTCCACATTTGCGGCTCCCTCAGCTCGTCCTCACACGCTTGGTTATGCCTGTCAGCTTTCGGGTTCCTCTTTCTTGGATATCGGTCACGCCGCGTCGTCGTGTATGTGCTGTGTGGTAATTGTGTTCTTGTATGAGGGTCGTCGAGGCCGGCTCTCGTGTTGGTCACACGGCCTACGGTCACGTTGATTTGGAGAGAAGGTGGCTGAACCAGGCACGAGGGAATAGGCATATCCTGAAAGTGGCCAGCGCTCCGTCCTGCGCATCGCTTGGACAACATTCACTCCATTCCGTGGTGGGACAGAGCGTCTTGCCGGGACGCACGATACAGCTTCGCGCAGGCGTACTCCACGCACGCCTTTCCTTCGTATGATTCTGGAGTTTTTCCCATGCACATCACGCTTTCTATATATTATTCCTTGTGTGTCTGGTAACCGATGGCATCCCGCTTTAGTTCGGGGAGCCAGTGGGATGAATTCTTTACTGTAAGTTAACATGTGTCCACCTCACCTGCATGGTCAGAGATGGGTTTATGGCCCACACATTGACAAGGCCACTTCTCTCTTCCGCGCACATCCATTATGAAGCCCATGAAGGGCCCCTTACCTCCCGTTGTATTGTGGCAATATTCTCTTTCGCCATCTCATTAGTCCAATAGCAGACGTCTGCTGCATCTTGGTAAGGATATCCTTAGAATGAAGCTGATGACTCTCGGCAACTTTTTCAGGGCCAGTACAGATGTCACCAGAGTATCCTGTGACGTTCTGCGATGATCACTCGATGTAGATCGTCTTGCTGTGTCAGAAATTCTTGACCCTCTGTCAAAGGTGAAATCGGAGACATTATGTCGATGTCTTTGAGAATGACTCTCGTCCTCTCGTGCGGAAGGCTGATACTGGAGTTGTGACATGTGCTGTTTCTTGTGTAAATCAAGATTTAGTCTGGCGTATATCAAGGTGATAAATACTTAATTTCGGAACCTTCGAAGGTAACAATGAGCTAGTTGTAGAGGAGTCTCATGTTGACAATTGAGCAAACTCTGCTGCTCTCGTGGGTGCATATTCATCTTGCGTTTCATATCCCATCGTCAGATAACGGGGTAATCATTAGCCTTCACAAACGCTGGAACAGGTACATTCAATTATGTTTGGGGTCCAAAAGCTGCAGTCTACTGCAAGTGCTGCAGCAACGTTACGTCTGACGTGCATATCGAGGCAAAGAGCCTCAACATACTTCAGAGTTCATCTTTTCTTTTCCAACCAAGATGATGCCTACCTCTGCTACATCTCGTTCATCCAAAGACCTCGGCATGCACACAAAGCGCAGCACCCGCGGCAGAAACGTGAAACAGCCTGCAATCTACAAATATGAACCGATCCGCAAGGGAGACGACATCAGGCTGTTGAGCCTCCGCCCGGGAAAACCCGGGGACATCATCCGGGCAGATCTCGAGACTGTCAGCGTTCTTGCACGCCGTCATTACTACGACGCCATATCATACACATGGGCAGATGAGAATGGCGATTCCACAAAGTGTTGCAGCCTCAAGATTGGATCCCCAGGGGTGCTTCTCCCAATCACCCGTAACTGTGACTCGGTCTTGCGACGGGTGCGCAAGCACACCGACAGGGTCTGGATTGACGCAGTGTGTATCGACCAGGACAATGTCCGAGAACGCGGACAGCAGGTCGATTTGATGCCCCGGATCTACAAGAGCGCGGTGCGAACCTTTGCTTGCGTTGGGGAGGCGTCAAGGGAGAGTGAATTGGTCCTCAGAAATCTGTCTGAAGGCATTTGGACACCGCCGCATCTTCTAGGCCCTTTCTTTGCGCGCCCGTATTTCTCGCGTGTCTGGGTCGTCCAGGAGGTCGCGCTTTCGAAGAGCGTCATCATGATGTGTGGCGACACTGCTGTAGAGTGGACCGGTTTCATGCAGGGCGAATATCTGCGACAACTTTACATTTCCAGTTACTGAGAGACGTTTCCGACGCTATTTCGACTTGGCCGACGACATCACCTTGGTGCGGCTAGTTTATTGGACGCTCTTCTACTGGGTCGAAGCTGCAGTGCTTCTGACCCCAGAGACAAGGTCTTTGGGCTGCTTGGAATGGTGTCTGAAGAAAGCAGACCGCTAGCTGACTACTCTTTGAGTACCGCCGAGGTGTACACACAGACAGCCATGTACTTGCTCGAGGTCCAGCGATGGGGACTGGATGTGATCATGGGGAATCTTTGCCATCGAAGTGAGGAAGCGAGAGCACAAACGCCAAACTTGCCTTCTTGGGTACCGGACTGGAGTCAGTGCGGATCCACACTCCTGCAACGATTTCCTCTAGTGCAACCATTGCTCCGATACCCAGATCCGATATTTGAATACAACGAGGAATCAGGTCTGTTCTTCGAAGGCCGGATCCTGGCCACTCTGAAGACCTTGGAGGAGCACGCCGATATCATCCAAATAGTCATGCATCTGTCGAATTCAAGGTCTCGAGCCTCGCAAAAGCTGCCTCCAGCCTACAGGGACAGACGCGTGTATGTTTTCTCACCGATATACGGTGTTTCCTCACGGTCCAGTGACGAATTTCTCGGTCATCGCTCATTATCGCTGTTCAAAGAACGGAAACACGCAGTTCGCAACAGCATGAAATCGATCCCACAGACCCTTGTATACAACGAACACGCTTTCCTCTTTGCTCACATAGAAGGCGGCGGAGCAGCCAGAACCGACCTTTCGGCCGAAGAAGAGGACAAGAGCCAGGAAATGTTGAAGGCGGTTGGAGGCGCCGGAGATGGGAGCAGAACACTCGCTACAGGCGACGCCACTCCGAGGAAAAGGGCAACAAGACTGCGCGACGGGAGCGATGGAGCAAACAACTTTGAATTTTTGGGCTTCGTCCAGATCCAGTCGAATCTGACCCTGTCCGAGTTTACGTCACGTTTTGAGGACATTTATCAGACCATATACACCAGAGCGCCATGTACCATCAGGATACTGTAGTCGACCGGGTGGTCCAGGCTGGGTGCAGCGAAGATTCGTTGAGCTATCCAACCCGATGGGCATCATGGCAGCGGGTTAGATTTTCTTTCGAAACCTTGGTCAGATTCTATATCTCCGCACATGCCTCGTGCTAAGGATCTTGATGCTGGTGACTCTGTTAAGGTTGGACTTTAATTGTACTATGAATTACTTTTACCGATAATAATTCCTTAAGCGTCTGACGCGCAGAAACAAATGATAGGAAACATTTATGGGACCAGGAAGACCAGGCCCACAACTTTGGCAATTCAGTGATGCAACCGAGCTCCAGACTATCCAAACAAGTTACTTGTGGACGAGGACAAGGACCGGCTTCATGTTTTGTCACCTGAAAGAAAGACAAAACATCGCATGTTCGCATTCCTGCTACCGAGCTAGCGGAATCCAGACCCGAAAACTAGAGCCCCTGTTTTGGGAATACCCTCACAAGGCCAGCCCCTACTAGTATCCACGGGCCAGACCATCAACCAAGATCTTCAGGATCAACAACCTTCCACTTGATTGGCACATCGTTGCCCGACGTGTCAGCAGCATCACACGTCGCCGCGCCCGTAACAGACTTCATCTTGAAGATGTCCGAGTACAGCCCCATCGCCGTATTGATGACATCCCTGATATCCATGTCGCCGACCCTAGAGAAACGCACAACGTCAGTCAATTCCAATGGCAAACCCCACACGCCCGGCGCATATGCCCGCTGAGTACTTACTCGAAATCATTCGTGGAGCCATCCTTCCTCGCAACCGCGACACAGCACGTGTCCTTGACGTTGATCTTTGCCCACTTGCCGCCGGTGTAGCCGCTGATGGTGTAGCGGCCAAACCGCTGGTTGAACTTGATGATGTCCAGGCAGTCGGGCTTGAGGAACTCGCTGCCCTCGGTCTTCTCGGGGGTCTGGTCGGAGTCGCAGGCGTCTTGAGTTTCGTCATCGGGTCCCCAGGTTACGTCGTCTCGGCGCACGAGGTTCGGCGAGGTGTTGCTGGTGTCTCCGCTGTGTCCCGGCGTGTACACGATTCGGTCCACAGCAGCAGCTGAGATGCTCGCTGGGACTAGGGGGAGAAGGAGGAGAAGGAGGAAGTTGAGGATATGCATCTTGGCCGTTTTGCGGGTTCGACGTTTTGTTTTCAGAGCTGGCAATTGCGTGGTCAGGTGTGCCGAAAAGAATTCAATGGAGAGATCATCGGTTATTGCAATAGTTGTTAAAAGGGCTCGATGGCGAAAGAAGAAGGTTCAATGTTGCTCTTGGCAAAAGACTGCAGGTGGTTCTGGTTTGATTGCTAGTCTTCTTATATGGCGAAAAGTCGATGCTTTGGCTTCGTGACTAGTGACGCAGACGGAATGTACAATCGAAAGGACGGCCATTTGGCCACGTCCAAGCACGAAGAGCCATAATTAATAGAACATCGTGGTTCACTTCAATGAATGACTCAACAGGAGCCCTGGGAGCCCGAATACTACGTACCTACCTAGGTAGGTAGCTTGAGCTGAGCCAGTAAACCACAATGAGAGCCAGACTAGCCAGCCGGGGATCGTCACGAGTGGACTGGCGACGGTGAGGAGCTGGAGGTATCAGTGAACAGTATATGCCAAGTAGTAGGATTGAACATGAAAACCTGACTGTTGCGCCATGTCATTAGAGTGTACCCTGCGAATTGCATGCTTACAGACCCTTTATGACTATCTCCTCAGCGACCGGTGTCAGCTGAAGCATCAGCTGCTTCTTCTCCCATAGCACGTATGCCTTCTGATCCATCCAGTTACGGCTCTCGTCACAAATCTTCAAATCAAAGTTGGCAAGGAGCGATGCGAAAATGAGCCTCATCTCGTGCCACGCCATGTTCTGCCCTATGCAGTTCCGAGGTCCGTACGAAAAGGGCTGGCAGGCATCGCGTCGGTCGTCTGCGTACCTGGGGTCGCCGAGCCACCGTTCCGGGACGAACGAGTCCGGGTCCTTGAAGTTGGCCGCGGACCGGTAGGCGACATACTGGTGGATGGAGCACCGCACGCCTGTCGGGACCCATCTGCCGCAGATCATCCGACCTCCATTCTCTGCCGGGATGCCTCGGGGGATCCCCACCGGAACTGGCGGGTACATGCGGAGGGTTTCTTGGATACCTGTATGGCCGGCTCAATTAGCAATCTTGCTGAATGGGGCCGGTCAGACAGTCAATCGGTGGAGACGGTATACGCACAGGCGTTCAAGTAGGTGAGATTTGCCAATGAGTCGAAGCCGAGGCCGTGAGCTTTCTTTTGTTCCCGGACCTCCTTGGCCACTTTTGACATTCGCTGTGTGTCCATCGAGAGAAGATAAGTCAGGCCGCACAGTAGCGTGGCTGATACCTAGCTGTCAGCCTCGTTCAAGAACTGATTGCGGCGAGTCCAGCTCTAGAAGTCTCACCTGTAGTATCAGTACCGGCCAGCATGAAGAGATCGGCGTTTGAATGCATCTCATTCAAAGAGATTTTCCCCCCATCCTCCGCTGCCAAGACAAGGTTCCAAATGTCGGGCTGATCTTTGCAGAAGTATTGTGTAAGTACTTTGGTTTTACCATCGACAGCGGTTCCGACCTCAACTCACCAGATTTCTTCTCCAGCCTCTTGTCCACTCGATCCGCCGAGTGCTTGAAATGCGTCGTCTTCATCTTGTTGAGGCTCCTGGGCTCGATATATTTGTAGATCTTGCTTAAGAGTGGGTAGTACTCGATGAACTGGATGAGTGGGAGCACTCGCACGGCGTCGAATACGTTCTTGACCCACGAGGAGTATTCAGAGCTCTGGAGGAGCCCCAGGGGCTGGCCAAAGGTGAGGTCTCCCATGATGTCGAAAGTGGCAAAGTTCAACATTTGGCCGAGCGGCACTGGTTGACCGTCGGTGCCTCGCAGTTTCGAGATGAGCAGGTCGACGTACTTGTGGAACAGGGGCTCTTGCTGTCTGAGACTGCGGTCCGAGAAGGCTGGGGAGAAGACGCGGCGCATTCGCCTGTGATCGCTAAACGGTGCCGTGAGGAGAGACGGTGTTCCTGTTCGAGGGTTGAGTTAACGTGGGAGGTAACGACGGTGGAGACGCATAGGCTCACCATTTAGAGGCGGTAAACTGTGAGTCTGTAGTTAGCTATCAATGAATCCATACAAGCAGTTGAACAGCTGGTTAGGGAAGCCGCAGCGACCTCGGCAAACTGTTTTCTCGTTTGCGCGGAATTTTGTGACATGCACTAGGGTTGCAGAGAACTTACTGAGCCTCTTGTGCCTTGTAATTCTCAGAGTTGCCAGGATAATGCCCGCACACATCTTTCCAAGCTTGCGGGTCGGTATAGCTCAACTCATTTGGGCTGAATCGAATCACAGGTCCGTATTTTTCATGCAAACGCCTCATGAGCTTGATCTGCTCGCCTTGCACGGCAACGATCCAGTACGGTATACGACTGATAGCTAACCACCATGGCCCAGGAAACTTGGCAAGGGGGTGCAGGGTAAACGTGTAGATGACGGTCCAGACCACGTACGCCACAATGAGGACAAGCAAGGCCCATATGGACGAGCTGGGCAGAAGCCCTTCTCGGAATGTCAAGCTCATGCCGTAAGTGGTGTGCAGGCACTTCCAGAGATAGAAGAGGTGAGGTTATGACAGGAAGGCGGCATGTGAACACTACCCTGACATTTCAAACAAGAATTCTACGCGGGACATCCATGGACGCCGGGGAGTTGGCATTTATACACGGTACCTGTTAAGGTTTAAAAAGTGGAAGATCTTGGCTGGACCTTGCTTGAATGCAGAGACCCGCTACACCCGCCGATGTCCCTATCAGAGCGTTTCCTATTATCGAAAGGCGATGGGGCTCTGACGTGTAACGATCCGCTATATATATGCAGGCCGGTAGCTTTGTGGATGCCAGCTCTGCCATTTTGACCTGTTGGTGCCAGATCTGGTAACGACGCCAAGCCCAGCTAGTATTTACATCCGCAAAGACGCAATGTTGAAACTGCAACCATAGCACCGACAAAATTTTAGGGGCTTGTTTCGTGCGATGATCGGCAAGCTGCTGCAGGGAGAAATCGATGTGTCACTGCATGTCATCGCCTGAGAAAAGCTTCCCATCCTACAAGCTCGAGCATGCCCCGGATATGTGTAACGCTGTTGAGAGCAGCATGTGTAATTACTAATCAGTGGAACGGCTCTCGACAGCCAGCGAAGGCCTCGTGCTACATAGGTGATTATGCTCCGTAGCAGAGGCGCAGAGCAGTTGACACCATGTAACAATCCTTGTAATAATCAGCTGCTACTTAATCCACACAGAAAGCTCTGCACTCTCCACCGAGAATGCCACCGCCCGTCTGTGTGCGGAGTTCTTCCAACGATAAGCGGCGGTCGGTCTTCGGTCCAAGGTCAGGCTGATCATCACCCTCAGGGCCTGGATGACCTGATATCCAAATGACTCGCGACTATTGGTTCTGAGGTGGGAAGACGTGCAGTTCTGTATAACTTTAGCCCCTTGGTCCGGTTAGGAAACAGCCTATCACCCCTTACTCCGCCTTTGCGGACATGGTTCTTTTGTCCCCCCAAACTGATCCACACCACACCGATCCGCGCGCATACCCTGATCTTCTCCGCTCGCCACGTGCGTAACGCGAATCCTGAATGCTTGGGTGCATGACTATGTGGAAACTGCACAACGTAGTTTCCATCACTTTACGTGACCGCTTTCTTCGTCACAATCGGCGATTCCATGTGGCGACTGGTTATATAGGGGACTCAGGCTCTCTGGTCGGACTGGTCTCACGTCTGTCTATGTGCTATCCAATATGAGCTGCTCTAGTTGCAATAGTCTGGCTCGCTCCGATCATTTAGGTGTCCATGAATGGGTCTCTCCGCGTAGGGCCCGTGGCAAGCCATTTCCGTCCTGTCTGGCGGGGCTAGAAGTGGGTCGGCAGTCAAGACCGCAGGTTTTCTCTTGAGCTCCTTGCCACAAGTCCCATGATATTGCAAAAATTTCAATGAGCTGATGGGTTGACTTGGGGTTTTGACTACGAAACTACCACACTCCTGGATATTGCCTTGGCCATGGTGTCCTATGGAATGTTCTATTATTTTGGTGGCTGGCTATCTGCCTCCACTCACACATAAGGGTGTTCAGATTGTAGAAATAGAATTGGGTTCTGAAAAGATGAACAATTGTTTGGGAATCGAACTGGGCATCATGAACAGAACTATGACTGCAGAGGCTCTTCAGAAACGGCTCTCTTGAAGGTTCATATATAGGATCAGTGGTTAACCCCCTCGTGTTTTGACACGTTTTGTTTGCAAGCAGAATTCAACCTGACGATGAAAAGCATAGTGAGGCTTAACGAGAGTTGGTTGGTTCAGTCCTCAACATTGCCATCATCGGGACCTGAAAATAAGAATGGTCAAGTCTGCCTCCCGCGTGCCTAATTTCGTCCCAGCAAAATATGCTGTTGAAAAGGAATCACCACCTCCCTACCTTGCTTGGAAGCTCAGTGTTCCTGGATCCTTACAAAATGAGCGACGATATATCACCACACACATTGAGCCCACTGCATCCCGTACTCATATCCCGTACTAATAGTGCTTCATGGCAGCCACTCTAGCGCTCAGCTATTCCTCTACAAACCTTTAGAAATATCCACCGGCGTACTTTTCGTCGCATATTTTGAGTCGCAGGGGTATCATGCGGCTCCTACGGAATGACATAAGACCCAGTAAAGTATTTCAATCCAGTTTCTCGACTTGAGAAGGGTTGATCGTTGGCTCATGGGTCTCTTTCACCATGGCGATCATCCAGATCTCAGACCAGTCTGGCTTCTTCAAATGATGATAATTATCGAGAGAAAATACTGACCCCTACTCCCAGAAATAATCAGCATTCAAGTTTACACACCTCTGGTCCCTGTTCTTTTGAATATGATGAAATACCCTGAGCCATCCATACCGGACCATTTCGTTTTCTTGAGCGGAACCAGAGAACTTTTGCTTCGCCATCCACTTGAGAAGTCCTTTGGATTATTAGCTACAAATTTGTACAAGAGAGTCTGGACTGCTCCATGATTTTCTCTTTCGTTCATTGACACCGACTATGAAACCTTCTTCCTTTTCTGGGTAAGTAGTCATGAATGGGCTCTCTGGTGACGGACAAGATCCAGACACGGACTGTATCCTGTGAGATTACTACAACAAAACTGCTGCATCCATTCCCCGGAACAAGAAACGCCACCCTGAGTGGGTCGGAGAGGAAGGAAAACGGCACCTGGTTTCAGCGGGCACTTGAGCATGGAATTTAGGGAAACCCAGCATCTGGAGGTCCATGCCATGGCGGTAGTACTAATGTCATCGAGTGACGGACGTAGCCTGCATGGGACAAGCCATGTACACCTGAGGATTTATCTTCTTCCAACTGAACGAGACACACTTGAGACCACTTATGATGGCACCCAGGAACCTCTTTAGGAATCCAGCATAGCCCTGGCACAAGGGTTGCACACTAGTCAACGGCAACGAACCAGGCACACTCTAGTTATCACCAACACGACGGGGAGTCAGACTTGTGAAACCCCAATACACATCCTGGAAACTTTCCACCTCAACTACTAAGCAAGCGGTAGTTAGCACAACCAACCATACTAACAACTGCCGAGTATTAAATCTAGCGTGGGGGCGGCCAAGGAGAATCTCGAATCCCCAGGGCTTGGTCGCCCGCCCGCTGCAGATCAATGCGATTTTGACAGCTGACGGCCATGATGGGCTTTGTAAGATGCCACTCGCCTCATTGGCAGGTCGGCCGCTCTCCAAATCGCACGATGTCCTAGTAGTTCGAGCTTGTTGGCGCCTTGATTCCTTTGGCCGGGTACCGGGCCGGGGGGTAGCACCGGGAGCCCTGCTACAGTTTGAGCGAGACGCCGACATTGACAAGGATTCGAGTGACGATTAGCTGGCTATCAGGAATGCAAAAGAATCATGCAATGCCCTTGCCTTGATTGCACGCAGTGGAATCACGCGTTTCATGGGGGCCCGGCGGGCAAGGTGTAAGCGAAGCCTGGTCCACCCGAGGAACCGAGTCCTTGGTCTGACCCGTGTTGAACCCGGATAAGCTGCCTGAAGCCGTTCCGAAGAAAATGTCCCTCTGCCAAAAGTACCGACGGTGGTGGCACACGGCTTATTCCATCAGTTCTCGCGTAGGACGGCAGATCCTTCGGATCATGGGGGCACGTGTGTCGAGTGTGACGACGCGGGAATGCCTGTATTTGTGTTAACGCGGACATGGGCATCTGCCGTACACACCCCGCGTGATCCGTGCTTGGTGGGAGATGCCGATGGAAGATGAGATGCTGGCGACACGTCCTTTGCAGCATGGTTCGATCGTTCGACGATGAAGCCGGCTGTCCGGCTTTCCTATATCGGCGAGAAATGCCTCCTTCGTCGCCTCGTGCAGTGAGGTCGTTGGCTGTCCTTCGCATCTCTGTCCGCGCGACTTTCTTGGTGCCCGTGGCGAAACGACTCCGCTCTGACTGCATTGGCTAACTGATGCCGTTGCATGTACCGGTCGAATACCTCCGGGCTGGAGGTAACTGTTGCAAGAGGCGAGATGGAGGATAACATACGTTGCCAAAGATGAGCAAATAGAAACGTAAAATGGCAAGTGGTTTAGTCAAGTCCGGCAACGAGTCGATAACAACTGGTCGGCTTTGGCTTGATCTTCTACCTGCTGTGCCCAACCGCTCAGGTTGAGCACGATCAGTCCATCCTTTTTGCTGAGATGGTCAGAAGCAAATCCTGTCTGTCAAAGGATCGGTGCTACCTCAAGAGGCATAAGCCGCCAAATTGGCATTAAAGGATGAGTGAGAGAGCTCACAAGGTTCGAGGTAGGTGCAGGGACATGTCTGTGGAGGGGCCGCATCTCACGTCCCCACGATGTGACCCCCACGCCATCAAGCCAGAGCCACTCTGTCGGAACTAGGCACATGCTGGACCCCTGTAGGTAGACAGGACGAGAACTCGACGGCTCGCGCTGTGTCAGCACCAGATAATGCTGAGAACAGACTGTCGATATATTTGAGCGAGATATGGCCCTGATTCTGCAGGGTAGTAACTAGTCACCTTGTCAATATGGCATCCAAATAAATGGTTGCTACGCGTGGGGTAGGGAGAGTGGAGTCCCTCGGACTCCGTCCTGGTCTGGCCTGGTCCTTGGACCCCGCGAAAGAAGTGGAAACGCGGGGTGTTCCATGAATGTACAGTGACTGTGAACTGTGTCGACGTTGCCGTGATTCAAACCCACTCAGGCGCTTGGCCTGTCCAAACTCCACATCGTGAAGCAGACCAAGTTCTCGAGGAGACAGAGGAGGCGGGCCGGCATGCCTGTAGTCCTGTGCCGCGTCTCCAACCTTGGGGAACCAGTCGGGATCCCCAAACAGGGTAGTGGTCACTCAAGGGCTGGAGAAATCGGTCACCTGGCTCCCAGATTCGACAGGGTTGGTATGCCCGATCCACTGTCCGTCCCATCCGAGCCAAGTTCATTGCTTACTCTCGTGCTCGGAGGCCCAGAAAGCAGTGGCCCGGCGGGAGGACGTTGGCGGTTGACGAACAAGATGTGCCTCGGTTCCCCAGGCAGCTCATAAGAATGTCTGTGGAGCAGATGCCGTGCTCGGAGACCGAAGTGGCCGTACCAAACTGCAATGCACTCGGGCGGAGGATCGCAAATTGCTACCGTCCAACTGGGCCTCGCCGTGGGCATACGCAAGCACAACATCACCAAGCGCATCCGGGTTTGCCACGGACAAAGATGATACAGTACAGTCAGTATTGAGCGCGGGCATAACACACGATTGGTCAATTTTGCGGGCGATATCGCACTGCCCCATTCCAACCGGCCGCCCTGCCCAGCGTCGGATGAGGCTCCGTGATGTTCGGCGGCAGATGGCGACGTAGCTGAGGGCAACCACAAGGGTAATAGAAACTGGGAAGGCAGAGGCCAAGGGGAGGGTGGTGTGCTCCAAGCAATAGTGTCGCGTCATGGCGATCACCAAGGTTGCACCTCAATGACGGGATACAGGCCGCGATCAAACGCTGGGAAACACAGGCAGACATGCTGTCGAGTAATCTGCAGGACGTCAGCATGGCAACGAGTGGCCTGCTGATTTGCCTGCTGATGTGCATCGAGACCAACATCGTCGTGGCTGGCGTGTTGGTGGTTGATGGAAAATCACCGGTCAGCAGGACGTGGTGGCGCCACACATTCCTCGATTCCGAGGCAGTATTGTGCTCGGGCGTGGCAGAGGACGGAAACAGACGGAGCTGCAGAATGGGCGCCCCGTATCGGACTGAGCTGGAGTCGGATTTGCACTCGGCCACGACCACGACGAGCACGGGTGCTGCGATGCCAAGGCACAGACTTGATGGGAGAAGAGGGTCTTGTCGATCTACGGCTAAGGGACAAAGATGACGCGCGCACTGTACCACATGGGATCGCACAGCACAGTCCAGAACCATCCAGGGCTGTGTCCACACCCTCCTTCCCCAGATGGAAGGCGCGACACTAAACCGGATCCACCTCCTCGCAGCTCTGACAGCGTGGAAGGAAGGAGGTGCTGCCCACCCTGCCCCCTGCCCCCTGCCCCCTGCCTCCACACGCAATCCTGACATCCTGCCTCTTTCTGCCTTCTGACCGTCGGCTGCTCGACCAAGCCTGGAGCTTCGTTCTTCCACAGCTTCCGGCCAAGCCAGCTGGAGGATCGACGACGACAGCAGCAACCCTCGAGTGATGGCATCCATGACCTCGGCCAACAACGCAAAGTGATCGCATCGCGTAACTCAGACACCCGACAACCCGCTTCCGTCCGCCCGCCGGGCCGCCCATCAGTCAGTCATCCCTAAAGCCCTCATGAGAGAGTCTCCCACCACCCACACGCTGCTGCTGTTGTCAAAGCAGTCATTCAGCTCCCACGCCGTCGGGACTTTCTCGGCTGACTGCAGCTCGCATCTCACAAACCAGGACCGATCTGCATCTTGTCCATGCAAGAGGGGACGCTGACCAGAATAGAGGGGCAAAACCAAACCTACACACCGCCTCGTGGGCATGTGTAATGGAACGGAGCCAGCCTTCTAGAAGCAGTCGTCAGGCCGGGTGGACAGCCAGCCTCTTTGGCCCCTTGTGCCCCCTTGTCCCCCAATACCACCTGCCCACTCATCCGCACTGCACTGACGGATATGTCCAGCGTATCAAGACCCCCGCCCAGCAGAACAACTACACAGCACAGCCCACGTGGTGTTCCGACCCATCGTCCATGTGTAGAACCATGACCGCCCACACCTGGTTACGCTTGGAGGAGAGCCTTTTGTCGGTCTGCTCGACGACTGTCTCGTTTCACAGTGGTAGTGTCTATCTGATGCTTCTTATCTCCACATGCGGTTCTCCTGGCCAAATGCTGGCTTTAACATGTCATCCAAAAAAAGCATGGACTACCTCCACGACTTATGACGCGACCAGAGAGCCTCACGTCAGGTACAGTACGTATCGGGGTTCCGCACCAATCACCATCTCGGTACCACTGAGTCCAGAATGTGGGATTCTGGTGGCTGACGTGGATCCAATCTGACACACACATACTCTCTCGACTGCCTCGCATCTATAAGACCTTTGTTTGACCACAGACTATGGGTCGCATTGCGCGACAGAGAAAATGCGCGACTGGACGCGAAACGCCGCATCGGTGTCTGTTGCTATATTCAGCTCGACAATACTTGCAAGGTGCTTGTGTTGGTCGCCCCGTCCTAGCCGGTGAGCTCGGGGACAATTGCCACGCGACATGCCTGCTTCGCCGCAGTTGTCACGCCAGTGATCTACAGGTACGCTACACAATCAGTCGAGAATCAACGGTTTCGCCTGCCAAGGGCATGCCAAATCGGACCCGGGGCGTGGCAGACCTATCATAACACCTCGAGCATCCTGCTGTGGTTCCTGGCTGAAGTGCTTGGGCCTGCCACCAGGTTTGCTTTTTCAGCGGGCGTCGCCGCCTGGCCACCCCAGACTAGAGCAACCCCCACGCGATCCGCTTTTTTATAGCTCAAGGGCTGGGGCCCTCCCCTTCAGCCCCTTGTGATGATCATTCTGCGGCAACAGTCTAGCAAGGACCAGGCTGCCAAATATCTACTTCTTGCGCCAAGGATTCCGCACTGTGGCACCAACGGAGCATTGCAACCCCCATCGTGTCTCCATGGCTGATGAGGCATGCGGGCGGGCGGTGCGAGTAGGCGTGCATCACCCATCACACGCAGCCTCGACTAGCTTGATGTTGTTCAGCTTACTCCTCTGTCCCGGGGTTTCCTCGAGCATCCGGTGCGACTTCGGATATCGCCCGCGGCTGTCGAGCTGGGATCCCTCAGCTGGGAGTGCGAATGCCAGGGTGCCCACGGGACTCCGTGAGAGAGCCAGGAGCAGCACGTCAGATCTATCTGGGCGCGGGCTTTGCTGTTTTTGACAGTTATAAAAACATGCCCAGACCTTTCCCTGAACCACCCTCTCATAGCCCCCATCCCATCCCATCCCCTCCCGCGTCCTCCTCTTCCTCACTTGTCCGCTTTTGCAGAGCATCCCACGCCATCCAGCTGCACCAGATTTGTGGTCCCTGATAAAGCAACCATGGCTCCTCACATCGACGCACCCTCTCCTGCTGGCAGCTTCACCACTGGCTTCAACGGCTTCAACCGGCCCTTCCGTCCTCTACACTCCTCGGCCTTGCCAGTGCCTAGTGGCCTGTCATCTGCTGACTCGGCCTCGCCTCTGAGCAGTTCTTATGGGAGCACATCCGTTCAGAATGATTTACACATGGAGAGGCCGCTAGTGCCCGGGGTCTATGTGCCCACGATGTGCTTCTTCGACGAGAACGAAGATGTCGACACCGTGACAATCGCCTCCCACGCCGTGCGACTGGCACGCGCAGGGGTGACTGGCCTTGCGACACAAGGGTCAAACGGAGAGGCGGTCCACCTGACCCACTCGGAGAGGTCACTGGTCACGTCAACCACGCGAAAAGCCTTGAACGACGCTGGTTTCTCCTCCATGCCCCTGATAGTTGGCTGTGGCAGCCAGAGTGTGCGAGAGACGGTCCAGTACTGCACCGAGGCATGGCAGGCAGGCGGCGACTACGCGCTTGTCTTACCACCTTCCTACTACGCGCCCCTGTTCGCGCCATCGTCAGGCACAGTCCTTGAGTTTTTCAACGCGGTCGCGGATGCTTCGCCGATCCCGATCATCATCTACAACTTCCCAGGTGCAGTTGGCGGGTTGGATCTGTCCTCAGATATCGTCATCAAGCTCTCCGCTCACCCCAACATTGTCGGAGTCAAGTTGACCTGTGGAAACACGGGGAAGCTGGCGAGAGTGGCTGCCGCCACCAAGAAGCTCACCAAGAACTACGACCCTAAGAAGCCCGAGTTCCTCGTGCTTGCCGGATCAGCCGATTTCACCATCCAGTCCTTGGTTGCTGGTGGCCATGGCATCCTAGCCGGCCTGGCCAACATCTCTCCCAAAGCGTGCATCAGGACGGTCGAGCTTTTCAACTCCGATAAGGTGGTCGAGGCTCAAGAAATGCAAGAGACGGTCGCCTCTGGGGACTGGACTGCTATCCAGGGTGGTGTCGTGGGCGTCAAGGCAGGTCTGCAAGCCTGGAACGGCTACGGCGGGTACGCCCGGAGCCCTTTGCCCAAGCCCACGGCCGAGCAAACACAGAGTTGGAAAGAGGGCTTCCGAGACCTCGTTTTGTTGGAGAAGAGCCTGTGAGCCATGTGAAAATCCTGGCCGATACCAGGACAGAAATCGTCGTCCTAGGGACGACATTTTTCGGGGCTGAGACGGGAAAACTTCAATATTCCTCACTGAACAGCCTGTTCTGCTCCGTTCAGGTGAGCGTTGTGGTGCGCCTCGCTGTCAAGGAAAGTCTTTTTCTGTACCGGCTCTTCTCGGATGACGGTCGGTATTTTCTTCTGAAGTGATAGTTGGTCTCGATGGTCGTGAGGGTCTTGCATACGTATGTCAACGGCGTTATGGACTGTGGGGCTTTCTTATTTCATCGGAGATTCCTTCAGGATAAGGCTCTGTCGACGTTGAGGAAAGACCACGGTGGCGTACGACCGCGGGAAGATTTCTCAGTATTGCTGTCAAAGTGCGTGAAGATCGGCTTTGTGCCCAGCATTTTCAAAAAGGGGATGTGAAAAGCCTATTGTAGGCATGTTGAGATGCATTCTTCTTGTTCAAGAAAGGAACAATAAGGGCAGGACTGCCAGGAACAAGTCAATATTATTAACGATTCTAGAACTCTTCCCATCGTCACCGATGTGTTGCCCCCCGGCGAATTCCATCTTCAGATAGTTCTTGAGATTGAATGGCCTGCGATGCCTGCTGATCTGAAGCTCTTGAAACGCTTCTCTCGACTTTGGTGCGGCATCGGGTGGGAGGTACTTTTCTCAAGCTACAAAACACTACTATCTGCTCTATCCCATTGACATGCTTTGGCCAAGGCCATTTCTGGGGGAAAGTTATCTCCGTGCAAGCACCACGTCGCGCACCCAACTCATTTACGTACAAGCGAGCCGAGGGAGCGAATGGACCGCGGCGACACTTTCGCGGGATACCGATAACGGCATATGTTGCTCCGTCACGTCGGTGGATTAAGCGCCGCTACTTCCATGCTTGAGGGGCGCCAATCTGAGACAAGGCTTGATGCGGTGAACTGGATTTACGGCCTTTGTCTCTTCCGGGGAAGACAGGGAAGTAACTGAGACTCGTGTCTGCCGATTCCCGAAGACGCCACTCGATCTCGTCACTTCGTCGATCCTTCTTTTTCTTTTCTTTTTTGGCATTCGAGAAGACCAAATTTCCGTCGCACACACCGAAAGGGGTAGGGCGGTTCCCCGGGATCTAGCCGCCCATCACCTAGTTATCGGCAGCATGAGGGATATATTTGTTTCTGTCTCATCGACGATGAGATGACGAACAGCCCATGTCTCTTCCAACACATTGTGCCACACTTCCGTGGCCAGAAAAGGACCACGATCAAGTGCAGATGTACACCGCCGCCGGCAAACTAGCAAGTGAGACATCCCAGGGGCAAGTATACCCCAGTTCTTGGACAAGCAATGATCTTCCACTCCCCGGCCAGAAAGGGAAACTGGCATGCCAATAGCCTTCCAAATCAGGGAATACGAGCATTCAAGTGTCTGCCCCGTGGAAGCCTGGCTGGGCTTAACGGGCAACTGCAGTGCATTGCGTGGGTGGCGTGCTTGCCCGTCGCGGAGCAGACAACTGGGAGAGGACCAGAAATGTTGGGCATGATGGCGGTGGCAGCTTAATACGAGGAGCGCGGACAATGTTCCCTCGTGGGAAAAGCAATGGGCACACGAACGCGGTGCGACTATTCGTTTGTACAATGTTGGATTCGGTGGTGTTGGCCCCGGTGTCACCTCGCGTTTCGTTCGCATACGCTTCCTAGTGCTCGTCAGTATGGTCTGGGGAAGGAAAGAGCCGTTACGATGTGCATTCTCGGTGAGGGCCGAGGCACCGGCGCCGCCCACAGAAGCCGCAGTCTGCTCACCGTCTACCCGATCGTCGAGGTATGTTGAACGACTTGGCTGAGCTTGTTTTACTGCCGCGGTCGGCGCCCACCAGGATGATGGCATCTTTGTGCACAGCTGAGCTGAGCACGAGTGTGCCAAAGCTTTGCCGTGGGGTCCCTCCCGCGTCACAAGCCGGCCGGATACTCGGCTCTCCTGGGCGCTTTCCCGTGGAGAGTGCACAGATCGTGGTTTTGTCACCTTGATCTCTGTGTATTGTTGCTCACTTGCCCAAGTGGTGCGGTTCGGCGAAACGTGCTACGGGAACTACGCGGCGTGGAGAGGGATATAATTACATAGCGCGGGCCATTGCTCCCTTGAACGAGGTCGGTGCACTGGGTATTTGCTTTTCGCATCCTAAAAGTTTTGTAGCGTGTTGATCTTTCCGTCGAAGCGACTTACACACGCCCGAGTGGTCCCTGGCCTCCCTTGCATGGCCCTCTTCAGCCCGAGCCACCCCACAAATCTCAGATCTGGATCTGGTCTCAACCTTTTCTCGATCTGCCACACCACGGTATACTCTACGAAAACGCCGCAATAAAGGAATCATGAGACTCCTCGCGTCACTTATGTCGGCTGTGGTCGGGCTGTGGGCAAGCAAGGTGGTGGCGCAACAGCAGCAGCCAGACAGAATCAGTGTCACCGGCCCTCAGGGCGGGTTTGACGCCCATACGGGGGCTCCACCGGCGAGAATCAATATAAACGACATGTGGGCTCAGGGCGGCCCCTCGTGGTGAGCGAGCGGCTGAACCCCGCCGTCCCGCGGTTGTGGTGTCTCACAGCGGCCGGGCAGAAGGGAACAGGGCGGCGAGGGAATGGAAAGGCTGACTCTTTGAGGGCTGTATAGGGACCTGTACATTCTGGCGCTGCTGGAGCTCCAGGACGTAGACGAGGCTGATGACCTGTCTTACTTCCAGATCATGGGTGCGGAACCCATTCCTCTGAATGCCACGGCCCGGGAGCTCGTCTGGATTGTTGACTGGGCTTAACAGGTATTCACGGCCTCCCGTTCAGGGGATGGCATGATGTCGGACAGGTACCTGGTGGTGCCAACATGGCTGGATTCTGTCCCCATAGTGTAAGGAGATGCTGAGTTCGAAGGAAGAGTTTCCAGCTGGATGGTACAGATGCTGAGACACTAGGCAGCAATTGTTATTCGGACTCTGGCACCGGCCGTTCATCTCACTCTACGAGGTAAGCACCGGTAGAAACTTTGAGTGCAGTTACAAACGCCGTTCGCTAACCTCTCTGTCCCAGCAAACTCTGGTAACCCATGCCATACAGATCTCTCAGCGATATGCAGGCGACAAAGCACCGGCATATCGGGCTGCGGCAGGATCTTTGCGGGTCGCGTACTGGGACTGGGCTGCGAACGCGTCGCTGCCGGAGATCATTACCCACGAGAGAATCGAAGTCAACGGCCCCTCGGGCCCCGTGACTGTCAAGAACCCTCTCCATAGCTATTGGTTCCAGAGCTACCCATTCAGCATCCAGTATATGAACGCTGGAGTCCTGTCGAAGCAGAGCCGCACGACCCGCTGCCCTACAGAGGATATTAACGACGATGTCGCCAAAGTGAACGCTGCCCTTGTGTCCTCTGAGTTCAAAGCCCAAGTAGTAAGGACATGACCCTCTCCCACCGCCAAGCTTGTGAGAAGGGCCCGTGAGACACTGACCTGGATATGCGACCAGTACAACACCTTCACGACTGTCACATCCTTTGAGAACATGGTGACAGACCGGTACACCGCAACGAGCTTTGAGAGCCCACACAACAACGTGCACAACTCGGTCGGCTGCAGCAACGGCACCATGTACGACCTGAACTGGTCGGCCTTTGACCCGGCCTTCATGCTCCACCACACCAACGTCGACCGCCTCATCGCGCTGTGGCAGGCAATCTACCCCAACTCGAGCATCTTTAACGTTGTCGACTACGCCGGCGCCTTGTACGGCACGGCCGCGGGCAACGTCAGCGCCGACACCCCGCTCAAGCCCTTCCACGACCGGCCGGGCGACGGCGACGGCGTCGACGGCTTCCACACCAGCCGCTCCGTGCGCGACATCGCCGTGCTGGGCTACACGTACCCGGAGCTCCAGGTGCGCGGCGAGGACGGCGGCGGCGGCGACAACAGCAACAGCACCAGCACCAGCAACAGCACCGCCGCCGCGCCGAGCCCGGACGAGCTCGCCGAGCACGTGCGCTTCAAGGTCAACTCGCTGTACAGCAGCGTGCCGACGACGTCCGAGAACGTGACGGAGGCGCGGCGCGCGCGCAGCCTGGTGCGCCGCCGCCGCTCCCCCTCCTCGTCGTCATCGGGCCGCTTCAAGGGCAAGGACAGCAAGACCCCGGTGCGGCGGCCCGTGGCGACGCGCAAGACGTGGTCCGTGGCCATCAGCGTCGACAGGGCCGAGGTGCCGCTGCCGGCCACCATCGGGTGCTACCTGAGCGATGATGACAAGAGGGAGCAGGCCGGGCGCATGTCGCTGCTCGCGGTCCCGGCCGTGGGCGTCACGCACTCTACGATCCCGCTGGACAGGGCTCTGGGCGCGGTCGGGGGTGTGGACCTTGCTGATGCGGATGAGGTGGCTTTGTATCTGAACCAGACCCTGAAGTTTGAGGTGCTAAAGGTGAGTCGAGTTTCTAAGATCTCGGTCCGGAGCTTTTTCCATGTACACGTGCATCTGGGGAAGAAGTCTAGGCTGATCATAACCTGCACAGGGCGACGGAACACCCATCGAGAACCTCGAATGGATCCCGAGCCTGCAGTTCATCGTGCAGGATCGCGACTACACGCCGCGAGAGAGCGACGTGGATTTCCCCACGTACGGGGCTGCTAACACCAGAAAGATGGGCAAGAGCCATGGGCGGTGGACTTTGTCGGGTTAGTATGGCGATTCGGGTTTTAGCCCTGTAGATACAAGTGTTGGACACTGGGGTTGGGTTTACGAAGTACTCTTGGTATTCAATGTTGGGGTGACTATTTGATCTTGTCTTGGATGGTCCCTTCATTCTCATATTCATGTGCAGTGCTCGAGATAGAGATCAAGCCTGTAATTTTTTGCAAGACGAACAAGAGATGAACAAAAAGGAGTATCGCTATTTCTATCGATGTCTGAATTTCTGACACTTCGTCCCGCAGTATTATGCCCAAATCTACTCATGAATATCATCTATGTACAATAAGCCATGACCTCCTTTGCCTCCGACCCGCGACCTGGATCACGGCCGCGCAATGACCTTGAATCTAAACAAAAGAAACAGCACATCTATTCATGACTCGCTGGTTTGTTCCATTTCCTACAACACCCCAACACACACGCGAGGTCAGCAATCCGCCTATCGCTTCTGCCGCAGGGGCATCTCGACGCTGGTGGAAGTGCCCACCTCGTCGTAGCCGCCGTCGGTCTGGGCGCCGACCATGTCGTTGGGGTGGAACATGAAGAAGAAGAGGGCGGTGACGAGGAACATGAGGAGCGAGTCGAAGGCGAAGAGGGTCCACTGGTTGTTGAGCGGGTAGCCGTCCTGCCCCAGGATGTACTCGATGACGCGGAAGATGGACCGCGCCATGATGAGCAGGCTGACGGCGTAGAGCATGTAGAGCACCTGGAGCCAGGGGATGCCGTTCGGGGTGGAGCGGTCCCCGGGGCCCGTCGCGCCGCTGCCGTAGGCGCCCGAGACGGCGAGCATGCGGCCGCAGCGCACGTGGAAGGCCACGGCGGCGACGACAAAGAGGCCGAACATGACGATCTGCACGAAGAGACCTACGAGCAGGATGTTCTGCCCCAGGTCGGCCTTGCCCTCCATGGCCATCATGCCGCCGCCGCTGGCCTGCAGCAGGAAGGAGAAGACGTCGCCGATGACGAAGGTCTTTGTCAGCCAGCTGGGGCGGATCAGGCTGCACGAGGGCCCCGAGGGCACGCGGACGATCAGGCGGCCCAGGATCATGTAGACGGTTGCGGCGAAGAGTGCGGGGGCGACGAGGATGAAGACGGACTGGATTATGAAGGGCAGGAGCTGGTCGGTCTTGTCGTGGGCTAGGGCGAAGCCTATGTAGCCGATTGCCTCGACTGTTTTGGTGAAGACGGTGAATCAGTAATCGTTCTCCAGAGTCATATGCAGAGGGCACAAGACCAATTCCGCGCTGGTGTCCGATAATTCCTCTCGACTGATCGGGCATAGACTAGGGAGCAAGAATTGCCAACTTACAGATACATCCGAGGATGAATGGGATGTAGAACCATTGGCGGAAGCGGAACATGCGGTAGCTGTGGGCGGCCGCGGCGACAATAAAGAGGATGAGGAAGATGATGGCGCCGGGCATGGACGGCACGTAGTGCCACAAGTAATAGGTACCGCCCTTGTAGGGCAGGATACCATTTTTGGCTTGCCCTGCCATGATCTCTGTGTTGTGTGTGCCGCGGGGTCGGGAAAAGAGTGTCGTCGGTTATCTGGCTGGGCGGCTCGGTTGGTGGTTGTCCAAATAAAGTTGTTCAGACCAACAATGTCGCCTCTCTGGGAATCAGTCGGCTGGTGTTGTCAAGGGAAGGATCGCGATGTAGCAATAACGAGCGAAATGTCAAGGAGTTCTAATAAGTAAACCTCCAGATGTCTGAGAAGGGGTGGATGATGGATGGATGAGTAGATGACTCCTCCATCCCAAGTAGGACAGCCGGAGCGGATCACATTCTTTATACCACGAGGCAACAACCTCATCAGCTCCATGGCCCGGAGAAGCGATTGCCGTCTTAGACGTCTCGAGGCTCCGGCGTGGGCTGGCCAGGCGCCGGGGGGGGGGCGCGAGAGGCTTGGACCTGGAAGCGTGTGGGCCTCTGCAGCAGCAGCAGCAGGGCCATGCGGAAGAAGGGCTGGGGCATGAATACGGGCCCCCGTCCGGGCGCGGATGCGCGTATACGAGGCTGTCCGATTGGGCCGTATTTGCTCGCTCTTGGATCCTGCGGCTCCCTCTGCGGCGGGCCTGGCCAATGAGGTGTTATACAATACGCGGACCCCCTATACGGACCCACACGGTCGGATACGGTAGGGCAGGGCCGCGCTTTCAAAGGGCCCCAGATAAAGGAAACTTTGCTGGTGTCGTTATATGGTGGGTACTCCCCGTTGGGGTGGTCCGAGATTAGAGCAGAGCGAGCAAACGTATCTGTCGTACAGACGTACAGACGTATAATGCAGTCGGTCCGCCAGTCAGTCAGTCAGTCAGTCATGTCCCATTTTCTGTTGGCCCAGCGAGACGCGAAGAGAAAAGCGTACGTACGCAGCAGCCACACCATGCCGTTCCTGACACTTGTTTTCAAGTTAGTCTCCCAACTATCCCCTCGCTGCGCCCCCTTCCTCACTTCCACCAACCGCGACAGCCTCGGCCGACAAGCATTGAGTTGCTCTCAACGCGATTTTAATTCTAGCCACCGCATTTCCTCACCCCTGGCGACTTGAAACTCTCTGTCTGGTATCTTTGATTTCCGCAGATATGCCAAGGATGAAGTCTGCTCGGCGCGAGGGCCAGGGCAGGACATCGATCGCGTCACGGCGAAGGCCTGTTCGGCGGCAAGTTCCAGCCTGGGTGGGCGGGCAGTCGACCAGGACAATACGAAACATTATTGCTCATGCAATATGTGATGGTGGTTACCCCGCGCAACGTGCTTGATGACGGCGACTCTGGCAGAGATGGCCAAGCATGGCGTCGTTGATCTCATCTTCACAGTCAGGACGTCCTGCCCGCCGAACCGAGTTCCCCGAGTAGCGAGGCGCCGCGTGTCTTCTTTGCTCGTCGGCGTGGTCCGAACAGCCTCGCGTGCCTTCTAGCCTGGCTCCGCACCAACAGGACGCTTCGCAGTGTGAGGGTGTGCTATGACTCGATGGTATGAGGGGCCCCAGGACCGGCCGGCCATAAGCGTGCGCTGGACAGACGTGCAGCTTTGGTTCTCTCTTGCATAACCGAGCGTGCGCCTCGCTTATCTTGCTGATCTTGGTGGGCCAGAGAATCGCATTGGTCGTGGGTCGAAACAGGAAGAGAGGGTTTGAGGACGACTCGTCCTCTACGTCGGGTCTTGTCTGGGGATGGGGAGGCAGTGACGATGAGGTTGATCTCCATGACGGCCGAGCAGGACCTCAAAAGACGACGGCGAGTCTGTTGTGACCTGTGAGAGATCCTCAATCCGCCAGCCCGGGCCGGGCGGGGGGACGGACTGTCACATCCAACAGCAACACCGGCTGGGCCGCGTGCGAGCCACGAAAGGAGCCCAGGAGCAGGCTGGATGGGGGATCGGTCAGAAAGCGCACGCAGAAAGGCTCCTCCTCCCTTTTCATACCCATGCACAGCATGCATACGGCCGAACAAGCGAGCTGCTGACGACGGGCGGCTGCATCGCAGATGTGAGAGCGACGGGGCATGTCCCAGGTGACGGCTCACACACACGTGTGGGCAGCCTGCGCGACCCAATCGTTCCGAGACGATCCGCCCGGCCGGGTATCAATCTATCTACCTTGGGCCGGGTCGCAGGCTGCGTGCCCCCTTCGTCAGAGGGACGCACGCCGGATGTGGCACCTCTGCAGTAGACGACCAGAGGGCCCAGACGAATGCAAAAGGTGCGAGAGCGAAGGGGGCAGCCAGTCATACGGGAGGCCAAGAGGGAGACGAGGTCGACACCGATGCCTTAAGGGGGAAACTAGAGAGAGGCGTGCGACCTGTCAGTATATGCCGGTGACCCGTCCTGCACGATGCAGACATGCCGATGCATACACACAGACACACCACACAACACATGGATGCACACCACAGACACACAGGCACAGGCACAGGCACAGGCACAGTTTTGTCGCAGATGGGCTAGATGTGTGTGTGCGTCTGTGCCTGTGGTGTGTATGGGTGTCTGGGTGTGCCTACGCACGTATGTGGACACATGCCAACGTCCATGTCATGTCGATGCTGCAGGAAAGCCCCCTGGGCAATGGCGATCGACCTCTGGCAGCTAAGTACCTGTTCTAGGCATGTAGCAGTAATGATCAACTACGCATCGACGACAAGACCGAGGGCCAGATCAAGAACTAGACTATTGACCTGCATGGCCCCTCCCCCCCCATCCCCCGCCCAATTCGTCCGCGGGCAGGCCCCCGGCAGGCTCCGGCCGCCTGTGCGATGGGCGCACTGCAGCCTCGAATCTTCAACGGCGTCAGTGGGGTGCATTTGTGGCGGCCATACCGAAGCCGACGGCTGCATAACTTACACCAAAAAAACACTGCTTTGCTTGCTGTTGGCGTGAACCCTTCCAGGGGGAAGGGGGGGGGGCTTCTTTTTGCGGGGATCGCTGCGGGTGTCTGTCCACCTCGTCTTTGCTTGCGGCCCGGGGATGCGGTTATTCGATGATGCACACACACACACGCACGCACACACACTCACTCACACGTACACGTACCAAACACACACATGTACACACACACACACACACACACACACACACACACACACACACACACACACACACGCGCCATACACAAACCTGGAAGACAGGCTGCGACATGATGGAGCCACCGCCTGGTGCCAAATTCGATAGCCGATGCCATTGTTGGCGGGCAGGGGGCGGTCGATGGAGGCATCGGATTTGGTCGTAAGTAGTATCGATGTTTGTGCTTCTGACTCGCCATCGGATTGGGGCTGTGGCAGTGGTAGTAGTTTAATAAGTGGTAGCAGCAGTCGTTCGTTGCCACGCCAGGAAGCATATATGTAGCTTCGTCGGGTCTGTTCTCACCGGTCCTGTCGCCTGTGCCCTCACGACGTCACGAACAAACATCAACAACTACTACAGTATCATTATCATCATAATTATTTTACTTTCCCCATCACACTTACTCGCTCGCTCACCCTCGCACAAACCTGTCCTCCTTCCCTTCCCTCCGGCTCCCGCCTCTCTCCCAATATTATTTTCATCCCCATAATTCTGTTATGTGGCCTCTCACCACCGCCGACCTAACAACATCATGAGCCCACCACAACCCTCCAGCTTCCACATCCCAACCATAGACATCGCCCCCTACCTCGAGGATGCCTCCACCGACGCCGCCAGGCAGGTCGTCGACGACGTGCGCAACGCCTGCATGACGGCCGGCTTCTTCTCCCTCGTCGGCCACGGGATCCCGCGCGAGATGCAGGACGGCGTCCTGTGCGCGGCGAAGAAGCTCTTCGACCTGCCGCTGGCCGAGAAGGAGGCACTGCGGCACCCGCTTATCAAGAACAGGGGCTACGAGGTCATTGGCGCCCAGACGCTGCAGGAGAACACCCTGCCCGACCTGAAAGAGGTGAGAGAAAGCACCCAAGCCTAGCACATTTATGCGTGTATATCTGTATTGTGTGTTGTACATATCCCCAATGGCATGTCCAGGAGAAAAGGGGGACCAACCGGGGAAAAGAAAAAGAGAGACAACCAAAAAAAAAAAAAAAAAAAAAAAAAAAGACCAGAGACGGGAAATGTTGAGTTGAGTCCACGGGCTGACGAGTGGGACGCGGCGTGCCCAACCCGCGACCAACAGGGCTTCTACATCGGCAAGGACCTCCCGCTCGAGTCGGACAAGGTCAAGGCGCACCCGGAGCTGCTGGGCCAGAACATGTTCCCGGCCTCGCTGCCCGACGGCGACTTCCGGCTGCCCACCGAGCGCTACTACGCCGCCGTGCTGGACCTGTCGATGCGCGTGCTCGAGATCCTCGCCAAGGGCCTGCCCTACGGCGACGACATCTTCCACGAGTTCGTGTCCAACGACCCCGTCTGCATCATGCGCCTGCTCCACTACCCGCCCCAGCCGCAGGCGCAGGCGCAGTCGCAGTCGCCGCCGCGCGACCAGAGGCAGCTTGGGGCCGGCGCGCACACCGACTTTGGTACGTCCTCTCGCTCTCGGCACTGCTCCTCCTCCTTCTCCTTTGGGATCACGATAGTGGCGATGGTGATGCAACGAAAATGATGATTATATGATGATCATAATATGATGATCATAACACACATCTGTCCTCCCCTCCCTTCCATGCGTGTATCCCCCCCCCCCAAAACACACACCCGGCCCCTTTCTTAATTAACAAAAAAAAAAAACTCTCTCTCACAAAACCAAACAAACCCAAACAGGCGCCATAACCCTCCTCCTCCAAGACACAGCAGGCGGCCTGCAGGTGCAGGACCCGCACACGCAGTCATGGCACGCCGTCGAGCCCAACGAGGACGCCTACGTCGTCAACATCGGCGACATGCTCGCCCTCTGGACAAAGGGCATCTACCGCAGCGCCGTGCACCGCGTCATCAACTCGAGCGGGGCCCACCGCTACTCGGTGCCCTTCTTCTTCGACGGCAACGCCGAGGCGCAGCTGAGGCCCTTTGACGGCAGCGAGCCCGTCGGCGGGCGGGTCGTCACCGTCGAGGAGCACATGCTCCAGCGCCTGGGGGCGTCGTACCGCACAGGCGGGAAGGGGGTGGGGAGGGGGGCTGCTGCGGGTAGGGCCGTCTCGGCTTCTGCGTGAGGGTGGGGGACTGCGAAGGTGTTATCGTCTTATTTTTTTTTTATTTTCGTATGTGTTTTATTTTTTTTTTTTTTTTTTCGGGGGGGGGGGGGGGGGCAAGAAGAGACGGGGGTGGGTGGTGTGGCTGTTGTGCTTCGTGCGCGTCTCGGGCAGAGGGGGGGGGGCAATAGTGGATGAGCTGCGCGCCGGGAGGCTGTTTGAGTGGAGGGGAACTTTCCGAGCCCGTCACGCGTTTGTCTTTCTGTCTTAATGGTTTTCTCTTGACATATTCCGGTTGTTGTTCTTTTTTTGTTTTTTTTTTTCAGAGCGGCTATCAGGCACAAATGTCTATTTTACCAACCCATCACGGAGGGAACAAGCTCGCTCACACACTGTCGATAGTTTTCACCATCATCCCGAATCATCATAAGCCCATCGAGCCAGCCCTCTCTGACTTGCACTGGGGCGTTGGCGTCTTTCTCACAAGAGTCCGGACTGGATAACCAAACTGGGGACCGGGCGTGGGCCTGGGCCAGCGGGTGACGATGATGCCCTGTCATGCGGACGAGAATCCACGGATGGACGAGAACGGAGCCCAGCAATGCAATGTCTCGCTCCGTACGACCGACGCAAACCCCCGGCCTCGGCCCTTGCCTGCGTGTACCCCGTGCCACCAGATCTCTCTTGCCCCTCCCAACCGCCCTATCCGCCCAACCGCCGGGTAGATGGGTGTCACTGGAGGGGGGATATTGGGTATTGTGGTGGGGAGGGGTTGAGGTTGAAAGCCGGCTGGCGTAACCCAACAAAAAAGATTACGGCTCGTCCGACGCGGGCGCCCGTCTTTTTTTTTTAATGGCAACACCACCCGCTTCGAGCCAAGTCTCTGGGGTTCCTGTGCTCACCTTGCTTACCTTGCCTGCCAACCTGGGCCCCCCTGTCCTCTCTCCCCCTGGGGTCTTGTGCGCCCCCCATCTCGTGGAATTCTCGCCTCGCTGTTGGTAGCCGGGGCGGAGGGGGGAGGGGGGTCGCAGTGGGCCGGGAGATTTCACCCTGGCGGCGGAATCCGGGGGTCCCCCAGGAGGCTTGGAGCTGGTGAAACAGGACACTGGGGGGGGGGGGTGTGTGTCGTACTTGATGGTGGTTGAATGGGGTGACCGACGTTTGTTTGTTTGTGCCCTGTGTTGCAATCACTTCCGTATCATCATTTCTCTCAAGTATCTGTATATGTTGGCTGCCGACTTGTTATAATCCAGACCTTGGTACTACTGCAGTCCAGACCGAAAATGATGTCTTGTCAGACCGCGGTGTTTCTCCGTGATCGCGCTTGATGTCGTTCCAAAACCAAAAGGCCCAAACTTGCATCAGGCGCAACCGAGGGCAGCCCTCGCTCTCTCCTCTCCCATTTCACAATGCGTATCTCCACTCCGAAGAGTTCTCCAGGCCCTTTTGCTCCAGGCCCTTCGTCTCCGCCCCGGCGGCCGTCTCCAGGTGCTTCTTGCTAGTGCCCTCGGCGGCGCCCTCGTAGCCCCCAGCCTTGTCAGACGTCGCCGGCGCCTCCCGCGCAGCCCTGTCCCACCGGTCGTTCTGCACCTTGAAGAACGTCCGAAGGCCGAAGGCCAGCGCCGCGTTGAAGGCCATGAAGGCGGCGCAGACCGACATGCCCTTGACGTAGTACGGGCCGTCGCCCGAGGGGAACGAGCGCGTGCCGAGGAGCGGGCCGCACTGGCCGATGATGTTCATGACCGCGATGCCGACGCCGCGCCTCGTGTCGCTGCGCTGGTTGTTGAGCAGCCACGACAGGATGTTGGCGATGGCCGGGAACACCCCCGCCGAGGCGAGGAACACCCCCGCGTAGCGCACTCCCACCGACCGCGACGCCGCCAGCATCACGTAGCCCGCGCACCCGACGAGCGAGAGCCCCGCGATCAGCAGCCCGCGCTGCTGCGTGCGGTCGCCCACGTACGTCGACAGGATGCACACCCCGAAGGCCAGGAAGTACGGCGGCGCCGTCAGCCCCTGCGCGTTGACGCTCGTGAAGCCCATGCCGGTGAGGATGGCGGGCAGGAACACGGGGAGCGACGCGAAGGCGACGTTGCAGCTGAAGTACATGAGCGCCTGCACCCACGCCTGCGGCGTCTTCAGCGTCTCGACGATGTCGCGCGGGTTGATGCTGCCTGTTTTATGGCCCTGGGCGGTGCCGGCCTCGTGGCCCGAGTGGGTGAGCGCGCGCGCGCGGGCGATGGCCTTCTCCTCCTCGGTGAGGAACTTGGCTGTCGCGGCCGAGTCCGGGAGGTAGAAGAAGACTACAAAGGCGAGGATGATGGGCGGTATCGCCTCGATGATGAAGAGCAGCCGCCAGCTGGCGATGCTGTAGTGGCTCTTGGTGATGCCGTACGCCAGGGCGCCGGCGAAGGTCGTCGCGAGGGGCGCGGCCGAGAGGAAGATGCCGCAGCGGAACCCGAGCTCCCTCCTCGTGTAGAAGAAGGAGAAGAGGTACGGCATCCCGGGCCCGAAGCCCGCCTCCGCCGTGGCCAGGAAGAAGCGGCACGCCATCAGGCCCTGCCAGTTGAAGGCGGAGGCCTGCAGCATGGACGCTACACCCCAGGTGAAGACGGTCGCGAAGGCCCATATGTGGGGCGGCAGGATCTTCCACATCAGCGCAAGCCACTCGAAGACGATGTACGGGATGTAGAAGATCGTGAGGAGCCACTGTGAAGCGTGTCAGTGTCCACCTATGCACGCTAGGCGTGGAACATCTCGGCTGAGAGGGTGGCTGGGTGGTGGCTGACCTGGTACTGGTCGTTGTCAAACCCAAGGTCCTTACTCATGCCGGCCGTCTCGGCGTTTCCAATGTTCGAACGGTCCAAGAATGCTGCCATGTAGCATAGGAACGCAAGCAGGACCAGCCTGCGGTCGAGCTTGCGGACGAGGCGCTTCTCCGAGCCGGCGTCGATCTCGACGCCATGGTCCAACGAGCTGCTGTCTCGCAAGCCGGGCGACTCGGGCTCCTTTGCCGGCGCCGGCTCTGCCGTGGTAATGTCGCCTGCCATTGTGGGATGTGGGATGGTGATGATGAGTCAACGACTGAGATCGTTGTTCAACGTTGGGCTGCTCTGTTACCATTGAATGGTAGTTATCGACAAGCTCGCTTCTTGGTCTGATGGCCTCAGGACATCCGGTCGGAAAATGTCAGGGAAGCATGAGGACAGTGACCTTTGGACGCGGATGTTGAACAATATAGACTAGTCTAGGTACATATTGGGGGCCGGGGAGGAGGGTGCTCCAAGGGAGCGTGAGAATATGACGCAGCATTGGTTTCCGACGGACATGTGGGTAGACGAGTACCCAGGTAGAAAGGGGAATTGGCGAGTCGCCCTACACAATGTACGAGGCGACCAGAGCCAAGGAAGCTTATTACGTGCGGGCGGAAAGCTTGTTAGGTGCTCTGCCGGCGGATCCAGGCCGGAGAAAAGCCACACTGCGGGGGTGGAGGTGGGTGGAAGGGGGTCGTGGGCCGCCCTCCCCCGCAAATGGCTCTCGGCACCTTCGCGGAGATAATACAGCGGCATAAATTCGGAGAGACCCCACCTAAGGTACATCCCGTAGTACGCGTTACGCACCTACCCATAGCCTGGGGGCGCATTGCTTATCTACCTGTATTTGAAAAAGTCTATTGCGTCGCATACCCGGAACATAGCCGAGCAACGTCAAGCTTCGTACACGGCACGTAACGGACTGGTCCACTTGCCACCGCTGCATGTGCGAGGCCCGTGATTAGGTATCATCATGCTCAGCGTAGGTTCCGGAAGGTTAAGTATCCACAGGGAGCAGTCCTGTTCGACATACTCAACGTCTGTTGGCTGAGTCATCGGGCTCACTGCTTGACAATGTCTATCTCGCCTTTCCTATATGGCTGTCGCCTTTGCTGTCGATCCGCCTCCTCAGCTGCTGCGGTGGAGCGTGCTGAAGTTTGCAGCTTCTAGAAAGCAGAAGAAGCAAGTCGCCTCAAATGCATAATACTCAAATTTACTAAACCTCTGCATCCAATCTCTCGTAGAAATTTTCGATACGACTCAACCTGGTGTTTCTTGAACTATTATCAGGGAACTCTCGGGAACGCTGCCAGCTGGACCGCGATCACATTGCGACAATTTCTTGATTCGTATCATTTTATGCAAGTCATGACTAGTCTGTTCGGTTTGGTCGACCATGTCTTCACGCTCTTCGAAGATGTGCTTCAAGTGGCTTTCGTGTCCGATTTGATAATGGGCAAACACATCGAGTCCGGCTTCCGTATGGGCTATGCGAAGTTTGCGGGCGGCAGCCTCACCTTCCAGTTGAGATGTGTAGCCTTTCGACTATTCTTCGTGTTAATTGTCCATCAGTTCTACAAAAGCCAAATTAGTGGATTCTTCGCACACAATGTCACCAATCGAATTTCGATCAAGGTCAAAGAGTCGCAATCTGTCAACGCACATGCTGCGAGAAATGTATACCGGCCCCTACACAAAGGACAGATTCGGCTTGTACGACCTCATCTCATTCTTTTGAGGGAATAGAACTGGTTGATGGCGTCGAAACAAGTAGAACGTGCTCCCTCTTCACCATCGACTTGCCAGTGGATGATCACCTGAAGCATGAGTATGAAGCCGTGTCCTACGTTTGGGGCGGTGATTCTGACCTCCAAGCAATTCAGCTCAATCAACAGCGCTTCTGGGTCACGAAGGATCTCTCGGCTGCTTTGAACGCCCTTCGTTTACCGGATAAAGACCGGATTCTCTGGACCGGTGCCCTAGCGATCAATCAGTCGAGCTTCGCAGAACGGGCAAGCCAAGTCAAGCACATCCAACGGATCTACTCGTGCGCCAGACACACACTGATTTGGCTCAATGAAGACAAAGTGTGCGAAATCGAGAAGAACCCCCATTTGGATGCATCTGTGCAGCCACTGGAGGCGCCACCAGGCTGAGGAACCCTCCCCGACAGTGACTCTCAAAGAATTTGGGATGGGGAGCATCTCTTCACTCTGCTGTCGAGCTTGTCCAACCTGCAGTATTGGATTAGAGTGTGGACAGCCCAAGAAGTCGTGTATTCTCAGCAGGCAACTTTGGTCACTCCATTTGGGTCAGTTTCTTAAGTACCCTTTGGGATCCTGGAGGACCTGCTCGGAACAGAAGTAACTCCAGGGGACCCGGCGACGAGAGATTTTGAGTCTTCGATGGAGGAGTTCGAAAAGACCTGCTTGACATTGCGACCTGACACTGTTTCCGAAGGGTTAGACCTCGCCATGTGGATCCAAATGTGTATATCAAGGAACTGCTACGACCCCCGGGATTATGTATTTGGATTGAGTGGCTGCTTCACACCCGAGGTTCGCCAACAAGTAAAAGTTGATTATTTCCTCGACCCTGAAGACGTGGTTAACGAGGCCACACTGGTCTTCTTGCGACACGAGGGCTGCCTGGATTACCTCCGACATTCGAATTGTTTCAATCAGGACTCAAGATGGATAAATGGTTTGCCGTCGTGACTTCCTGACTTTACACCGAAAAGGACCGAAAAGGTCGCACGCCATGATCTTGACAGGATACCCAATCCAAGCATTCTTGGCGGCCAACGAACCCGGGTGTTCTGGGAAACACTCGAGGACTCGAGTGTCCTTCATATTCGGGGCCGATGGATTTGGCAGGTCGAAAAGGTCGATCGTGGGTGGGAACTCCTGCAGGGAGAGACTAAAAAAGCTCGAGCTCTGCGACCGTTGACCCGTCTAAGAATCAGATTGTCTCTACTCAATGCGGAACACAACGAACTGGAGGAATTCTGTCAGGCATTAAGGGCTACGGAGTCAGGTATTTCAGCCAGAGAAATGTCTGCGCTGCCTAATATTCTCAAGGCGCGAGCGCCTCACTGGGCCACGCAACAAGACTATGATAATTTCCTTCTATCCTGTCGTCAGGAGGACCTTGGTGGCGAAACTCTTCGAGCTGCCTATTCAACAGACACCATGCTGCGAATACGAGATGAACATGGTCGGGGTGGCGCATTCGGAATCACATGGGGTGACGGTAGAAATGTGAAACCAGGGGACAAAATATGTCTCTTGGAAGGCTGTTCTCACGCCCTAATTCTCCGAGCTGAATCTCCAAATTGGTGGAACTTGTGGAGGAGGCATTTGCGAGGCCAGAATAGGATCATGGGCAGCACCGTCATCCGTGGAGGTGACTCGAAAGAGCAGGACTGGTTTGAGGAAACCAGGGCGGTTGGTGATTTGGACGATATCTTCCTCCAGTGAAGGTCGATTGTTGCTTGTATAGCAAGGGGCCTGCGCTCAACCACACAGGTCATGCCTAGAAAACACCGCTGATCCACCGTTAACTCACGTCTTGCAAATACAAACATATCGAGGTAATGAAGCCCACGATAACGGCATGGTGATGCATGGCTAGTGGTCTGAGCCCCTGAGGTTTGAACGGCTGAATGGACAGGGTGCCGGGGTCTTTGGCTGACATGGATAAGTGCAGACCACAGGGTGTGGATGCGTTGCTAGTTGAAGTACAGATAAGCGTACAGAAGTGCAGACATGCCAACGTTTCCTGGAACGGGTCTGCGCATGAATGAGGCTTTTCTCAATTTCCACAAACCCTATTCTCATCAATCAGATCCTAGATAGACCGGGAAGTAATACTGATCTGTCTCGGGGTGGGACTTACCAAAACCGAATGTCCCATCATGGGCATCCCTGGGGTTTTGCACTTGAAGAGCGCTTATCATGGTCAAAGCCAATCAGAGGGAGCTATCACATGCAAGTGACGCGTGGGAACAACGCGGTCGCAACGTTCAATGCCTACAGCGCGTCAAGAGTTCTCCAGCACCAACACGTGGATCATCAACCAGATAAGGCGCTGGAATAGCGGTAGGGCGATATGTTCCAGTCGGACGATTCAGGTCAAGTTTTGGCCCGCCCAAAGCCAAAGGGGTGAGACAGACTGCTTCGAAGCTTGGCTTGCACGTGGCGGATTAACTTAAATGCAAGTCCGATTGGCCCCACCCTGCCTCCCGATTGAGTGAAGATGCTCTGAATTTTCTGCGAGACCGCGTCGCCCTCCTACCTGATCAGGCATCACCACCCGTACCTATACTGCCAAGACCTGGTGATCTCGGTTTCCTTTAACTGCGCCAGAGTCTTCGTTGTCCTGAAAATTCAGCCCCGAGATGGCCAGTGCTGTCGCCGCGGTCAAGCCGCCTCGCGAGCTCTTTGATGTGAGTCACCTCCTTGCAAGCAGCCAAACGAAACAAACTCTAAATTTGGCTGTGTAGACGATTCTGCTCTTGGACTTCGGAAGCCAGACATCGCACCTGATTCTCAGGTGTCTCAGATCCCTCAATGTGTTCTGTGAGGTTTTGCCGGGTCCGACCAAGGCCAAGGAGCTGACTTGGTCGCCCAAGGGCATTATCTTCAGCGGAGGCAAGCGCTCTTGACCTCCCTCGCAAGGGCTTCTGCTGATTTCGTGTCCAGGACCCGCGTCCGTAAAGGATGAGGGGGCTCCCCGTAAGTCTTTTGTGGCACACCCCTGAAACTCATGAACTGACCGAGCCGAAAGATGTCGATCCTGCATTCTTTGACTTGGGGGTGCCAATCCTTGGAATCTGCTACGGTTGCCAGGAGATCGCCTGGCTTTCGGGCGCTGAGAATGTCGCCCCAGGCGAGAACCGGGAATATGGCCACACGGTATGTGTGTCTCAATCAGGCATCCCTTGGTGACATCTTGAATTCGAAAGGAGTGGAACTGATCTATAGACAGGATCTTACCATTTATCAAGCCGGCAGCTCTGATCACATCAACCAACTCTTCAAGGGCCTGGGAGACACAATGCACGGTTAGTCCATTTCACCAGTGAAGCACTTCAAATTCATTTACAGACATGAGGAGCATGACTCTAACTGTTGGACAGTCTACATGAGTCACTTTGACAAACTGGTGGGATTACCAAAAGACTTCGTCACGATCGCCAGCTCGAAGAACTCAGAGTATGCGGGAATTGCCCATCAGACCAAGCCCATTTATGGTAAGCGCTCGTTGAATAATATCGGAAAATTCTATGATAATCTGACCCTGGGCCTTCACAGGAATCCAATTCCATCCCGAAGTCTCGCACACTCCCCGGGGCTCAGAAGTACTGAAGAACTTTGCCGTCGACATCTGCAAAGCTCGGCAGCATTGGGTCATGAGCGACTTCATCGCGCATGCGATCTCACGCATCCGCGAGCAGGTCGGTGACAAAGCCCAGGTCATAGGCGCTGTCTCGGGCGGTGTCGACAGCACGGTGGTTGCTCGGCTCATGCGGGAGGCTATTGGTTAGTTTCGCAGCAGTCAACTCGATGAATTTGCGGTGCACGCTGACCTATAATCAGGCGACAGATTTCACGCCGTCCTTGTGGATAACGGGGTGATGCGTCTCAACGAGAGCCGAGACGTAAAGAAGACGCTTCAAGAACACCTCGGTATCAACTTGACCGTCATCGATGGGTCGGATATTCCTTGAGCGCCTCAAGGGCGTCAGCGACCCCGAGACGAAGCGCAAAATCATTGGCAATCTCTTCATCGAATTGTTCGAGGAGGAGGCCATCAGGATTGAAAAAGCGGCCGAGAACACACCTAATGCTGGCAAGGTCGAGTTTTTCGTCCAAGGAACTCTGTACCCAGACGTCATCGAGTCTCTGAGCTTCAGACCGGGTTCAAACTCGGCAACAATCAAGACACATCACAATGTGGGCGGCCTCCCGGCTCGTATGATGAACGGCCAGGGCCTCAAGTTGATCGAGCCCCTGAGGGAGCTCTTCAAGGACGAAGTCCGGGGCTTTGGCCGCCAACTGAGCGTCCCAGAAGAACTGGTCATGCGCCACCCTTTCCCGGGGCCTGGCATTGCCATCAGAATCATCGGGGACGTCACGCCCGAGCGTGTTGAGATCGTCCAGAAGGCCGACAACATCTTCATCTCCATGATCAAGGAGGCAGGCATCTACAACGAGATCGCCCAGGCCTACGCCGGCCTCGACACCAACAGGGCTGTTGGAGTCATGGGTGATGACCGCGTCTACGGATACATCGTTATCCTCCGCGCCGTCGCATCGGTAAACTTCATGACTGCTGAGCCCTACGAGTTCACCTTTGACTTCCTGAAGCAAGCCGCGCGGAGGATTGTGAACGAGGTTGTCGGTGTCTCTCGCGTGACTTACGACATCACGAGCAAGCCTCCTGGAACTATCGAGTTGGAGTGATTGAACTGTCAGTGGAAGACTTCACGAAGGTGGTTGACGTGGACATCACGACCGACGTCTTTTGGGTCTGGTATTGGGCTCAAAAAATCACATGGCGGCATGCATGCATGCTGCTGCTGCTGCTGCGGTCATTGCACCCCATCTACGACGGATACTCCGGTCGCCATTCGCCGTACGTTTGCGACACGCCATGATTGCACAATAGCCATCATTTTCTGCAGTGGAATTGCGAAGGTAGTCACCATGTTACTATCCCTGATTCATTACAGATGGCGCTTCAATGCTGGTTCACTTCTCTTATTGCACTTGACATTACAAGGCAGCTCCACAGGAATAGGCTAAGAGCGATGATACATAGAAAAGAAGAGAGCCAGGGGATCAATCCGAACGGGAATCAAATGAATAACTAGATACTGCCACTCATGCTGGGAAATACCATCACATTCAGCCATTGCACTATTAACAACTACCACCTTCACTAGGTGATGACCGCTCGCAAAAGAATGCGATGAGTCTCTCTGTTCCTTGGTTGCTTTCAATGACCCGATTGCCTGCATATAATTGGGCTCATTGCTTCCCTATATATATATGTATATGTAGACTTTGTTGAGTTGGTTAGAGAAGATACCATGATGTCCGCTGGAAGAATTAGCGGTGAATAGCAAGGTGTTTGAGAATCTGTCTTGTAGACACTGTCGTAACTGTGCGTCACAACAGGAGGGTTCTTTCCAATTCACATATGTACTGTTTGAGTTTGAAGCCAGGACAGACGCATTTTGACAGACGCACCCTCGAAGCCATCATAGATTCGCTGTCGATCCTCCGTAGTAGTGTATCTGTGCCCAGAAGTCAGCGAAAAAGCTCAATTTCTTCTTGCGCCCAGCCGCCACCGCACCCGGGCTAAGCCAACTCACATCAACATCATAGCACCCGCTCGGCGTCTGGTACAGGTACGCCCCGGTATTAATATAAAGCGCATTCTCGCCCGACGCAGACGCGCCAGGGCACACGTAGAACGCCGCAGTGTTGGGCCGCGCCACGTCCGGGTCAGCCCAGGTGACGGTGTCGCCGGAGAAGGCGAAGGTGCCGTGCGTGTTCTTGGTGGTCTTGAACGTGGTGGCGAGGGCCCGCTGGGTCTTGTCGGCCGGGTCCTCGACGTTCAGGTAGAGGGCGCCCGCGGTCCCGCTCCCGGTGTTGTAGACAAGCTGCCCGTCGATGATGTTGAACTGCCCGGCCGTGAGGTAGCTGTCCAGAAGGGCGGTGCCGGCGCGCGCCGTGGGCAGGGCCTGCAGGTAGCTGTGGAAGTAGGGCGACTCGACGCCGCGGATCCAGTACCAGCCCGACAGCAGGGTCGTGGGCGTCCCTGTGCCGGAGCCCGAGCCGGCTGTGCCCGTGGCTGAGGTGGTGACGGTCGTTGTTGGCTTCGAGGTGCTCACTGTTGTTGTGCTGACGCGGCTTGAAGTTGTCGAGGCCGGTATTGAGGTGGACGCGGCCGTGCTACTTGTCGCAGCGGAGGATGTAGCGGCGCCGGGATAGCACTGGGCATAATAGGCGCTTTGCACCGGTGTCAGTCCTAATTTCTTGCGTATAGCTGCCGTTGGGGATTCTCACTTATAGGTAGTGCAAGTGTATCCTGAGCCGCAAGCGCTTGGTCCTGTATAGCCAATGCCTCCACCTTGGCAAAGTCAGCAAGTTAATATGTCGCACATTGGCTTTCGAGACGCAACTTGCATTGTGCATAGGCACCGGCGGTGCTCTGAGCTGCAGCTCCTAGGGCCAGGGAGGCCAGAGTGACGATCCAAAATCCCATTGTCGGGTTTATCTAGGTTTGTCTAAAGTGCTCCTGCAGGCCTCGTGCTGTCAACCAAGATCTGCGGTATCAGAACTATCTGGAATATTGATCATATCTTATATGACACTGGGGCCACTGCATTGGGCGTGGGGCAACCATTTGGGATTTCCCGGGAAATCGAGACCTGCTTCCAGATTGCTTCGCAGCCATGCCGATCTAAAGGGGGGGGGGTCAAAAAAGCTTGATCCAACCGCATCGAGTCCTGTGGGAAAGGCGCTCCGTCAAATTTGACGCTACAAGCGTTCATGGCCTGGTTATTCCTCGCAGCTGTGGGCCAGAGACACGTCACCCCAGCTTTCACATTTCGCGCATGGCTCAAGGGGAACGGCATCTTTACCCCTGGGCTTCGGGGGGTTATGCTCCGCGGGTCTCGAATTAGTCCTCGCAGCCCTTTGGAGTAACATTCGGAAAGGGATAGTTGCGGCAAAGAAGAGACCAAAAAAAAGTTCAAGGCAACTGAGAGACAGATTCGCTGGTTTTTGGACAAAAGGGATCTCCCTGCAAGATTCCAATGTTTCAGAGATGAACCTATTTGTGACAAGACACGAGGGTTAAGATAGCCTGAACTGATTTACTCCTGGAGCTGGAGTTGACGTTGCTTACAAACTTCGGTGAAAGAAATGACTAGTGTAGGTAGTCAATACACCCTCGGAATAATGTCTAGAGTTGGAGTTGTTCATGCAGTCGCAGACGAAGAAGTGCTTCGCTTCCAACGATACTCCGTCCTGAAACCAGCCGTATTGCACGGTACACTGATATGCATACATAATCACGGCCGGATTTACATGATAAGTGAGTAATTTGGGCCCGAATTTCAATTGAGGGGAACTCAAATCACTTGATCTTGACAACATTGGAAACATATCCTGGGTGGAGACCCTACGACGAGCTCCTACATGCCTGGTCATGCGACGACGGAAAAGATGGGCGACAGAGCTGTCATGGTAATGGTGGACTTGCATCATCTACAAATAATGTACATTATTCTCAGGTAACCGATATGGACCGCTTGACAGATGACTCTGTAACAAGGCGATCACAACTACATCATGTTATTCTCTAGGTTGAGGGAAAGTGAATCTAATGGCAGTTGGCTGAAAGGCCTCGTGATGAACGACAGCCTAGCACTACGTGGTCAGCCTCAGCGCTCGAGCTGTGTATATACCGACGGGCTGGCCCTCGGTTCTGGAGCGGACAGAGCACGAGGTCTAGGCACAGGCACTATTTCTGTGCCGCCCCCAGCCCAGCCCTGCCGTCCTCAATAACCCGCGTGAAATCGAGACTAGGCATGGTCAAAACGCTTATCAGACTTGCCTCGGCCTTGGATCAGTGCCTCTTTGGGCCACCGGGCTCGGTCAAGTCCAAGCGTCGGGCAATCAGCGCAGCGGGCTTTTGAAACTTTTCAGCCGCGCCTCGTGCTTTCGCGATAGCTTCGCGCTAGAGCGGCTGAGACGACGGCTCCATATGGCGACAACGGACAGTTGTGGGGCCCCGAATACCTAGACTCGCGTGTGTGACAGTCTTCTCCCGTCTTTCAATGGCCTCCTAGACGAGCGCTCAAACCAGATCTAGGCCAGGCTCGTGACTTGATGCGAAAGTAACGCGGGTCCGCCCACATTGAAAGACAGGCAAGAAACTGAAACCCAGCCTACGGCTAGTGGGAAGGGAGCTGCTTTCAGCTCCACGGCCGGGTCTGCGAGCTTGCACAAGTTGTTCTGAGGAAACAGCAGCCTCGGAGACTCCATGCACGGCTTCGCCTAGGGAACAATCCACCATACCGTACTTCCCATGTGCACAGAACCAAATACTTCAGGTCGCGTGACGCTCAAACCGCTGAGCCAAGTAGAATAAGGGGGTTGCAGAAGCCTGAGCGACACATTCTGCAAGATATCAAAGAGGTTTGCTGCCATCAAGGCACGAGCTGAGTCTGGCCTTTCAGCACCACAGTTCCTCAGGGTTTCCCACAAAGACTCGTTTATCGTCATCTCTCCGAACTTGGGCACGATAAATAATCGAAATAATTTGACTTCAAACTAATCGTCAGCTGTTGACCTGCCAGGTCCAGCTCTCAACTACAACTTGAGCCTCAGATCCAGACTTTGCGGTCTCTGCAGTCAAGGGGAAAACCATCCGTCATCATAATGGCTGCAAACACAAGACACCACCTCAAACTCTCTCTCCCCCGGCCTGAGTTCCTCCAGCACAAGAAGAGCCAGCGTCTCCCGCCTACGCCCGAAGAAGGCGAGGAATTCCAGTTCGAAGCTCATGAGGGCGGCGACTCCGCCGAGGACGCCACAGAATGGATCAAGAGCACCATTCGCGAGCAGGGACGCTGGGAAAGGCACATGTCACTCATCCGCATCGACTGCCCGCACACCATGACCGAGCTCCGACAGCTTGGCAGGCTGTCAAAGTCTGACGGCACGAGGCAGTGCCGCAAGATGATCCGCATCCCGGTGCTGTACGACGAAATCGGCTGCTTCCTGTGGGAGAAGCTCGCGGCCCTGGAGCGCGGGCCAGACTTTGGGAGGGAAGACGAGGAGAGGGCGGCCGACTACGCGAGGGGAGTGACCTACAGAACAAGGATGGCGGCGCTGGACGAGCGCTTCCGCTTTGACGCGCCAGCGTCGACTTCTGCCAGCAGTGGTACCACCGCGAGAAGGGGCCGCGCCAGACAGGACAGCGAGCCGATCTCCCCGAAGCATATCCAGCAGGCACAAGCCGAGCTGTCCGACGTTTCCGGGCCCATCACCACCCACCAGTCGAGGCCCAACACTTCCCCTACATGCCACTTTTGCCCGTCCGGGAGCACCAGAGAGCACCCCACCATCCCTACCGATATCACCGCCGACGCCCTGGGCGCGACGCGCGGCAGAGTCGTCGATCACCAAACGCCGTCATCACGCGGAGGTCAAGTGCAGACACGGCTGAGCCGCTCTGCAAGCCAGTCCTCGAGCCGGACACGGCGGCCCTCCGCCTTCTTCAACTACAGCAGGAGCAGCAGCCACACGAGCACCCTGCACTGGCGGCACGACCGGCAGGGCTCGACCGTGTCCTGCTCCGCAGGGGCCAACGGCAGGAGCGCAAGCGCCAGCAGCGGCAGTGGCTCGGCGCAGGGCGGGCGGTCTCGGGATGCCAGCCTCAGCGGCCGGGTCGGGTGCGTGGTGGGGAACCTCGGCAGGGAGGTCGTGGTCGCGATCGGCGGTGGGTTGGCCCATGGGTATGGCTATGGGGGCCGGGCGGACCGGAACGGGTCTTTCAGGTCTGTTTGAGGGTGGTCTTTCTGTGGTTGTTGTAATATGTAAGATTAGGATGAGAGATCTGTGGTGTGTTTTGAGAGAGCGAAGGTGTTGAGGGTGTACAATTACGTCGGTGTTAGGTGTCATGGAGGCTTTGAGACCTGTGATGGATATCACAAAATCTCAAAGATCATGATTCAAACCAGGCCATTTGAGTGATGGTCAACCTGAGGAGCATGTCGAGTCTCTACCAAACACTCCCTGCCGATCGTCGGTGATATATGATGTCTAGATGAAAGACAACTTTCCAACACAGGGATGATGCTTTGTTGTTCCCTTACGGGGGAGGATCGACTCTCAATGCTGTGAAATGTATGTTATACTTGCTACTTATTGCTTCATGGTTGCTGTTCTGTGTGACAACCGTCCTTCGCATATCAGCTCTGCTCACCATTTGTTCGTGTTAATTCCTGTTGGCCGAAGAATCAAGAGTGTCTGAGGTCTCACTTGCCTCATGACGCCGATGTGGGCAAGACGTGTATTATACTGTCGTTGGGTCTCGTTGGTGTGGAAGGAGAAGCAACTATAGAAGAGTGAGGGTGGCGGAAGCTGAGTGGCACAGGCGGACAGAACAGCGTTGTTTGTGGACATGCCCTTTAAGGAAATGCCGACCATGGTTGCCAGCGATGCAGGTGCATGGGACAGCCTCGATTCAAGCGAGCACATTGGAGTGGGGCATCTTTGGGAAGAAATTATCCCATCAGAGCTGGGACGGACATGACGGCTCGGGTGTCTGTTGTGTGCAATCTGCTTGGCCGTGCCTTAGAAGGACTGAGAATGAGAACAAAGGGAACCCGTCCACCTGTACTGGTGGCATGATGGATGGTAGAGTCGAGAGGCAGTGACTGTAGATGCAAGTGTGCAAGTGCCATGTTGCCCTTCCATAGTTGCAGAGCTCAAAGATGTAGCCTTGAATCAGGGACAAACAACATCCACGTGAGAATATTTCTGGAAGGTTGACTACTACTGTGAACAGAAACATGCGTGTCATTGCACTGGAACGGGCTGGGGGCTGAAGCTAGAAGCTGGCTAAGCTCCAAGTGACCCTGGTAGTTGTCAGCTCAAGGCTGGCTGGCTGGCCGGCTGGCTGAAGGTGGGTCCTTAGCTGGGTTTGGGGGTTTGGGGGAGGGTTGACCCACCACCAGACGCCCCTGGCCATGGCCCATGGGAGCTTAGCATTGGACCAGCCGCCGCCCGTGCTTCTTTTCCGGAAACATCAACAACAACACCAGACCGAAACACACCGCAGCGCAGTCCAACCTGCATCCACACCTGCGACCGCCAGCACCACACAAACGAAATCTTGACACGCCATCTTTGATCCTGCTGCTGCCCTCAACCCTCGATGGTCACGTCCGACAAGTGACCAAGCAGCAAGGATGGCAGCTGCCGAAGTAGCTGTCGACTTTGGCTACCTCTCCACCCATCTCGGCGTGCCTGAAAACACCCTCGAGACAGTCGCCGCCCAACCCACCGCCGACCTCGTCAGAGCCGTCCTGCAGGCTGTCGCCACAAAGGCACACGAGTTCGAAAACCTTTACGCAGAGAAGCTGCACGTCGACATCGAGCTCGAGAATGCCGTTCGCAGCGCCGACTCGCGCTGCCAGTCCTTCAAGGCCACCGCCGACAAGGCCCTGAAGGACGCAGAAGAGCTACGGAAGAAACTGCAACAAGAAGGTACGCTACAAACTTCGCCATGGAAGCACCGAGTCTTCATGCGACAGCCTCTGGAGGTGGCACTAACGCGTTGTGGCCTCATGCAGAATCCACCCGCCAAGGGCTGGAGTCCGAGCTCCAGCAGCTACAGTCTTCGAGTGGCGGAAGCCTTTCCGAGATCGAGAACCTGAACGCGCGCATCAAATCGCTCGAACAGTCGAACCGGGACACCGTCGCGGCTGTTGACGCAAAGAACGCCGCGAACTCGGAGCTACTGACCGACCTGCAGAAGCTGCAGCAGAAGAACCACGACCTCAGCAAGCAGGTCGCTGAACTCCAACAGTCTGTGCAGGCCGAGAAGGCCGCTGCGAACAGCGCGAAATGGCGCGAGCAGAACTTGGAGCAGGAGATCGCGCTCCTGAAGAGGAACAACGAGTCTTTCGAGCAAGAGCTGAAGGCAAAGCGAGAGGAGGCCCTCAAGTACCGCAAAGAAAAGGGCGCACGAATCGCGGAACTGGAACGACTCACCGACGAGCAGCGATCGACGATTGATTCCTTGACCCGCGGCGAGCAACAACTTCGATCTCGACTGGACGACGCACAAAGAAAGGCCGATGACGCCCTCACGAAGATACAGCAGCTGAAAGAAGCTGCTGCACGCACCGAGGAGAGTTTCAACCAGGAACTCGAGGCGTCGAGGCGTCTCGCCGACCTACAAGTCCAGCAGGCCGAGACCAGCAGGGAGAGGCTAAGGGAAGTCGAGAACAGGCTTGAGAAGGTCCAGGACGACTTCGCAGTCCAGAGGATGCGCATCGAGAAGCAGCTCGAGGACGAGAAGGCAGAGCATCAAAAGGCTTTCGAGCGGGCGCAAGAGCTGGAACAGGAAATCAGCAGGCTGCAGGCTGCGGTTCCCGCCCAGCCGCAATTTGGGCTCGGATCGCGTCCCTCTACTCCTGTCGCAAATGGCCACCTCAGGGCCGGCTCGCCATTCGGCACACCTGGATCGATCAGGGGCAAGAACATGACGCAGGCCATAGATGAGCTATGGAAGGTCAAATCGGAGCTCATCAACGTGAAGAAGAGGAACCAACAGCTGGTCCAGGAGCTGGACGAGACCATGGCTGTTCTCGAGGCCAAGGCGCCTGAGTTCAACGGGCTGGAGGCAGAGATCGAGAAGCTGCGTAGCGAGAACATCCAGATGACTCAGCTGGCAGACGAGAGTTTCCAGGAGCGTGATCTCGCGAAGAGAGCGGCTCGAAAGGCCGAGTCTGCCTTAGGCACAGCCCAGTCCGAGGCCAACATCCTTCGAGCTCAGCTTCGAGACCTCGGCGTCCAGATCCAATTGCTAGTCTTCAACCTGCACGCTCAAGAGAAGGGTCTCGACCAACTTACGCAAGAAGAGGTGGTCAAGTTCGACCAGCTACAGCGGGGCGAGGTCGCCCCGGGTGCCCTGGATGACCTGTCAGACACTCATCGCTTCATTACGGAGAAGTTCGTCGCGTTCAAGGACATCCACGAACTGCAGGCCAAGAACGAGGAGCTGCTCAGGATCACCCGAGAGCTCGCAGACAAGATGGAGAGCGACGAGGCACAGGCTGCCAAACAGCAAGCTGTCGACAACGAGAACGAGCTTGTCTCCCTGCGTGAGACTTGCGCGCGTTTGCAGGATGAAATCAAGTCCATGACCGTCCGTATGAGGTCTCACATGCAAGAGCGGGACATGTTCCGACGCATGGCAGAGGGGCAGAGGGCCAGGGTCAGTGATGCCAACGACGCCGAAGGCAGCCAGCGTGAAGTGCTCGCCAGCATCGAGCAAGGCTCCAACGTCGATGAAGCCGAAGCGATGACAGCAATCCGCGAGATGCAAGCAAGGCTCGATACGCAACAGAACGAATTCAGCACCGACCGCAAGGCCATGCGTGAGCATATCGACAGGCTTTCTGCGGAAAAGAGCTCTCTGCAGAGTGAGGTTGTGCGCATTCGTAGCCAGCTTGAACTGGCCTCTGAACGTTATTCCATGCTGCAGGGCAACTGTGAAGCGCTACAAAATGAGAAATCCGAGCTGCAGAAGCGAAGCCAAAGCCTCTCGGAAGCCGCAGCAAAGCATGATCTGCGCAGCCAGCAACTTGCTTCGGACCTCGTCGAGACAAAGGCGTTACTGGACAGTGTTCAGAGCAAGGCTTCGAATTTGGAGGCAGAGAAGGCCCTCTTCACCAGCATCCGTGACCGTCTACTCAAGGACAACGAAGAGCTTTCGAAGGACAAAGCTACCCTCAGCAATCTTCTGACTCAGAACCAAACACTACTGAACGAGAAGGACACCTCCGACAAAGAGACTCGGCGAAGCCTGAACGAGCAGATCCAATCATTGAAGACGGAGTTGGCCGCGAAACAGCGGAATCTTGACAATGAGATCGAGGAGAGCAGGAGGCTCCAACAGCGAAAGGATTACGAGACTCAACAGCATCAACAGCGGGTGGATGAGCTCCTGAGCAGTCTCAACTCGGCCAAGGAGGAACTTGTTGCTACTAAGACCAGCAGAGACCACCTGCAAGCCCGCGTTGATGAACTCACCATTGAGCTTCGCAATGCTCAGGAGAAGGCCGAACGCTTACAGCCTCGGCCAACCCCCAGGCCCGGTACAGCCAATGAGCCTCGATCGGCGGATGCAGAAACCGAGGCTCAGATTGATGAGCTGGTCAATGAAATCTCGGATCTCAAGAGAGACCTGGATCTGGCGACCACGCACCTTGAATCTTCCAGGTCACAGACTGAGCAGTACAAGGAGATCGCCCAGGCTGCTGAAGAGGAGCTCACCTCGAACAATTCAATTCAAGAGCAGTTCCGGGAGCAGATGGAGACGGAGCTTGCAGCCAAGGACGCTCAGATCAAGGAGCTCCAGCAACGCGTCGACAACATCTCCGTAGAGCTGAGCAATTCCAATAATGAGCTGTCCTCAATCCGAGACTCTCAAACGGAGGCCAGTCACAAGGCCGAGGAAGAAAGGCGCATCCTGGAGGAAGAAATTTCACGGCTCAAAGAGGAAGCTGAGCGACTCAAGGAGCGGGCGAAGTACCACCAGCAGGATCTCCGTGCACAGGCAGACATTGCCAAGAAGGCGCAGCAAGATTACGAGACGGAGTTGGTCAAGCATGCAGATGCTGCAAAGGCATTGCAAGCTCTTCGTTCACAGCACAACCAGTTGAAGACCAACTCGGCATCGCTGAAGGCCGAGGCTGAATCTGCCAAGCACACACTTGACGACAACAAGAGGTCTTTCGCCGAGCGTGAGCAGCAACTACGACAAGAAGTCTCCGATCTGAAGGAGAGACGCCAAGAAACCGACCAACAGAACAAGCTCCTGCAAGAACAGCTCCACAGCTTCACGTCACAGATTGCTGCTATCAAGGAGAACCGCACCGCCTTCATAGAGGCCACAGATGATACCACCAACTCGGCTCCTGGCTCAGACGTCGAGCGCCTGACGGAGCTCAACAAGTACTTGCACCGTGAGAAGGAGATCCTGGAGGTGCAGTACAATCTCAAGAACCGCGAGGCCGAGCGACTGCAACAGCAGGTCGATGCCAAGCAGTCACAGCTCGAAGAGTACCAGTTGAAGCTGGAGCAGGAGCGCATGGCTAGGAACGACACCAGTACAAGCAAGTCGCATGAAGAATTGATGAACAAGCTGAACGAGCTTAACCTTATAAGAGAAAGCAACAGCACCTTGCGAAGCGAGAACAAGCGGATTGAACGTCAGCTAGAGCAGAGGAGCACCAAGATCAAGGAGCTTGAAGCCACAATAGAGCCGCTCAAGGCCCGCATATCCGAGCTCGAAGGCACGAAGGAGTACTTGGAGGAGGAACTGAAGCAGCTCGGCCAGGACCGAGACCACTGGCAGAAGCGTGTGGAGAGCATCGTCACCAAGCATGGACGCGTCGACCCTGCCGAATTGGAGCAGATGAAGGAGAGGGTGTCTGAGCTCGAGGCCGAACGCGATACGCTGAAACAGGCTGAAGAGCCGCTCAAGACCAGGATCACCGAGCTCGAGACGACTCTGGAGACGGAGAAGAGCAACTGGGCGACAACTCGTGGTAGGATCATCGAGCAGGCAAAGAACAAGAACAAAGAGAACAACACCAAGATTGCCGAGTTGAATGCAGAAAAAGCACAGCTGCAAACACAGCTTGATGAGACGAGCCAACGGCTGACCTCGCTCCAGTCTGAACTCGACTCTGCTGTTCAAGAAAAGACTGCCCTTGGCCAAGAGAAATCTGACTTGGAGCAGAGGCTCAACGAAGTTCAACAGCAACTGGAGACTGCCAGCAGCGCCACGAAGGATCCACCTGCCGATGTCGCCTCTGAGGGTGTTTCTTCGGAACAGCTCGCCCAAGTGCAGCAGCAACTCGAGGGTGCACAGCAACAGCTGGCTGCTGCTAACGAGGCCAAGACCGCTGCCGACCGGGAGCTCGAAAGGCTGCGCTCAGAATTGACCACGACTGTGCAAGATCGTGACGCAGCTCGTGCCCAAGCCGGGTCCGAGGCCCCAGCTGAAGCAGCCTCACAGCCAGCGTCAGCGCCGGAGACAGCCCCACAGGCAGACACTGAGGCCACGCAGAACGGCGGTGCTACTGAGGCACAACCTGCCCCAGCCGCAACATCTGACGCGGAGCGCGCTGAACTAGAACAGAAGCTGGCGCGGGCCGAGCAGAGGGTAACAGAGCTGGAGGCTGAGGTCGCCGAGCTCAACTCAAAGGTGTCCGAATACGAATCGAACCAGAAGGCCATCGTTGACGCGCGGTCTCAGAAGATGAGGGAAGCGCTCAACAAGAAGTTGTCCGAAGACAAGGCCAAGAACCTTGCTGAGCTTACCAAGGAGAAGGAGAAACTGCAGGGCGAGTATGACTTGAGGCTCCAGCAGGAGCGGGCCATATGGGAAGCCGAGAACAAGGTGGCCAGCGCACCGGCTGCTACGTCCGACTCAGTTGCAGCAACACCGACTAAGCAAACAGACCAGCAACAGCCACAAACACCAAATCCTGAGCTCCAATCGCTCATCGTCGCCAACTTCTTACAACTCAACGATGCCAACACCCGCAAGGTAGTTAATGAGAATTCCACTCTCAAGAGTATCATCACAAGCAACCTGAAGAAGAAGGTGGAGATCGAGGCCAAGAAGATCAAGGACGAGACAGAACAGGCCTTGAAGGCGGAACACGAGACCAAGATCGCGGCTGCTAGGGAGCAGGCGACGTTTATGGCGTCGAAGAAGTCAACGCTCAGGATCAACATGGCTGAGAACAAACTTAGAGGGGCGAACGCCAAGCTGAACGTTGTTGAGACGGCTGCCAAGGAGACCCCCGAGCGTGGCGTTGGTGAGGTTTGGGAGGAGGCCAAGACCGCGAAGCCTCCACCACCAGTACCAGAGGCTACCGTCAAACCTGCTTCTTCGCCCGCGCCGTCAGACAAGGCGGTGGCAGCAGCCGGCACCGGTATGTTGGACAATTTGCCTGTCGCGGTCCGTCGTACGATCTCAGCTAACATTGTCCCAGGCGCACCTGCAACCGCAGCGTCCGAGAGCAAACCCCCGCCTGCCAATGGCGCCATTCCACAAAAGCCCGTGCCAGTAGCTGTGGCCACCCAGCCGCCGGCGGTGCAACCAAATCCTTTCGCATCCGGAATACCGGCGAAACCGACGCCGGCCCCGGCCAATCCCTTCGCGTCGGCCCAACCGTCATCGCTGCCCGCCAACCCCACGGCTCAGCAGCCAGCTCCCCAAGGCCAGCAGCCAGCTCCCCAAGGCCAGCAGACCCAGGCCCAACCTCAGCAGCAGCAGCAACAGGGGCAGCAGCAGCAGGTGAAGACGGGCATCCCCGTGCCGTCCCGGGGCGGGGCGCCTCGAGGCGGCGGCCGCGGAGGCACGTACCAACACCCACGCGGCGGAGGGCGCGGTGGTTTCCAGAACCGCAACGCCAGCGGCGGGCCGGCCACCTTGAACCCTGGCGCGGAGAACTTCCAGCCCGGCAGCAACAAGCGACCTCGCGATGCTGAGGCTGGAGGGCCCGGCGGCTGGTGGGCAGCAGAACAAGAGGCCACGGGGCGGAGGCGGCCCGCAACGGGGTGGTGCTTCCTAGAGGGGACAGTCATGGCAACCCCCTCCGGCTCCTGGCTGGCCGTGAACTCATGGAAGCTTTGGTTTCTCGCGCCCGGGAGTTGCACTCGCAACAGACAGAGAACAGGATGTGAAGCATACGGGGGGAAGCGCAGGAGTGAGAGATCTGCTGCATCTTACATGCATGCATTACGTTGGCTGGCTTGGAATTAATCGGGGACCGAATAGCACGAGGGGGGATAGGGCATTTGGTGGCCGTGCTTGCCTGGCCGTGGAAGCCATGACACTTGCCTGATGCTGGCGGTTTTCTCCTTTGTTGGCATGTAAATCAGTTATGGTTGATTACTGCGTTTGTTCCCTTTTGTTTCCTTTGCTTTTCTTCTTCGCGTCAACTTTGCATCGGTGGGGTCAAGGTCTGGTTTCGGAAAGGGGTGACCAAAAGAATTATGGAATACATCAATCGATTCATGCCTCCTGATACGGCTTTCTCTTTCTCTATGGGTTGATCGCGTGGGTCTCTCTGTCTAACGTCGTGCGTCTCTGGTATGTGAGAGGTACGGTGTATGGGCTTTGGATTGCTCGTATCTAGCCAGTCCAGCCCACCATGGTGGTGCCTCTCACAGATTACCATCCAGCCATCCCCATCGTATGAAGTGCACCACACTACCTCACCTCACGCAAGTAGACATACGATAGGAACACGGATCCTGCCCGTATGGTGCACACCCAGCAGATCACGTCTTTCGCGCCCTTGTGGTAACCGACGGGCCGCATCGACTCCGGCAGCGGAAAAGTGGGAAGAAAATAAAAAAGTCGACCCGCGAAAGCCGTGCGTGCTCCGAGATCCGGCCGTTAGTACCGACACCCCCCGGAGTTTAGGTAATCTGGCCCGCGCGTCCCACCACGTTGGCATGGAAAGTGAGCGTGCATAGGAAACAGAAAAATACGCCGATACGCCCGGCTGGTGTGTGGGAACTGGGGGGACAAGTGTGTACAGTAATCGGAAGCATCGGGCCAGGAGGGATGGACGGGTTGGATGGTCACGCGCGTGCTTACTGTGCGTCTGAACCTACATTGTACGGTAAGGATGTAAGGCATGTCTTTCGACCGGCCCTGGTCTACCACGAACGCCATTTTAGTAATCACGATGATCCTTGAGACAACAGACAGAAGTCCTCTAGTCCTGTCTGTCCCCTGCCGTTGCGCTCGAAGATCCCGAAAAGGCGGAAATTGCACTTCCACTGGCGGGGAGGGCTAGCTAGGCGCGATACAGGAATGCGCAGCAGGCCCGAGGTGTGAGGCCCTAGTCCAACAGTAGAGGGGGTGAGAAACAAAGGACCCGTGGACAGATTTTGGCGCTCCTGCCTACCTACCTACCACACAAAGTTGATCCTATCTTGCTAGCTTCTCTAGATAGGCCAGTTTTGGTGATTTTGGCCTCAGATTTTGGGGGCGGCTGAGTAAAGGCCTGGGCTTGCCATTCTGGTCAAGTGCCCTTTGCCCTCCTCTCGCTTCCATCCCGTTTCGGTGGGCCAATGTGTTGGCTGGCAGGGCTGGTCGGGTGGACACTGGGTGGCTGGTTGATGCGCGCCCTACTGCAGTGCTGACAGAGAGGAGGGTGCTTTGTCGTGTTGTTGTGTGGGTGGTCGTTGCGCCGGGTCCGGGGTGGGGTGGGATGCTGCGTTCTGGTTGGCCCCGGTCCAGCGTGTGCGCTTCTGCGCAATGCCAGACTGTATTTCTTTCGCGGGTCCTTTTGCCTTTTTGCGCCCCTCTGGCGTGTGCGTATGTAGACTACGTTCGGATGGATACACACTAGAAAGATAGAATGGGCTTGCATTAGTTTCGTCAGGGAGGCACTGCTTCGCCAGGCGAGGTGCATGCTTCGTTCAAGATTCGGTGTTGCCAGATCCCCATTTGTGAGTGAGTGAGTGAGGCCAAGCCAGCCCAGGGCCAGCAAGGCCCCGAGGCCAAATTCTCGCCGGGGCTGAGGTGCTGTGGATGGATGGCTTTGGTTGGTTGGTCCGGTTGGGTCGGTCGCACCAGCTTTTCGGCCAGCGGAAACGGGTTGGAAATGGAAATGTGCATTCTGCCACCCCTTCCCCCCCCCCCCCCACCCCAATGCCGATCCGGGGAATGAGATGCGCATGGTTGCTTTTTTAGACCCCGTCCCTCCTGCTACCGCTTATGCGCCTGTTTCGCAGTTCTCCGGCCGGGACAGGGAAAAGTGACTCATAATCCAATTCGTCGTGCTGATTTGCTGCACCAGACAACGGGTAACAGTTTAGGGCCCTCTGTAGCTTTTTGGTTTCAGGGCACACGACTGAATTGGGTTGTGGGGATGACGAGGAGGACACCAAGCAAGAGGCCGTGCCAGTCCGTGTGGGCCGTTGGTCCGCCAGGACGGGTCTGCCGTTTTTTTGATGATTGTTGCGGCCTGGCATCGTGATCTAAGGCAGCTTGTTGCTGTTGTTGGCATCGTAACAACGCGCAATTGAGTGCGCAAGCGTCGAGAAAAGGCAGCAGGTGCCCAGGCGCAACGCGCAATGCGCACACAGGCAGAAGGTTCCCATCGTCTGCCACCAGCCACAGGGCGATCCGGCGAACCCAGCTGGGACTCGCTTGGGAACATGTGGCTTGAACGCCAAGACGCGACAATACACTTATAAGTAGTGACTAGCTGCAACATATGGGTAAGTATGGCGCGTTGGATTTTGTACCTAGGTAGTATGCAGCAAATGTAAGCCAGGCAGCTCCTGGGGCTGCTGGGGTGGGATCGCAACGAGGCGCATTTGCGCACTGGCCAAGGCCGGCGACCTGTTTAGGGAAGGCGCAGGCTGGGTTCCTGAGGACTAGAGGAAGCGATGTCTGCAACGACCACCGCTAGTCCTACGCCTATTTGTCTCGCACGCCTCACGTCTGTCCTTGAAGCCCTTCCACGTAGGGCTCCATCAGGTCGACGAAATTCATACTTGGAGAGGAAATATCGTCGAGAATAAAGACACTTGTCAAATCGCTCCGTTGCAGGTCATTTCATCGTAAGTTGCTCCGTGTTGTTTCCAACAGTCGCGCATTGTACACATCAGCAAGAGGGTGCTGGACCCGCGTTTTGTCAGCAACGGCCGGGGCCAGGAGGTGTGGAAACAGATTGAGTCCAGGTGTGGGTTTAGCAAATTGAAAAAGTGTGACTCATAGCAGCAGACTGGGGACCCCTGCAACGGTGGAAGGAGGAAGGGAGGACGAGGGAGGAGGGACGGTTGGTGGGGCTGCGCACATTTTGTCCGGGTAGGCACATTCTGCCTGAGGCTTTTAAAACCAGCCGCCACCCGAGCCCAGACGGCGCGTTTCCTTTTCTCCTTCCTTTCTTCCCCCCAACCCCAAACCATCACACACATACACCAGAACACCTTGAGAAACCGCCAGCAAGATGTTCTAAATCCAGCCCTCCCGTGGCCTGCCCCCGTGCAAATCAGTCAAAATTCAGTCTTCAGACTTACCCAGCTTTCCCAACATCCCCACTCACTCAGTTCTTCCTGAAAAGGTCGATCTGAACTTCAGCCTGAATAGCTTCAGCTCAAGTTCGCGTCTCCCATCTGCCACCATTCCCGGCCAAGACCACCCAGTCTTCACCACGGATTCCCAGTCAACATGGCTTCCCTCCAGTTCACCGAGCCTGCCGGCACAACCCGCGCAACAGCAACATCCACAGCACCTACAGCCGCCCCAACAGGACTTCGTCTTGTTCGATACTCCGAAGCGTCATCTCCCTAACCGCCCTGCCTCCCACTCTTCCGCCATAGGAAGTGCATCGCTCAACACAGCACAACAACAACCCCAGAACCCCTGGCAACTCCCCCAGGATCTGCAACGTCAGCGAGCCGCACAGATACTCCAGGCACAGGGCCACACTGCTTCGTCCCCGGCTTTTCCCAATCGGTTTAACGCGCAGAACCACTTCTACGCATCCTCTGCACCATCCTCGACCGCTGCTTTGAATCAGAACCAGAACCAGACCCGGCAGCGACCGCCTGTGCCCCTGTTCAACCAGCAAAGTAACGGTAACCAGGCAACTACCCTCAAAATGGACGCGCAAGGTAAGAGCCAAAACCTGAGACTGCTTCCTCGTCCAGGAACACAAAGCTCACAACGTCCTTCAGACTTCGATTTTGAGGATTTCACTGCCTTCGAGGGCGGCGCACCCGCCTCGGCGTTCTCGTCGCCGGCAAACCCGGCTTTCGACCTGAGCAGCTCCATCCACAGCTCCAACATGGGCACGGTCTCGCCACAGGACCTGCTCATGAACGAGCCCTTCATGTCGGCGCCGAACTCCACTGCACTCACTGCTCTGACTTCGCCTTCCATCTACAATGAATCGCCGGAGTTCAACGACAGCTGCGACGTCTCTCCCAACTTTGGCAGCAACGACTTCGAGAGCGGCGACCACTGGTTCTCGCTCTTCCCGGACCAGACCCCGGTTGCGGCGGCCCCCGCCGCACCGGCGGTCGACCAGTCCCCTGCCACCAAGTCTGATGATTTTGAGACTGTCGAGAAGCCAGCTCCGCGACGCAAGCCCAGCAACTCCAACTCTCCCACTGGCCGCCACTCTTCTGTCTCGGGCGTTGGCTCCCGTCGTCGCGACAAGCCTCTGCCCCCCATCATTGTGGAAGACCCCAACGACACCGTCGCCATGAAGCGAGCGCGGAACACCCTCGCCGCTCGCAAGTCTCGAGAGCGAAAGGCTGTCAAGTTCGAGGAGCTGGAGGAGAAGATTAGGAAGCTAGAGGCTGATCGCGACCACTGGAAGCAGGTCGCCATCGCCCATGGTGCAACACAATAATCGATTGAAAGAAAAAAAAAGATGCTCTTTGCTTGGCTCTCAAAAATGAACTGGAGGGTAGCACTTGGTCATTTCCTTGGATCGCACCTCCAGTCTAGGCCTTTCCCAGAGGACGTCGGTATCCAGTCAGCGCTTTCATCGAGGACGCTGATCACGAAACTGGCTGTCAGGGTATACTTACTAGGCTATATTGTTTCTGTAATGTCGTTAGTCTGCATTATTTGTGTCTCGGGTTGATGGAACGGTTTCGACTGGCCGCTTATTGCTGGCCGTCAACTTCTTACTCTTGTCATGGTTATCAATGAATTTGTTCTACCATATCACGTGCCCTTTACTTTCCACCGTGCTTTGCTGTGATTCGTATGTGCCTTGATGCATAAATATCTACTGGTCCTGTGTTGGTAACGTAACGTGTTCTTGCCATCACGTTGTAGTGTTGTCCCTCAATCAGCCCTAGGAACCCATATCATGGGTTCACGACAGGTGTTGCTCAGGATGCTGTTCCATACGAGCACCACCTCGAACGGGAAAGATGTATTGAACGTTGGTCACTTTGTACGCCCTCGTTGGACGTCATTTCGAGCTGGAAACTGCAAAGGTTGACATCCTTCTTAGCTATGATTCCTTCTTCGACTCCATGTCCACGACCTGGGTTGCCTCTCAACCGAGGACACTTTGTTCTCTGTGTTCTGACCGTGTCCGCTACCGTTTCCCTCTGCGACTCTTACTCTGTCCATCTGTTCCCCTGTGTCGTCATCTTGGAGCACGATTCGCTCGATTTATGCCTGGTGTTGAGAGACGTGCGTTGCTGTAGACGTGCTGCCGGCCATGGTCAACTGGTGGAGGTGACAGCCCTTGGCTCATTGAGTGTGGTCGTTCCGTGGCCATGTCTCTACGGTGGCCACGCATCTCAAAGAAGGGCACCAGGCTTCGGCTCGCTCGCCACTTGAGACGGGGCGTTCCATCGTCGGGCGAGTCCTGACTGGTGAGGTCATATCGTAGACAGTTGTCGAGCCTGTTCGCCAGCTGTGTGGCTCCGGCGCAGCGGCGCCAGTTGTCGCACACAATGCGTGCTGGCATGCTGCAATAGCACCGCCACGCCTTGTGCGACACCAATACGCAGTCAGCATAACGGATGACCGCTCTTCTTTTCTCGCGCGGGGCTGCGGGGTGCGGCCAGTGTTCACGCATCGTGAAGTGTCTCCCGTACGGTACAGAGGCTCTTTGTGTATATCGTGTGAACACTTGTATTGGCCCACCACTCCTCTAATTATCTCGCGATGGCGAGTGCTGCTAACGGTGATGATGACAGCAGCTCAGGAGACCTACTATCTGTCGATCCATTCGCCTGGAAACATATTCCCAGGCTGCATACCTGTCAACACTGCAATAGGATCGTCATAACGCACCATGAGCTGAGGCATTGCTTCGTATCGCTGCCCCAAACCAAGTCAGAAGCCCTTCAAGCGGAAGCAGACGACTGCCCCGTGTTCTGCATGCTGAATCAGAGGCTACATTTGTTCACTTATCGTTCTCATGGCTCGCCACTGAACTTTTTCAGGTTCCTCTCTGATCCCAACTACCCCGACGGTGGTTACTCTCCGCTTGAGTCAACAGCCAATTCTTCAAGAATCGCCGCCCGGAAAAAGCCCTGGTCCCACAACATAGGAAACCTGCTCTGGAGAACTCAATTTGTGCTGGGCAATCTATGTCGCCGGCAGCTCTATCTTTTCGTGGGTTCCAGCCGTCTCTATGTCCTTCACGGCAGAAAGGTCATCGACTGTGATGCGCAATTAAGAAAACTAGAAGTTATGTACATGTTCAGCCTGTTACGCTCATAATCAACAGATGCGTGGCCTGACCCGGTGCTTCGCAGGACGTGCGAGAGTAATCGATCTTGATGGAGACCTACTCCGTCACGTGCTGCGTAAAAAGTTCGACACGAGAGCGGCCTATGCCGACCTGAAGACTTTTATTTCCAGTTGTCTGTCTTCACATATAGCCTGCCAAATACCGCCCAAGGGGTTCGTGCCATCGAGGCTCCTCGAAGTCAGCCCGGGTTCCGACCCAAATCACATCCGACTTGTGGAGGCAACATCTGATGGGCAAAGAACTTGGGCATGCCTGAGTTACGTGTGGGGCGGCGACCAATGCCACAAGACGACAATGAATATTCTTCCCCAATATCTAAAGGGCATACGCCTTGATGTCTTACCGCAAACCATCAAAGATGCGGTGAGTGTCTGCCGTGAGCTGGGAATTGCCTACATGTGGACCGACAGTTTCTGCATCGTGCAAGACGATGGGGTAGACAAGACAACAGAGATACCGCAGATGGCCCTCATATACCGGCATGCTCTGTTGGCCATAGCTGCTTCGCGCGCTCACACTGTGGACGAGGGGTTCCTCCAAATATCGCCTCTTTGCTGTGAACGATTTGCTCCGACTGGTTTACGATTCAGAGATAGGTGCGGACGAGAGAGCGAGGTGGTCGTTGTGACTGAGGAGCAGCCCAGAGTTGGGTTTCACGAGCCGAAAGAACCCATCGACGCACGAGCATGGGCTCTACAAGAACAGCTTCTTTCGCCACGGCTACTTTCACACACATCACATGGGCCTCGGTGGTCGTGTCGATGCCTGCTCCAGCATATCAACGGACACCCAGACCAGACAACGTGACCTCAATATGCTGATAGCTATACAAGTTTTGGTGGTGAGAAAATTGTACCTTGCATTCCGGGATTGAGGATGCTGGCTTGGGAACACATTATCGGGTTTTACTCACCTCGGCAAGCCACGCTACACTCCGACAAGCTCGTGGCTCTCTCAGCGGTCGCACGAACCTATAGCGAGAACAATCAGGAACGTGGTCCTTACTTGGCAGGAATCTGGGAGAAATCACTGCCTTGCAGTCTCCTGTGGGCGGTTTGGACTAAAGATAAATCTCCCAGACCCGTCGAGTACAGAGCGCCGTCGTGTTCATGGGCTTCAGTCGACGGGGCAGTGAGATACAAACCGGGACCCTTGAAGGTTGACGAAGATTTCAGGCTCATAAGTGCGCAAACCAGGACAGTCGACAGCAACGAATTCGGAGCGGTCACGGCCGGGACGCTCGTCGTGGAAGCCAGAGTTTGGGATGGTCGCGTGTCGAGTGAAAGCAAGAGCTTCCCCTCAAATTTGGCTTTCATCATCCTTGGTGGGCTCAAGATGCATGTGACGTTTGAAGCGGACACAATGGAGTTTCGGACATCGATTCTCAATAAAGTAACCAAGGTCACCTTGCTGCTTATGGCTCGCTGCTCTCAGTGCAGATCTGGGCTTGTTCTGACCAAGAACAACGACGGTAATAGTTTCAGCCGCGTGTCTTATTTTGAATTTTACGAGGGCATAATAGTAATGAGAGAATCACGACTGGAACGTGAGCAATTCTTTGAGGCATCCGAAATCAAGCGGGTTACCATCGTCTAGGGGCTTCACCGCACCCGTTCGGAGGATGGCTGCAGAGGTATGTACGACGGGGGCAGAATAGAACCACAAACCCAAGTACCTAGCCAATGGCTCATGAAGGAACCTGAAGCTGACTCCGAAATCTGGCCAAATCTACAAAGATGATACAGCTCATGAGATCTCAACAAAGGAAGAAGAAGAACTTGTTCTGGAACAGCTGACAATGCCCATGACAAAATGATCAAATACGGTTCTGCTTCCGACCTCTTGATGTGGTGCCTGGGGATTGGGTGACTTAGTCACAGCAATATGTGAACTAGAAAAATCTCAAATGTATCATTTGTAACTTGACAACCCTTACCGGTATAATGGCATGTATCCTGCTATTTGATAAATTGATTTGTCACAACGGTATGTCTCGCACACCCGATATTATATTGTGCTATGTTATAAAGCATCATGGCGAGTAAGGTTGGGAGGACCATTTTGTAGAGAATATCCGGCTTTAGATGCTTCTAATCAAACCACATTTAAACCTACGCCAGGTTTTCAAAACTGTCGGAAGTACTATTTCATCCAAAACAGTGATTCCGGACTTCTCCTGCCTACTACAGAGCCGAAGTACAGTGTTAGAGTAGGGACGACACTGGCTCGTGTCAAAACACTATACTAACGGTACGATAACTTGCACTTGCATGTGCAGAGAGTGGGAAGTCAATCAGTAATTACCTGCTAATTTTATCTCTCTTGGCTCTTTCTAACTTGTCTCACTGGTAGCTCTGCGATCCTTCTACCTGCAATACCGACGATGCTCCTTTAATCGACTGACTCCAATTTGTCAGTATATGCAATACCTGTCTCAGCTGCCTTGACTGCGAACGCGTCTGGGAGAGGTGTCCTGCAGACCCTAAAAGGAAACGAGTATGTATACTGAGATGCACACTTTGTTATGCTATCTATTCTATGCGAGGATTCATTAAGTTCCGTATCCAATCCATTTATTGATAAGGTCTGTCTAGGGTTTAAAGTCCTCTGATCAGGGGCTGCTAGCTTAAAGCCTCCCTGCCACTTCATGGATATAGCAGGCGCCAAAGAGATTGTTGTCGAGAGAACTCTTCTATAGATGGAAGAGAACGGACATGGGCCTGGGGCACATGACAGTTGAAACAGGCGAATGGTTGATTCCCCTTGAAAGATGACGGCATGAGTCGGTGAATGTAAAAGGGAGGGGGAAGCTGCAAGAATGGAGCTGTATGCACTGTGGTCGCATTTATTGGCATGTGGCCAATGACCTGTTCATCCGGCCCACAACCAGACTTCCTGTTGTCTCCGCCGATTCCAGTCGCAAGCAAATGAGGGCCAAACACCGTTTTATCCGCCCACCAACACGCATGCTGATAATGAGCGGAATAGGAAGCTGTGGAACATCCGGGTATCTAAATATCAAGTCCCGCCGAAAGTTCGACACCTTGCTTGGCGAGATTCGGTTGCTCCCACATATCGCGTGCCCAAAACTATGCCCATGCTTCTGAGAGAGAGAGCAGGCCCCCAAGTAGCGCAATATCGAGGTCAACATAGGACTGAGCGACACAACTCGAGAACTGACCAAGACCTACCTCCGCCGCAATTTTGGGATAATCTTTCTCATATACCCTTCGTCAAAAGAGCGCTCCGCGAGCTTGACCGGCGCAATAATACAACTCAATCACGGGAACAAAGCTTGGAAGCCTCTCATCAATCTGCCGGTGATTCTCAGCAGCTTGAAGTTGACATCAAATCCCGGGATATCAAGCGCTTCTCGCGCACCGGTGGTCCTGACTTGAGTGATTTGAGAGGGGTATGTTATTTTATCTACCACTTTGCCATCTTGATGCCCTGACAATAACTCTCCCGTGACCATCCCATCTGTCTCATTTCCAAGTCCATATTCCCATCCCCCTGACCTTGCCAAAGTATGCACACAACACTACACAACCACCACCGCCGAGTGAACCCCGGGGCCGACGTCGACGCCGTTCGAACATGCCCGGACGTGGCCCGACCCGTGGCGGCCGCCCATCTGTGTCCGTCCTTGGGAAGCGTGGGCGCAACGCCGCCGTCGAATCCGTAGACTCGGAGTACGAACCAAGGGCAAGCGGGCGCGTGCGCGGACGCGGTGGCCGCCAGCGCAGGGGCAGAGGCCGGGCGAAGGGGGCCGGCACCGCGCATAGGTCCGTGGCTGCGGTACGGGACAACTCGACGACGACGACGACGACGACGACAAGCACCAGGAGCGGACCTTACCACCGTGGTTTCTCGCAACATCTCCTCGACCACAACATATTCCCCGTAGAATATGAGTCTCTCGATGGGAAGGAGCCGGAGCCTCCAGATAATATGGGCGAAATCGAATTCGAACTAGGCACCATACGTGCCCTCGAGCCGGCCGATGATTTCCGGCGCCTTCGGACCCGATATAGGCAGGTTTCGAACGAAGACGATGCTCTCAAGCTGCTAGATTTCCTTCAGGGCGACAATGTGGCTCTACTGCGTTCCCACGTCATCCGGCAGAAGCAGAAGATGAGCAACCTGGCGCCGCTGACGGACGGGAACATCGTGCCTGGGAACCCGGACCGCGCCTACGGGGCACCTGCCACAGAGCTTGACAAGTCCATCCGCCTGGAACTGGATGATTTAGTCGTCCCAACGTGCGACAAGGACTTCATCTGCCCGAACTTTGTGGTCCATGTCAAGAGCGACAGGGGCGATGAGACAATTGCGAGGACCCAGGCTGCTTACGATGGTGCGCTCGCAGCCCGGGGGATGCAGGCTTTATGGGACTTTAGTGATAGGCCTGGTATCGCTTCCGGCATCCAGACCTCTGGAGGTGATACAGGCGGCAGTACTCGTGGAGGGCGCTCGGATAGTCTGACAGATTCCGACCCGAGTCACCAGGGCAGCGCTCGAGTTGCCCGAGTTGCTCGCACTATTACATGCACCTGGACCAATGGGGTATTGAGGATGTATGCTACTTATTGTGAGGTATATCCAGACTCCAGAGAGGAAGCCACCTCGGGCAACCTGGAGGCCGAGCTCCCAAAATATGTCCCCAGTCATATTGGATCGTGGATCATGACCGCTAAAGAAAATCAATTCCGAGAAGGCCTCGCGGCATACCGGAACGGCCTGGACTGGGCCAAGAGACAGCGCGACATCGTGATAAGCCGCGCCAATTCGAGAGTTCGCGCCGAGAAGGCGCATCGGCGCAGGGGCGAGGAGCAAGATCCAAGGGAGGAGCACCATGCTGACGGGGAGGAGCAGTCTGAAGGGGAAGACAACTACGAACAGCAGAATAATCTGGAAGAGGAAGACAGGTCTGAAGAGGATGATGGAGGTCCGAGTTCAATATTTGCAAGACGAGGATCACAAGCAAGAGGGCAAGACGAGGAGGACCAAGACTGTGACCCCGCGGACGAGATCATATACCAGAGCTTCGACAGCCAGAGAACGGTGACAACACGGAGCATGAGCCGGAAGCAAGTCGATGGCAAACGCTCATGAATGACCTCTGGATGGCCTCAGACCGGCCCATTAATGTCTCTGGCAGTGCAGGGATTTGGGCTGCGCCCGAGACAGCATGTAAAGCGCCACAACGCTTGTCAACCTGGGCCCGACCCTCAGCGTGAACTTGGCCTCGGTCTCAATAACCTGGACAAGCCCGTAAGACCCTTCCGATTTTGATTTGACAGACCTTTCACGAACTTATCCGTCCGAAAATCAAGCGATTCGTTGTTGTGACACTAATCGAACTCTAGAATATCGAAGAAGTCGACGCCCAGCTTTTAACACATTATCTCAAATTCTATGCCTCCAATTTCCAAAGCCTTCCATTTTGGTTGGACTTCCAGTTCACTAGACACACGTTGTGGGGGTTGAATATAGAGGTCGTGGTTTGGAAGCAGTGATGGCTCTCTAGCCACCAGAAATGGGTTTGGGGCAAGCACAAACGGTGCGAGTAGATATGCCTTCTCTATAAGCCAGGAAGTCACCAATTCACATGTCACTAGTCTCATGAAGTACAGTTGACACCAAGCTCTATTGACATCGAAACAAAGACCTAGTCTAGCATGATCTAATGCTTCGCCACGACACCCGACGCATCAGCCTGGGCCGTGATCTTCTTCTTGTAGTCCTGGACGGTGCCGTCAAACTTCTCAACAGTGCCGCCGTCACACACCCACAGGCTGGTGCAGACGGTCTGCAGCATGGTAACGTCGTGCGAGACCATGAGCACGCCGCCCTGGAAGTTGCGCAGCGCGTCGGAGAGGGCGTCCATGGCCTCGATGTCGAGGTGGTTGGACGGCTCGTCGAGCACGAGGATGTGCGGGTTCGTGAGGGCGAGGCACGCGAACGCCACACGGGACTTTTGACCCCCCGAGAGCACCTCCATCTTCTGCAGGCCCGTCGTGCCCGTGATGCCGAAGGCGCCCAGCTGCCGGCGGTACTCCTCGTCGGTGCGGCCGGGGTACTCGCGGGCCATGAAGGAGACGGCCGACAGGGTCAGGTCGAGGGCGTCGACGTGGTGCTGCGCGAAGAAGCCCACGCGCAGGCGGGGGTTCTGCTGGATGATGCCCGTCGAGGGCGACAGCTTGCCGATGAGCAGCTTGAGCACCGTCGTCTTTCCGGCGCCGTTGGGCCCCACGATGCCGATCCGCGAGTCGAGCTGCACGTCCAGGTCGACGTTGCGCAGCAGGACCTTGTCGGGCGAGTAGCCAAAGGTGACCTCGGACATCTGGATGATGGGCGGCGACATCTTCTCCACGTCCGGGAACTTGAAGTGCACGCTGTACTCGGCCTCGGGCGCCTCGAGCACGGGCATCTTCTCGAGCTTCTTGATGCGCGACTGCGCCTCGGACGACTTGGCCGCGTTGTAGCGGAACTTGTCGATGAAGGCCTGCAGGTGCGCCCGCTCCGCCATCTGCTTCTCGTACTCGCGCTTGGCCGTCTTCTTGCGCTCCTCCTTGGTCGCGTAGAAGGAGGCGAAGTTGGCGCCCCGGTAGTAGTCGAGGCGCTCCGAGTGCTGGTGGATGATGTCGGTGGCGACCTCGTCGAGGAACGCCCTGTCGTGAGACACGACCAGGACGGTGCTGGGGTAGCCCTGCAGGTAATTGGAGAGGAAGGTGATGGAGGGGACGTCCAACATGTTTGACGGTTCGTCGAGCAGGAGGAGGTCCGGCTCGCAGAAGAGTGCTCTCGCCAGGGCGAGACGCATCCGCCAACCTCCGGAGAAGGTCTTGGTGGCAAACTGCTGGCGCTCGGGCGAGAAACCGAGACCGGCGAGGATACTTGCCGCCCTGGACTCGGCCTTGTCCGATTCCATCTCGGCGAGCTTGGCCTGGACGTCGGTGAGCTTCTGGTCCTGGGCCTCACGCTCGCGGTCCAGCCTGGCCGCGTCGGCTGAGGTGTCGGCCAACGAGGCCCTCTGGCTCTCGATCTCGCCGAGCTTCTCGGTGATCTGTGCCTCATCCTTCAGGAGAACCTTCCGCCAGACATCGGCATCAAGCACTGCCTGTAATGCCGGGGTGTCGTCTCCACTGATCTGTGCAATGGTCAGCATAAGGCTCTCAGTGGAACAGGGAACCAGGAACAGCTGTACATACCTCTTGCTCGACGTGCAGAATCGAGATGTGAGTAGGGATGGGCACTTCTCGACGAGACAGAGCCCGCAGCAACGTAGATTTACCGATACCGTTGTTACCAACCAGACCATAGCGCCGGCCATATGCCAGCGTGAGGGTGGTCTCGGTGAGGATCCTCAGGCCACCGATGGCGACATCGATGTTGTCCAGCTTGATGTCCTTGGACTTGCCACCGGCGCCAGGAGCCTGCAGAGGGTTGACGGCCATGTAGAACTCCTCGTAGGACTGGGTGGACTCTGGCTGGTTGAGCAGCCGCGAGGCCTCATACTCGACGGTCTTGAAGGTCTTCTTCTGCTGCTTGGCGGCGATCTTGCGCTCGGCCTTCTCGAGCTTCTTGCGGTCGACCTTGGACTCGACCTTCCTGACGTTGGCGGCCTCGAGGTCGACGGCGCCCGTGGCGACGGCGAGGGTGGAGGACATGTTGTTCTGGGCGCCGACCTGGATGGACTGGTCGAGCCTCCGGACGGTGGGGCCCTGGCGCTGCAGCGAGCCGTTGGCCTCGTCGTACTTGGAGACCCATTTCTCGACGAGCTGGCGGATCTTGTCCTGCTTGGCGGCATCCGGGTCGCCGGCGGCGGAGAGCAGCAGCTCGATGACGACGGAGGCGGCCTCGGCCAGCGGGGACGGGCCGGCCTGGTCCTCGCCCCCGGCCCACGAGGTGGATGCATGGGTCAGGTAGCCGGCCGAGTACTCGGACACGACCGGGTCGATGTTTGGCAGGACAGTCCTGATCTCGGACTCCATGGTGGCAGTGGTGGAGGTGGTAGCGGTGGTTGTAGCGACCAGTGAAGTGCCGAGAGGCGGACAAATCGAGGTGGCTAGGGTCTACTACTCAACGCGAAACCGCCACGGACAAGGGCGGATAGGCCGGTGTCACTGTTACCGTGCGGTGCAGGCGTGTGTACACACGATACGTACACCACCAGTAGCTCAGCACAGACTGACGGATGATGTTGAGCTGCAGGAGGCTGAGGCCCGGTCACGCTGGCGAGGGGTGGGTAGCGAGGTCAAAAGTGGGCTTGATGCGACCAAAGGGGACAAGGCCTGTTCCTCGATCACACTGGCCTGCCTCAGAGAAACGGTTTTCGGTCCGCTATTTCTTGTCTCTGATCATCCCGAGCAAATCCACGGAGCGGCAGAGCGGTCCAACAGCGCTCAGAGGTCAAGGATGTGTGATCCAGGCGAGACCTCGTATCGCAAGTGCCGCACCTCTCGAAGCAAGGAGCAATCTGGTTTCCAAGAACTTGGTCGGTGGTCTGTGGTGTCCCTGTGGTGTCCCTGTGGTGTCCCTGTGGTGTCCGAGACAGGTCTGGTGGAATGGTGTGCTGGACGGCGTTGGGCCAGGTGGGATCGCGCACATGTATCAAAACGTGTCCTGCTCTGTGGTGCTGTGCTGTGCTGTGCTGTGCCTGTGCTCGAGCCTTCCCGGTCGCAGTCGCAGTTGCAGTGGTGGCTGGTGAGGAGAATGAGGTCTGAGGCTTGAAGCTCGAACAAGAGCTTTTGCCCCACCTCCAATCCAGAGCTTTCCTTCCCTTGCCTGTGCATGCACCTGCAGTGGCTCGGCTGCCGGTGCCGACAGCCCACCGCGCACATACACACACCACACATTCTTACGGGCACACAGACACACACTGCGATCGGTCGGAGCAAGATCTCTGATCTCTCCGCCCCGAGGGATGGTTGGGCGTCAAGGGGGTCAGAACAAGACATGGCCCAAGCCTACAGTCCCAGCATCGCCATCTGCGCCATGCATGCTGCACGTACGCACATAGAATACTACCAGCTATCTAGGTACGGTCGTTACCATGCAGTAAACATATCCCACACATGTACGGCACAGGCTCTGTTTCTTTTTTGCAGGGAGGGCTGAGAGGGAGAAATACGAACCAGGCCAGCCGCGCGGAACAAAGAAGTGTTACATTAACATCATTAATTACGGTACTCGCAAACCCCGACAATCAAGATTCGTTCTAGAAAACACCACCGAAGCCCTGCTGGTCCTCGACATGGCATCCTCCGTGTCCCGTCGCATGGCGCACGCCACACATCGCAACGCTGGGGGGCAATATCTTCTCCCGGAGCCCTTCCCGTCCCATCCCACCTCGTTCCGCCTCGCCTCAGACCCATGCAAAATGACAATAGTCATAGTAGCAAGAGGTTGATAATGATCCAATTTCCACGTGCAGGTGAGCGGCATTGAATTGACGAGCGACTATTCGGCACACTATCGAGCGCCCAACTTGGTTCCTGGCGCCATGCTGCCAGGGGTGGGGATCATATCTGGGAGCCAAAAAATCCTCCGAGGGGGAGGGAGAAAAGAAGAAGAAAATAAACGGGCCCCCCAGTTCCATGGAAGGAAGTGACGCAACAGCCCTGCGAGACTATGGGAGACCCAGGCACAGCCAGGAAACCAGGAAAAACCAACAGACCAGAACCAGACAAACCACGCACCACACGAACCGGTGCAAGGGCCACCCCGCGGATCGCGTGTCCTCTAGGGCGGATTTTTATCAACTAGCAGGATTTCACCCCCAAGCAGCCGCGTCGATCAGGGACATCGCGTCTTGAGGCCGGCCAATAGCCGCCCGTCAACATTTTGACTCCCTCCCAGCACTTACGAATAACAACGGAAACAACAAAATGAACAGACCAGTCGGCCGGACTGGATTGGCAGCTCAGTAGTTAGCCCGGTCTACTGCACGCAATCCTGAACCAAGGCGTCGAGCCAACAACCTTCCGCTCGCATATACGGTCGAGCCAATCTGCTTGCTTCAGTCCATCTGTCTTATTAGCCGACATGACGCAAGGGATTGGAGATCTTCCAGATATGGCTTGAGCGGGAACCTGGATCTTGAACCTGGATCTTGAACCTGGATCTTGTTCCTTGGACTGCAGCCCACAAAAAGCCAAAAACGTTGGTGGTTCTTTTAAACCGTGGTTGACAGCAAGAAAAACGCGCGTGTGCTATTTTCATCCTCGCTTGTCCATCGTGCCGGGATTTCGGCGTGTGGGTCAGCCTCGCTGTCCCCCATTGATCCATCCAATTCACGTGAAGGATCACAAACCCCCATGGGACCAAGGTTCCATGCACCTGCGACCTGCAACCTGCGCCTGAGGCTGCTGTGCTGCTCGTCTCTCTTGTGTGCCCGTACCATACTGCGCTGTACCGTCAGGCTGCATGTATTTTGCAGCAGCATTGCAGCGCAGCTGTGGGGACCCAGCAGCACAGCTGTTGGCGCAACGCAGAGGACAGACTCTCTTTTTTCTTTCTTTCGAGATGAGAAGTGGTATCCCGATCTGGCTCGGTGTGATGGGAGCTGCAGGATCTCCTCCTCCCCAGCACACACACACACACACACACACCCTCTCTCTTTTCGCCCCTCGCCTGAGGGCAGCGGCAGCAGGCTCGGGTGATGGGGCAAAGGAGGAGGAGGAGGGGAAAGGGCCTAGACCTAGACCTCATCTCGCCGGCCCGCGCGCAGACTTTGTGATGCTTACCAACCGGCTGACTGGCCAGGTCTGCCCGCAACATGGGCGGGCTGATATTTACACGCCGCCCGGCCATTGATGATGCTGATCGTCAAGTCAAAGTGAAAAAGCACCACCACTGTCTCGTCTCAGCTCGGTCGGAGCCTGGCGTGATACTCTCACTCGCTCGGCCAGGGAGCCCTCGGATGGGGGCATGGTCCTCCTTCCCCTCCTCGACGCCCGCCCGTCCAGCCTCCTCCCGCCACCCGGTTGTGGTAACCCGATCGCGAACCTAGCTCACGTCATCCGCCGACCGGTTGGCCTCCTCTCCGCGCTGCCTTCCTTTTTCTCTCTCCGCACCTTGATTGAAACGGGAACACCCCGGCCTCGCGTGCCTCTTGTGTCCTCCCCCGGCCCAGGACATGCGCAGCCAATCCCGTTGCCCAATTGCTGACCTCCCCGCGGCCAGCCAGACCACCCCTCCTATCACCAGCCTCACAGCTGCGTCTGCCCAGGACTGACGGCATCTGTCGGCTGTGGTCGACGGGATTGTGGCTCGATCGGGGAGGAGAATGGACAGACGGTTGCCTCCTTGATTTTCCTTTTTGACTCTGTTAGCCAGACAGCTGTTTCCCCTACGTGCGCATCTAGTTGCCGGGGCCGCAGCTCGTTGACATCTCGTGACATTACCCTCTTTGGTCCCCGCGATGTAACGACGGGAGGCCCTGAGGGGGAGAGAGGGACCATGAAGCTCCGGCCCTTGATGAGACCGGGGAGATCTGATGGATAGGCACCGGCTTTGTGTGACACGAGCAGCATGGGCCTCTTCATGCTGTTTCTTCCTGGCAGTGGCAAACAACAACAACAATAACAACATGTAACCAACGTCTGTCGGTGAGGCATGCCGGGAGTTTTCTGAGACTCCCCCCAGGTGTGGCTGGTGTAAGTGTCCGCACGCCGAGCGGAATGCGAGCGCCCGCGCGCGCCCTTTCTCCTCTTTCCGTCCGATGTTGGTCCATGCCTGCTACGTCTTGGGATCCTGCTACGCGCGTCGTCGACGGCGTCCCACGTCCTGGTCGGCACGATGCTCCGACTTAGCCCGTGGAAGCTCCGCTGGGGGGGGGGGGGTAGGGCGGATCGGTCCTGTCCCCGGCTAGCCCGTTTGTGCCTCAGGCGGGCCCAGCAGTGAGAGCTCAGCAATATAGTACGCTTGATCTGCTATCGGTTGTGGGGCTGCGACCCTATGTGATTGTTCCTGCGATGGCTGATCTCCCACGCGGAAGTGGCACGATGCCATCACAGATGGAGACTAAATTACCGGGAGGATCCTCCGACTAGTGTTGCGAGAGGCGGGGGCTTCTGCTGCGGGAGGATGGCGGGTCGTCGGTTTTTTGCCCACCAGATATATTGACCCCGATGCGTCTCCACGGAGAGAAAGGCAGGTGGTCTCCATGTTCTAAGTTTGGCATCTGAATGCCCAGCTGCCTAGAAGTGGGGGGAAGGAAGGAGGGCTATACCAGTATCGCACCAGGGGACTATCACCCCACAGCATCAGACCTTGATATGTCAGATCACCATGAGGCTCAAAGGAACCAGTCTGTTTGGTCCCAGCGAGCGGTCCCTGCGTCCAAACTTTCGGGACTACCAAAGTTACCCTGACCAATCACCGGGATGCTGGCTGCGATGGGAAGAGGGAGAGGGGGCAGGGTGGCCGGAATGGGCCATTTCCTGTTGTTGACATTCATGGCAATATCCCGCCACACGCGCTCATTAGCCAGTGAACGAGCTGGGTCCTGTGGAAAAGGGCTGAAACTGAAACTGACCGCCCTTTCGAGCAGGGCATGTAGGAAGGCTGTTTGTCGCATTCATGAAGCTTCTTTCGTGTCCCTCCCGCTCGCTTATGGGCTGCGACCTGGTTGTTGGGTGGACAATCCCCCAGGCCGCGGCCAGGCCAGCCCGGCGAGCTCACAAACTCAATTCGCGCACAGACTACCACCGTTCCCAGGGCCTGCAACAGCTTCCGTTGGGGGTTTGGTTTGCTCGTTGTGATCTCTCCGTGCGTGTGGCAACATCCAGGCAATTGAACGTTTGTTGGTCCCTTGCCGCCCCGCTGCGGGATCCGGGACTGAGGCATTGTCCGGGCTTTGGCCACTGGTTCATACCGTTGGCGTGGAGGGTGAGCCTTGCTCGCAGAGGGATCCCAGACTTTCATGTCGCCGTTTCGCGACGCGATGATCTCTTCCGTCTTGCATTCCTGCCCTCGTCAACAACGGCACAACGGCACAACGTCAAGAACCCCGAGGAGATCAAACAACAACAGCAAGGCCCACGAGTCTTGGCCCTGGGGATATAGGCAAGCATAAATGGGCGTTGTCATGGTGATGTCTTCCATGGGAGTGGGTCGTCACGACCGCAGCCGCCGAGCTGCATGCAGGCTGCAGCATGTCATTCCAACTGAGTAAGGGGACTGGGAAGCTTCTCCAACAGTATACCTCCATGCACTGCCCGATTTGCTTCGGGAAGGGTCATGGCGGTGGCTGTTGTCCGACTGTGGGCTCCAGTGTACTCAACAAATATCTCAAGAAGAGATCAGATACCTGGCCAGGTAGCGGTAGCTTGGGGGCAAAACACGTGAGGAGATGGGGTGTAAGGCGACGCCAGTCTCACCAGCCACAGTACTTCCACCCCCTGGTGAAGTTCTGGAAATTACCCTGGGAGCGGGAGCTTCAGCTCGTCAGATTCAGGAAGCTATCCCAGACATCCCCGCTTTGCGACCCCGGCCTCATGTCAAAGCGTCCGGTGGGGGGATCCAGATCCACAGCGGCAGCAACCTCATTCAACCTCAGACCAAGACAACATCGATCGGCAACGAGAAGTACGGAGACAGACCCACGATAGACGAGAACATCGGAGACATGACTATCCTGTCAGTCAGACGCAGGGGAGGCATCACGTCGCGCAAATAATCCCCTCGCAGACTGGGGTGCTAAGTCAAGCCGGCAGATATTGCAGAGGGCAGCCCGTCTATTTCTTGAGAACACGGATCTCGGTGGGCCGCCGAATTGTCAGCCGGAGCGTGCGCTGGGCACCTTCCTCCCCTCGCCTCGTTTAGCCCTGCCCTCCTCCATCCCGGGAATCGTTCTGCGCGCGCGCTTGGAGAGGGAAAGAAGGAAGGAACAATTTCAAAGTTGGTCCATCGAAGCGGGCCTCCTGCATTCGGGTAATTATTCGCACGACAGTCTGTGTCAGTGTATTGTGTACCTGCACGTCACATGCGAGCCAATGCTAACAGCGGGCCCTGCCTGCAGCTGCACAAGCATGACATGTACATGTCTGTATGTAGGCTCTGCCGATCTGGGTCTGTGAGTGAGTGGCTGGCAGGGCCAGGCTGGGCTGTCGGCCTAGCTAGTTCCAGGTGAGATCGATCGTGGAAAAGGGTAAGAGTTGAGGCGAAACCTTGCAGCGGTAATGGGTGTTGTTTTCACACGGATTTGTGTGCGGTGCTGCTCGCGCTCAGGCTTGCGTGAGGCAAAAGCAATTCTGACTGTTGACTTGACTTTCATGGCCGGCCGGCCCGAAGACGTCACGGTCGTAGTGTGGCGGCATTGGCCCGCATGTTAGCGGGCACATTCAGCATTGAATACTCCTCTGGTCAACTGCTGGCATCTGCTGCAAGCCTCCCGGTTGCCTTTCCCTACTCAAGTCGCCGCTGTCGTAGCCCTCCTCTCCCGTAGCGCTCTTGTGATGATTTTCTGCTGAGTACGTGGGTAGGTACTGCGTGTGGCCGCCGGGAAGGGAAAGCGGAGGCAAGGGAAGCTCATTGTTGTGCAACCTTGACACACGGGCGAAACCCACCATAGGCGGCCCATCTCTGGACCTGGCTTTCCCGGTTTGCCAGTCTGTTGTGCTTCTCGAAGTCTTGCCATCTGCTGTTTCGTGGCGTCCATTGTTTGTCGTTTTTTTGGTCGTGCCTCGTTGCAGCGGCGGCGGCGGGGCGCGCGCACACATATCGGGACCGATATGTGCACCCACGAGTGCCGGGATTGTGATGACCACCCACCCACCCTGGACCGGGCTGAGCTGAACTGGGCTAGTGTTCAGACGGAGACCTCGGGGAAGAAGGCGCATGCAGTAGGCGTCCCTCGGGGGAGCACGGGCTTTTGGACGCCGGGAGTTGCATCGTGGGGAGCCTCTTGTTGTTGCTTTCGAATGTATCATGCTGAATTATAAAGTGGAGTCTGGCGAGAGCCGTCGGGGGTCCGCGGTACGTGTGTGCGCGAGCGCACGGAAGCTGTCAACAACAATGTCATAACAGCCTGGCACATGTGCTGGCCGTTGTTTGATAATTGCCATGTGCATGCGTGGCAGAATGGGCAGATAGGGTCACAGCTGGCCTGGTATGGCGACCTTTTTTTGTTGTTTATTATGTCGCCGCATGTTGCGCGGGCCCTATTTGGTTACGTGATTAATGTGTTTGTGGCGACGGGCTCGGGTGTGTCTCTGAGGAGGATGGTGAGTGGCTATACAGTTCTGGTCCGTCCCGTCTTTGTCTTGTCATCCCATGTCATGCCATCACTGTATCTTGGTAATACTGGCTGCTGTGAAAGTATGTTTATGCCAGATGGATAGGTGACGAGCACGACTTCTTTCTTTTTTGAGAGGCGAGCTTGTAACCCTGGCTGTATTTCTTCTTCTTGATGGTGTGATGTGACGTCCTGCTGCATTAGGTATGTATCAGGGACTGAGAGACTTGTCTTGGATGTCGTTTGCTTACCCTGCCATTAACAGGTGTGCAGAGGAGCCGGCGTGGAGCCTCTGGCTCGGGTTGTTTTTACTGTTTATCGAGCCGATAAACGGGTCCAGCTTCCGGTCGAGTACGACCCTGAGCTCTTACATGTTGCTTTATAAGGTAAGCATCATCTGCACTTGGGGATATGCCCGAGATGACAGGAGGGAAGTGGCTCCTGCTGATAAAAGTCTCAGCTGCTTGAATATCACAGACAGAGGAACGGGCGGGCCGCCCGTGCGAAGACAGGCCCTGCCAGGCTACGTGTGACCTTGCAAGTCGCAACAACGGCGGCGACGTTGGACAGGCCGAAAGAGCAAACGTGTGCGCTAACAAGACACGGAGGCCCGAAGAAGTGCGGACCGAGGCATGCTTGCCGCCAGGACGACTCCTCTTGAGACGGCAGGGACGACAGCTGGGTGATGCAAGATCAACTCAGGGGCCCCTCTCTTGGGACATACGCAGGTCTGGCCAGCCCTAAGCTGCACCAGGGTCGCAAGTGTCAAGGTGGTGGAAACCTTGTCTGGGCCAATCGAGAGCGGACGTTTGAGGTGCCGCTGGTCTGTCAAAAACCTTCTCCGCGCCCGCGAGGATGGATGGATGGATGGATGAATGACTGACTGGAGGGCTGGAGGTGGGCTTCCTTTTGCCAGCGCATGATGCGTCGGGCGATTAACAGATTAGGTGGACGAACTGGTCGAGCTGCCGGGACGGACCTTGCTGGAGGGTTTTGTAGTGGGCAGGCTGGCGCTGTGTTTCCGAGCCGAGAGCCAGGGCGTCCCCGGGGGCTGGCTAGAGGCGGCGCACAGGAGATTGATGAGCAGCATGCGTGCAGATTGTCGAATGCAGGGCGTTGATCAGTATTCGGTGTTTCTGCAAATTGATAGGTCTCAGCCAGCGCGGCGCTATTGTTGTTTCGATGCAAGTCAGATCGGTCGGTCTCCTTTTCCTGATTGCTGGATTCTTGCTTCTCGACTCTCGGACTCGCAGCACCTGACGACTCGGCGGGTGAGCGAGGCCCACACGATGACGCGAGAGTGAGCGACCGATTACTTGATACTGCCGGCCAGCAGCTGCAGGAGTTCGCAGTGTGGGTTAGTGGCTTCAGAGGCACGGTGTAGACCAGGGGCTGAAGCAGGTTGGGAGAGCCAGGCCGGCTACCGGAATGTCTCTGCTGGAGTGATCAGTGGCTTGTGTGCTTGGCTTGCTTTTCAGTCGTGGGTCCTGATACCGAGAGTGGTGGCTGTTGGCATCTGGGCCCGGGCTCTGTCTCGTCACTCGTGGATGCCCTGGCCGCAGACGCAGGTTGAGATTATCCCATAAGAGACGCCAGCTATAGTTGCTTAGCCTCGGAAATACCGGCCAACTGGCGCGAGGGGTGTTGCCTGGGATCAGTTGCCCAGAGCCACCAGCCATAGTGTAGGCAAGCGATGGTGATGGCTGAGGTGGTTGGATAAACTATGCGAGGCAAAGGGCTGGTTGCTCCTTCGTGGATGTTTTATGTTGAGGCTGAGACGAGAGAGTCGACGTAGCCGTACCGAGCTGGACTGGTTGTACCGTTCCGTACCGTTCCGCACCGTACCGTACCTGAGAGCAGTTCCGTGCAGGTCTGTTTCTGCCGTGTCGTGTCGTCTGCTGTCCTCAGGCTTTCAGGCTGTAACCAAAGCAGGAGCGGCAGAAAAGGCGGGCAGTTACGGAGTACTCAGGTACCTGGGCGAAACAGAAAGGCAGGCAAGGCACCAAGGAAGGTATGGCAAATGCAAATCCGGGGGGATCTGGAAGAGCAGGCAGTCCCCTGCCCTTCTGGGGATGGTGCTGTCTCCAGGGTTGTTGACTTGCTCCGACAATTGTATACTGCGGGTCCTGGACGTGCTCTGCTCTTGCTGGTCCTTGCTGGTCCTGCAAGTTGGCCAGGGCCACAGCTCCTGGCCCAGTGCATGTACCGCGGTACGTGTTTTTGGGCCTTCTGGGGCGACTCGCTGGTTGACATCAAAGTCTCGCGCCGCAGAGGGGGTACTTCTTCGCTGGCTCTTGCCTCCTCGCGCCGCCAGGTCACTGCCTCCAGCCGGCGACATGGCCCTTATCCCGGCTACTCCTTGCTATTGCGTGTAATAGTACATTCGTTCCACTCCCGCCTCCTTCAAGATGCAGACACACACAGAAGACACACAGACCAGACGTGACTGTGCGGGCCACAGCAAGCAAAAGGGAGGCGAGAGGGGGAGAGGAGAGAGAAGAGGAGTGCAGTACAGCAGACACAATCAGTGAGGAAGAAGAAGGCAGCTCCAACCTCCCAGGAAGACTCCAGGGAGACCTGGGAAAAGCATTGGCAAGCATCGCATCTGCATGTGGCCCCGGTTCCCTGTCACAATAATAATTACTGCTGCTGCTTTATACATGTGGTGTTGCTGATGCTGCTTGCTTGCTGCTCCTGGCCCTCGAATCCATTGGCGCCCGTGGCCAACGTACCTGGGCGCTTTCTAAGACGGGCTAGCCTGTATGACGGGCTGCAGCTGAGAGGATCCATTGCTGGCCGCCGCTGCCCACTGTCCCCATTGATTGACCAAGGAACGCGGGAAAAAATAATACACACGACCGAGGACCACTCATCCAGCAAATCCAGCTGTCCAGTCCTGTCAAGCCGACTGCCTCTTCTTCTGACCAGCCAGCCTGACCTCGACCTCGAACGGGACTCGACTGGCTGGACTCGGCTCAAACATAACTCGTCGAATTGACTCGACTCGACAAGGCCAACGACTCCCCGGGTAGCTTGCCCCCACCGTCGCGAAATCGCCCTCGCCCTCTCCCTCTCTCTATCTCTCAACACGCCCGGACACACCACACACACAATAACAACAACAAACAGGTGGGACCAATCCCGTGTACGTCAATTACAGCACCAGAAACACGACACAGCACCACAACGGCGCACACAGCAAGGAACAAAAAGGAAAAAAAACCCAAAAGTTCGAGGCAGCAGGACCACTCGCATCTGGGCTCTCATCTTACCTATCCCATCCCATCCCGCCAACCTCAATTCACCTCACTCACCTCGCTCGGGTGTTTTCTTTCAGCTAGGAACAAGTAGGATCTGGATCTGGCCCACTCTTGCCGGTGACCTCTCCACTCCCTGCCCGTCCCCTGCGCTTGCCCTGCGCTTGCCCTGCGCTTGCCCTGTCCTGCCTTATACCTTGCCCTGCCCGCGCCGTACTTGGACCACTCCTCTCGCTCGGCCCTGCTGTACATATGTACATAGACCACCGAGTACATAGCCCAGTACTACCTCTGCCCCAGGTGTACATCTCCGCCTGTACGTACCTCTGTACCTCGCTCTACCTCGACCTCTACCTTTCTCATCCCAGGTTGGTGGTTCCTTGCCCTCACTCACCCATCCCTCCCCGCTGCTGCCCGCCTACTCCTCCTTCCTCACGTCGGGTCTGCTTCTGTCTTGTCTCACGACATCACCCTCCTCTCACTTTCACTTTCTCAACCTCACTCACTCTTTTTTCTCTTCTCGTGTGTCTCTTTTGTATTTCTTTCCCAATCCGGGTCCTTCGCAGCTGTCAGGAACGTGTCAGAGCGTGCCCCCTGCCTGCTTCCCCCCTCTCTTGTCACTCCTGGCACGGCGCATTAACTCGCCATCTACACATTACCCACGTCCACAGACCCTCCCAGCCAGTAAGGTGCCTTTCCCACATGGGCGTCCCAATGCCAGCTGCTGTTCCCCATCATCGTACATTACACTGCATTGCTTGCATTGTTTCTCGTCCCGCCATCCTTCTGCTGTGGATCAACTGCAGCCGCTGACACAGCCAATCTTCAGACGGCCTGCCATTTGGGACAACAGCATTAATTGACCGCAGACCAACCTTTCTGCCCCAACTCAGCACCACTTGTCACCACCCCCTCGCCCTTCAAGCTCGTCTTGGACTTGAACTTCGACCTGCAATCCCATCATTGCCTGGGCCTCGCAACGGACTCCCTTCGACCCCAACCAAATAATGCAATGACGATGCGAATCACGACCGAACCGAACCCCCGATCCCCTTCGTCCCCACCCCTTTTTTACGGCTGCGGCTCCTTCAGATAATTCCCAGCGGCCACTATGCAGACAGTCCCAAGTGTAAGTGCCCATTCAAACATCTGAGTGTGTGTGCGTGTGGTGTGTGCGTGTGTATGTCGTGCTCGGCCCTCCGCCCAAAAGGCACAGACGTGGGGATTTTGCTCGGACAACCCGAAGGTCAGATCGAGTGCTGCTCGCCCCAGGTGCAAGCATACAGCCTTTGCGCCCGAAATCTTGTATAAGTGATGCGTTGTGCCATTTCGGCTTTGACTGGCCAAATTTCAAACTATGAATGGTTACTGACCAGTCGGCCTTGGTTGCAACAGCTTGTTGGGACCGGCACCGTTGCTGCCGCTGCCGCTGCCGGCCTCGTCTTCGGCCAGTCTACCGAGTCGCCCACACCCTCGTCCCCCCGACCGTCCTCGCCTCTGAAGAGGAAGTTGTTCTCGGACTTCAGTTTCGACAATCCGCGATCAACACCCACCCCGCCACCCCTCTCACCACCAGGGACCAGCTCCGCTCGCTTCCCCCAACTTGTCGAGGATGACCGGATCGACCAGCAGCAGCATCCTTCACCACTTACATCCAACCCTGTCAACATCAGCCCAACCACTGGCTCGCAGACCACCCCTCCCAAGTCCAGTAGCCGCCGGCTTTCAACGATACGTGCGACCGAGGTGGCAGCTGCTACCGACCAGGGCCGGGAGTCCATCTCGTCGCACGGCTCGTGGATGAGGAGACTGTCCCTGCGACCTCCGTCACAACACGGCAGTTTGCGCTCTATTGCCGAGCCAGACTCGGCATTTTCCTACTCGCAAGGGTCAGGGCCGTCCATGCTGTCTCCCACGGGCTCTGTTGCCCCCCAGTTACCAACCCCCAACAAGCTGGTAAAACGGCCAGGAACAGAGAGCATCTTTGCGAGGCGTGGCTCCCGTATACAAGTCCCGACTCTACGACGACCCGCAACAAGTCATCAACGGTCTGCAACCATTCAGCAAGTCCCTTTCTCCCCAGCGCTGGAAGTTCCGCCCGATGGGGTTTCGTCTGGCCAGCCGTTGCGTCCGAGAGCCTTGACAACCGGTCGACCGAACAATGTCCCATGGAGGTTGCAAGAGGCTCCTGGCTGGACGTCATACTTCCACGCGAGGAGGGTGAGGACTTCGAGGCGGAAAACCGTGGTTACACCCATCACACCCAGCGTTGAGAGCAGCAGCCCAGTTGAGTCTCAACTACCAGGCACACGGATCCACTTGCGGCGTGGCAGCTTGTTACCTGCGCCCTATCTTGTGAACCCTGCGGTGATTACTGGTGACCCCTACATGATGGCACCGGTGGAACGTGAACTGGAGTCGGCTCTGCCCGCGAAATCTGCAACTCTACCACGGCAGAGCCCGCAAAACTCGAAAGAGTCCACTAATGCTCTTGAGAGGACGCCAACCAAAGGAAGTCGACGGTCTCTTTCGGCGCAGTTCGGCGCGTCAGGAGGTTGGATTGCAAGGGCGGGCAGCCTGCGCCGTCCAAAGAGGAAATCGCTCGACCACGTCGGAGGCAGGCGTTACGCATCGGATCCAGTTTCCACTTCACCCAAGGCTTCTCGATCAAATGGTGCAAAGTCCGATATGGAGGCTCTCTTCACGCCGCCATTGTCTGGACACAAGGAGACCCAAAACACGGCCAATTCGGCATCACAGGAGCAGAAGCGCGACGCCATGGCGTCTATACCTCCCCTGTCGCGCCTGTCAAGCTTCCATCTCGACCTGTCCAAGATGGGGCCATCTCCCCCACATTCTGCAGGTCTCCAGGCACCGAGCCCCATCCAGATCAGCCCGACGACTGCGCCACAAGGCGCACCGTTCTCGTCTCATAGCAGAGCGGTCTCAAAGGAAGGAGCATCCACTCTGGCCGGATCTGAGATGTCGGTGCCTGGCTTGGCCTCAGGCGACGACGATGACACAGATTATAAGAGTGACGCAGTTTTTGATTCCTTCAGGACTAACGACTCAAACCGTGTTAGAGTGGTCGAGACACCTCTGGACTCGATGTTTGACGAGTCACCTCTTGGCACACTGGGCAATGTGAAGGCGAAGAGGCTTTCGATACAGGAAATTCTAGGAAACAACTGGGACGGAGATACCAGGATCATGGAGGAGGATGAAGGGTCTTCAACTCCTATCCGTGGAATCCACGGCCCACACATCGCTGATGATACCGACGATGCCGATGATCGAGCGACTGAGATTGCGAAGTTCCAGATCTCAATTGGCAACAACGCCCGGAATTTTGGCAGGCTTTCACTGGATACTACTGATGATGACTACGATTGGGCCAGGGACGACGAAGACGTTCTGAGCAACCCGCTCTCCCCGCCTACGAGCTCCGTCAACTCGCGAAGAGGGGTCAGCCCCCAATTGCGGTCAGCATTGGCTAACATCAGCGGCAATGCCACCCCTGATTCCTACACAACAGGAGTTACTACCGAGCGTCCGAGAAGCAATGTCTTCGATTGGAGCGAACCATTCCATGAGAAGACCGACGACAGCTTCACTCGCCCAAGGACTGTTCACGGCAAGCGTGAGCTGGATTTGCGGGGTGGACGAACGGCAGTTCGGCCGTCGGCCCATGTCCGCAGCCAGAGTGTGCCTGTTGTTGAGCCAGTGGATATCGTCAAGGGCGCGCCAAAATTTGGCACGTGGGGGCTAAGTGCGAAGAATGCCAGCGAAGATTGGGATGACGACTTTGAGTTCGACGAGGGTAGCACCAGCGACTCGGCCCCGAAGAACCATGTGCAACCATTGTCCATGAGTGTGCCCCCTTCAATCCAAACCGCGCAGGCGACTGTGAAGGCACACTCAGGCCACATCCGAGAATTGTCGTTGCTCGTCGACAGCCTGAAGCGCCTCTGTCGGCAAGGTCGGGAGTTGAACCTGCTAAATGGCCAGAGTGCTTTGTTGTGGAAGGAAGCTGAGAACATCATCGCCCTGGCATCACCGGATGAAGATGAAGTAGATGACAACGAAGCGGACCGAGACTCTTCCGATTCCGAGCCCTACCCCCTTGACGATCGGTTCCTGGACGGAGGGTTTGATGCTGCCTCGCTGGACCGGGCCGATGCCCCTGTTGAGGCGCACGAGCCCGACATCCCCAAGAACGCTGTGATACGGGAGAGGCAGGTTGTGCGTCGTCGCTCCGTCTTTTCTCCAGACGATGACATCTTCGGCAATACTTGGTCATTGGAGAAGGAGAGCACTCGGCCACACACTCCCAGAACCCCGGACCGCGTGAGGGAGTTCCACACGCCGGATGGCGCTGTCGTTTCGTCCGTGATCGCAGCCATGGAGCAGCAGCGGAGCTTACCCGGCCGCCGTCAAGAGTCACCTTTGAAGCCGTCCAAGGCAAAACTCTTCTTCGACACGAACAGCCTTCACGAGCTCGTCAGGCGCGCAAGCAGCGTTTTCCACACCTTGTCCGACATTGTCCGCAAGGAAGAGCTCCTCTCGATGAGCCCCCAAGCCACACCCACGAAGCTTGATCGCATCCGGCCCGGCCACGGTGGCAGCCCGGCCTTCACGCGTGTCTTCACGGACCCTGACACGAGCCCGCCACGACATCTGGTTAGGAGCCAGAAGAGCCACTCACCACTGCCCCGCAACTCCCTAGACTCCGGTCTGAACCAGCGCATGCAGATGATGACAGTCAGCTAGACGAGCACACCGCCACCAAATCACGCCGCCGCACTTATATAATGTTTGATAACACGCCGCGCGAGCAACACCCACTCGTCAATCCCCCATCATCGGTAACGGCGACCGCACCAATTGTAAATGTACGAATACTTAAAAGCTAAATCATTTTCGCCTGTGGTTTTTCCTTCGGACCCTGGTTCATTTGCATAGCAGCCCTGGAATCGGAAAAGCCCTGGCCTGGCGGTCTGGTACACAGCAAAAAGAGCCCTTTGTTTTTCATCATAGCAACTGCAGCAGATCTGCTTTCTCAGGAAGTAAAGCACGTGGTAATACCAACGGCGAGAGAAGGACGTTTTCACTTTACACCTGTTTACAAGAAATGTTTTCCCACATCGGTAGCTTCTCACAGAGGCAAGCCGGCATGGCATCAGGGATCTGGAAAGATCTGGACGGCACTGGCCGTCGCTGGATGCAAGAGGTTGATGGCAGGGAGGGACAAATATGGAGAGGGCCAACTCGGCATGGCACTGCTGAGTGAGAAATGGATCGGAATTTGTTTGGGGGAAAGGAATCGGAAAGGAATCGGTCAGGTCAGGTCAGGTCATGCAAGGTGTTTTGGTTTTCCCCGCCAACAATCGGAAGCATCATGGCCGATGTTACTATGCATGGAGCTCTCTCGTGGCTTTTGTATTCCCAAGGTTGACTTGTGTCTTTTTCAAGCCTCTTTTAAGCCTTTTTTTTTTCTCTTTCGTGGCCATTGTTCATAGTCATGCGCCTTCCTCGCTCTTCCGAGCCGATGGATGCAGCCAGCCCCGTTGTGAACGGGGCGTGTATGGAAATAGACAGACTATTGATGGCTGCGCGAGACATTGTTGTTCCTAAACTACGTACTTTACTTTTGTGACTGCATGTGGCTGTTGTGGTTTTGAAGAAGAAAAAACGCAATCGATTGGCCGATGATGGCATACCAATATCGACGGCCTGAATCTTGTTGACTGCAGCATACCTCGTCTAGATAAGTACGTGTCTGCAAAAGTAGGGAGGCATATGGTGTGGCGCAAAGGAGGGGGGCTGAGGCGTCGGCTTCTGTGTCCTCGTCCGCCTATGAGCTGGTCAGACGGTACGGTGCTGCCCGCCAGGCTTGCTCTGAATGAATACCGTTTTGCTTGGCTCAGGGTTTCCCTTCGCCCACAACCTGATTCTCTGGCTAGGAGCGCTTCCGTTCTACGCGGTTTTTTTCTTTTTTGCTTTAGGTAGGATTTCCTGTGGTGCACGGGCTGCCCATGCGCGTCCCTTTACCTCGTAGCTTCACCATCACACATGCCTCCTGCTGCCGCGCGCTTACTCCCTGTGCGACTGGATGGGCCTACATGATTCTTGAGGGGAGCTGTCTCTCTGGTCTGTTTGTCTGTATGCGCTCTGGCATGGCTGCGTCTGCGGCTGCGTCTGCGCCCGCTTTCGCGCCTGTCTCAGTTTCTGACAACAGCATTGAGTGGGCTCCTTGGCGTTGAGTGGGATTTTGGGCGAGTGAGAGGCGCTGCTATGCGGCGATGTATACATTGACGGACAGATACATGCGATGGTGCGCGGCTGTTGAAACGGGACTTTGGGGACATGTACACACAGCAAGAGCGGATTCCATGCTGCTAAGAGGTCTACGTCGGGTATCGACTTGGATGTCTAGAGAAAGGGGATGCGATGCATATGTGCCGCCGTTATGGAATGCTGGTTTCAGATGGGTGCGGGAAAAGAGGGGGATATACGGCAGGTGCGGCAACTGATGTTGGACGGCGGCGGTGATCCGGAAATTTGGTACACTTGGGGGACGCTGAGATTTGCCAGTGTGACCAAATCAGGCCTCACATGATTTGAATCGCGAAGATTGTGAGGCCGGAGACGCAGGCAGTCCAGTTGATGAATAGTCATTAAAGGTGGAATTGGGGAGATCGCCTACCGATCTGTTCATCTCGTCTCATCTCACGGGTACGAACCGAGTCGAGCTGTCAGTCTGTCAGATGGGAGAGCTTCATCCACCTGCTGGCCGGTGCGTTGCTGCCCCAGTACTGTGCCTAGGCTAGGTAGACCGCAGACGTGCTTAGATAGGTCTACACAGTGAGTCTCGGTCACATTGCCAGAGCTGCTGGTGAACTGCTGGTGAACTGCTGGATGGCAACAGGCAGAAAGATATCAGTGCAGGCAGAGAGGTACAAAGTGCAGGCAGCTGCAAAGTACATGGCGCCCACAGTACTAATTGGTCCAACTCCTGGCCTAGTGAGGTTAGTGCACCTGCCAACTGGTAAACAGTGGGGTGTCCAAGGGCAGGAGCGTCCCCAGCTCGCGGCTTCCGTGGCCAATGAGCAACGGCCAATGGGCGGTGAGGTCCAACGGCAGTGGCCCGTGCACGCAATCAAAAATCAACAAACCGTGCCCACTCCTGAGGGGTGCTTGGTGCTTGGTGCTTGGTGCTGGACCCCTTCACCCCTGGCACCTTGCACCTGGCACCTGGCACTGGCAGCAGCAGCTCCGGCACAACAGAGCGAGAGAGGGAAAGCGAAGGGCCTCCACTCCACTCTTTTCTCCCAGACCCAGACTGGCCCTGCCAGACAATCCATCCCAATCCCAACACCACCACCACCGTCGCCGCCGATACCCAAACCTCACCTTCTCAATCTGCTCCGAGCTACCGGCCCTTCGTCTTGGACCTCGCTGCTCTCGTTTGTCTACCGCCCTTCTTCTGTCTCGACCCGACTCGACAATAACGTCGTCCAACCTTCAAAATGCGTGAGATTGTGAGTTGTTCTCGCCCCCAAAAAACCACCACCGAGACGCGTCGTCGGCCCATGCTGCTTTCGCATCCTCTGCCCCTGAGCCCGAGCCTACCCCACCATCGCGACTGCACCCACGGTCGGGCCTCAAAACATCACCAACACGCTGGAGAAACATCCAGATGCCCTCGAAAGACGTGTCAGATTGCTAACGTGAAACTTTTCTCCCCTACAGGTTCACCTTCAGACCGGCCAATGCGTAAGTTGCTCCTGTCAACACCAGCGGACCTTATCATCGCCACCTGTAGCTGACACGTTTCCCAGGGTAACCAAATCGGTGCTGCTTTCTGGTGCGTCCCAGCTCCAGCTCCAAGCCCACCACCACAACGCTCGACGCGCGATAAGTCGCCCTCGAGGCATCATTACTGACCTCGACTCTTAGGCAAACCATCTCTGGCGAGCACGGCCTCGACAGCAATGGCGTGTATGCACCTCCTATTCCTTGCCCACCGATCTTGGCATCTCTTCCGGCTTGGCACTGACAATTGCACAGTTACAACGGCACTTCTGAGCTCCAGCTCGAGCGCATGAACGTCTACTTCAACGAGGTAAGTAAAAAACAGCACAGCATCCATTTGACCATCTGCAACATGGTTTCCTGCCGTCGCTCGGACCTTGCTAACGCGTTATCGCCCAGGCCTCCGGCAACAAGTATGTTCCTCGCGCCGTCCTCGTCGATCTCGAGCCCGGTACCATGGACGCCGTCCGTGCCGGTCCCTTCGGCCAGCTTTTCCGCCCCGACAACTTCGTCTTCGGCCAGTCCGGTGCTGGAAACAACTGGGCCAAGGGTCACTACACTGAGGGTGCTGAGCTGGTCGACCAGGTCCTTGATGTCGTCCGTCGCGAGGCTGAGGGCTGCGACTGCCTCCAGGGCTTTCAGATCACCCACTCCCTGGGTGGTGGTACTGGTGCTGGTATGGGTACGCTGCTCATCTCCAAGATCCGCGAGGAGTTCCCCGACCGCATGATGGCCACCTTCTCCGTCGTGCCCTCCCCCAAGGTCTCCGACACCGTCGTCGAGCCCTACAACGCCACCTTGTCCGTCCACCAGCTGGTCGAGAACTCGGACGAGACCTTCTGCATCGACAACGAGGCCCTGTACGACATCTGCATGCGCACACTCAAGCTGTCCAACCCCTCCTACGGCGATCTGAACTACCTGGTGTCGGCTGTCATGTCCGGCGTCACCGTCTCCCTGCGTTTCCCCGGTCAGCTGAACTCTGACCTGCGCAAGCTGGCCGTCAACATGGTGCCTTTCCCTCGTCTGCACTTCTTCATGGTCGGCTTCGCTCCCCTGACCAGCCGTGGCGCCCACTCCTTCCGTGCCGTCACTGTTCCTGAGCTCACCCAGCAGATGTTCGACCCCAAGAACATGATGGCTGCCTCTGACTTCCGCAACGGTCGCTACCTGACGTGCTCTGCCATCTTGTAAGTTCCCAAATACCCTCTCACCAATCAAGTGATCGCGCGCTGACATTGCCCTCTAGCCGTGGAAAGGTCTCCATGAAGGAGGTCGAGGACCAGATGCGCAACGTCCAGAGCAAGAACTCATCCTACTTCGTCGAGTGGATCCCCAACAACGTTCAGACCGCCCTCTGCTCGATCCCTCCCAAGGGTCTCAAGATGTCCTCTACCTTCGTTGGTAACTCGACTGCCATCCAGGAGCTGTTCAAGCGTGTGGGCGAGCAGTTCACTGCCATGTTCCGGCGCAAGGCTTTCTTGCATTGGTATACTGGTGAGGGTATGGACGAGATGGAGTTCACCGAGGCTGAGTCCAACATGAACGATCTGGTCTCCGAATACCAGCAGTACCAGGACGCCTCCATCGATGAGGAGGAGGAGGAGTACGAGGAGGAGGTGCCCCTTGAGGGCGAGGAGTGAATAGTGGTCTGATGAGATCTTCTGTCTGGATTGGTTCGATGATTTAGGACTTTGTTACCGTCCTTAATCCGTCATCATTGTACCCCTGACACTTCTCACCCATCTCTTGTGTGCGTGTGCGCGCGTGTGCGAATGTGTGGGGCGCTTGAAGCTGGTGTGGACAGCTATTCGATTCATGATTCGGGAGGAGCGGGGGTGTTCTGGTAATTATTGAATGACAGACCCGGCCGATCGTCCGAAGAAGAGAGCAGAGCAAAAAGGGGAAACATTGAATTTAAAAATATACCTCTTTGTAGTTGAACCCTGTCCCCACATCCTGCCTCCCAGTTTCCCCAGCCTCCCATCCAACATGCACCCATGTATCCACTTGGAATGAACTCAAAAGTACAGGATGACTGCTTCACAATATTCCTTGCTTTGCATGTGTGTATACACGTTGTTTTGAATGTTGCCGCCTGGAGACGACTTTCCATGGTGCAGTGTCTAGCCCTTTGAAGGCTTACTCCCTGATTTGATTCATTCTAGATGCAACAGTAAATGAGTTCTAAGTTGATACTCATTGTTCTCTCCTCGAGCAACACCCAGACTACCTAGGTAACTCATTACATCCAACAATGGTCTTTATCCCAGAGCAGCACATCTCTTGAGCAACCGATGCACGCTTTCAGCAATACGAAAATGGCGTTCAATGTACTCAGCCCCGATGAGATGGTTGCACGTTGCGGAAGCTTCAGTGCCCACCGCCGAACTAGCATGCTCAGCAATAGGCATCTATTGGGGAATGTGCAGTCTTTTCTCAGCCCAAGGAATATATATTGTTACTTATGTCATGCTCTCACTCCGTCTTCTATACGAGTCTGATAGTTCTCTGCGTCCACCCGAACGATACAGCCTCAGTGTTGACCAAATCGTACCATTCACTCGTGCAGAGAGCAGCAACCCCGACCCGCCGGTACTCTTTAGACTCCAAGCTCGGGGGCTCCAGAAGTAGAAGGCAGTGCCCCATGTTTGCGACCACAACATTTCGACCGCCTCCATCCGCATCGTCCATTGTCACATCTGCACAAATGGTTCCAATTTGGCCAGGCCCAGGTATAATCAACGTCTGTTCCGCGTGCTTCCTCCTAGGGTACCATGCCTGACAGAAAATGTTGTCTCGGAGCACGCTCCCAAGAGCGATCGTAGTGTCTAGGTCGACCCAAGCGAAGAGCACATCACCAAAGGGGTTCTCCGGTTTGGTGGCCCAAGACACATCCTGGATCCTCGGGAACGGTCCAGAAGGTCTGAATCTGGATCCATACGTGCTTGCCAACCCGTATTCGACAGCCGAATTCTGAGAGGCCCATGACCAAGTTGGGCAGGAATACGTCTTGGACCTGCAGCCTGGGCCGAAACGCCTCCACAGAAGGCCTGGGACAATGCAGTCTCTCCAGAGTCCCGCAACGTAGGCGATGTGCCGATTCGAATACGTTGCTCTTGCCAGGGCGCTGATGGCAATCAACTTGTCTTGCTCGCATGTAAGCTGGCGCCGTGTGTAATCTTCGACGACTCTCAAGTACCACACATGGATCATAGCCCTCGCGTCAAGTGCAAAGCTGAAATCGAGGATTGGGTATAGCCGGTCCCCCTGGTACTGGGGAAAGTTATCCTCGCTGAGCCGACAGTGCCAGCATTCCCACAGGAGCTGTTTTGAGGTGATGTAAAGAGTGCGCCTGGGCATGATGTGCTCCTGTAGAGCCCATGCTCTCTGGCTGAGGACCCCTCTCCGAACTTCATCGTCGAATAATCCAGCAGGAATTTCAGATTGACGGTCTAGGATGTACAAGCGGCTAGACCGCCCATCTCTCATTCTAGTGTCGATAGTAAGCCACTCCCTTTGGAAATCCTCGGATTCGAGGTGTCGTTGGGAGACGTTATTGAAGCATCCGGATTCAGCTGAGACGCTTGCCGATGGACAAATAGTCAGGAGGGAGCCCAGGTAGATTCCGCTCATTTTGGCTGCTTCTGCTGCCCAATCGGAGGTTGAATCTTGTATGATACACAAGGAATCGACCCACAGATAGGAAATTTGAAGTCTTTCGCAGATGACAATCGCGTCTTGCAATGTTTGTGGTAGATGTCGTTTGTTGATGCCTTGTAGATGACTCTTCAACGTCGCGTGTTTCGTTTGCCACGGCCGACTGTCACCTGGCTGTGCCTTGCCCCAACAGTAGCTCAAAGCTGCATACGGATAATTGTGACCATCTGTGTGGATCAGCTTTATGGTAGGCGCCCATTCCTCTCCTGCCTGGTTGGATTTCGACTAGTCGAAGAGGATCTTGTGCTGATACAGACGCAGCTTCATTATCGGATGCGACCACCTTGGAGCCTCCGGCCTCGTGACCACGGTATAGCTCGGGGTCAAGACCGAAGGCAATAGGCGGCCTCCAATCGTCAAATTCCGGGGGGTTTCCCGCGGAAAGACAAGTTGCCAGCCATCCGTCCGCAATCTCAAAAGACCGTGGGCTAGATGTATCACTGCCGATCTGTCTGACGTATCTGACGCCAAATTCCGTCGCCGGGTCATGCTCCTCCGTGAGGCAGAATAGCGAATTGACGCGTCCCTTTCTCAGCTTGGACCCATCCGGTGTGAGAAAATTCCAAGTCTGGACATGTTTCAGGTCGATAGCATCCTCGTGTGCCTCCAAGGGACGTAGGTCAATGCAATCAAATTCGAGTCGGCTGAGGTTGTCTCTAAATTGACTCCGGCTCTTGCCATGCCCCGTGGGAGACCGGGGCTGTCGGCGGTGCGTCGAGTCAGGTCGAGCCTCGACATCCTCGCCTGTGTCCCCGAGGGACACAACAATCTGATATCTATCACGAGTGTAACCCATCCCTCTGCCATTTAAAAACAAACTTTCCATTATGTTGCAAAATTTGCAACTTTTCGCAGACTCGGAGAGCTCTGAGAGCGTGGAGTGCCTGTAACCGCCAGGCTGGGCCAGGTCCTCAGCACTCATTCCCAAACAGATTTCGCAGAACTGGTCAACATCAGAAGGCGTTACCTCGGTGCGATCGCCGGAGTCCGAGGCTGTTGGGTTGAGAGAAAACGAGTCAGGACTCGGAAGCCTCGAGGGACCTTCGCGTTGATTAAACTCTTCCCCAAGGTCACCGAATGACTTCACACCTCTTCTCGGTGCGTTCACTAATGGCTTGGAGAACGAATTCTGAGAAGAAGAGAGCGTGGAGTCTGAATCACTCTGTGACTCGGTGTCATAATACTCGATGCCTCCTGGAGACCAAGACTTTGGCCTGGGCTGTTCCAGATAGCTTGGGAGATGTCGAGAATTACATGACATTCTCACCGTAGAGACTCTCCGAAATGCACAGTATCTCGGCCTGGTTGAGATGGACCGTATCGCGCTGCCCCGTCTCGGCCCCCTGAGGATGAGCAATAGTCGTTCGTTATAGCCTTAAAGGCTGGTTGCTTTTCTTGTCTTAGGTATTGGAAGGCTTTTAGTCCAAGATGAATCAGCAAGATTGCTACGACGTTCCAATCTCAGGGCCGATGTGCTGTTGGATTTCCTAGCCTTTTTGTTAGAGGTCGTGTAGAGGTGCAGTGCTGGTCGTTTGAGACGCTTTCGATCTGCCGTTCGTTAGATTGGCATAATTCGTGCGATTGAGTCATTTAGATAGAAGAGATTCTATTGACTCCACATGAGGTTGAATGTGCGGCATGCAGTCCCGAGGTGAATCTGTGGAGCGCGCATGCGAGAAACAGCGTTGAGTTGAAGCAATCGGCCGTGGATGGGATGAAGGCAGAGATTGTCACGAATTAATGTGCCATACCCGCGCGCCAAGTCAAAACCAGCTGCAGTCAGCTGCGCCTCTACTGGGAATGGCGCGCATGTCCTCTTTAACCGGTCAGTTGGTTCTGCATCTGTCTCGCACTGCGGACAACACAAGGCGGGCAGCTATTGGCCGCCCGAATCAGAACGCTGCAGGCTTCATTGCACAGTGCCAGTGTTTGACCTACCCAGTCCGCACCTTGTCGAGGGAAATTACGTTAGGTATACTCTTAAGTTGAGGCTTGCTTGTGTCTTCACAAAACGAACCTCAACCGATATCCAAGCTAAGATCTAAAAAGATTTGGTCGTGATCCGATCTACGTGCATGCGTACGAGTTGCTACTGGAGGTATAGAGTCACAGCTGGAATACCTATGTCAATATTCCAAGGTACTTATTAAGGTAGGCAGGCACAGGCTATGAAATGCCGTAGTCATGGCCCCCAACATCAAGAGGCGCTCACTGCACTGGTCTGAAAAAGGGTACGATATGGCGAGATACGCTCTGCAAAACCATCTCTCTACACGACCCGGCCGGTGCTTCCTAAGAACTTCGTCACCGGGTCAGCCCTGATGGTACCTCTTCAGCTCTTATCCGCTTACAAGGTGTCTATCTATTTGAGAAATCGTCGGACTGCTTGGGTTTGTTACGGCACTTGAAGATGCATTTGTGAAGTTCATCTGTTTTTGCTGATGACGTGGCCAGATCCTTCGGGAGGGCCGGATATCATTACCTACTCCAAAATGCCTTAGAACTACATCATTGAATTTCAGGATCATGCTCGCCGGGATTTGGGGAGATTGACACATGACCAATGTGTAATTGCAGCACAGCTCGAGATCGGGCAATGGTCGACGCGAAGGGGGCGATCGCCCTCGAGTAACTAATTGTCAGAGCTAGGAGAACCATCCTGACCTCCTCAGACGCCTTTTGTTGGCCTGGCCCGCTGTTGAACTACCTACGACTTGGACGGGTCGTATCCAAAGAAGGACGTGGCGCAAACGGGCTGGTGGTTTGAGTTCATTTCAACGATGTACTCCTGGCGTGAAAATGCAGAATACGGCGGCTTTCGCAGCCGGCCCGATTTAAGAGACTTTGTCTACATCCTTCGAGCCCCAAACAGCCATCTGCCTGGGGCATTCTTTGGGGAAGAGTGGGACAGTCTGCCTAGGCGAGGTATTCTTTCCGCATCACGAAGTCTCACTAGTGTGATATTTAGGCGTCTATGTCTAATTTGGGTATTCTAAACTTGCAAAACACGAGAAATTCTATCTGGGTAGATGTAAGCTGAGTAGATATGTCAATACGAAGAGGATAAGTAGATGATTTCTCCTAGCGTGACGTTGTAGTCAGCCTGATAAGTACTGGAACAATGACATAACCCTTCGTTTTGATTTCTTGGTCGGCGTAGAGTCAGTCGGCCTCGGCCGCGTTCCGGAGCACGACGGGTCTTGGTATACTCGGAAGGGCCTGCCAAGACGGACTTCAAGGCCGGCTACACCGTGTGCTGATTTGCTTGCAATCCGGATGTCAGGTAGCGACGGTGGCTGGGTCCTGGCCAAGGGCTGTAGTGTGCTAAGCGAGCCCCACAGATGGCACCGCAGTCGCAACCCCTTTCAACCCGTGACTGTTTGCCAGGAGGCAGAAGAGAGATATTCACAGTTCGGGCCCTGCATGCGCAGTTCGCATAGGCGGTTGAGCGATGGCCGCGATAGTCCTAATATTTAGCGCTTGTTCAAGCGCCTGACGGGCGAGAGGAAAGTGTAAAAAGAGAATGGGTCTGCGCGGTATCTATTGCAGGACTGACGGTGACATCGACGGCGGGTCTCTCGGGGGACCCATGATCAACGGTTGCATAAGCGGCTCTCTCGGTGCTGGAGTGGATCCTGGGGACGGGGCGGAAGCAGAGGAGGAAGAAAGGAAGAGGTGAGAAGCGTTGGTGTGGTTTTGGGGCTGGGATATCGCGGGTTGTTGTGTTGTGCTGGCTGTTGGCTGGTCAGTCGAAGGATTGCTCACCCGGGCGGCTGATGCGCATGTAGAGATATGCCCAGTGCAAGGTGACAATACGACTGCTGATGCATGATGCAAGGGACAGGATGGGATTTCCAGCACCAGTGGTGATGTTGATTCTCTTGGAAAGATGGGCCTGCGCGTGTCGCCGGGGGGCATGTAGGGTCGGTGGAGACGGTGATCACGGTTTCGTCGAACTGGGAGAGCACATGCAAGTGGGCTCGCCATGTCTAACGAAATCGACGATAGCCTGGTGACACAGGGTTGAGCTTGATATGGTGCAGATAACATGTATGTAACCAGGCACTGGTGTCGTGCCGCAGCCCAAGGAGACACAGTCGTCAGCTGAGCAGCCAGCAGTTCAGAAGAGCAGTGTAGTCAGTCTATCATGTCAGGCAAGTGAGGCAGCCGAGCACGTGCCTGTGCTTCCCATCCTGTCGGGTCGACGTTTGAGCTACGCCCTGCCATGCAAGATTGGACAAGACTAAGATGCGACGAGACGAGGCGCATCGTAGTAGATTAATGGCAGACGAGTCGAGTGAATGATTTGACTGATTGAGCCACACCTTTTCCCAAGGTGCAGCCGCCGTTGGCACCTTGACCCCCTGTCGGCGGATTCGCCTAGGGTCGCCCCAACCCCCCGGAACTTTGTGCCTTGTGCCTGCCTCTTGGCTTGGACTTCTGGAGGCAGGTGAGCTCATTCACCCCACTGGCCCTTCCCCCAACTGCCATCCAAGACGGGCCCACCGTTTCTGGAAACACCACTCGCTCACCTACTCACCCGCATGCGCGTACATTCGAGGGTACATACATAGCGGACGGTTTGCCCCTTGGTTGGTCCTGGCCGTGGCCCCCTTCGCCTGCACCTCGACTCACCTCAACGCGACCAACTTACTCACACACGCCTGCATCGCGATACCCTTCGTATCTTTGTTTCAGGAGCTGATGAAATACCAAAACCACCGCCGACAAGACTGCTCTCCCGCCTGACCACGGAACAAAGCAAGGCTTCACCGATCTGACATAGAGTGCTGCCGACTCAACTCACCTGCTTTCACCGACTTTCCGCTCCCTTACACATTAACTCAACATCTTCACGTTTGTGAAGAGCCTCCTTTGTGTTGGCTGGACTGTTTCATATCGCCTTTAGTCTGCCCAAACATAAGTTGCAACGACCAGTGCAAACGGACGGCTTCGCCTTTGTGCCCCGGCCCCCGCCACGGCCCAACAACTCGGCCGCCTTTGAGCCCCAGCCGGCCCCGACCACTGTGCCCATGGGTATCTTCTGCAGTATAAATCAGAATGGGCCCGAAATTGCAGAGAAGGTCCAGGCCGAGAGCCTTCACCATCAAGTTTCTCAACCTGTGAATCCGATCCTTCCTCGACGACGCACTTCCGGGCCCCCAGCTGACTCCCAGCCCAGCAGCAAGATGGTGAGGAAAATCGCACAGAAGGCAGAGCCTCATGACTGGGACACGGTCGCCCCTCTTGACCATATCATCGACCACAAGCTGGAGACTGCCAGCCATCCTCCTGCGAGCCTAGACGGCGACTACCAGAAGAGGCGCGCGGAGCTCAAGAGGCGCGAGGCCGCTCTTGGCTTCGAGTGGAAATGCACCAGCCGCGCATCGACCAAAGAGCAGCGCGTAAATCGCATCCTTCAGAATCTCAAGCGCCATGATGAGGAGAATGTCTATGCAAAGGAACCGCCACGGCAAGGCGTCACCGGGCAATTACACCCACGTTTCGCTGGTGACCATTTCCTATCCAACAAGGCACTCATCGACAAGACCAAGGTCTTCAAGCTCGCCAAGCGGGCACCCAAGGGCGCCCATCTACACATCCACTTCAACGCATGTCTGCAGCCCAACGTGTTGCTTGACATCGCGAGTGAGATGGAGCAGATGTACATCACCAGTGACGTACCGCTTCACACAACAGACGAGGATCATCCCAAACGGTACAGACGATGCAGGATCCAGTTTTCCATCATGGACCTCACGGCCAGCAAAGGCAACCTGTTCGACCAGAGCTATAAGGACCGCACACCCATGAGATTCAAGGAATTCATCAAAGAATTTCCAAAGCATTACCGCGGGGCAGGCGCCCTGGAGTGGCTGCAGGAGAAGCTGGTCTTCCGGGAGGAAGAGGCACATGACCTGCCACAAACAGTCAGCGGCGCATGGGAGGAGTTCAACGCCCGGACGCAGATGATGAAGGGGCTCTTCAATTACGAGAGGGCGTACCGCGAGTACACGCGCAGGTGCCTAGAGGACTTTGTCAGCGACAACATCCAGTACGCCGAGATAAGGCCTAACTTCATGGACACGAATCAGGTCTGGACCGACGACGGGACGCGCAAGATCGACAACGTCGGCATCATGGAGATGATCATCCAGGAGGTCGAGCGGTTCCAACAGGAAAAGGCGGGCGGCGACACCTACTTCGCAGGCATGAAGATCATCTACTGCTGCCCGCGGTCCTATCCCAAGGAAAAGGTTGCCAACGGGCTGGCCGAGTGCCTGCGGTTCAAACAGCGATGGCCCACCTGGATAGCTGGGTTCGACCTGGTGGGTGAGGAGGGCAAGGGCAAGCCGCTCAGCGCCTTCGTGCCTGAGTTCCTGCAGTTCAAAAAAGACTGTAATGAGGCAGGCGTCGGGGAGATTCCGTTCCTTTTCCACTGCGGAGAGACGCTCGAGTCGGGCTCTGAGACGGATGATAACATCCTTGACGCGCTGCTGCTCGGGTCGCGCCGCATAGGCCACGGCTTCTCCCTTGCGCGCCACCCGTACTTCATGGAGCGCATGAAGAAGGCCGGCGTGTGCGTCGAGCTATGTCCCATCTCCAATGAGGTGCTGGGCCTGACGCCGCGAGTTGGAGGGCATGCCATGTATGGCATGCTGGCTAATAATGTGCACTGCACTGTGAGCAGTGATAATGGAACGTTGTTTAAGTGAGTCTATTTCCACCCACTTTACCCAAGTATTCCGCGACCCCAACGGATCTCGATACTACTATGATGATGGATGCTAACTATTATTCACCTTAGTTCAACCCTCTCGCATGACTTCTACCAGGCTATGATCGGCAAGCCCGACATGACCCTGTTCGGCTGGAAGCAGCTCATCGAGTGGAGCCTCGACCACTCCTGCCTGTCACCCGCTGAGCACCGTGATGTGCAGCGGGCATGGGAGACGCGGTGGGAGAGGTTTCTGGATGAGGCGATCGAGGAGTTTGGGGAGTTTGAAATTGATGAGAAGGTGGTTACTTAAAATTTATTGATAGATCGGGAGAAAGGTTCTGCCATTTACCAGGAGCTTATACCAACTTTATTCGAGAGAAATTACAAGCCCATACACATTTCAATGTCAAGACCTAGCTGGCCCACACCCCGTCCCCCACCCCTCTAACGGTGAGAAATGGCCACCCATAGACACCACTAGGTGGACCTACTAGGATCCGCCCGCAAACCTTCTCCCCCCTGGGCCTTGAGCTCATCCACATCCCAGTTCGCCCACACAGTCCGCCCATGGAGGTAGCACGCCTCGGGGCTGGCCATCCAGACGAGGAAGTGCTCAGGCAAACACGGCGCGTCGACGGGCAGCTGGCTGGTCGGCCCGTGCCGCCAACTTTGCACGGCGACGGTGGATATGCGTTGCTGCTGCTGCTCCGCCTCCACGGACTTGATGAGCCTTGACAGAGCCAGCTTGGACGCCGTGTACGCTGACAGCCCCGGCCTTGATGCCGCGGGCATCGCGGCTGGCCCGGCTGTTGGGGATAGGGTGAATGCTGTTGCTGTCTCGCCAGTTACTGTGCCTTCGCCTTCGCCTGGAGCGGCGGCTGGGTGGGAGACTTGGATTTTGAGGAAGAATGATGAGGTATGAGGGACAATTTGTTTGTCTGAAACATCAATACATTCCAACCTATCCAACGGTCTTTCATTTGCAAGGACGCGCGGGTTGGTTTATTCCATTTTTGAAATCTTTTACCTAGGCTTGATGTGGACTTAATGCCTCGTCTGATGAGTGCCGTTACAAAACGCCTCACCGCTCTAATGATGCCTCTTTCAGCACTCCCAGCTTTCTGTTCGGTGGCTGGTGGTGCTCGTCTCCAACCAGAGGTCTCCATCTTTCGGAAGCGGAGAGATGGCATCCACCATGATATGCCGTAGGGACATTTTCTGACAAACCTGCGGGATCGACATGTCAGCCTGGGGTCTTTGTTGTTGAAGCCCAAAATTGCAGGGGCGTGAGAGACTACAGATAGGCTCCCTCTTTGGCCCCCTCCAAGCTTGCCAGTCTACCGGGGGCTGGGGCTCCCTCGGCACGCTTCCCCGCCAGGCCTCAGATAGCCTGCGAGTGGTGGCTCTGTGGCAACTTCAGGTGCTTTGCGACGAACTGGACGTGGCGTGCCGTGACCTCGATGTCGAGAGGGCTGGTAAAACTTCCTGGGTCAATGGCCAAACCACAGCGGCGGCTGGTCCCAATGCTGACATTTTCACCCTTCGGGTCTTTCACGACATGGACGGAGCCTCGTGACAGCGGGTGGGTGAGGAAAGTGGCGATGGTGATGTAACTATCCGTAGAACCTTCTGGGGATTGTGTCCTCATCCCATCGGGCTTGGAACAGGCGTAGCCCCGGCCAAAGACATACTGAAGCACCGCAAGGTCAGCCCCTAAAGCGTGAGTGAAAAGCTTTCCCCATGACAGAAACAAGCTGAGAACGTTTTCCACTTATGATTGGCCGCAAACGCGGCCTATTCAAAATTTCACAGGCCGAAAGGGGAATTTGTTGCAATTAGTTGAGAAGTTACTGCCATATCCTCACACCTTAGGCAGGGAACGCAAAATGGAACTGACATCAAAAGTCATTCTTTTGTGGAATTGTGTTCATCCTCTCGGGCCTTTTCAACTTTCGACGTGTTAAACCTTAGTAGTCACTGACAACAGTGTGCTTTTCTACTGTTCTATATGATCATGGGAAGCCGGGAGATGAGTAGTGCTGTCCGGATACTATGAGCAAGTGACTTAGTAGGTGTATTCTCGGGTTGCGAACACAGCACCGACAGCTCCTTTGTAGCTTGTTTTGGTTTCAAAAAGTAGCACTCCGAAGCGATAGCTGAATTGCAGAGAGAGGGACTGTTCATATGCTCTAAGACACATGTCCTAGTCAATCCCAAATAACGCCGGCTTGCCCTTGAATTAATACCGAAATCCAGGCTACAAATCCCGTACCGCACTCCCTGCTCCCCTGGGCACTTTTGATATCTCACATTATCAACACCGAATCAAGATGCATTCGCGGAAGAACACGTCCAACAACATTCAGACCCGAGTCCATTTATCTGGATAGATGGGGCATACTCTACACACCGATGCCGAATGAAAGTAGCCTTCAGCCAGCCTTTTCTTTCTCTCCGATCAGCTGAGTCGTTGAATCCAAGCTGGCCCCGGGAGAAGTTGTAGAGGTGCCACGGTGGATGAAGGATCTGAGGCTCGGGACCGTCCGCCCGAGTCCGAGGCCGCTGACGACCTTGCTGTAGACGCTCTTGGCTGCGGCCACCGCTGATGAGTCTTCTGGGTTCCGAACACTGGCTGGGGATGAATGAGTTGAAGAAGATTGGCGGGCAGCGCGTGCGGCCTTCTTGGCCGACAGCTCCCTTGCGCGCCTGCTGAGCGTGTACTTTGTCGTGGTCGAGAGCTGCGCGAAGTACTTGTCCCTCGTGTCGTCGACCTTTTGCAGGACGGACCTGCCAAACTGAGGGCTCCAGATATCCTTGTTGACCTGCTTCGCGCCGAACAGGGTCGCGGCAAGCTCGCGGTCGCTTACCACGGCGGCAGCTAGATTTGGCCAGTCGCACTGGTCGATCATGCGGTGAATCTCGCCGGCTGGGTGTGTTGAACCTGCTGACGCGGCTCTGATTCTTCCCTCGACGTGATCTCGATTCAACATCATCTCTTTCAGGGGACGGACAAAAGTTTGTTGGTAAAGGCTGAACTCCTCGTCGATTCTACCCGTACCGCTGCCGACGTCGTCAATCGTGTTGACGAGCCCAACTGCCCAGTTGTGGCTTTTCACTATGCATTTCCCGGTATACTCTAGCATTAACCATGCACCCAAGAATCTCTGAAAATCCGCGATGCTGGCCAGAAGGACTATCCGAAAGCTCATGTTCTTCTGGAGCTCCTTCCAATGTTTATGAAGCCGGCCATCCATCTTGTCAAGTACGTCGAGCTGGTCAACAACACGCTCGCGTTCCGCAGGTGTGGGATCTGGGCGCTGGATGGCTTCCTCGTGCAATTTGATGGCGTCAAGCAACTCATTGCGGAAAAGAGGGGTCTGGTATTCGACCAGAAGGAGCTCATAGCCTTGTATGCGTGTTCTTAGATCAAAACGGGCTTCCTCGAAGATAGTCTGCCAGGTTTTATCCTCCGCACTGCTCATTCTGGATTCCGGAGACGTTCTGGCTGTCGTACGTGGGGCATTGAGGCTCACCCTGACAGATGGGCAGGAACTTGAACAGAAACTGGATAGGCAAGGAAGGCATGCATGTATTCTCATTCTCTAGCCTGTATGATGTCATCCGCTGCAGGCTGTTGATGGCATCGGCTTCTGTGTGAGCAAATCAAAGTGCTTACAACCGACCAACAGACAACGCTGCAGCCTAATAAACAGGCAGGCGATAGAGGGATGATCCAGATGTCATCTCGTGAGGAATGGACCGCACAAGGTAGGGGAAGGGGTGATGGTGTTTCCTCCTTCGGTGCATGTCAATTTCAGAATGATGTAAATATAATATTTTTTGACCTGATTTCCTCCAAGCAATTATATTGATAGTTGGCCTGCTAACCAAGGGTTTGTGTTCACTCGAGCTCGACGTCCGCACTGCTCTCTGTCTTCTGCAATGAGCCCTGACTGATATAGTATCCATTTGTGTCTGAGTAGTAGCAGAAATTTCTTCGGACTTTGAGGGAAACAGAATCGGCATGACAATTGATCAATTGCAGTGACGACCCAGTGCTTGCAATCCTAAAATATCTGTGCCTTCTGTCCGTTCACTGACATGACCCCAACCCTGGCAGACAATGGGTGAGTGGAAGGGATGGGTGTCCGCTGTTGGGATAAACGGTCTCACCCGTAACGGTCGACTGGGTTCGGCCGTTCGTGTGGGGTTCTCGTTCTGGCCCGCTTGTCAAGCACTCTTTCACCTTACTCCAGACTACCACTACAGCCGCTAACCTCTCAACCCCATCTGTGTGCGCGACTTTTGTACAAACAGACTCCACGGTACTGAGTCGAGTCCGCCTGCTGGTGCGCCTACATAAAAGGACTGCACACGCTGCAGCCGCCCGATTAGCGCCAGTGCAGGGTGGGCCTGGTCCGCTTGTTGAGGCTGAAGCCGGGCGGGCCAGGGCGGGACGGGGAAGGGGACGGGGACGCGCTCAAGGACAGCCGCTGGACGATCGACACGCTTCAATGCATGCTGTGCCACAGCGCCAGGATGGCATTCCTTCAAGTCCTTGTGGATTGCAAACTCCACACTGCCCCCCAACTGAGCCCTTCACAATGGCACACAGAACCCAGAATTGCGCAGTCCTTGCAGCAAACACTCTCACCGCCGCAGCCCAGTGGCGGCTTGTTGGGGATCGAGAGAGGATCAAGAAAGCTGTCTCCCGTCTCACCTTGGGCGGCAGGATGGGCGGCCTTGCTACTAATAATTGCACCCATATAATCATGGCGTCGCCAGGATGCTCCCTCACCTTCCGGCTCCTTGACCTTGCTGAACGGCGATCCTTTGATTGGGTCACACCAGCCACCGCAACACACTACGCCGCCAACAGCCGGCAGACCAACCAACCAAACCAGCTCGGCTGAGCCTAAAGGCCGACAGGCCGGCAAGTCCTCTACGACCTGCCAATTGATATCATAACGAATATCAGCAGCTTCATCGCAGCCAGCCATCCGAGAGCGGGACTCCAACTCCCAGGCAATCTCGCTCTCACTCACATCGTCATCATGGCAGACAGCGACGGTCCGGTCGCGACATGGTTTCCAGTCTCCAAAGATAGCTGGGGACTGGACGTGGTCACTCTTCTCGCCGTCATTGGCGAGTCGTCCATGGAAGACCATGCCCAGCCCATCACAGCCTCCGTTATGTGCCTGCTGCCACGCATCTTGCCTGCTCCTCAGGCCCTTCTGAAGTCCAAGAGGCCCACCAGGCTTCCCACCTACAACGCGCAGATGGTCGGAGTCCACAACGGCGTCGCCCTAGACTCCGTCGGCTTCTTTGCCAACATCATACACCCCCTCGACGACCAGGCACCCTACTCGTTCAAAGTCCTTGAAATCAAGCACAGGGACGACGTCTTTGCGAATGGCATGGGGACACCACCCAGGAGAGGCTCCTGGGCCGGCAGGTTGTGGAACCGTTCGGCGGCAAAGGGCAAATCGGCTGCTCTCAAGCACAGCGTAGACCGACCACCGTCAGAAAAGGCTGCCTGCGAAAAGGACACGCGTGAGGGTGCCAAGGGCGTCAGATTTGACGACGACGTGGAAAAGGGGGACCATCCACCTGAGCCGACGATGGGGATCAAAAGGCGTCGCACAGCCAAGGAGAAGGTCACCGACTTCATGGCGAACCCGACCTTGACTCCTACCGCTCGCCCTGCGGTACCGCCTGCCTGGAGCAGCCCTATCCACGTCGCCACAGTTGCCTCTTTCGTCCTGACGATGCTCATCTTTGGCCTGACGGCGTACTGGAAGGACGGAAACGCCCTGATAGCCATCTTCATCATCTCAGTGCAGGGGTCCCTCGTCGGGTATGCTTCGTGGTGGCGCCCACGCCTGATGGTCCGCCCACCTCACACCACGAATGTCCCGCCGGGGGACATGATGATCCGCACCCGGGAGGGCGCCTTCATACTGGTCAAGTGCACCGAGGAGGTGGCCCGGGAGCTCTACACTGGGACAGAAGACTGCGAGTACCATGTCGGGCCCAAGACGTACCGATTCTTGATGGCCATGGGAACGATGCTGCTCATGGTGGGCGTCGTCCTACTCGGTAACACACGGTTCGAAGCGCAGGTGCTCATCAGCGGGAGCTACATCGCTCTGAACGGCGTCTATTGGCTCCTGGGAATGCTGCCCCGGCGGTACTTCTGGGACCTGTCCCGCTACGAGTGGAACGACATCACCCCGTCAGACGCCAAGAACTCGGACAGGATGGTCGTCGGTGGCGCGGACAACAGCGGGGTGGAAGGCTACCCCAGCTTCACGAGGACGCTCTGGTACGCCATCCGCGAGACCAAGAGCACCGGGTGGGTCGAGCGCAGCGGAGCGGCGCCCAGCACGTCCCAGTGGAGGAGGTGGCTGAGGGAGGCCGGCGAGAACTCCCGAAAGAACCGCAACTGGCCCGCCGTGAGGCGAAAGGACGAGATCATGAAGGAGAATGTCGATGGGGCTGACTCCTCCCCCGGCGGGCCCGAGGCGGACCCTGCCGCCCAGCACGCGCCGCTCCGGGAGGTGCAGCCGGACCCTGAGACGGTCAAGACGGGGCACTTATAGTAGAAACATTCAAGGAGCATTCAAGGAGCATTTAAGCAATGTTTGGATTCCAGAGGCTGTTTGGTTTGGTCTCATCTCATGGCGTCGTTTTGAACGGCGCGGCGGAATATTCACGACTCGATTTTGGGGTGAGCATAGCAAGGCGTTGAATCATTTACTGGCGTCAATAACAATTATTTCTACTGGGAGGCTCTATTTGATTTTGTGCAATCTCTTACGCTGGTCCATTGACCCTCGGCACCTCGTCGTCAAGCTGCTGATTTTCCACCGTGGAGAGAAATACCGGGGACACTGAACTGGCAGTTGGGACGATTCTGTTTTTTTTTTTTTGGACCTCGGGACTCGCATGTGAACGAGTTTTCAAAGGGTCCACTGAGCGACTTCGGAAAGAGACCGCGGAGAAAAGGGCAGAACCGTCTGCTTTTAAAAGCCGCGTCACAGCGTGCTTGTTCGTCCCTTCTCCCCCCGGCGCTACCCTCGGGCCTCGCTATCTCTCCCATCACGACGGCAACCGCGCGCCCTTTGGAGCACCCGGCATGATCAGCAGCTGTCCAAACACTGTCTGCGATAGGCTCCTGAGTGTCCGAGCACGACGAACTGGCTAATGACACCGTGGCTTCTGGCGATCGGTGGTTGAGTAGCACGAAAGGCAGAAGGAAGTATTTGGGTTTTCTTTTTATTCTTTTTGCGGCGTCGCAACGCTGCCCATCTTAACTGGGAGAGTTTTCATCCCTGCGGAGGAGTGACTTCTGATGAAACCTCCGGCCGATGAAATCTGTCTGATAGTCCATGCGACTGTTGGTTGGCTCAAGATGAACGAGTCACTGCTGTGCCATCCATCGGCGATGCGGCCCTAGATGCCACCAGAGATCCGCATGACGCAGGACAGGACAACTCGCCGGTTGCGCGAACCTTTACGTTGTCTGTGAGCAACTCTGATTTTCTCTAATGAGTGCAGAGAATCTCACAGGATTGACTCTTCAGAGGCTGGCACGGGGTGGCCGTGCTCCATTTCTCCGCCTCCTGTTACCCTCCGCTTGAGCTTCAGCGCCCCCGGATGACTTAGGATGAAGCCGATGGCAATTGGCTGACAGGTGTCAACGACGGCCGCAGCCCCAGCCCGCTTGTTAGCTTGTTAGGACGTCGTCCTCCCAAGGTGCGGCTCAGGCCCGGGGGGAACAAACGCGCCCGGGGCACCCCAGCCGGCGCTCACCACACAGACCGAACCTTATTGCGGAGGCCAAGGCGGGTGCCGGGGGCTCTGCATATTCAAGGCATATGACAGCTTTTATTGCCTTTGGCTAGGGTTTTGGAATCCGCCGCGTCTCTGCCCTTCCGGATGCCCAAACCACTCACGTCTTCTCCCACCACCCCCAGGCGCCCGCGCACCCCTCCCCCCCGTGTGATGGCCTGATGGACTCGAAACGCGACGACAACCTTCCGATTGGCCTTGTGACGGCCTCAAGGTTTAACGCTTGCCAGAAGGTTTCCTGGTGTGGAACTCCCAAGGACGGGGCGCACGGGAAGAGGCAGACCAAGAAAGAGAGGGAGGGAGGATAGTATGCGCAAGGCAGAGAGCAAGAGAGCCTCCGGCGCGCTGTCTTTGTCATGGCCATGTCATGGCCATGCCACGCCTTGATTTGCTGTTCTATCAAGCGGTTCAACAGCTTCCGGTCCTTCTCTCTGCTTAGCGCGCTCTGCGTCACCCTCGCAAATCCCCCTTCAATGATCCGCTGCCGCACTTCCTGTTTGGGCCGTTTCCGCGCGCCTTATGCCGCCCCAGGAGTTCGTCGTGACGCTCGTCCCACGTCGTGAGAGCAAGCGGCCTTGGCCTGTCCCTTGTCGGGCCTTGATTCTTCAAGTTCGTTCCTGCCTTGCCCACCTAGAATATCTGTTCGCCAAAGCTCGATACGTACCTGAACGTGCTCTCGTAGTATTTCACCCGCATCCAAGCACCCGTGGGCTCCAGCCCCCACCCTCCTCCGCCCATCCGTTCTCTCTACTCGCGCCTGCATCAGACGGAAACTGGAGTTGGCAGACAAAGTTCTCGTCTGTTACAAGTTGGACTTATACCTTGGTCCACCAGAACAAGCCTCGAACCTTCTGCCTTATGTTGTCTGCCCCCATCGCCCTTGCGGCGTCGAGCTTCGTCCGACCATGTGCCATGCCAGTTCTTACATAGGATCTATCGGTGCCCGCTTGGCGGCTTGATGACTCTCCTTGATTCTGCTACGACATTCCTTTGTGCACATGCGGACTTTCGACTATTTGCCAGTCCCTACTCTTTTTGTTTAGTCTACCTACTTTGCGATTCTCAACGGGGACTACCCGATCAATACTATTCTTGTCCTAATTACTAGGTTTGATACCTGAACTTACAATACATTATTTTCTTTCCATATCAATAATATCTTTTCGTTTCAAAGGTGTGGCCATGGTGGGCAGCGATATCTGGTCGTCGACCTCGTCGGACGAGGAGAAATGGGTATGGTACTTCCCAGTCTTCCCAACCATCTTCAGAAGCATCCATCGAGTTTCAACAATGTCTACAGTGTTTCTGATGTATTCAATTTTGTGGTTCATTCTGCCGCACCTGGCTTGTGATATATGCTTGAAAGGGATGCATGAGGCAGTGGCTAACATGTATGGCTGAGTAGCAACCAATCTTCAACAAGAATGCCCCAGCACCACTTGGCGGCAATGCTGAGGACATCCAAATCCTTCTGTTGGGCCCACCGGGGTCTGGCAAAACCTCGCTCCAGATGCGGTACACTCTCCGACAGTTCTCTCATTGTGTCTCGGGAGGCGCTCACCTTATGGGAGGCCATCGGCACGTGGCCCTGCCTGGTGGAAGCGAAGTTCACCTCATCATTCATGAGTTCCCGAGCTCTGGTCAACAGACCAGCAGCATGATGGACCCCTTTAGCCCAGACGATATCTCAAGGCAGGACACGCTCACCTCCTCCTCCTCGGCCCATCAAGCGGAAGTCCAACGCAAGAAGCTGCTGGAGCAGTCTGACGCTGTGATGCTTCTGTTCAACCCTTGGTCAAAGGAATCGTTCGAATGGGTCAACGGCAGCGTCGTAGAGGACATCATCAACACTGGCCGCAAGAAAAAGCTCACGACCGACATCGTCGGCATCCTCGACGGCCTTGCCGCCGCGATCCCTGGGATGCCGCGGTCCAAATCAACACGCTCGACCAAATTGTCCCAAAAGGAGCTCCCGCGCATGCCGAACTCTCCAACAGGTAGCGGCGTGTCCCTATTTAATGGCCTGGATGAGAAGAAGGGACGAGAAAACGACCAGTTCGACTACCAGGGGGAGCTGAAGCGGATTAGCATCGTCGTGGAGGGCTCTGCGCTGAAAAGGGCCGAGTTCATGATCCACGAGCGAGACCTCCCCTCCACACCGGAGCAGAGCCCGACGCCGAAACCCCTTGTAATATCGGGCCCGATGTCACTCAGCGACAGGAAGCTGCCGACCATCAGGGAGGTGGATAGTAATGCAAGCCTGAGACGCGGAGCTTCGATGTGGGATAACCGCAAGGGTACACAATCCAACAAACGGCGCGACAGTGCCTTCAGCTTCCGGACGACATCAAGCGCGTATAGCCAGGCCTCGTCAACCGTCGTCGACACCACGCACGGCTCATCAGTGCGCGAATCAAATCCGTTCACCTTGGAGGACCTGGTCGACGCACACATGTATCCGCTCCCCCCGGAGCGACCGCCGGAGCGACCACCAGAGCGCCGGGCCACGCTCCCGCCGCTGCCGCCGCCGACGGAGGAGCTCGAGATCCCCGTGCTGGTGGTGGCGTCGATGACGGACCGGCTCAAGGACAACGGCGGCAGGCTGCCGCGGATGGTGTCTGCGCGGCAGGGCCAGGAGCTGGCGCGCAAGTTCGGCCCCAACTGCGCCTACATTGAGGTCTCGGCCAAGTCCAACGCCAACGTCGACGAGGCGTACGGGATCCTCGTGGACCAGGTCATGAGCAAGCGGGCTGCGCGGCAGCGGGACGAGAAGCCGATCGACAAGGTCGAGGAGATTGTCATCGTCCAGGAGGAGGACGTGATGGACAGGGACGAGAATGACAGGAGCCTGCCGGCCAGGGTGGTGCGCGCCAAGATGCCGCGGAAGAAGTCGTCGAGGTCTTGCATGCCTGCGTGGTGGGACAGCCTTGTGGGCTCCGTTTTCTCGTGGGGCCCGTCGGACAAGGAGGTGACTGCGATCACCTTTGAGGAGATCGGAGTCCGCCAACAGGGTGAAGAGACGAGAGAGGATGTCTGGGGCGAGATAGTGCCTGTCAAGAGCGGGAATAAGACCTCGTGGAGTGCCATGCGGAGGTCTAATGTGAACGACAGCCGACTGTCCACGTCGACAACTTCAACATCCCGCGACGATACACTCAAGGAATTCAGTATCGTCAAGGAGGTCCAACTTGACAAGACCAAGGGACCCATGGCCTCTAACAATCCCTTCATGCCCGAGGAAACAAGCCAGTCACCGAAGTTGCTCCCGCCTGCTCCAGTGGCACTACCCGACGAGGATGAGAAGAACTCCGGACCGGATGAAGCAATCTTCGACAAGCTGGACCGGAGACTGTCCAAGAAGAAGGCCAGACCTGACAGCATGACACTCGGACACGACACCTCAAAAGGCACCCACGCAGACTCATCCGACGAAGGAGGACACACGACAAGACGCAACGAGGCCATCATGGACAAGTTCTCGCGCAAGATTGGCCACATTGGGCCACTTTCCCCCGATGAAAAGCCACAGCCACCACTACCAATATCAAAAGAGACCCGGCCGTTGAGCATCGACAGCTCGATCGCGCGCACCCTCGGGCGGAGCCGGTCCACCAAGAACAAAAAGCAAGACCGCAGCCAGGTCATGTTCCTGACCAACTACTCCCCCGCCAACATAGTCCAAATCAACAGGAGCAAGACAAAGTCCTCACCCGCCAACAACAACAGCAAGACGGCCGCCGACCTCCTGGACGACACGTCCTCGTCCATAATCACGACGGCGACCTCGACCGTCCCGCAGCGCCGCCAGCACACGAGCCTCATCAGCGAGCTGCCCCCTTCCATCCCGCCCCTGCGCTTCGACACCATCCGCCTCGACGACCGCCGCTTCACCGTCATGATCCGCCTCGCCGAGCAGGAGCTCGAGCAGCAGCGCGCCCGCGTGTGCAAGCTCGTCAGAGACGACGCCGCCAAGGCCGCGCCGGTCACGCGCAGCTCGTCCGTCGGCGCGAATGCCGGTGACGCAAGGAAGGCGAGGGCGAGGGCGAGGGCGAGAGGAGTCGGGACCAACGCCGTCGGGCTGGTCAAGGCGACGGCGGCGGCGCGCGTCTCTGCTGTGCTGCCTGCTGAGCCTGCGAGGGGGAGGAAGATTGATGGCGATGGCGCCGGCGAGCAGCAGGATAGGGACAAGGTGAAGGAGAAAGAGAAAGAGCAGCAGCAGGTCGTCGTCGTGCGCGCGGACCAGGAGTCCAGGGCCAAGGCGCTCAAGAACAGGCGCGTGGCCCCCAAGAGCCACGGCCAGGGGCTGGGCCAGGCCCCGACAACAGAACCTGAGGCGCCCCCCCGCCGGGCTGTCACGGTCAGGGCCGTGCTGCCGCCCGCGCCGGCCTCGCGGCCCAGGACGAGGCCCAACTCGGAGAGTCGGCCTGCTGGGCGGCCGACGCCTATCTGGATATAGACTGGGGGGGGTCTCTGGGAGACTGTCAGGTCGATGTGTTGTTTACTTTGTCTCGTCTTCGGGTTGGTCTTGATGGAGTGTGGGCGTGTTATGAGTGGGTCTTTGGACTTGGGTGGTTAAATTGGATATAAATGGTGGGATTTCCTTTGTCGTTCTCCATTCTTTGGAGGCTCCTATAATTTCCTCGCGGTTTGATGACGGTTCTACTATTCACTAATGCCTACTTATATCTGGGACTTGTATTCCACAATGTGTACCAACAAGATATTGTGCGTTCTGATCAGGCTCTGTTATGGCGCAGGGCGGTGACCTGATGAATTCTCTTTGTTGATATCATCGTTTACTTCCCCGAGGCAGGACACATTGGAAGAATGTCTGTAAAACTGGGCCAGGCCTTTTGGATACCTACTAGAAAAGAATGCATTCTAATCTTATGAGTATGTACACCAATGCACACTACTTGCTCTGATGTGAAAAGCTGAAATATAAATACTTTATTTCTGCGGGCTTTATATCGCCGTTTCAAGTCATTTGTTGGGTTGATTTGTTTTCCAGGGGATTTTTATACTTTCTGTGGCTTCACCGATGAATAAGGTGCCTAATTAGTCGAGAGAAATGAATGGGCAGGGCATTCTCAACCACATTTGTCCCGTGTTTATTCTATATGAGCAATACGCTAAACTCACATGCGAGCAGGGCGCCATCCTGCTAACATAACTTCAACCAGGTCGACTTGATGCCCCATTGCTCTAGCCAATTATCGATCCATTCTCTCCTAATTGCGCCCAGCTCTCGCAATGTCTTGCTCGCCCTCTCGGCCTTTTCTGACGTTAGAGCCCGCGATCTTTCTTCGCATTTCTCGCGCTCGTCCCCAGCAGCTATGTCGAGGAAGAAGTCCAGAAGCCTGATGGCAGGAACACGGCGCTCCAAGAGCACGCTCTCACTGCCAAGTCCCCCCTGGCCACTGCCGTCATGGGATGACGTGTACGTTTGCGAGACGCGGGCTAATTCGTCGACCCACGTGGGAAACGGGACACCTCGCACCGGATAGTTCCCGGCTCGGAAGGCGGAGAGCATGGCAGGTGCCAGGTCCGCTTCCCATGACCGCACCTGTGGGTTGACCACATGGTACACTTGTGCTCCAGCGGCGGCGCAATCCCCGTGCCGATCAGTGGCCGACGAGGCCCAGTGCATGATCTCGACCAGGACTCTCGCGAGCTTGTCGACGGGGATCCAGTCGATGCGGTCTCGTGATGGAAAGCTGGTAGGGAACACGCCCATGTGCGATGACGACACTATTATCTATGAGCGCGCATTGTGCATGCACGCACTAGTGTCAGACACGACGCGACCCTGTTCGGAATTCAAGAAGGGAAGATCTATACACATCCGTAAGAATTAGACCTACCGAGGGGATGTACTCGCGGGGATTCCAGAGCCCCTGCCGACGCTCGACAGGTCCAGCCACGATGCCGACGCGGCAACACGCACATCGAAGACGGGACTTCGCGGCTGCCTGGTCGAGGAGGCATTCTGCGATTAGCTTGGACTGGGCATAGCCAATGTTGGCCGACTGGCCCAGGTTGCTGACGGGATCCTCGGGCGGCAGAGCCGGACTCTGCCCCGCCTCGCTCTTGTTCCAACCGCCGACAGACGAGACGCTCGAGACGAACAGGAGGAAGGCGTCGTGTCTGGAATGCAGGGCCATTTCGGCGAGGTTACGCACGCCGGCTATGTACGGCGCGAAGCTCGCTAGGGACCAGTTGAAGTTCACGGGCCACTGGTTGTCTAGAATCCCAGGCCATCCATGCTGTCAGTCTGTATTCTTATCCTCTCTTTTCTCTGGTACTCACGTATTATGTGCGTCACAGTCCGGAGAAGTTGCTCGTAGATACCTTCCGCAAGTCCAAGCTGTCTCTTGGAAAGATCTGCTTTGTAGAAAAGCACTCGGGAAGGATCAAGCGCGTTGAGGCCTCGCGACTGTATCATCGAAGCGTGTCGTTTCGCGGCATCCAGGCTCCGGTTTAGACAGACGATCTTGGACACCCGACCGTTGTGACAGAGCTCCTCTAGTAGATATGAACCCAGCGAGCCCGTGCTGCCCGTGAGCAGGACCGTCATGTTCTTCGCTTGGGAATCTGCTGATGTCGAATGGTATGGGCTCTCTCCTGGATGATACAGCCTGGGATGCGGCAGTCCTGCCGCGTACTCATCTAGAATCGTCTGCATCTGGGTCGTGGGGGGTATGTCTTCAGAAGAAGAAGCTGATCCTCCGCTCTGATAGCTGCTGCCCCTGGGGTGGGACATTTCCTTGACAGCATCACCACATGGCCAAAGAAAGAAGCTACTCAGCCGGCTCAGGCTGTGATGCGCATAGATGAATTTTGGCGACAACCTCTCCAGTCTCTGCTGTGGGTAGCCGCCCATTATTTCAAGCTGTACACGCATCTCCGTCGTCATCCGCAGGACTTGTAGAGAGTCCATCCCGAGCTCGAAGAAGGACACGTATGCGCCAACGACGACCTGGTCTTGAATTTTGTCTACAGCAGAATAAAAGACCTCAATATCGTCCTCGTACAGGCTGTACGTCTTCTGCCTCTGGATCTTGCCCTTGCCGTCGACTCTTTCCACAGCTTGGAGATGTTGCAGCCGAGAATGAATCACTTTGAATTCAACGATGAATGGTTTTCCATGGAGTTGTGAGCTCCGGTGGGTGGGTTCGGATGGGTTGGGGGTTGGGGGGGGGGGCGGTCCCGGTTTAATAGGTTGTCTATAAGAGCAAATCATCAGGCTTAGTAGTTAGAATATTCCTCTGCAGAATATATAGTATGCTTGGGTAAGAATATATACCTATTTCAAAGACCCTACCACAGTTATCAATGCGGTGTGTATTGCACATGACACAGCTCCTCTTTACTCCAACATAGGCTCAGGTGCAAAAATGGAAATTTACATTAGACACTGCCTTTATCGCGTGACTGTTCTTGTCTCACAATATATACTTAAACCCTCAACTGGGCTGGGAGAGGATAGTGTATTGATACCTAGTATGTTTTGCTAAGTATCTGAGTTTCTGAGCAACACTCTTACCAGCAAGCCTCAATCTACCTTAATCCATCGTGATGACTGCTCGGAAACGAACTGAGCCGCTCAACATCGCATCTGTAGAGAAGAGGTGAATTAGCGAGCATGTTCTCAAGCAGATGCGCAAGAGATTCAGTCCAGGATAAGGGGGTTAGCTTCCTGGTGCATTACGTACTGAAGGCGTCATTCGCTTTGACGAGTGGGAATTTCTCAATCATGCAGTTGATTCTCTGCTGCTCCGTGAACGCGATAGTGTCTTCAGAGTCATAGGCATGACCACACGGCCAGCACTGCACCGAGACTGCGTACTTGAGCTGAATCCTCGCGTTAGCAATGAGCATGTTTCATCCATGTGCATATCTCAGGTCGGCCGCAACGGAGACTCCTGTAGAAAGGGGATGGGGCAAGGTACCATTACACCGGTGTTCACAGTGAGATCCCCCGGCACTGGCAGCACTGCATGTCAGCTCATCATTTCATCAGTATCAATGTGGTTGCGTCTCGCGTACCTGACAAGACGAGCAACTTGCCCAGGATACCAAGCCCGCTCAGTAAAGGTGTAATGGAATCAGCAGTCGGTGCCGTAGCCATCGCAAGGCTCGCTCTCCCCAATCGCTGTATCGCCTGGCCCGGGTCCTCCTTGCCCGCGTCTATGTACTCGTGCGCGCCGAGCTGGCGCGCAAACTTCTCCTTGTCGGATCCCCGCGAGATGGCGACGACGCGGTAGCCCGTGCGGCTGGCGTACTGGATGGCCAGGTGGCCGAGCCCGCCGAGGCCCTGCACGGCGACCGTGTCACCTGGTGCCAGGTTCGTGTGCCGGAGCGAGTTGAAGACGGTCATGCCAGCGCAGAGGATGGGCGCGTACGCCGCAGCGTCCACGTGCTCGGGCACACGCGCGGTGGCCTCGGCGCGGAGGATGCAATACTCTGCGTAGCCTCCGTTCTTGGTCTCGCCGTTGACGACCTGGTTGTCACACATCTGTTGCCAGCCCTTCTTGCAGGCCTTGCACTGGCCGTCGTGCCCGCCGTGCCACCCGGCCGATGATCTCGTGGCCGGGAACGAGAGGGAACCCGCCACCCATGATGTTGTTCTGGGCAAACATGTCGGAGAAGCACACGCCGCATGCTTCGACCTTGACGAGGACCTCGCCCTTGCCGGGGAGTTTGAGGTCTGTCGTCTCGATCGTGAGGGGCTTTCCCGCCTCTTTGAAGACGGCATGTTAATAGGTCTTCGGCAACGCCATATTGTTGTTCTAGGCTTCACCAAACAAAGTTCTCTGGACTTTTAGGATTATGGAGTAGGCTGGTCTTGAATCCAGTCGCAACTCAGGTGACTAAACACGCAAGGGTGCCGTTCGAATCAAGTGGAACTTTGGGGACGAGGTTGCTAGGAAAAATAACACACAGAAGATCTAATTCATTTGTCCTTTTTCCATTCCATTTGGCGCCACCGACATACTTGAGCATTCGGGACACATTCTCGTTACGTCCGAGCCGACCCGCGGAGCGCCAGAAGGAGCACCGGAGTGTCAGTGTTGTGTAACAGCACAGCCACCCACGCACAAGGCACGTTCTTGGAAACTAGTCATACATCATTTGAGCAGGGTTTCAATTTAAGCATGATTTGTGGACCATCATTACGGCTCTACATCTCTGACTTTACCGGAAAATCAGATTCAAGAAACTAGCTAGAATTTGTAAGAAGGTATAACTTGAAGTGATGAGGATGAGAAGTCCCAGATTGACCAACGGACACAAATGAGCCATCTGGAACTCCGGGAAATCCATCATCAACCGCCGTGGTAGTTGTGGCTTTCTTTATACGCTTCGGGTCCGAGTAGAAGAAACTAAATAAGGAGAACAGCTTTCATCACAAATGGAGCAATGACATTGGGCAATGAAATGGTGCTCATGGAATAAAACAGAACCTTTGCCAGATCAACAGGTTTCCATTCTCAGGGATGGGACCATATCCTAACTTGATACTGCGTCTTTACCTATATGAAAAATAATGCGTTGCTTTTGCCTTGAACATCACACTGCTCTTGAAGACTAAGTAAATTTGAGACACTGGAACTTGAGAGTTTTTCAAATGTGTGAAAGGGAGTTTCGGAGTGCCGTTTGCAGAGGTTGGCTGGCCGCCTTGAAATTGGAATGACAGCTCATCGGAGTTTCTTGCATAGCAGCTAGAGAGTAACACAACATTCCGCCATGTCCAAAAGGAGTTTCGGAGCGGCGTTCTGCTCCCGATTGGCCATTCCGCGAATTTCCATTCTGGGGAGCATGAATGAATGTGTGCGTCTCTCCGGATGGTGTGGACGGTCGCATTTGTTGAAGTGGCTTTTGGTCCCACAGTGATGGCCAGTTTAAGTTGTGGCATGCCACAGTCCACTTAGCGATGAATTCCCAGAGGTCAACGTGTACGCTCACATTAAGTGAGTGGAATTGGACGAAGCTGTCTCTATTTTCTCGCTGTGTTGCCCTCTTTCTTTTTGTCTGAGTACTGTTCTTGTCGGGCTTTTTCCAAAATAAGAAATCCAAGCAGCAATGGAATCCTTCGCAGCTTCCCCGAGGCACAGCAACACAAGAGAGGATCAACATGCGGCGGTGCCTGGGAAAGCGGAAACAAGCACATCGGCCCATCTTGGTGGTATTAACCGACATGACGACACGACAGATGGTTTGGACCTCGAGCCCAGGTCCCCGATCAGCTCAGAGGAACGCAAAATAAGAGGCCTGCGCTGGCTGCTTGTCTGATTCGCAATCTTCTCGGCCAATGTCCTCTATGGACTCGATACGACCATCGTGGCCGACATTCAAGGAACGGTGTCCGAGACCTTTGACAATGTCACGCAGCTGGGTTGGTTAGGCGTCGGCTTCACGCTCGGCTCCACGGTGGCGATCTTGCCCCTGGGAAAGGCCTATGGGAATTTCGACAACAAGTGGGTGTTTACTGCCTGCTTGGTCAACTTCGCCGCAGCCAGTGCATTATGTGGTGGTGCACTAAATATGAATACTATGATTGTGGGCAGAGTCTGGGCTGGCGCTGGCGGCGCGGGCATGTATCTTGGGTAAGCTCTGTCGAAACGCTACTTGACCTTTTTTAAACCAAACAAAATATTTTTTAGAGGCTGACGCATTAATCTCAAGAACTTTGAACCTCCCATCAGCTCTATGTACGCCAAAGGAACATCCTCTTTACATCGGAATCACTGGGTTCGTCTATGGCAGCGGCTGTATCTTGGGTCCTGTCGTTGGAGGCGCTTTAGCTGACAGTTCGGCAACTTGGCGATGGGTGAGTACCACAGAAATCATCACTATCTTCTAGTATCCCAGCGGCGAACATCTGTAGTCTCAAGTACTGACCAATATATGCCATACTTACTCTAGGCGTTTTACCTCAACCTCGTCATTTTCGCTGCTATGTCCCCAATTTATATCTTCCTGGTTCCATCGATTCCGCGTGGTCAGGCGCCTATCGTCGATAAAATCAATGCGATAGACTGGTTGGGCGTTGTTCTTATCACGGGTCTCTATACGAGCATGACTGTGGCCCTAATATTCGGCGGCGCCATCTGGCCATGGAGTGACGGCCGTATCATTGCTCTTTTGGTTGTCTTCGGAATCCTAACTGTGGCCTTCGTTGTAACACAGCACTTCAGCATCTTGACAGATCCGGAGCAGCGGCTGTTTCCATGCGACTTCCTTCACGATAAGCAGCTGATTCTGCTGTATATCATCATGGCTTGTGGAGGCGCTGGGCTCTTCGTCTCTGTTTATTACATCCCCCTCTTTTACCTTATTATCTATGGAGACTCCGGCACAGAGGCGGCAGTCCGCCTACTCCCATTTATCTGTCTCTATGTCGCCACCATTCTGACCTGCGGCGCAGCGATGGGCCGAACAGGATATCATATCCTATGGTTCGTCGTCAGCGGCTTCTTCCTTACTGCAGGCGCGGCCTGCATGTACACGGTTCATGCAGAAACTTCCCTCTCGAATATCTATGGCTATTCAGCGCTGCTTGGCCTGGGGATGGCTACCAGCCAGGCAGGCTATGCTGTCGGTGCCCAGCGTGTGGCCCCGAGCCGGGCCGCGGAGTTGATTCAGTATTTGAACATCTCTCAGGGCTCCAGCCAGCTCATTGGACTTGCTATTGCCAGCGCCCTGTTCCAGAATTACACTTTCAACGGTTTGAAGAGCATCCTCACTGGTCAAAACTACACAGACTCTCAAATTCAAGAGGCCATCGCCGGGGCAAAGAGCGATCTTCTGACTAGTCTGTCTCCAAACCTGCGAGCGCGGTGTCTCGATGTCATTGTCAAAAGCATTGGGAAATGTTGGATTTTGGTCATTTTCGCAGGATCATGTTACACATTCAGTTCCTGTTTGTTAACAAGAACTCGGTTTGTTACTACAGAGAAGCCAGACATTACGCCTTAGCAAAAGTTGCATGGGTTGCTATTGGAGTGTTTTATTACATGAAAGGTACAGGAAAATTACTTATGGGTACATATTGGCTTAGATCAAGCCCTTCTCGGTGTCAGCCTAATACGCATATCCTCGCCAGACTTTACATCTATCACGCCCAACACAGGCCTCCACTCCTCAGCCGTCGGCATCGGCTGGTGGCCCCCCGCCATGGAGATGTCGAACCGCCGTGGGGGCGGCGCCACGAAGAGCACCACGACCCGCTTGGTGATAAATCTTCCCGGGCATATGGTGCTGCCCCCTCCAAATGGCCTGAAGTGCTCCGTGCGAACCCGTTCCCCCGTAATTGACCAGGCACGGAAGAGGCGACTCAATCCAAGGTTCGTCAGTGTTGAATCCATCGGTGACAATAGCACTGATCCTGCGTGAAAGCTGGGCCTAGACTGCATCGTGAAGATGTCCGGATCGGGAAATATGCCCTGAGAGGCTTGGAGTGGGACACAGTTGCCAGCGAGGGAATGACATTGAATCCCAGTGCAACGTGGTTGAACGTTGTGCGTAAGGCGCAGTACTCGGTACTCGTTTAGTCAGGAGGATCATGTATCTTTGGTTGCGTTGCCATTTACCACGACAGACCAATGCAGTCAAACCGTCGAGACCGGGTAATCCCTGGGAAATAGGGGGCTCTTTTGCTGGTCCGGAGTAGCGCCTCGCTTCCTTCATCTTCCTTTACTGCAACTCCACTCCACCTGCATTGTGCCCTGGATCTGGCTTCCTCGTGCCTGGGTTGGGCTCCACAACAGCTTACAGTTTACACGGCTCTGTCTGGCATATGTGCAGTTGCACTGAGGTCCAGCGGGCATGACTTCTCAAAAGCCTCCCGTCCACCCCCAACGCTGCTCGAATGCTGAATCTCGCAGCTGACAAACCCAAATCAACTCGGTAATCCTCTCACAGTTTTGCCATGGCTCACAAAGACGGAGAAAACCCGCCACCAACAGCCTGGTCGCAGGCCGCATCCGCCAGCGTCCGGGCCGCCCTGCACGGCCGCGACATCCTGCACTTCCCGGGGTCGCCCGAGTTCGCCGACTGCGAGGCGGCCTACTTCACAGCCGCCGCGGCCGAGGTCCGGTCCGGCGCCGTCGCCCGCCCGGCCTCGACGGCCGACGTCTCGGCGCTCCTGGGGGCGCTCCGGGAGAGCCTGCCCGCCGACGTGCCCATCGCCGTCCGCGGCGCGGGGCACGCCACGTGCGGCGGCACCGCCAAGGCCGCTTCCGGGGTGACGATTGACATGCGTGGGCTCCGGGGGGTGGACGTCCTCCCTGGCGAGAAGCTGTTCGCATTGGGGCTGGTGAGAATTGGGGGTAAGTATTTCATGATTATCCAACACGGCTCCCACTTTAAGTGTGCATCTTACCGTGCTTGATGAATCTCCTCGGCGTCTCGAGACACGCTGTAATATGCAGCAACGAGCATCGGACGGCACCGTGTATCTGTCGTTGAACATGACAGCTGACATCCCGCTTCTCAGGTCCGTTTATTCTAAACTGGAAGCACACAATCCCCCATTGACCACGGTGGGCGGCCGCATGCCCGGCGTCGGCGCCATCGGCTTCTTGCTCGGCGGCGGTCTCTCCAGCCTCTCCTCACGCTTCGGCTTCGGAGCCGACATGGTGTCCGTGTGGGAGGCAAGCGAGCCGAATCATGTCTTGAAACCCCCTGACAGTACCATTACTGACCACAACCCAGGTCGTCCTAGCCTCAGGCGAGGTGGTGCGCGCAGCCCGGGACGACGAGCGCACATCAGACCTCTGGGACGCCCTGCGCGGCGGCTCCACCAACTTCGGCATCGTCACGGCCGTCGAGATAGCCTGCATCCCACACCCAGCGACCTTCCGCGGCGCAAACGTCTTCTACCTGCCCACGGCGCGGCGCGCGAGCCTCAGGGCGCTGGTCGACGTGGGCTCGGAGCCGTACCCGGGGGACGGGAGGCCCATCAACCACGCCATGTGGTGCATCACGCACGTGGTGGGGATCAAGCTCATCAACGCGCTGCTGACCACCACCGGCACGGCCAAGGAGGTGGACATGGCGGGCTTCGTGGGCGTGTGGGGGCGGATCCCCCTGACGGGCGGCCTGAAGGCCGGCTCGCACGGCCGGTTCATCGAGGAGCAGGGCAAGCTCGCGCCCAAGGACGGCAACAGGACGCTCGACAAGACCATCACGGTGAGGATGGACTTTGACCTGCTCAACGCCATGGTCGACCTGTGGTATACCTCTGTCGACACGATGCGCCAGAGGGTGTCCGGGCTGATGATGTACACGCTCGTCTTCCAGCCCCTGTCGGTGGGCATGCTGGAGGCGTCGTGCCGGAATGCCCCCTCGCGGCCTGTATCCACTACTTCTCAGGGCTTGGACCCAAAAGAGGGACCCCTGGTTGTGGTTGAGATCTGCATGACTTGGAAGAAGGCCGAGGACGACGAGCTCATGAGCAAGGAGGGGTCCAAGTACCTGGAAGACTGTATCTCGCTGGCTCGCCAGATGGGCAAGGACCACCGCTTCATCTTTCCCAATTATGCCTGGCCTACGGAGGCGGTCATGAAGGGCTATGGCGGGGATCGTCTAGCCGTATTACGAGACGTGGCAAAGAAATGGGACCCGGAGGGCTTCTTCCAGGGCCAGTTTGTAGGAGGCTTCAAGATCGGGAGATAGACTTCTGGCTGGGGCAGTCAAGCGTGTGTAATATTATAGACTATGTGTAATATTTGAGTTCCTCTACTAAGCCGGAACGACAATGATTGCCCCATCAGGACAAGAGACAATGTATTCTGTAGACAATTAGAGTCGACCTCGCTACCCAAGGCTTTGGATAGTGACTTTTCAATCTTCTGCAAACCAGTGTGTGGAATCTTATAGAAAATGGATATTCGCACAGAAGAAAACGGATGGTATTATACAGATACTTCTTAAATAATATTCCCGCAGCTAATTAGAGCATAACACCCACGCCCAATTCCCAAACCTACACCCAATTTATACACCTACTTGCACCCAATTTGCACACCAACACCGATTTGCATGGTTGATTTATATGCTTGATTTGTACATTATATGAGTGTTTGAGCGTGCAAATTAGATGTGTAAATCTGGTATGTGAATTGGGCTTGAGTAGGCGAATTGGATGTAGGTGTGTCGGGTGTGGGTGTGTTGAGTGTGGGTGTGTTAGGTGTGAGTGTACCAGGCGTGCAATGTACCTGTGTACTATCCGTTTCTTTCTGTGCAAACATCGGTTCTCATATTATAAAGCAAGATCTTGGTGGTGTATATGACAGACTGGAGAGCATATCAATGCCACGAATGACTCAACGCGGTGATTTAGCATTTGGAGGAACAAGGTAATTGCATATTGGTTAATCAGCAAGAATATACATAATGGCGCTCACCATGGAACACTTCAATCTAGCTACGAGAATCAGGTATACAGGCAAAATTACTTGCAATTCAATGGCTTCAAAGATGATTGCCTGAGAGTGGATAGGGCGGTGCTGCAGTGTTATCAAGCCAGGGGAATCGATTTCATCGTGTTCCACTGATTTCAAAAGTCGGTAATATAATGATCACGCCTACTAAATTATGTAATGATCACACTGGTAATTGACTCAGAAATTTGGGCTGTACATTGTGTGTCTAGAGACCTATGTAGGTGTCAGATTTCATGACCAGGCCCAGTGCAATTGCCATGTATGCGATGGATGGCAACAAAGGCGACATTGGGGTTTTACCTGTCTAATCTTATATCCCGGGTTTCTCTTAGTAGTATTTGGTAAAACACTCTTGACTATGTCTGAATACCATTCATGGATCAAGTACGATCCCCAAGTTCGATATCCACCACCCACGGTTCGTTGTTGGGCTCATCACCATGTCCCATGATAGCAGCATTGACCATGAGTGTCCTTCCCTCTTCTGTAGCATGCACCAAGCTGGTATCCCTCACCAACCCCTGAAAACTGAATCCATCACTGTCTCCCCCTTATGACCAGACAAGCGACTGGATCCCATGGCCTTCGTGGATATGCCCGAAACAGTGCAGCTTCGGCCTGGAGCGCACGATGGCGTGAAGAGCTTCGGGCAGCCACAGTGCTCGCCGCCGTTGCCCAGGTCAAGATGGTAGGCTGCGGAGGAAGAAGACAACGTAGATGTCGGCAGCGGCGGCCCGTGTGTCATCACAATGTCGACACCCTCCGGGATGGTGGTTCTCGTCCCGGGGGTAAGAGAACGCGTAGCCGCCACACTCGGGTGTGAAGGGGGACGCAAAGACTTTGAATGACCTGCCGTCGCCTAGTGTAAAGGTGTGGAGCCCTTCATCAAGGAGGTGAACGCCGCGCTGTCTTTCGTCGTCGAACAGCTGTCTGGACTTGACTGGCTCTTCTGGGTCGTCACCCTCCTCTTCATCGAGGTTTTCAGCCCACCACTTCGGATCCAGTGAGATGTCGTGGTTGCCGGCGATGACGAGCTTCAACTCTGCGTCGAGGTTGCTCAGGTGATGGAGCGCCTTGCGGTAGTTACTCAGCCCGCCAATCATGGTCATATCTCCACAATGGAGGGCGACATCGACTTTGGCTGTGACGTGTGGAAAAGCATCTTCGTGAGTGTCGGATATGATGAGGCAACGGATTGTTTGTGCCATTTCAAATAGTGAAGAAGTGTCGCCGGAATAGTGTTTGGTATTCAACATGTGACATTCAAGTCTTTTACGCTGTTTATGAGTTGACAGGAGGAATATTCGGGTAGATCGAGTTCGGGGTGTTTACATGGCGGCTCAAATAAACTCGTGCTTGTGACCGGACGCTCTTGCCCATCAAGGTCCATATGTTCCAGCAATTTGGTCATAACTTGGTGAATCGAGGTACCCAATGATTCGGAAAATGGCCACTAGTCGTGTTGGTTGCCGCTTGGGATGACTTTAGGGCATGGATGAAAGAATTACGGAGATTGGCGCAGGTCTGGCGTTTAGACCTAGACAGCCACCTTTTCACATGCGGCTATATAGAGGGTGGGAATTGGTCAGTGGGTTGGTCTTTCCAACTATCTTCGACGGTCTCTCACCATAGAGGCGCCCCAGGTGAGGGTCTCGCCAGCTGCTTGGATCAACAGGTAGCAGTGATGTCCCGGCGACGGTCGTGGCGTTTCATTCCTAATATCTGCTCAAAACTTGAATCTAACCGAGAATATCTAGTCTCATACTGCCTAGCAACACCCAGAGAGACTTCGTCACAATCACAGACATTGTCACTTTGTGCTCACCAGCTTTTTGGCAAAACAGCGTCGTCGACTGAAAGTGCGTCATGGATCCAAATTCTCCTGAAAAGTTCACAGACCGTTTCCTGACGGTTTGGCCTTACGCCTTAGGGCCAGATGAACTCGTCTCGAGAGAGATGGCATGAATAGCTAGCTAGTCTACCTCACACTCTACATTCCTACACCACACCACATTGTGCAAGCAGACCTGCTCTCGCACTAAGTCTAGGGGTCCACATTTGGGCCACCCCCCCATTTGGGCTACTAAAAAAGTCCTCTTCGCCACATCACCCCTTTAATTAAAGTTACTTTAAATCCTCATTACCACTTATAATAATGCATTCCTTTATATCTATAGTATCTTTAAAAGCGTTTATTTTTGCTAAGTTATTCTTAATTATACCGGCGTTAATTTACACCCTATGTATATGCTTAATTTTAATAAATATAAAGTTTAAGCTTATTTTAATCTTTCTCTTTTTTTAAGATGCTATAGCTGCTAATTTATTTTTAAAAACCTAATTCTTTTAAAAAAGCATTATTAATTGCTAGTTTTTCTTATTATATGCTTTTTAAACCTTTTTAAAAAGTAATTATTATATTATGGATAAGTATTTTTATAGGTTATAATTAATAAAAATTACTTATACCTTTTAAAATATTTTAAGAGTTAAAGAAAGCCTTTTTTATAGCTTAATAAATACTAAAGTAACTATTTTAAACCTTTTAATTCTTATAGCGTTATTAAAAAAAGTTATAAATATTACTTTATTAAAGTTTTTAAGCATAATTATACTTATTAATAATTTAGCTATATTAATTAGCTATAAACTAATTCCTTGCTACTTAGCTAATATATATTTTTTTTAAAATGCCTTAAATCTTACCTTTTAATAATAATAAAGGAATAATTGCTTTCTTATATAAGTATTATTAATATAAAGGTTAAGAAAACTAGCTTTCTTTTAATATACCGCTTTAAGGCTAAAAAATATTCTTAAATTAAGAAGTTGCAGTATATATAAGGTATATAATAATAAATAAAGATAATAAATTTTATATAAAAAGCATTCCTATATAAACTTAAGGGTATAATGGCTTTTATATTTATTTATTATTAATAAATGCCATTCCTTAAGGTTATTTAGCTTTATTAAAGGGATAAAGATCTTTTATAGCTATTTAAGTGCTATAATATTGTTTATTTAGCTATTTAGCATTGCCATAAACTCTTAATTTTCATAACCCTTAAGGGTTTTAAATTATTACTATTAAATTAACTTCCCTTTAAAGATAATAAGGAAAGGGTATGATTTGCTTATTATAAAGATATATTTAAGGAAAGAGGTTTATATATATAACTTATGGCTTTTTTAAATAATAACCTTCCTTCCCTTAAGTTTTAAAATAATGCTATTCTTCCCCTTTCTTTTAGCTATACCCCCTTTATTAACATTATGTTAGTTAGTTGGTTTAATATTTATAATTACTAATAGTTAAAGGAAGTTAAATTACTCCTTAATTATGCTTATCTTTATTTTATTTGCTTAGCTTAAAGTTATTTAACGGCTTTATATACTTTAAATCTTAGGATTTTTAATAAGGAATTTTCTTAGTTAGTAACGGCCATATAATTAGAAATAAAGTTAAGGAGCAATTACTTAAGCTATAAAAGACCTTATTTTAAAATAGGTTATTAGTAGCCTTAATATTGCTTAATTAATTATTTAATTAAATAGGCGTATTTCTTAGGTTTTTAATAGCCTTAATTAAGATTTTGCAGCATTAAAGTGGCTTTGGGAATTGTAAAGATAATTATAAAGTATGCTCCTTAAAATGTTGGTTTGTAAGGTAACCTTTTGGGTATTAATATTAGCCGCTAAGGCATTAAGTATTGTTTATACGTTATCTTCGATATATTGCTTTATAAGGAGTGAATAATGATATGTTGAAAGTTTAAAAAGGAGAGGAAATTCCCTTGTAAAGAAATCGCGGTATATGTGATAGGGTGGGCCTGACGCGTACGTGGGTGTGGAGTGGCCCAAATGGGGGGGTGGCCTAAATGTGGACCCCTAGACTTATGGTCCAGGCTCTCTAGGCCTCTTCCTAGGATACGTAGACGATGGAGTTGGCTTTCCGTGGCAAGCAGCCATTCGTGCGAGGTGACAAGGCAGACCTCCGAGCGAGCGCGGCCGTCCATCGCCTGCCTCTATTGTGCGGCCGCCATACCACGCACAGAATGACAACGATTCTGGACCTGATGTTCGCTGTACTCCTCATGTAAGCCGTGCATACCCAGACACAGCCCATCTGCTGAAGAACACGCCGCCGCGCCGCCGTAATCACATCATGATTGGACTTTTCGCAGACATAAGCCGTATCCTTGAACGGGCTCGACCGTCGGTGAAGCTGCCTGGAGCGGGAAACGTTACAGCAAAGTCGTCCTCGAGTGATTCCATATACGCATATTCAGCCCAAAATACAGCGGTTTGATTCGAGGTGGAAAACCCACCAGAAGATGGATACCGTTCACACGCCTAGGGCGTGAGTCATCACTGCTGCAGAATAATTTGCGCGTGCTTGTGGAAGGAACTGCTGCAAGTTGTCTAACTTGTGCGCCCTTGCTGGCGGTACCTTGCTGCTACTAAAAAGTAAAAAGCAAAGGGCCCTGTTTACTTGTGTCGGGGAATTTTTCCCAGCTGTGGCTTTGAAAGTCACGCCATTGTACAATCGGCGGCGCCGTTCGCAGTCGTTCGAATAAGGTGATGAGTTGAGATGAGGATGAGACATACATCATACCGCCTCGTCAAGGGGACCGCTGCGGTCGCGTGCGGTGACGATGATGATGATGAGTAAGTCGAGGAACGCCAAAAAAGTAAATGCAGGCAAGGTACTTTCGGCGACGACAGCTTTGCTTACACCAGGTACCTCTTTTTCCCCCGCCCTCCTCCCCTCCGCCCCCGCGAGGAGCAAAGCACAATGTGGGTTAGATGACCGCCTTTGCTTGGCAGCAGGAAGCAGTCAGCACACCGTTTGTCTCGAAGGCGATCTCCGTTCCCCCTTGGGGGGAGGTTCTTCAGCCCTATGAGTGGGATAGAGTGCTGACACCTAGGGAGAACAGCCAACGATGAGGTCCGGCGGGCTGGAAACCAATGAGATCCAGCGAGAGCTGCGACGATGATGGTGATCAGCGAACTGGCGGTGCAATGTGCAGGACTCCGGGGAGAAACTACTTTGTCAGGTGGCACTCCCCTTCAGAAGCAGGCAGCAAGGGAGGGCAGACTGGGTGCGAAAGCGGCTCTGTTCAGTGCACTACAGAGCCGCGTGCCTGCTGCGATGGGCCGCCAGGAATGCTGGGGCACGCGCGAGGGAACAATACGCCCCGGGCTGAGACACGATGTGCACTCGTGTTTTTCGACTTGATTGTCTCTTTCTGGCAGCCTCTGCCATTGCCCCTGTGGCACGAAGTGCCCCGTCCCCCCCCCTTTCCCACCCCCCGAGAGTGCGAGACGGATGGTAGCCTGACCGCTCCACTGCACTCAAGAAGGATGCGGTTGTGTGGCTACGGGGCCAGGTCGCAGAGCCTCCTCTGATCCCAAATGGTTTGGACACCCCTCGCCCTCGCCTTCAGTAAGGGATCATGTGTGAATTCGTGCGACAGTAGAGGGAGGCCTTTCAGCTACAGAATGCACGGCACCGGTGTGCCCCTTCCGACATGATGGTGTGTATCGAGCTTCGCTTGATGAAGCGGCTGCACACTGAAAAGCAGCCACCTTTACGATGTAGAATCGGATGCTTTGCGCATCAAATTTACGAGGCGTGGCGCCCCCTTCAACCAGACGACGCTTCACAAGGCCAGGAGGGTTGTTGTTTTTGGAGTAGCTGATACTTGGAATGTCACGTCGCTGGCCCCTCCAGCAATCCTGACTGGTCCGACCTGTTCTATCCTTGGGAGCATCCCTTTCGGCGACCAGGCAAGCGGCTGATTGGGGCTAGGGTAGCGCTGTGGCCTTAAGGGTGGGAACGCGAACATGCGCTGGTAACGGAATCACACATGCACTTTGAGAAATGGCTTGGAACTTTTTTTCGTGACCGCTGAGCGCTTTTCGAATCGAACGTCCAAGAGACGCCGGCTCGGATAGGCGGGTGAAAAGGCTGGTGGAGAGAGGCTCTCGTGAACCGTAGCCGAGGACGGGGACTTCTTCGTACTCGCTTGCATGCCCAAAATGACAATTTGGGAGCCATCGGGCAGAGGCACTACCTCAATATTGGCACCAGAAACGA